CCTAATTATAATTTATGCATTATAAAAATATTTAGCAAGTTAAATCTTAAAACCATTAATTTAATTTATAAGTATTTAAGTTTCTTAATATCAGCCCTTAATTAATTTCCCTATATAACTTTACTGCTTTTAAGTCTTTGCTTTATTACTTGCTAAATAAGGCCCTAGCCTTTCTTCCCCTATTAACCGTTTATCTTTTTTTCTTAAGGTATTTATATTAATTAAGTATGGTATTATATCTTATATTGCTAATATTTAAAGTTAAATTAAACCTTTATCTTAATAAGTAGTGCTTTAAGGTTAATAAGATTTATGCCTTAAAGATTATAACCCCTTTTAACTTTAAAAAGCAAGATATTGCCCTTATATTAAGCTTAATTAATTATAGCTTCCTTAAAAAAGCATTATTTAACCATGCCATTATATACCTTAATCGCGGCTTTATAATTAAGATTAAAGTTATTAAATACAGTAAACTAAACCTTATTATTACGGTTTAAGCTTTGCCCATTGTAATTAATTAATGGGCTTTAGCCTTATAAAAATAAGCTTTAACGCGAATATAAATAAGGAGTAAACCTTTTCTTTTATACTTTAAATATAAACCTTATTTAAATATTTTATAATAAATAATTTAAGGTTAGCTTATAATATATATTTAAAGTTTTCTTACATTATAAACTTATAATATAATTATATAAAACTTAATATAGTAAAACTTAAAAAGAATAATAGCAGCTTATTAAACCCTTTTTTATTTAAAGGAACTTTTATTTTAAGAATACTTAGCAATTTAACTAATAAAGATAAGAGTTAAGTTTATAATAAATAAGGAAGTAATTAGCGTTAAAGGGGCTTAATTTTTTTATATATTTAATTAACTAAGAACTTTTTATAATTAACTTTTACTTTATATTAATTTTATAAAGATATTTAAAAGATAACTAAAGAGCTTTTTAAAGAAGATTTACCTTATACTTAGGAACTTTTTTAAGTAAAAATATATTAAGCTTAGCTTAATTATATTATAATAATATTATAAAAAGGAAATAATAAAATTTCTTATTTAATTTAATTAATTAGCTTATATAATAAAGGCTTAAAGTTAATTAAATAAGTATAAAATATTATTAATAATTAATAGCTTAATCTTTATAATAAAAGCTTAGCTTAATTATAAAAAATAATTAAATATATTTAAGGCTTTTTGCTTTACTTTATAATAATATAAGGGTGTTTTTAATATTATAATAAAAGAGGATAATATTTAATTTTAAAATAATAAAGTAATAAATATTAATATTATAATAATTTTAATAAGCAAAGTTAAGTATTTTATATATAGCTAATTTAGTTATTATAAGCATAATTACTTTAATTATTGCAAGAAAATAAAGATATAGCTTTTATTAATTAAGGCTAATAAAGAGAAGGAATTTATTTAAAGGGGTATAAAACTTTTTTTATAAAATAGGGCTTAAAAATAATATTAATTTAGCGCTAACTTAAACTTAAAGTAAATTAATTGCATATTAATTAATTTAGCCTTATAAGAATGCTTAAAATTTAAAAAGTTCTTATTAATAAAGCAAATTACTTATAATTAAGCGTTAATTAATTATAAATTATATAATAAATTTATAATTTTAAGGTTTTAAATAAAAGAGCTTATATAAAAGGCTTATATTAAAAGATTATAAAAATGCTATTAATTTAGCTATTAGCTTATATTTAAATAATTATTTTTTATTAGCTTGCTTTAATTAATATATTAAATTATAAGGGCTAAGGTATATTAATTATAAATAATAAGCTAAGCCTTTAGCGTAATTAAAAAGCATTAAGGTATAATTAAATAACTAAATAAAGAGCAATATTTAATTTATAATTAAATTATAGTATCCTTTATTTTTTATTATATAGCTATTTTTTAAAACCCATTATAGGAATTTAAAAAAGGAAGATATATTATAATTTAAGCTTTGCTTATTATAATTAGTTAATGGGCTTTAGCATTATAAGAATAAGCTTTAGCATGAATATAAATGGAAAGTAAACCTTTTCCTTTATACTTTAAATATAAACCCTATTTAAATACCTTATAGCAAACAACCTAAGGCTAGCTCATAATACTTATTACTTAATATAGCTATAAGTTAAATCTTTAGCAAAATTAATGCTATAAAAAGGAATGCTATTGGGTTAAGGCTAATAGCGTTCTTAACTTTAATACTTATATTAGGGTTAAGCTAGGCTGAATTAATATTAAGTATAAGTACTCTTCCTTTTGCGCAAAGGGCTGGGCTAACCTTTATAGTTAGATTTAATGAGTTTAAGGACTCCGCTAAGAGCTGCTTTAATATAAGTTGCACTTATTATTTAATTAAATCTGCTATACTTTCTAGCAAAATTAAAGTTGCTTTAAAGCTAGAAAATATGGTGAAGTATTATAGCTAGGTTATATTTATTACCTTAAAAAAGGTTTTATATAAGTTAAATAATGGCTTTATAATTTAAGCTAATATTATAAATATTTAATAAGGTAAATAGGTAAAGTAGGATTTAAAGCTAAAGATTAAGCGAAATTAATAGCGTAGCATAGTTAAGTATTAAATTAAGTGATATAGCTAAGTGCTTAATTAAGCGGGATTAATCTTATTTAGATTTATTAGCTTTATATTTAACATAGGTTTTAATAAATGGTGTGAAATATTCCTCCCTACTTTTATCCTTTTTATCTTTTTTTTATTGCTTTCTTAATTAGCAGCGTGATTATTATAATTATATTAAGAAGAAATTAAAAAAAAAAAAAAAGAATTAAAAAAGGGATTAATGTTTAATAGCAAGGTTTTGTTTTTTTAAGGGTGAAATGGATAGTTGCCTTTAAAAATTAGTTTTCTTTTATACTTATTTTATAATGAAATTAATATTAGAAACTACTCCTTTTTTATAAATCTTATTTATCTTAATGCTTTTTAAATATTATATTTATTTATAATTCTATTATAGCGCCCTTATTCCTACTTAAGGTTTTATAATAGGATTGTATCTTATTTAAATCCTGGCTTAATTATTTATCGTAGCTTCTTCCTTATTAGCTTTATGGCCTTTTACATGAAGAGCTGGTTGCAATAGCCCTTTCAAGCCTTAGTTATATAGCATACTTTGTTAAGAATCTGCTGCTTGTAGCTAGTGTATTTGTGGAGTAAGTATCCCTAATAGTTAATCACGGAATTGAATGACTTGATGCCGAGGTAAAATGCGCATAGGAATCTTGGTTTTTTAATGCTAATATTTAGTTTGCCGGCTTTCTGCGGGATGGCAAGGTCTTGTATGCTTAATTTTACTATATAATATTTATTGCTATAAAGGAACTTTAAGGGCAGTTTAATCTTAAATATTGGGAATATATATCATTAAGGCCGCTAAGTATTCTTAAGCGATGCGCTAAATGGTGATGTTATTTTAAGGACTTAGAATTAAATAGCGAGTTACTTATAAGTTAAGAGCGTAAAGTGCTATATAAAGCAGGGTGGATTGTGGGCCTTATAATAGGCTGGGATTTTATATCCTTAGTTGCTTTTTTAAAGCGTTTTTATATTATTATGGCATTTAATGCAATTAAGGTTTGCATAAGCGCTTTTATATATAAGGTAATATAGGTTAATATATAAGGAGTTATAGCCTGCTATATATTAATTAGTTACCATTAAGTGCGTTGCAAAGCATAAGTTTATATATATAAGTAGGAGCTATTATTCCTTTTAAATGATCTGCATTTAATAAAGCAATTAAACTAAATGCCAATTTGTAGCTACGTCTTAGCCTTAAACCAGGCTATTGCTTATAATAGGAGTATAGTGTGATCCAAGTACTTATATACTATGTAGGTATCGTTAATGCTTAAATATATTTTAAGCGAGAGCTTATTAGTGATCTTTGCCGGCTGCGCTGCCTCTTAGTTAGCTAGCATTAAGAAGCAAGTTCCTTAATAAGTTTTAACTTACCTTTATTACTTTATAATGCATTTAATGCAATAATTAAGTATGTTTTTTATATTAATGTTTAGCTATGCTAGCGCCTTTTGCTATAATGATTACTTTCTTAACCTCTTGGTTTTATATTAAGGCATAGCAGTTTGATAAATGCAGCGCCCATTAAGCCATCGCTTCTTTACTTTATTATTAGGGTTGTATTTATTTAAGGGGCTTGCTAAGCTTATGCCTTTTGCTTATTTTAATAAAATGTATAGGCATGGTATAGCATTATATTGCTTTGCAAAAGTTATAAATGCGATTAATGCATATATTTACGCTGAAGCTATATGCATAGTTTATGCATTTTATAGGCGCTTTATGCTATAATTAAAAATGTTTTTATTAACGCGGATTGTTAATAAGCTTCCTTAATTATTTAAGAGCACTTTTAATGGTATAAAGCTATTAATATATATTAGGTTTATAAGCTAAATGCAAAAAAGCTAAAGTAGCCCTTGCAAGGCTAATGCCTTTAATTCTGTTGGTAATGCTTATTAAAGCTGGTATTATATATGAATATATCTTTTTAAGTTATCCTATTATATAAAAGGTTTATCATAAATGGTGCCTAGGGTGCCCTTAAGCTGCTCTTAGCAGCGAAACTATTTTTATACCATATTTGCTTAAAGGACTTTTGCATTAATGGAAATCAGGATTGCTTATATGCTGTTAAAGGGTCTTAATAATTTTTAAAGACTTTTATTTATTATTTATTTTATATAATTAGCCTTTTATTTTTATACTTTAAGACTTTATTTCTTCGCTAATAATTAATTTATTTTTATAATATTTTTTGCGAGCAGCATCAAACGTAACTTAAATTAGGAGGCTTTCGTCTTTATGAAACCGTTTTGTTTATTTATACTTAAGACTTATAAGAAACAATCCTTTAAGCATTTAAATATTTAACATTTACTCTTAAGATACCTTTTTAATCCCTCCTTAATTAATCTCTTAAGTTACTCAAAATAGGAATTTAGGCTGCAAATTTATGAAATAAGACTTCTGCAGCTCTGCGTACAGACCAGCTATGAAGCACCCGAGGTTCTCAAAGACCTCCAAGTCCCGTCGTGTGTCCCCGTCGATCACCTGGCCGCCCTCGGCGATCCAGTCTACGATCCTGGCCCTGACGGCCATGAGCCTCGCTGCGGCCTCGTCGATGAATACACCGAGACTGATCCAGTCGGCCGGTTTCTCCATCTTGGGGCCGTAGAGCATGACGAGGGTGAGCTTGAGCAGTGCGGCCTGCTCGCTGCCCCCGTGTGCGGCGGCGTCTGCCGCCTTCTGCAGCACGACCTTGGCGACTGCTTCATTGAAAAGGTTAGCTTGACGCTGTTCGGGAAGGGCAGGGATCCACTCCTCGGAGTTTTCCTTGGCATGTTTGACCATGCCAGCAAATTTAGCTGCGCTGTCCGGGTTGTTCTCGCCCATGTAGAAGTCGAGAGCATCGCGTACCTGGTCGTAGATTTCCCGAAAGAGGTTGGCGGTTGAGCTGGACATCTTGAATAGATGCTTGTTGTGTTTATGAATGTGGTTCTGTTGATGTAGAAGTGTGGTGAAGTTGCAAAGCATGAATTGAGAAGGTAAAATACAATTATATTTCGTGGTTTATATACTTTGATAGTATGTAGGCAGGTCAGGACAAGGACAATGCACAGTGCATGGTATGCATTGTGGAAGCTTGACAGTACCAGTGCACACAATTGCCTTGAAATTACAATGCATTGTATTGGATAACAACCCATAAGACATGGCTAATACTGTTGTAATCAAACAGTGCAAAAGAAAGACTGTGAAAGCCACGGCTTTTGTTGTGACCTATCAGATGAGCCTCTCTTTGTTCCTGAGAAGGTCTTGCCGTTGTAATTGTCAAGAGTGACAACTCTCACACATGGAGTGCTTCAGTTGATCTCCTTCGGGGCTTTCTTTCACTGATCAAGCACCGGAACCAATCGCCGTTACCATACTAGTAGTAGTCATCTGGTACGTCCAACTCCCCCTTCACGAGCTGGGATTTAATAGTGCTCTGGTTGATAGCAGTCAGGCCAAATAATGCACTAGGGGATGTTTATGAATCAGGACTCACCACTCTCTGGTCAAGTGCTTCGCAGCATTTCCTACACACCTTAGGATAGTACTGTATGTCGTTTTCTGGGAAGTTAAGCTTCTTCTCAAGTCCGCGAAAGGCCATTCGCGTTAGCTCTTTCCACGTCCAAGCCTCGTCGTCATCGTCCACGATCAAGAACGGTCGCAGGATCTCATTCAAGTGCGGAGATACGTCTTGAAGGAGGTCCCATTCCCTTGACTCGATCGAACGGTAGGTCGAGCCGACTTCGTTGTATGGACTCGCCTTGACGTCTTTTTTTGAGGCCTGTTTATCAGCTTCCGCGACGAACATGGGGATCTCGTCAGTGTCGGCCATTTCAGCAGGCACGTCGCCGCTGGTAGGCTCCGCTGTGAGGCGTCTTCGAATCTTGACTTTTGCAAAGCGATCCCCGAGGGGTAGCACAGAGCCAAGGCTCGAGGCTGGATTGCCCGCTTGGACGCCTTTCACGGACAGATGGGCTGCAGGACAAAAGACGAGTGACTCGCCGGTCCGAAGCCGCGAAATTTCCTCAATCAGCCGATGTCCATGGCTGCCCTTTGTTCGAGTCGATGAATTTGATGCGGTATGAGCGCCGGCTAGATGATTTTGCAAGGTAGAAAGCCCCGCTGGTGGTAAGGACCTGTGCATGAAGGTCGCGTCAGCCAGGTCAGCAAGCTCAGGACACCGAGTAGGCTCCTCTGTCGCGATCATGACACGGGTGTCATTGTGCCTCTGCTGCCGCATGATTGACTCCAGCTCGTCCGTCAGCCGTTTAGCTTCCCCGGTCTGAGTTAGAAACTGGAAACAGTGTCAGTTCTGATACTTCTGCTGTTGATCGCCGAGCAGGACAAGCTTACCTTGTGGGCCTCGTCCATCGCTACGACACCCCCGCAACGCGTCTTTTCCTCCATGAAGATGGTCAAAGCGACAGAGAAGAGAGCACAGGCATCTTCAGAGCTGAGCAAAGGATCGGTTAGGTCCACAATAGTCAGGGATCCGGGCTGGAACTCCCATGCGGTGTTTGGGCTGGCTGCAGGCCGAGTTGAGTGTGTCCACAATGGATTTGGTTCTATGAAACTCTCGAGATGTTTCAAGTGCATGATGACCGCTTCGCTCTGGCCCCTTGCACAATCGTGTTGGCTCAACTTCTCCCGAAACCGGGCGTATGTAATCTGTTTATCATCCATTGCCACGTCCCGTAGTATTTCGCGGACGAGGCTCATGTGTAGTGGACGGGCGCCGGAAACTGAAGTCATAGGATGGACAGCCAATAATCGAAGGATATGGTCTGTACTCAGCTGCCTAACAGGGAAATACATCGGTAGGACTCTAGGTCGTGGTGCCTCCGGGGGAAGACCTGGTAGGTTGTGGTATCGCGATTTCATGGCCCAGAAGTTCGAAGCTGAGACCAGCACTGTGACCGGTGTCTTCCCGTTGGAGCACAGGTACGCGGCCTCACAAAGCCGGCGGGATGTGATGTTCGAAACCCCGTCGTGATGGAACACTATAGCTGCCAGAGGATCCCGAAGACTCCCCATGGAAGGCCCAAGGTCCTCACGTGCATCTGCATCGGAATCGTGGTTCATCAAAGCGTTCTCGAGGAGACATGAGAGCGTGTGACTCTTCCCTGAGCCCTGCGATCCGCAGATCAAAGCGGACCACGGCATAGCCAGGTTTCCTAGCACAAGTCTATCTTGTATATCAGCCTCCAAGCGTGTCTTTGCATCGCGCTGATCAGCGCATATTGTGGTAAGGGCTCCGTGCCGCGGTCAACGGTAGCTGAAGACTTGGCGGTGGACTCGACGAAGTCATGAGCAGCTGAGCTGAATAGTGGTGCATTCCTGAAGGCTTCTCGGATTGCCTGGGTCTGGGGGTCAGAAGACCCGGCGACCACCGTCCGATCGCCTGTTGCGGTGTCCTCGACAAGGTCAACCAGCTGTGAAACCTGGAGGTCTTCTTTCTATTTCCTTTCTCGATGGGATTGGCCTGAGTATAGGGCAGATGGGCAGAAATCTTTGACAACCTTCTCCTCGTGTTTTGATGGTTGGCGGCCCCCAACGTCAACCCGACCGGAGAAGGGCGGGCGAGACATGTTCGCTGCTGGTGGTATGAGGGGCTTTTAAGAGCAGGTCGAAATGCGCGTCGCATCTTGAAAACTGGTCACAGGACTGGAGCTGCCCTCGGATTCAGAAGACAAGCAAAGCCACGCGGCTGAAATGCGATGAAAGATGGTATGCTCTTCTGAAGATGAACAGTTGCAAGAGCTGTTTTGTCTTCTGCAGGTTCCTGCAATGGTCAGGGGAAATAACATCAGCCCCGCGTTGACCACAGGGAGGTACTCGATTGTATGCATGTTAGAGATATGTGCTGATGCACACAGTCAACACTATCAGCGCTCTGCTAACAATTACTCTGACCATCGTAGCAATCGACAGTGGCTTTCACAAATTCCGAGACACTACTATCATATATCACATATTGTTGCCATGTTTGTTGTCAGTGCTTGGGTCTGAGGCAACAAGGCAAGACCCGACTTAATTCAGACTGGGTAGCTGTAAAAGTCTCCAGCCTATTGATCGTTCTAGAAGTTGTTGACTTGGACAACTCAATTGTTGTGTAATTAATATGGTAATTCTGTGGTTATTTGCTAACAGGACAGGCTCACCGTCGCAGGTGCGATCGATATAAGGGTTGGCATAAGTTAGCTGATACCAGCCCAGGCAGTACGCCCGGACGACGATATTCAAGCAGCAAGCAGGGCGCTCAGTGGTTGACAGCACTGAGCTTCGCCCGCCTCATTTCCGAGGATGGCGTTACGGTGGCGTTCGAAGCGACTGCAATGTCAGGATCGTGCACCCACTCGTCACCAATGTCCGTCATCTTCCTCTCCAGCTTCCTCATCATCTCCGTGACCACGCTTGCATATGCAGGTTCATTGAAGACATTAAAGAGCTCAAAGGGGTCCTCCTGGGTATCGAAAAGCTCCCACTGCTTTTCTTCGCCGCCAGTTGACGTGCCTGGAAGGCCAAAGCCTTCGTTATACCTGAGTTCAGGAGGGGTCAGCCGGGTGGGTAAAGCGCTTTCTCGACAGGTCTAGCACATACCAGTAGATCAATTTGTACCGTGTATCTCTCACGCCGTAGTGCGCATATGCGTTGTGAATCGGGTCTCGGTGCATCCAGTATCTGTGATAGGCCAACTGGTCCCAGTCCTCAGGCGTTTCTCCTTGGAGAACCTCCCGGAACGATCGGCCCTGCATGTAGCTTGGCACTTGGAGTCCCGCAATATCCAACATTGTTGCAGCAAAGTCAACGTTCTGTACAATATCTTTGATAACGGTACCTTCTTTGATTTCCGCAGGATAGCGTGCAACCAGCGGCATTTGGAAAGACTCCTCGTAGATAAAGCGCTTATCAAACCAGCCGTGGTCACCGAGGAACATTCCTTGGTCCTAGATAAAGAATCAGTGACCAAATCGAGATTGCCATAGGGTATTCGAAGCATACCGAAGTATACATCACCAGAGTATTATTCGTCAGACCCTTTTCATCGAGCCAATCCAGCATGCGCCCGACATTGTCGTCGACAGATTGAACCACGCGCAAGTACCGCTGCATATATCTCTGAAACTTGAAGTTTGCCAGTTCCGTCTGGTTCTGGAACCTGAAGACCTCGCCAGTGCCCGAGTCGGTAAGACGGAGCGCCTGGAGCGCCGTGGTGTTGCTCGGGTTGGGGACCTTGCGTTCGGTCGACTTGCCAGGGTAGAAGAGTTCTCCGACCTCGTGGCCGCCTTCAGGTTGAACAAGGCCCAGGTCGAAATATGTCATGTCATCAGCAACTCGCATATCTGTTGCCGACGCGGCGTTGGCCCGGTTCTTGTAATCATCGGTGAAGGTGTCGGGCAGCTGGATGGGATCCGTGTAGTAATCCTGATATCTTGGGTGCCACTCCCAGCTTCTGTGTGGGGCCTTTTGATGGTACATTAGGAAGAAGCTGAGGAAAGTCAGCTCCGGAATGCATCTGGATTAAAGGGGTGTTCGGCACGAACGGTTGCGATTCGTTCCTCTGCTCGAGCCATTCAATGGCCTTGTCTGTCACAATGTCGACAGCGTAGCCTTCGTACTGAGTCTCGTTCCCGTTATCAATGAAGATGGGATCCCAATAATTTCCCTGTCCCGGAACTACAGAGTAGTAGTCGAAGCCGGTAGGCTGATGGTCCTCGCCTTCACCGAGGTGCCACTTCCCGATCATCGCCGTCTGGTAGCCACCCATACGCATGGACTTTGCCACATTGGGCATCTTGTTGTTGATCTTATCGTCCAACGTAAAGACTCCATTCGTATGGCTGTGCATGCCAGTTAATATGGCAGCACGACTGGGTGTACAGATTGAGTTGGTGACATAGCAGTGATCGAAACGAGCTCCCTCGTTCGCGATGCGATCGATGTTGGGCGTTTGGTTGATACCAGCGCCGTAAGCTGATATGGATTTGGCCTAACCACAGGCAAATTAGCTTCGGTTGCCATCTTACGGACAAGTAAGAATCTGGGTTGTTGAACTATCGCATACAGCATGATCATCAGCCATCATGAAGATGATGTTCGGCATCGAGGTGAGGGCGACCATCCTGAAGGCAACGTGCTCACCAGCACTAGACTACACAAGTAATTACCAAAGCTTGCATGCGCCTTGCAGAGTATTGGGAAAGTCTTTTGCCCTAGATATAGCCTGACATCTGTTGATTATATGTGACGAGCATCCGTCCCCACCAAAGGCTCCCGCGTCTCCGCATATCCCCGCGTGCGTGGAAATGAGAAAGAAGCAGCCGCGCAACATTCTGACGACATATTCCCCGGTTTCCTTTGCGCCATGGGGACAGAACTTTGCGCTAGGGCAGGATCAAATAATCAAGTGGGGCCTTTATTAATTTCCACAGGTTGTGTGGATTTACAAAACCATGTCGACTCGCGTGACCCCATTGCCAAGGCTCCTAAGGGTCGCTGCTCGGCAGTTCGTCGGCCTTAATTTCTAGCGACGGGGACCGCATGTATGGATTCTAGGTTTGTGGCCTTTTTTACTAAACGCTGACCGTAAACCAGACGGTGAAGGAGGACGATAATTGGGGACAAAGCATGGCTACCTCAACCCCTAGAGGATTCGGCGATCAAGGGAGGCCGAAAACTCTGAAGATTGGAATTGACAGAACCGTCTGCGTCCCTGGAAACCCTTCTACGCAGCCAGATTTCGCGGACATTTGAAAAGCAGTAATGATTCAATGGACCAATACTCACTACAAACAGGTTAACTACTCTTCTGCACATGATCTGCCCTCTCTGTCCCTCCACCCGGCCCGCGACACCGTCCATCTCCACTACACGATCTATATGCTCCCTGACAGAGGAGTGAGGGTGGAGGGCAATCCGATGCGTATCCTGCACGAGAGAGTTGCGGGTCAGAAGGTGCGGGCGTCGCTCAGTTATGATTACATATCCTGTGGTGGCCACCAGGATAGCGAATGGTTGCAGAGTATGGCACTGCTGGAAGACCTTGGAGAGATTTCTGTTTGCCTCAAGATCGTATGCATCCACGTCGAAGAGGCCCCCGCTATACTATCAGGGCTATTTGGCACACTCGGGGAGGAGCGAGTAGTGTTGGTCGATGCAGTCGACCATGAGCTTGTTAGCAGATTTCGCACACTCTGGCAGGCTCACAGGTCATGCTATGACCCCCTGACCGAGGCTTTTTTTAAGCAATACGTAAACGACGATTCAGCTATTATCGAAGAGGACGGGGCGGTGACCACTGTTCGAGAGACTGAGATGGAGATGCAGGTGGAGTGGCTTCTGAACAGGTGGCATGAAATCCAGGCAGAAACGCCCGGGCTAGTGCCAGAAAATATATGGGAGAACGATCCCGCTGCGCTACCTGACGGCCAGTATATCCCCACGAGGCTGAAGTGGGTCCCAAATTGGCGTCATTCGTGGGTGAAGAAAACATACCTGCAGATGCCTAAATTTCTCCGTACTATCATGTTTGGACTTTGCACTAATAAATGCATGGATATGCCTCTTCGTTATTGACTTATTCAGAATCTATTTGGTTTACACCCAACTCAGAATTCGGAACCCTGACGCCACCCCAAATGTCTTCAATCTGCCCTAGCGCAAAAGGAATAAATTGTTGCTAAGACGTTGATTGTAACGCGCAAGGGCTGATATATCCTCCAATGCAACGTCGAAGACTTTCTCATATATCTGCTCATCGCGAACGATACCACAATCACTTCCTACGTCAAGAACTGCCCGCTATGTTGCTTTAACGTCCCCATTGGTAGCTTTCTTGTCGGCTGTCTGCGGCGGTGGTGTTTTAAGGACGATGTCAGGGTAAACAGCTCGAACCCTCTCAGGCAGCTTTTCGACACTGGCGCAAGACTTAGTTAGCAATTTCCCATACAAGATGAACTCCTGATTTACTTACTATGAGCGGAACGACTCATCGCACTTCTGGCACAAGTTGACGCCACCGAAAGTATGTCTAACCTCAGCGCCATAGGAGGCGCGATAGACACAACGTTCGCATTGCCCGCCGCCCTCGAGGTATTCGGCAAGTCCCGGGAACATCCACTCCTCGCGGCGCGCCAGCAAAGCCTGGTAGCGCTCAACCCCCGGCGCCTCGAGAAGACCAATCCTCTCGTTTTCCTCCGGCGGAGTAGCCACGTCGACGCGGTTCCAGAGCTTGACCTTGCGGCGGGCCAGCTCGATGATATCGTCTGTTTCGACCCTGCCGATGGTACACTCCTCCTCGACGAAACGGTAGCGACGCATCATCATATGAACAGGCCCGCCCACGATACGGACGAAGTTTATCATGATAGGCCCCTCGGGTCGCCGGACATAATATTCGTCCAAGGCCCAGAGCATCTCTCGGGCGACGCGGAAGCTCTCGATGCGCATGTCCCAGGGCACGTAGGCGAAGGTATTGTTCGTCTCGCCCTCGCCGCGGTGCTTGTAGAAGGCCACCGCGTCGTACAGATAAATCCCAATCTCGCTGAGCAGCTCACACTCGTCGTCCGTCGGCACGGTGTCGATATCATTGCAAGCCAGGGCCGAGAAGATAGTGAAGCGCGAAAGGGCGTCGCAGTCGCGCATGCGGAACCAAGTGCGAGGCGACGAGGCCAGCGCATTGACGTAGCGCCGGAACAGCTCGCCGTGCCGCCGCTCGCTGGACTTGTCCGCGGCGGGGATCAGGAACGACTTGTACTCGCGCGCCATGAGGGCGTGGCCCGGGGTGCCCTCGAAGAGCTCCTCCAGCACGCCGTTGAGCGAGTAGCCGGCGATGCTGTCCCCGCCGTCCTCGTCCATCAGGTCGCCCCTGAACTCGGCGATGATGCCTATGATCATGCAGCGGACGAAGCCGACGTATCGCTTCCAGTTGGTGTAGTGGGGGATCACGCAGCGTGAGTACTCGTACGCGCAGGCGAGTACCTCTGTCTTTTGCTCTTCAGAGAGGCGGCTCTCACCGTCGAGGTCGTGGGCGACTTCAGAGGGGTAGTAGAACACATCGCGAGGCTTGGAAGACATAGCCATGGTTTCTAGGGCAAATAGGCTAGTAGAAGGACAATTTGGAGTTGCTCTGTTGGGTTCAGCAAAGAGGGAATGACACGAGTGAGAGGAATGAACAGACACTTATGAATAAAGCTGCCGGATGTGTAAGAACGTGTGCCGGTCTTTCAGCAACCAGCGTCGGCTCCACCCTCCTTCTCGGCGCGCGAATACCTGTAAACGACATATGCACGATCTTGGTAGGGGTCCTTGTACGAAGGGCCTAAACAAGAAGCTGGTCCGCAAAGAGAAGGTTACATCACGCCTTTGCTAAGCGTCGATCGTCAGCATCTATATAATGCCACTGGCTGGTCAGAGTTGATTCATCAGATAGTCGAACTATCATGAACACCCATTTTCCGAGCCCTCGGACTCGGTGGAATGTATCGCATTAGCGCTTATGGAAAGGATGGAAGCAACACATTGGCTTGCTTAGCTTGATAAAATATCATCTGTTTAGGACAAGGACCGCGTAATATGAAAGTCGGTGAGAGTCGAAACTGCCCTCTTGATTTCGCAACCATTTCCTTTTCTTCTCCCATTATAAAGCCTAACATCTTTAAAACTCTTATCTGCAGAGGGCTATAGGGCATTCTTGGCGTGCCAGAGGTAATAGACTGTAGAAGGTGCAGAAAGATGTATAGGGTGAAGTAGCGTTGAAGTCATTCGGGGACAAGATTCCTAGTTTTCTTAGCAATCTGCTGAGAAGGATCTAGTCTACCGGGTGGGAGGACCCTTGCAGCTGGGCATAAGCTGGGTGTAAATCTACTGCCTGTTACGTACCGGACTGTCCTGAATTGGGACATGGTCTTTCGGAAATGTTCACTCAGTTCGGGTTTCGTGTTCTGGTACCCAGTGCGCCCGTTCCTCTTCTCAACAGCAATCTTCTCTCCCTTGGCTACAGCTATCTTCAACCGTCATTTCCCCCAAGTAATATCACTAAGCACAAGTTCATTGAAAATCACGATGCTCTTGGTCGCTCTCGTGTCTCTGGCCATTTGGTATTTAGCCAGTAGTGTTGTCGCATGGTGGAAGCTGCGAAAGTTTCCCGCGGTATCCTGGGTTGCTAACTTCTCGTATCTGTGGTTAGGCAAGACCACATACAGCGGGCGCCTGTACTGGGTGCACCGTGAGCTCCACCAAGAGCACAAGCTGGTCCGGGTCGGGCCCAACGAGCTCATCACGGGCGACCCGGACATCATCCGCAAGATCAACAAGGAGCGCAGCGGTTACGACCGCGGCACCTGGTACAATGGTGGCCGCATCAACCCGTACTACGACAACATGTTCTCGACGAAGCAGCCCGCCGCCCACACCAAGTACAGGTCCCGTGTGGGTCACGGCTATACCGGCCGCGAGATCCTGGACATGGAGATTGGCGTGGACGAGCAGCTTGGCACGCTGCTCAGCGTCATTAAGGATAGGTACGCCCAGCTGGGCCGGCATCTGGAGCTCGCCGAGGTGACCGCCTTCTTCACCATGGATGTCATCACGCGCCTGGCGTTTGGAGAAGCTTTTGGCTACTTGGCCCAGGAGAAGGACCTCTTTGGATTCTTGGGAAGCCTCCGCGTTCTGTGGCCGAGTATGTCTACAGCGGCCGACGTTTCTTGGGTGCGTGAGATACTGTTCTCCAAGCCATTTCTCCGGTTATTAGGACCCAGTCCCCGGGACAAGACTGGATTCGGTGCGCTGATGGCGTGAGTAATGCCACGATTTTGGGTTTATATCTGGTTAAGCAGATGGCTTACTCCATGCTTTACAGCGTAGCGGAGCACCATGTCGGCAAGCGATTTAGTCCTGATGCGGAGCAGGTAATGGACATGTTGGTAAGTCTTACTCACTCTCACCGCCGAACCTGTGAAACACCGCGCCTCAACATACTACACATGTTGACTATGCATCTAGGGTTCCTTCATCCATCACGGCCTGAACCAGCAGGAGTGTGAGGTGGAAGGCCTTTTCATGATCGTCGCCGGAGCCGAGAGCACCGCATCGGCCATCCGCTCTATCTTAGTCCACACCATGACCACGCCGCGAGTCTATGTCAAGCTGAAGGCGGAGATCAAGACGGCTCTGGACGAGGGCACGGTCAACAGCCCTATTCAGATGGACCAGGCGCTGAAGCTACCTTACTTACAAGCCGTTGTCTACGAGGGCCTCCGTAGTGAGTAATACCGAGAGTCAATTTGTTCCTTTTCTTTCATGTAGTAGTAGCCTGGATTCGAAATAGTTCCCCCTTTCCTTCACCAGTACACCTCCTACTAACCAAAGGACAAAAGAAAAGAAAATGGAAGACAAGAGTTGAAACCCCTTACTGACTCCCGGTCTCCTCAGTGCGGCCTCCGGTCCTCGGCCTGCTCCCCAAAGTCGTCCCCGCGGGCGGCGACACGCTAGGTGGGCAGTGGGTGCCTGGCGGAACCAGCATCTGCTCGAACACGGGGGCCCTGCTGCGGTCACGCTCGCTGTTCGGGCCAGACGCCGACGTGTTCCGGCCCGAGCGGTTCACCGAGCTGGATGCCACGACGAGCCGTCGCGACATGGAGCGCAACGTCGAGTTCGCCTTTGGCTCGGGCCAGTGGCAGTGCGTGGGCAGGAGAATCGCGTTCATGAAGCTAAGCAAGACTGTCTTTGAGGTGAGCGCCCTCGTCCCCTCTCTGGCTCTGTTACTGCCGTCCAGTGAGAAGTCACGTCGCCTTGAATTGTGGGACATTCCGTCTTGGTCCTGCTGTGTCACTTGGGCTAATTGTGGCGTTCCTTGAAAGGTGTTCCGTAACTTCGACCTCCAGTTGATCAGTCCGATTAAACCTTGCGACGTCGAAAGCTATGCCGTCTTCCTGGAGTCTGACATGTTTGTTAAGGTGACGGAAAGCATGTCTGACTTGTCTGTAGCTTGACAAATGGACACAGTTGATAAGTTGTTTTGCTTAACCAATGAATCGTTAGCCCCGCAATATCTTCTGGGATATCCGTCTCATATTCACCACTTGACGATTGTAACAATATTTGGACATTACGGAAACCACTGAGATAGTAAATAAAGTAAATACAACCTTTTAGACATGGTGTCCATTCACCTCTCCCTTTCCTGTGACTTACTTGCCCGTGGCGAGACGGTAAGAAAGGAGAGTTGCCTACACATGGGCATGGGTATTCCCAAAGACATTCCTCCATGGGTCGCCGGAGCCGATTGAAATTAACAAGAAGAGAACTTCCTTCGTGGTTGACACACGTGGGCTGGCTCTGACACACGTGGGCTGGCTCAGACACGGTCGACGGTGTGAGTACCATTGTCCATCTGTCTGAGAGGCGGTAGGTGCCACACACAAACATTCAAAGCAATTAGTAAGTCAAATCTCCCAGGCATTTAGAGGATCATAAATGTGAAGGAAGAGAATCACAGTAGAAATTGGAATACTTCTAGCTGTATTGAGACTGTCTTTTAATGATCGTGTTTACTAGTACACGATTCCTTTGACTTCTAAGCACTTGATCTGTCCATGTCACTTGTCTCTCGTGCTGAAGAATAGATCTCCCGGGATCTGTTTCCAGTCTGAACATATTTGTTCGTTTCGCTCCATCGAACCAGACTCAGCCTACGGCGCAAAACCTCATCGATCTGCTCCTTTAATTTTCCCGCTGTTCCATTTTCCCCCATGGATTCAGCTTCGGCATATGCCAGGGCGGACTTCAGGGCATCGATGGATGCCCAAGTGTTTCCGGCCCTCCATTTCAGCTCCGCCGTCCAAAAAGCCTTGCTCGCACGACGGAGTGGATCAACATCCTGGTATGACATTGCTTCCGTATAGAAGTGATAACCTTCAGATATTCTCTGCTGGTTGAGCAGGAGCTCAGAGAGTGCGAGTCTCGTCTCTTGCGCCTTCGATACAAGGTCTGGACGTGAGGCCACTTCCATGAGACTACCACGGAGAGAGGCCTCATCTAGTAGGCCTCTTGCATCGCTGGGAACACACTTGGCAATGTCGAAAACCCCCATGGCGTGATTGGGCTTGCTGGCCATGCACTTTTTGGCCAAGTCTACGCCGACTCCCAGAACAAACGACTCGGGACCTTCGGCCGACGATAGATGCAGGACCTCACCCCACGTATGATTCAGAGGGTGGCTGGTTCCGTGGATGATCAGTGAGAGCTTTCTTACGTAATCCGAAAGCGAACGGCAGATGGATTTGCAGATCTCGGACTTCGGATACTGTATAAACGCACCGGCGGTGGCCATCAGTCGGATGTATACCAATGGGTGGTTCCGTTCAACCATCAGCTTCAGGCAATCAAGGGCACGGTTGATGTCTCTGAAAGCCAGGTGCTGCTGGTCATTCCGGGACAGACGCTCGAGACCTCTGATAAAAACGGAGCTGAAAATTTCCTGCTCTTCGAAGAATGGGCCGGTGTGGTACCACGTGTCCATCTCATGGTGGCTAGTGATGTAGACATTGAGGTAGTAACTAGCCGTCTCGATCTTTTCCAGTGTATCCGGTCCTCGAAGCCTTCGTGGTGGGTTTGTGAACTGCCTGGAATAGGCCATCATCCAAGTTTGAGCTTGTGTTGATGCTGAGTTTGATCGATGTATGCTCTTCTTCAGGTGACGATCGATGCGGGACGCGTATTCCTCGTCTCTGACAACTGGCCAAAACATGGATGAGGAATCCTGCCCCATGGCCAGCTCCAGAGCCTCGTGTCTTTTGATGTTCTTGCGGATGCCCCACCTACGGAACTGCTGCTTGTAGACTTTGTCGCTGTGAACAGTTTACATAGGTCAGCATGCCGGAAAGGTCCCCAATCTGGTACGGTACTGTACTGCTCACCTTACATCCAGCCCGTGTTCTCTTTTCATAATCTCTTGAACCTCTCGCAAAGGTAGGTCCTGAATCCAATACAGGCTGATGAGCTGTTCGCGGTACATCCACAATTTCCGGTGAGGTCTGGTCGCAGCTGGCGGTGGCAAAGAGGCGGTTGTTTCAGACTTGGTCGCTCCAGACGTGGCGTCTAGGTCCTTATTCATGGAGTCGATAGTAATCCCATGCCCCGTGGAAGAGGATGGCTCATGCCATATGAGACGTGGTTGGATATGCATGGTGCCATCATAACCACGGGTATGAGACGCTTGAGACAAACACCAGGTAGCCATCATTCGCTGACCGACATATGCTTCAAAATTGCACCAGGCTGGAGAGAAGAACAATGCAGTCAGCCACCAGCCCGCAGAACTAGTCAAAACGTTGAAAGCATCCGAAGGTTAGGAGAAACAGAAGTGCTTGGATCGGCCCATGAGAGAGTTGGCTCAGGACGATCGTGATCGTGTGAAGATCCGATGTGAAGGGAGCCTGATCTTTCTCCTTGGCTTGATCACCCATTTGCTGTGCCGTACGCTAGCCCCCAACAGACCCATCGGGCAAGCGTAGGATTTATGCATCGCATTCAATGTGGAGAAATCATCACACGCTTATCAAGAGAAACCAAGCACTCGCTCTTATCCAGACTCGGAATGGCCGCTCCAATGCTCCACAAGGACCTTGAAAAGCAGCCTTATGTCCCTAGTAAACCAACTTAGATGTAATATAGGTCAGGCAATCGAAACTCAAGGCCGTCAAGGCCGCCGGCACCTAATTTAGGCTAACAGCCAAAAATACTTTGAGAAATACCATGACGACAGAAGGAGGCGATTGATCTGTCAATGAGGGAGGATTCCAAAGTAGGGCACGCGACTATGATGTGTCACTTTCGGCATATTGGCGCCCAACAGGCCAGGTATTCTGCCACCCCTACCACAGCGGGCATAATCCATCACAACGGCAAGGGATTCTAACGGGTAGATCGGCGCTAGGAAAAGGTGGTTGTTGGCAAGTACGACCCTCGTACTTGAATGGCTACTTTAGTTATCCCCTACGGGGCACGTAGCCTCTCAGAACTTAGCCTGAACAACACCAATCAACGACTGCTTACCCATACGAATACCGTACGTACGAGAGACCTACCAACAGTGGTGATCCACCGCCAGACTTGTAGGACGGACTTGATACTCATCTGTCTGAGGAACAGTGTGAGAGGATTCGACACGTGAGTAAGGCAACCTGTGACGAAGTAGGAGAAAGCTGCACCTGAGCGTTGGAAATACGGATTCCACATGTTTATACAGTTGCCAAAAATAACAATGATCATGACAAGTTTGATTGTACAATCCTGGAACCTAGCCACTACCTGGTAAGCCTTCGCCGGAGCCCAGAGGGCGAGTCACCGGAACGTTCAAAGCCTACATTTTCACAATGTTATAATATTGTCCTCCGTTTAGAAACCATTTTTACCAGTCATACTGAAGTAGCAGGGCCTTAATGACAAAGAGAAACGCCAAGTATAAAATACTGACCCCGGTTTCTGCAAGACTCTGGTCAGATATAATTCGTCCCAGACCTAGGAATAGAGACATACGATACAGTCTTGGCCATCACACGCAGATCTCAACCGATATTGTTGGTCTACAAAGTAAAATACAGGCCAAAAAGTACAGTACCGGAAATACGAGATTCGTTTGGATATATTACAATATGTCTGCGAAGGTGATATGGAATATTGATTGACAGTGAGAATATGTGGGGCTGCTGTTGGTTAGTGGGATAAAAGCTCGGTGGAAGTGTGGTAAGTAAGTAGTATGGGAGCAAGGTGTCCTGTGTTACGCGTTAGTCGATCTACAGACTGGGGTCTCCTACATCGTGCGGTGGCGTAAAGTCTTGCCACCGCTTTGGCCGCGGTCGGAGGAAAGAGTGTGAGCGAGGTTTATCTCTAGCTCGTCTGTCTCGAGCTGAGGCTGAAGCTGCGGCAGCTCAGTCTGATGGGGCATGGGCGCGGCCAGCCGAGGGACGGCTTGTGTAGCAGTAAGCTTCTTCCGAAGAGCCAGCTTTCTCCAAAGATACATGGCTATGGACCATTTAATGCTTACCGCCTGTAGCTTTTGGTTGGTCAAGAGGTTATGTTCCCTGAGGGAATATGGTGGGTCGAGGCGTGAAGGTAATTTCGCCATTTAAAAGTATTCTGTTATGGAAGTGTCCAGGTCCTACAATGGCTGTCCTCCCGCCCCTTTCTATGCGAAGATGACGCAATAGGCATTGCGGAATGGGACAAGTAATTGTTACGGAATCGTGTTGAGAGGAGTTGAGATGTGCCGACCAATCATAATATTGACAATAACATTGTCCATAATGAACATCAATGTCAGTTGTCGGAGTCCGCTTGATGGCTCAAGCATTGTCACTAGCTTCCGCAGTTGTTCCTGAGATCTTCAGACCTCGATGTCCTTGGTTATTGTTGATTGGATGACTACTTTGAGATGAGCGTCCAATGCGTTGTGTGCGCCGGGCTCCCAAGCCCCCGTCTCGATGAACCGAGTTCTGGGTTCTTTCGCAGTCGATTGTTGCCGGAAACGGCTCGCTCTCATTGACTACCTGAACACACGGCTCCATCAAATATTTCTTTCTTGTTCGTGACTAACAGAGTCCAAAGCAAAGCCGTTGGGACAAAACAAAGACTCTACAATTTCGTGCTGGATCAAACCTTTTGAACCAGCAAACCTGAATTCTCAAAGGCCAATAGCATACATGCGCAGAGTAACTGGGTTCACCATACTACTTTCACTATGATCCGTGCTAGACCCGACCCAAATACTGCCCCTGGTCGCCTGGGTGGGAGGGCCCACAGAACGGCTGCTAGAGAAAGACGTGCAGTGAGTGAGCTCTCCTCTAAATTGTGACTTTCTTCAAGCTACATACGATCTACCAATATTCCTTTGTCCCTATATATGATTGAATTTTTCAATTAATTCTTGTTGAAGTCACTGACCAGCCAGTGATAGTTGCAAGCAGAGTTAGACTACTGGGCTACGTTCTGGAGAGGGCTGCAAGATGAAGCGGATTGGAGGAGCGAAAATGCAAAGGGCCAGCGGCGTCCTGTCTACGAGTTGTATGAAGTCCCAAAGCGAAGATCATGGACACCCGACACACGAGGGGAACGCGATGTCAGACGGCCGCGCATGCGCCAATTCGTAAAGCAACCGAAGCGAATGGTGCGATATCATCTCATTCGTTCACAGAACGAACCCGAAAGGCTGAGGCGGGCCGACGGCGATATCATAAGCGGACGGAATCCGGTCATGAGGGCCTTGGAACCGCTGGGTTTCCGCTTCAAAAAGATGCTCGGCCAGGGTGGGGGCGGTATTGCACTTCTTGTTGACTTGCTGGACCAAAATGGCCAGGCGGATCAATGGGTGGTAAAAGTGCCCGTCGGGAAGTCTTCGTTGGGACGCGAGGCCACTAACATGAGGGTAAGGATCATCTATGATTGTCCCGTGCCATCAGTCATGGCAGACGACCCTCAGGCCTTCCACTAATGACATGTTTTCGGCTTAGTCTATGGTTGGGGCAAGACACATTGTTCAACGCAAGTTCATACGAAGTCCTGATCCGAGTGCGGCGGCGAATCGGGTCAAGCTTAACACAGATGAGCCTGACTGTATGTATGGAATGGAACTACTCAAGCACGGGTCTCTTGATCGTTTGCTCAAGAGGGTCTCATCCCAAAGGTTGAAGTTAAGGGACGATGAGCTGTGGATGATATTTCACTGCCGTGAGTCATCAACAACTCCCACCGGAGGCTTGAGGAAGCACAGTATCATTTACGACGCTGACACGAAACTACAGTCTTCAGAGCTTGTGTGGCAATGTCCTACCCCGGAACGTGGTCTGCTGGCCTCAATCCCGAAACAGACTTGATTCCACTGCGAGACGAGTCTATCCCAGACGACGTGCCCATCGAAACAGCCTCGTCCCTAGTACACTTCGATATCGACCCTGATAATAGTAAGAATTTACAGTGAGAATAGATAAGCGATGAGCGCATTTATTCGTGTTCGCAATTTAAGCCAAAGCTGACAGATGAAAAGTCCTCATCGGGGACTTCGAATCCGATCCAGGAAGTCATACTCACGAAATTGTCCCAATTTTCAAGGCATGTGAGAGCGCCTTCAGACTTTTACCATTCTATGACAACTAACAGCCTTTTAGATCGCAGATCTAGGCGTGGCCAGGCGTCTCGATGAGCTGGAGCGAGATAGGAATGACCTGCAGGTTTCTCGGTTTACGAAATCTCAGAGGTTCCCTAAGCGCTGACAATATGTGCGACAGAATCGAGATGCTATTTACAAGAAGGCTGGGGAAAGTGGAAAACCACACACCAGTAAGCAACGGCTACGCAATGCTGACTCAAAGCCGAAGCTGATACTCGTCTTGAACAGGAACAATTCACAAAGGAGTGGGATTATCTGGCCGGACCACCCAGTCGAACAAATGAGCCAGTTGCAGGGAACTACAGCTGGAAAACGAATCTTTACGCAGTCGGAAACGTAAGTCCTCCTATTTCCCCGAGGAGATTTCCCAGGACGTCTTGGAGGGAAAGAAGTAACGCGCTTCATAGGTCATGTGGCAGCTCCTAACACGATGCTGTACCCTCCTGCCACCGAACCACGGGGACATAGAATTTTTCCCAGACGGAGTAAATCCAGTCAGAGGCTTGACATATGGTGCCGATCTCATATTTAGCCAAATTGCGGATGAATATGACGAGACTTTGAGGACCACAATAATGTGGTGCATGAGTAAGTGCCTGCCCCCTTCAACGCTCGCTGTCTCACTTAATGTGACAAATTCGGTGCCTGTTTTATTTGATTCCTTTCATGTCACAAAGACTCATTGTGCTTCAAAGCATACAATGGATAGGCCTCCGAAGACACATGAAGTCAGAGGTCTGACATTACCGTGATGCTAATTTACCTCGCATGATCCAGTGCACGACCCAGCGGAAAGACCTACTCTAAGACAGCTGGAGCATTTGATTGTGGGAAACCTCGGGATCTATCAAAACGACGGGGACCAAAACACACAAGGCAGGACCTCGATCAGCGACATCCTCGCCATGCCCCCACCGCCTTCCACGCCATCCGCGGTAACCACATCATCTACGCTGGCAGGACTGGCAAGAGGCGCCGGTGACGTCCGCCGGCTAGTGCGATATACATCTCCAGGCTTGGATATCCCGGGAGAGCTCAGGCGGAGGACCGCGAGGGTTCGGAATCGCGTGCGGGCGACTAGGGACGCGTTCAGGGCTGGTCCCGGAGTGCGAGGTATGGCACGGAGGGCGGGGAGGTCCATCAGGCGCGTCTTCCGTGGGGCCGTGGGGCGGGTCACGGGAGGCAACAGGCAGACCCGGCTGGGGAGTGCTACTCTTCAGCGTCCGGTGGAGCAGCAGGACGGGCGGGGGCAGGCTTCCGTGGAGGAGCTCCAGAGGGCTATGGCTTCCATGGGATTCTATGGTGCTCCCTGAGGGCATGCTTCTTGATTGAAATTACCACATCTGATGCACGGGCGAGGACGGATTAGTCATGCGAGACCGGGAGGGCGCATGTAATTAGTGTAGACCAAACTCAAAGCATCCATTTGTGACGAGTTCAGCAGGGAGTACGACAGTGTATAGTTGATATTAGTGTTATTTGGATTCGGAGTTCATTTCTTGCCCTGTTCCAGAACTACCTCTTGCCTTGGCGGCCATAGCTTTCTCATGTCGTTTGCCTCTCTGATGTGTTGAAATGTCTTTAAGGTTATCTGTCCAGTAACAACCACAAACACACCGGAATCTCGGCAGTTTCTGCTCATTGAACTGCCTGGCTTGATATCTTGGTGTGCACAACCGTCTTTCTTGCAGACAAGATGATTGTCGAAAAAGCATTCGGCGTCGTCCACAGTATCATCCCGCTGTAGGGGAGTTGATAGGCTCATGGGCTTTCATGGCGCTGATTCCAGCTCAGCCTTGGGAGGAAATCTTTTCCCATTTTCTCATGATTTTCTGCTGTAAATAGAGCATATTTGGCCCCAAAGAGGAAGGATGTTATTATATGCTCATCACTGCGGCATATATTTATCGTCGCCCTCGTCGTGCGAATATCAATGATTTTTCCCTATCGTTAGACACTCGCCGCTTGTTGGACTTCGGATCACTGTCTGTACTGTTCCTCTTGGCCGGAATAGTAGGTTGCAAGAACTGCGTGATGCTCCGCTGTCCCGGCAGCTGCTTCCCGGTGGGCTTTCGCCTGTTTCCAGGCTTGCTACCCTGGGTGATGCTACGCGGATACCAGTCTCCTGCGCGCCATTCGATATCCAGACTGGAAATGAACCCTTAGGGAGGGGGCGCAGGTGCCATTTCCGAGCCCGCGGTGGCGTGAACCCGACGGCTGGGTCTGGGGTGCCAGGGGCAGGAATGAAGCCCCCGGCCGGACTGACCAAAACTGCCAAGCTGTGACGACCGATTGCCGGCGAGCCCCATGCTCATTCGCGCAATGTCCACACCCAGAGTTGGAAGCAATGCGTGTCAATGGTAGCTTGGTGGAGGTTGAAGTTGGAGGAGGCCCCTTGTTGCCAGAAGAAGAGTAGTTCTTGACGCTGGTCTCGTCCGGGAATGGGCTGTACTGTGCCTGGTATGCAGCAATCGCTTCCTTGTTGTCCTGGTAGTACTGTGCCAGGTATGTAAGAATCGCTTCCTTGTTGTCCTGGTAGTACTGTGCCTTGTGTGCAGCAATAACTTCCTTGCTGTCCTGGCAGAAAAGGAACAACCTCCTCTACCAGAATGTGCTCCATCATGACAGAGTCAAATGACCTTGTGTCGATCTGGAGTACGGTGCCGTCCAGCCATTCGTGCCGTCGATATTCCCCCGTCTCCTTTGTCACATCCTGGTCTTGCTGCTTGAGGAGATGCGTCGTGTCGAGACTGGATTCCACAGATCGACTTGCTATGATGTTGTCCAAACGATTGAGTATGGCTATGTCGGCTGTTTCGGGTGCATGCCCCGAAGAAAAGTATGTTGCGCAGAAAGGCCTGCGTATGATTCCAATAGGTAACTTTATATAGATATTTTGAGATAAGTCGGGAAAATTGTGATTCACTTGAAAGAAAGCCTGAAAGTCAAACATGGTTGCCGTGTTGGCCACGGAGTGGTACTGTGGTATACCATGGGCCGTAGCAGAGGGGAGGACTGCATCCAGTGCCGGGCGCAACGGCGACAGCTGAAAGCGAAGGGGCCATCCTGTCATGCAGTAACGGGCATATTTGTGTTGACCTGGCTGGTCTCTTGACATAGACAGAGAGGAATTGAGTCTGGGGCCCTCCTGAGCAAGGTCTGCTCAAGCTCGAGGGGCGACAGCGTGAGCGAACAGGACGGTCCTTTCGAAACCTTTGCCGTTGGGCCAGTGCCGGTTTCCAGAGAGCATTATCTCGCACGGGTCATGCTTCTTCTCGTGGGTACAGCTCAGGATGCTGTTTCTCCACGGAAGGATCGGCAAGCCCTGGTCATCCGTCAGGAGGTGTGCCACCTCGTCCATGAAGATTGGATTCGAAATCATATCGCGCTCCGCCCCGTTCTGCCCGGTGTTCACGGGCCTGTCCAACTTTGATACAAGTCAGGAAGTTCTCGCGGCGGTCGTCTTAGTTGCGTCTCGTCATGTTCCAAAGACGGACGAAGTAACTACATGGCGGGGCTGTTGGGCCCTCTGTTGCGGCAGGCCTCATTGACGAGGTGTAGCGCCAGATGGCGGGCGTCCTTGATCTCCATGATGTTGGCAGTTGCTAGCGACGGCGCACAGGTACGACGACATGTGCCCGGCGTCCACGATAAGCTGCTGCTGTGGGCGGCCGTTGCACGGGACCTTGATGCAGGTGAGAATGGTTTTCCGGTCGTCGTCCTTGGCGATAGCGCATAGGTAGGCTGACATAGCGCCCAGCGTACTGGCGAAGACGCTCGCCTCGACAGAAAATCCCATGACGTCCGCAGCTGCTACTGCTCCCAGGACCAAGAACCTCCCCCCCCCCCCATCATGGTCGCCTAGCCCGTCTTGCACATGGCTATGATGGGCGTGAGTTTCTTGTTTTCCGCCAAGACCTCTGCAAAGATCTTTTGCAGCCACTTTGCCCACCTATATATGTTTTGCTGTAGCTCGGGGGGGGGGGGGAGCCGTGGTCTTCTCCTAGTGCTAACAAGGTGATAAAGTGGGTGATGATTTCGGCGTATTCGTCATCCTCCGGCTCCTCCGCATCCCGCATGCTTTCTATCTTTGACATCGCAATTCCCAAGGCTCCATCAACCCCGTCGACCCGGTGCTCAGGTTCAGTCCAAGCATTGATCCTGCAGAGATTGGTAAGGATGAGAGTGGGAGTCTTTCCGGTAAGAAGTCCCGGGGTGCAAAGCGCGGTGAAAATTCGCATGTATTCCTGCGAATCAGGGTCCATGGAAGTGACGAAGGGGCCTATGCAGGCTCTCTCCGCGGTGATGATGAGTTCGTCTGTGAGAAGGTGTTGTTCGCGGCTGTAGCAGGCTCGCGGCTGCAGATTATTCAAAGATGCATATATATAGAAGAGTTGGTAGGATGAGAAGACCTGCTCGTATTAGCCGTGCTCACCATAGCACTGTATCGGCTTGGGTTCCTCCTGCTTTCGGCGGAGTAGCAGCGTGGCTGTTGCTTTGGAGGCTGTGTCTCCGTGTCAGATGACTGCACAGGGTGGAACGGTACAGGACGAGTGACCGGAGGTTCAGCTGGCAGGCGACTCCTGTTCTTGCCCTTCTGGTAACCCATGGACATGGACTGGTTTGATCGTGACTTGTGTGGGAGGTCGTACGGCATGAAGCGCTTCTATTCGGATGAGAGCCGTGTTTCTGGTGCGGTGTTGGCGACGTTTTGCAGACAATTCAGCGCAGAGAGCACCTCGTCGTCCTTCGCTATGAAGATGTCAGTTTGCACTTAGAACGTAGAAGCATCATTAACGCCAGCCGGGATCACATGAATCATTAACGCCAGCAGACATTCCACAAGCGTTAATAAAATATGTAATCCTGGCCAACATTGATAATTCATTGATCCCGGCCGGCGTTAATAATGATGTTGAGTTTTGCGTGTAAACTTACATTTTCATCAGAGATATGTTCTTCACCGGAGGATACTCGGTGGCACCAGTCTCCACTTGCTCTTCAATCCTCCTCTTTTGTCCAATTCATTCCTCCAGGGCCTCCCATTAAGGCGTAATAATGGCTACAGGACCTTGGACTTTGAAGATAAGTTAGTATAGCATCGTGACAGACAAGTGTATTGAGAGGATGACTCTCAACAACTAAGAGCTACTTACAAAGGCTACCAGGCTTCATGCACGTGTGACTTGGGATGGAAGCTCTGGCGGATCCGCGGGAGTTGTTGGTCTGTTCTCTGCAAACGATCTCGGGCTCGTGGGGTGTCGATCATAGGGCTGGCCCGGGCGCTCTACTCGGTAGAGCTCTGCCCGGAGGAGCTGCCCTGAGCAGCTGCCGCTTGGTAGAGTTAGTCCCGGTGTCGGATAGCAGGCCAGGGGAAGAACTCACACTTGGGGTCAGCCCGGCCGTCAAAGACCTCGCTGCCCTTGCCGTCGTCCTCAGCTTTGCTGTCCTGGTTGCCCTTCTTGCCCAGCTTACCCGCCTCGTCCGTCTCGTGCCAAACATCACTGCGTCCGCTGGTCCAAGCCTGGAACCGGTTCAGACGAGATGAAAATGCCGCCGGCTTGGTCCCGTTCACCTTGGTGATACGGATCTTGACAACGTACCCGGACTGGAAGAGGTCGGTGACCGTGGCGGCTGAAGGCGCTGTCAGAGACCCGCCGTAGGTCCCTCCATCCATCATGGAACAGACACCTGGTCAGTCTCCAGGCTGGTGGTTTGGGCTGACCTCGAGCATCCGTTGTCGGATTTGTCATGCCCCGGAGGGAAGTCGGCTTGATCGAAGCCGAACCAGATTGGGTTGTTACAAATGAAAACTGCTATCTGAGAGGGCATCCACCTCTCTGTCAGCAGGAATGCGCCATCATCGGCAGGTCACGCCGTTTTGAGGCGAGGACCAAGGTACCCGTCGAAAGTCTGCCGAAAGATACAGCTGTGTAGTCGACGCTCCCAGCAAGGGCGTCGTGCTCTGTGTTCGGAGACATGGTGCCGGTGTTGGTGCTTGCTGGCTGTGTACTCGTCTGAACTCTGTCCTCCAAACTCGTCGTCGGAGTCCGGGATCACTCGGGGTGGTATCCTCGAGGCTGTTGGCACATTGCTTGCTCCCGGGTTACTGTTCACGGGGCTGCTGTGCCCAGGGACCTATCCTCAGAGCAAGGCTTGACGCGTATGTCGAGGTGCTGGATGGCGTCTGCTTTCTTTTTGGTGGCCGCAACGGTGTCCACAATGCCCTATGTCGAGTTTTAGAGGTCGTCTTAGAATGACGACCGATGGTACTGTACGATGTGGTGCAGGTCGGCATTTCTGCCGGTGAGGGCACAGTGACCTTCCTGATATGATTGTGAAGAATTTATATAGAGAGTGAAATCTCAGAAAGAAGATGGAGTAAAAGGAGAACGCGGACGAATAAATCGTTGGAAGATGAGATATGAGCAACTGCGGAAGTCGCATGGTGTCCTGGACATGGTATGCTGTCTAATTCTGGATAGATATGGACGATCTATACTCTTTATATTAGCATGAAGCACTGATAAGCACCCAAGCAGCTCTCTGTCTGCGGTTAGACTTACCAACTCAACTGTCGTCTGCATTGTGTTGTTAAGCCCGAGAATACTCTAGGGGGTTCGAACGTCTTCCCCCAAATCTCGGCGCATATGTCCTCGGGGTACATGGGCAATGAATCCACCGCGGGCAGAGACGACCGATGGCCGAGAAGATTATTAATGAAAAGTGGAAAGAAGAACAGGTAGAGTAAAATAAAGTGGATGAAGTAACCGAAACGCTGAGCTCAGTTCAAAACCTGAAGGCTAGCAACCAGTCCTTCGCCGAAAGAGGGAAGTATCAACGCTGTCGTCACGCACACTGATGAGGTCCAGGATAGGAGGGAGCTCAGCGCCGTCGAGAAGGACCTCCAGGATCTTCTCACAGATCTCGCCCTTCTTGCGAGAACGGATCTCGACCTTGAAGTTCTCCCTGGTGACGGCAACCATCTCATGCAACGGCTCTGTTAAAGATTGGAGAAAGATTTTGGACATTTTGAATCTTACTTACGAAGGCCCCTCTGGCTGGGGAATCTCGGGACAAGAGGAAAGCAGCTTCCTTGAGGCGTCCCTTGGCCCTGAGGTAGAATTCATGGCGGACTGGGAGTAGCTTGCATGTCTGAGGGCATCCATCAACGTGATGGCCAAGATCTCTGTCGTCCTCGAGTGCCCGCTCCAGGTATCCCTCAGACATGAGACGATAGTGATGGTGGACTGGGTACTCCTCGTCCGAGTGGAACGTCATCCCATAGTTCGCAAACACGTCCGTGACCTCGCTGTGCTCAGTCAGGTAGTGGTGGAGCAGCGTCCCCGACGCCACGTCCTGGTCCCTGCCGGAGCTCTGACAGGTTCCCGCCATGCAGCTCTGCAGGATGCGGCGTGGCCTGCCCTAGTCGTCGAATGCTCACAGAAAGGAAATCCAGGTCGATTGTCGGGAAGTCATCCAGATGCCCCATGTTGCTTGTTGCATGGGGGTGTGGGAGGTATGCGGAATGGGGAGACACGAGGTTTGAGCTGACCATTTTCGTCCTTGTGTCCACATTGAGACGGAAGTGGGTGGCAACCATAGCGAAGGCAGCTACACGTGTCAGGACAATCGGGTCCACACGTGCATTCTTTTACCGTCCTGCTAGGAGTCACCTCGTCCGGCCTTGGACAAGGCCTGGGCAGGCTCGAGCGCGGGCGGTTGATCGAGCCGGGGGTGCAGAAGTCCAGTCTCCGCCGCGTACATGTTTGAATGGCTGATCGCAGAAGCCTGAACTGTGACGACGACGGACTCGTCAGGCCTGATCCACCGGTCGGGCCGCTCATACCCAGCGCTCCCGAGCTGGATGAACTCGGAAGCGGCCACGCCGTCGCCCCAGCTGGGCCCTCTCGAAAAGACCGTGCTTCCTGGCGGCAAACTGCTCGCCGTCTACGGTATTGACCGCGACGGAGGGCGTGCTAGTAGCGGTGGTCGGTCCAGCTTGGAATACATGTGGATGAAGAATGGTTTTGTTCGGCTGTGCCCCAGCCGAATGAGGGCCAGTTGGACCTGGTGGTAGACTCAACGAGTTCGAACCGATCCTTTGTTGCTTTGACGAACTTTTTGGTACCCAAATTGACGAGACCGTGGCTGTCGTCCTTTGGGTCATCAGGATTATGCCTGAAGTCCATCTGCTGCTTGTAGTCATCGCTTTGCTGGTGGGAGCGAATATTCCACAAGTCATCAGACCACGTTCAAAAGGCATCCAAACCCATACCGACACTGACAGTCAGCGGGTGGTATGCTGCAAGAACGGGGCTGAAGTCCCGGCCATGGGTCAGAGGGCGCGTGGCGCTGAGCCGCTGCCCGTCAGAGTGTCATGGCGTAACGCGGGTTTCCGCGGCTATCGTGGACATGCCGGTGAGTATGGTGCACAAACACCGTTCTATAATTGCCGCGCTTGTCCGTCAGCATGTGTGCCATCTGGTCTCGGAGGTGTCGTCGGTGGTTAGCACGACGGCGGTGAGCTTTATGCCGGTCTCGGGGTACCACCCCGCCACAAGAGAAGCTCATCCCGCAGTCTGTGATTGATGTCAGCAAGCAGTCGATTGCTGGCAACAAGGAGGACATCGAACTCGAACATCGGGAGGTCATCCAAGCGCCCCATGTTGCTTGTTGCATGAGGGCAGAGGTTTGTGGAAGGTGTGCTCTGAGAGTGAACTGTCGTGATGGTACGGTCTGCTTGGCAGCACGCCGCGAGGTTGTGAGGGGCGTTTTCGAGCCACCTTTCCCGGTTGGCTCTCATCTCCCTGTCTTGTGTCGGCTCTTGGAACTTGGTGGAATCTCTTCTTCTGCAATGTCTCTTTTGTTAGCACTCCATCAAGATGACCTGCGGGGCAGAATTTCGACTTTACCCAGCTCCTTTCCAGAGGTCCACGATTTGGTGGCAGTCGAGAGCCAAATGGCCATCTCGTTTCCACAAGTGAAGAGTCACAGGTTCGTAAAGGGGTCGAAGGAGGACATCGGCCAATGGCAGATACCGGAGAGGGTCGACGGACGTCATGATTGGGTTTGGCATGTTGATGTCCCAAGACGTACTCTTGGCATTCGTATCGAATTAGGCCGTAGGTTCAAATGGCTCAGAATGAAGAACTGGCCATTGGTGGTGACGTGGGATGGACTTTGTGAATAGTATGATATCTGGGAGTGTGTTTTATATAGAGGAATGGAGATGGATACGCGTGAACGAAGAGAGAGCCAGATGATGAGAAATGCAGACAAATGGAGAACGATGCAGATGGAAAATAATACAGACGAACAAAGGAAGACGTAGAGGAATGGTGAAAGAAGAAGACGGATGAAGAGAGATGCAGAGAAAGAATGATGGCAGTTTCATTCCACAGAGGGATCTTCTACATATATCTGACCGTTGCGAGTGGGGTGTACGCAGGCATTTCCAACCACCATGATCAGGAACGTACGTCACATGCAAGCTCTTGATGAAGGCAACTCAGAGAAGGTCTCACTAAATCATGCAGTCTGTGAAACAATTTGCGTGTGCTCAACAACCCGAATGCTATGAGGCAAGCAGAAGCAAACCAGTAGACCTCGCCACAAACGAAATGAAATGACAGCATACTTGTCAAGCTTGGCCAGGCCGGAAATGTGTGATCCCGTGCTGATTGTAAGTTGGGCCTCACCGCACCCACTGGAATGAATGAAATTTGAAATCTTGATAGAACGAAAATGAGATCATTTGCTCAGACCTTTCCAGCGCGTGCACACGTGCCAGTGTCCTGCAGCTTTTCGTCTCAAAGAGACGCACGCACGCGTGTGTGCAGACAGACCAATGCAGCCTGCCATTGCCGATATGAACAACACATTGATATATGCTGGTATACGGCGGTGGACCATCGTAGATTCACGTGTCAAAGAAAACTCTGAAAATTGTGACGTCGTTGAAATTGTTTCCAGTGTGTTTGTGGAGGCGAATTGCAGCACTCCGACAGCCTTGTCTCGGCCGCAAGCGACGAGATTTGCCTGCGATAGTCAAACAACGCAAGGTTTGCAACGGATGTTGGGTGGATATTCTGGAGCAACGGTTTCTTGCTTTTCTGGCGGTGAGAGATGCATATGCCACTGAAGTGCATAGTTTTGTGCTGGCGGGTGTGCATCTAGATAGATGGCTTGCTGTGCAACGTAATGCCCTTTGCACTCATTTCGAATCTCACTCTGATGTGCTGGCCAAGCTGTGGCGACGAGAGTGCTTGCGCAATCGCCATGGCCGTGGCAGGATCTCTCGAACTAGCGGCTGGAGGTCGAGGACATGTATGTCTGCAGCTCCCAGGACACATGCGTAACGCGACCGTTCTTGCTTGCTTACTCGGCTACGTATCCCGAGAGTTATCTGCCGAGGTCCATTCTCATGTGTAACCACGAGGCATGTGTGACTTGGTAGGGCGTGTGTGTGGTCGCAAATGAGCTTCGTCGAGCAGATTATTGCGTGGTCCCTGGACAGCAACTGGCATACCTGATTATGTACTCACTCGCGACTTCGGCAAGCACTCCTTACACACCGTAGCACGCCTGACCATGATATTTACGAGTCTCCGGACTCAACTGTAGCTGTTGCTGAACTTGCTTGACACTACAGACCTTCTCGAGGCGTGCACGTTCGTGCTCTGTCATCCTGTCTCAACCACGCACAGACCAAAGCATCAACCAAAACATATTGGCGTTACCGTGACAAGCGTTGGGGGATGCATCACAAGAAGGATACAAGGACCGTCAAATGCAGATTGAAAGAGGTCAGATTTCCTGGCCGTAGATTGTGATTTGCCTGCCCTTCTATCAGTATTTCTCACGTTGAGCTATGCTAGAAGCCCTCTGGAGCTCGGGATAAAGCCCAACTCTTTCAGCTTCACTAGCAGTGACCATAGAATCTCACTTCTACTCCTCGTCGAGGATTTTAGAAGTTTCCATATTCAGCATTAAGATCTCCGTCAAACTCCTTTTTCTCTCTCCGATTTTATCGGTCTGTCTCGTGTGACGTGACTCTAGCCAGATTTGGGGAGTCGTCTTCACCAGAACCATCACCGTCCTCGTTCTCGTTATCCTCCAAGATGGTCGCGCTCGATGGGGGGAAATGCGACAAATAAAGCACTGCCATGCCCACAATCGCAAGAGCAGCATTGACATGAAACGTCATGTGCGCTTTTCCGGCCTCGGCAAGGGCGGAGAAGATGAAGCCGAACAGGCCCTGCGTCGCCAGCCTTGCGATGTTCTCGACGAGCGTGACTGCGTTCAGGGCATCGGTGCGGTCGCCGTGAGAGCACATTTCTGTGATGACGCCTTTGGCGGCTGGGGCAGAGCCGGATCCCAATGGGAGCAGGAATGATGCTAGTAGAGACCAGTCAGCGACGAGAGGGTTTCTTTCTGCCACCCGATCAGGTGGACGTTTACATGGAACAACTTACCGAGAAAAATGTGCCATCTTTTTGTGCATAGAGCAGCTGCACCAGTCATGATTCCGTCAAGCAACAGGCTCCATCGGAGGAAGAAAAGATCAAAATGGCTTGCGGTCCGATCGTCCTCCGGCCGCGACTCGGGCTGAGGCATGGAATCTTCCTGTGACATCTGATTTCCGGACCACATCGGTGCCTCAAGCTGCTCAGGCCGCGATGGTATCCGAGACAACGCGTTCGGGTCTTGTTTCGTCTGGGCCGGGTCAGGTCTGGGGCCCGCGACCTTCCTGACCCACCAGTTCCTTCCCGCTTCGATGATCCGTGGGAAGGCAAAGAAGAGGAAAATGCTCCGGCACAGCGCGTTGCCACTCATCAGCCAGCCGTTGTCGGCCTGCGTGAAGTCGAAGTATGCCGTCGCGTACATCTGGATCAGCAAGGGGCCGTAGCTAGTTGCCAACACCGCCAGGAAGATACCACAGCAAAGGAAGAAGACCCCGAAGTGATTCGCAACATGTCCGTCCATAAATCGTATGCGCTGTGGGGCCAAAATCTTGAGTGGAGCCAGGAAGCCCTTGATCCCCTTCGCCTTTGACTTCTTGCCGTCCGACAGAGACTCCGGAGAGATGTAGGGTATCACCGTCCGGGAGTAAAGGGTCGCGAAAAGGAACAGGACGCACGCCACCTGGAACGGCATCCTGATCCCGAATGCGTCACCCACCATCCCGCCGAGGAGGTAGCTGATCGCCTGGCCCAGCATGATGCACGCCTGCAGCTGGCCAAACACGGCTGTGCGCTGCATCGGCTCCACCAGCTCCCCGGCGATGGTGTTCACCACGAGGATATACCCAGCGGGGCCCCCGAATATCGTGATGAGCTGCGTAGTCTGGATGATGGTGATCCCAGCATTTCCCCCAGCGAGCACACCAATAACCTGTGTGGCGACCCTAATAGCCGGGATGAAGGTCTGCAGGATGAGAGCGAAGCGCGGGCCCCATTTCTTGATCGACCAGCCCGTGACGAAGAGGTTCACCGTGCCGCAGAAGGTGGTGCTCATGCCGAGGATGGAGAACTGGGTTGCCGTCCCGGCTGCGATCTCATTGATGGAACATCGATCTCCTGGTCCGGTGTGTGGTGGGTGTGTCTCATAGTAGACGTCGCATTCCATGAGATGGAAAACGTAAAAGATGGGGACCTGGGTGAAGCTGAATGCGAATGTTATGATGAAGCCGGCGAGGAGGACTTTAATTGTGTTAGGGGGGCCAAAGACGCGGGTGGTCCATGATGCCGTCTTCTTCTTGGCATCGGCGGCATCATGGTCCCCCACTATCCCGTTGCCGTTGGTGTTGCCGTTGGAGTCGCTGATGGTTCCATTCTGGTGGCCGTTTGTCGAGCCGTTCAGGAGTGGCGTTCTCTCGTCAGTCGCATCTGCTGCCATAATGATCCCCAGTGCTGCATGGCAGATACGGCGTAGAATGGTGAAAGTCCAGGAAAGGAGCAACACAAAATCTGCGGTGAAAAACCGACGAATAAAGCCGGAGGATGTTGCAATCGACGAGTGGATCCCCGCGTTGCATTTGCTGCCGGATCCGATACTGGAGCTGCCGGTCACCGGAAGCTGAGTAATGATATCGGCGCCGGCTCGGCCAAATTTAACCTTCACATGTCGGCATACCGAATTGAATCGCGCCCCTCGCTGTCTTTTCCTTTGAGCTCAATTTTCATTGACACATATCAATGCTGAATCCGCTGAAAGTTAGGAATCACTTACATGTTGTGGACTTGAACGGCCCATTGGGGTCGATCAGGGCAGGTAGAGGTCGATCCGGGTCCATATTTAGCCAAGTAATTCCAAAAATAATCAACCTGTCGACCACTACTTACTCATTCGCTTCAGCGCTCACTTGGAGTCAAATTCCAACTCTCCTATGGATGTGACTCTTGCGGCAAAGATCGTCAACGTACTCCTACGCCAGATCAGTATTGCTCCCAGGAATCGCAGCTTCAGTACATACCGCCACCGGCACATGGGTCCAGCGATAACGTGCCGCTCAAAACAAGGGTGCTGGTACTCTAGAACAAGTTAAGGAAAGACCTTCGCATTCAGATTGTGAGACTCTATGTCGGCTGCGCAAGAAGTCTGACCAGTTGGCCATATTGATCATCAACCCATTAGCTGAGACCTGGCAGCAAGTCTACCATATCTTTATTGAGTATGAAGGTCAATCAAGAACATTAGGGCCAAGTCGCCAAGCCCTGGAAGACTTGGAACGGTGTTGACAAAATAATTAACAAAAGTCGCCATCTCAAGAGCCAAAACCTAGGTACAGTCTATCGTCGCCATTGAGCTTAACTACATTGCACGGATGGGCGTGACGCACCGCAAATAGCAGACATGTGATCCCCAGCTATTTAGTTGCCTGATTCTTCCTGGAATCATCTGACGGGGTGGACCAGTGAGCCCTTTCAGTCAAGTTGCCTATGGGTAGAGCTGTGCCAACTGACAAGGCACTTATGGACTCCGTTCTCACCTGATTCTTTCTCCAACATATCCCTCAAGCTACAACCTAGTATATGTCCAGAGGGGCCTAAGAACAGTGACCAAAGACACTCAGCAGGACATGTATCGGGACGGCATTGTTCCATGTTTGGCAATATCGCAAGCCCTATTTGCCGAAACGCTTGCCCGGATAACAGTACCTGTCGAGGAGGGGATAAAAATGAGCAATAAGCTTGCGGAGCTCTCTATTCAGATTGGTACACAATTCTCATACCAGATTGCTTATATAAGATGCGATTCAATACCTTGATACAGTCCTCCGCCGAATCCGGGAAGCTTCTTGCAATCGCGCAAAGGTTTTCCACGAAATTTCCAAGACGAAATTCGAGTTGTATTGCCTAACACATTCCAAGCAGTCACAACATCTTCCGGCCTTCTCCGGGCGTCAGGCTAAGGAGCTTGCTATAGCGTCCATGCTCCTGAACAGAGGTGGTAATTATTCAAAGGCACTAAGATAGGGCAACGAGGAGTATTCACATCCTTCATGAGGCCTCCCGGACAAAAGCATTTACGCTGAAAGCCGAAATTAGATATGATTCCGAGAGGAAGTAGACAATCATAAAAGATGACACACAATTAAAAATCAGTGGAATCAGGAAACGTAGAAACCTTCGCTACCGCTGCTTAATCATCAACTACTTTCAAATACTCCGACGCCTCCGTCTAGGTCGGCTGCTAAATTCTGACACACGGGTGTGGAGGATGACGCTTCCCCACCTTACACCTTTCCTTATGCCATGAACTTGAATCAAGGCCGAGGTCACGGTATAGAATGAAGGCCTATTACCGACAGCAGCATCGCATTCAGATAAACTTTCGCAAGAGGGACGGATTTACGGGATTCTAGGCTCATACAAGTAAGTCATCTTTGCTCCAGCTCATTCATCGTTTTCCGCGTCCCAGCACCTGAGCCTTCAGAACCCACAACCACCAGGACAGTAGTCGAATCAGCTTTGGGCAAGATGGCACTCCTGCTATCGGTGCTCCCCATAGCGGGCCTTCTAATTCTTATCACGGCGTTTGTTCGGCGTCAAGTGGAAGAGAATCGTCGTCGCCCACCCGGTACCAAAATGCCCCCAGGGCCAGATGGCGTCCCTATTCTAGGGAACATGCTCCAAATCCCGCCTCACCATTCCTGGTTGAAATTCAAGGAATGGGCGGACCAGTATGGCCACATCATACGCTTCACCGTCCTGGGCAGGGAAAACGTTGTTCTCTCAACCGAGCGAGCGGCCAACGACCTGCTGCGCGAAAGGGGAACAACGTACTCGTCCCGTGAACACCTCGTCATGGCGAGCGGCATCCTCTCGGATAACCTTCGGCCCTTACTGCTAGGCTACGACGGTAAGGCGTTTCTTACTCCGTGGCTGTTGGACGTCGCAGCTCTCGTGGGGCGCACGAGTCTCGGGGAACAAGCTGGCTGACACGGACGTTGTGCGCAGAACGCTGGCGGCGCGGCCGAAAGCTTATGCATCAGTTGACCATGGAAAAAATGGCGAAATCGTACCAGCCTTCTCAGAGCATCGAGTCAAAGCGGATGCTCTACGACCTCATCCGGGACCCATCCAGATATGAGCTGTGGTTCGAGCGGTACGCCGGCGGATTGATCTTTCGGATAGGATATGGCAAGACCATCGTGACCGGCGAGGAAGCTCACGTCAGAAAGGCTCTCCACGTTGTCCATAGTGTGGAACGGATCGCGTCTCCTGGGTCCTATCTTGTCGATACCATACCCATTCTGCAATATCTCCCGGAATGGATGGCACCGTTCAAGAAGGAGGGCCGCCAGCTTCACGAGGCTGAGCTCAAATTCTTTCGGACGCTGATCAATGATGTCCGGGCTGAGAGAGAAGCTAAAGTGACCGCACCGTCCTTCACCAATACCTGGCTCGAAGAACAGGACGCCTATGGACTGACAGAGGACGAGGCCGCATACGTGATCGGAACGCTGTTCGAAGCGGGAAGCGGCACAACAGCCTCAGCCATGATGTCCTTTATGTTAGCCATAACTCTCTATCCAAAATGGCAAGAGGTGATTACAGCCTCCCATACAACTTTCCCTTCTCGGGCTTGCAGGAAGCTAACTATTCTCAGCCCATGTGGGAGGAGATTGACCGCGTGTGTGGGGATAGAATGCCCGAGTTTGACGACGTGCCCGATCTACCGGTATGCCGTGCTGTCATCAAAGAGGTTCTCCGTTGGAGACCAGTTACAGCCGGAGGTGAGCGCCTTACACAGGTCCCTTGACCATCCTGCGGCAAGTGTAGAGAGGGAGCTGACGGATGGGGGATAAAGGCGTGCCTCACCAGTTAATAAAGGACGACGTTTACAACGGATTTTTCTTCAAGAAGGGAACCAACTTTCACGCCAATCAATGGTAAGTAAGGTACCCGGGATGAGATCCTACCCATGCCTTGCTCTCTGTTGTTGGGATTTTCTGACCTGACTTCTCGGCAGGGGAATCCACCGCGATCCGGAGCTATACCCTGACCCGGAAGCTTTCAATCCGGACCGCTGGCTGATGCCTGAATATCCCACCTACAGAGAGCCGCTGACCAAGTTCCCAAGCCTGCAGAACTACTCGGCGTTTGGGTTTGGCCGTAGGATATGCCCAGGAATGAATATTGCTGAGCGCTCTCTTTACATCTTCACCGCACGTGTCGCCTGGGCTTGTCGGATTAGCCGGAAGAAGGATTCTCAAGGTAACGAAATCATCCCCCCAGAGTATAACTACACCACGGGTTTCAATACGCAACCAAAGCCGTTTCTCTTTGACCTCCAGGCGAGGTCTCGGGAAAAGGCCGAGTATGTGGCCCAGGCATGGGAGGAGGCAAAGGGGACTGATCCGCTGAAACATACGGCTAACTATGAACTGGGTCAAGCTTCTGGGAAGCAAGTCTTAGGCCAGTGAGGTGGGCTAGTGCAACCCAGGCAGTAAGGATTTCGCCATTCGACCCCCAGCTACTCAACCTACTTTATGAGAGCACCCTCAGTCTTCAATGCAATCTAAGTCCCGACCTCCGCGCATGCCGATCTGCGTCGTGGCATCCTGTTCGGGTGGCCGGGGTCACTCAAACGGGTCCCCTGGGTCCCATGCGCGCTGTTTCATAACACTGTCCAGCAACCACAGCCTACTGTACACACCCTCTCAATCCTAGTGGACCTTGTTTCCTCCTCGATTGCACTACCCGAGTCGCAATGTTCCATCATCGGTCGCAGAGCCCTGCATCGAGATATAATTCTTCTATGACAAAGAGACAATCGGCGTGGCCTAGATAATCAAACAGCAGAAGTGGGGAACCCCGAAACCGCCTCGGTGTGTCTTTGGAGACCGAGTCTCTCCGGCCCAACCAGTCTTCGGAATATATCAAGCTTGAATCTTGCACTTGAGCCAGTAGACGCCGCATTTGCAATAATGTGACAAAAAGTAATTGTAATAATAATTTCAAAAATAAGGAGGCGCAAGCGATTGCCTAGTTCTTGAGCGCAATAAAGTATGCTTCCAACAATGCCCACCGTCTTTATCACCGGCGCCACCGGCGAGATTGGCTCCAAACTTCTCTCACTTCTACAGTCTAGCAATACGCCAACTCGTGTTCTATGCCGCCGGCAGGATCAAGCAGATAAATTTAATCAACAACCTCTCGTGGAAGCCGCCCTTGGGAACCTCAACCAGTCCGTCGGGGCGCTGGCATCCCACATGTCCGGCTGCAAGACCTTCTTCCTGCTGACGCCCCCGGCACCCAACCAGCTGGATATGGAAACCAACTGTGTCAACGCTGCCATCTCTAGTGGCACGGTTGAATTCATCGTCAAGATCGCGGCCTCAGACCAGCGGGCCGAGACGGACGTGCCGTGGGCGAAGGCGCATTCTTTCGCCGAGAAGCACATGCGGGAGGCTTGTGACGAGGCGGGCATCAAGTGGACGTCGTTAAGGCCCAGCGGTTTCATGTCCAATCTCTTAACCACGGCTCCGGCGGTACAAAAGGGCTTCTTGCCACAGACGAGCGGAGACGGTCGCGACCCCTGGGTGTGAGTGCCCACCTGCGTTACCTGAAAGGGCATGTGTCCCCATACCAAGGGACCGTGATATTGACATTGGGGGGGAATGGAACACAGAGACACTGCAGATGTGGCTGCCGCCGCCCACCGCGTCATCCTCGACGGCCCAGCCAAGCACGCCAGTAAGGTATACAACCTGACTGGCCCGCAGCGCCTCAACATGTCGGAACTCGCGGCCATTTTCTCGCGGACCATCGGCCACCGCGTGCGCTACCTGCACCTTCCGGCCCCCGTCTTTAAACGGATGGTGAAGCTAGGGGGTGCGGATGACTTTATGGCGGACGGGCTTGTGGCCCAGTTTGTGGAAATTGTGCGCGAGAATGACGACGTGGATGTGAGCTATGATATTCAGGAGATCCTCGGTAGGCCGGCTACGAGTGTGGAGCAGTGGAGTGCGAGGAACAGGGACAAGTTTGAGGGCTTTGATGTTGTGCCATATATAGCTTCCGGCCTTATGGTGGGCGTGGCTGTTTTGGGCTATCTGGCACAGCGACGAGAATTATTACGATGGCTTTAATATGTTCTAGCTGGTTAGACTTAGAATAGATGCATGTCATCATGAGGGTTGACATATCCACAACTATATTTCTTTTCGTAAAAACAGTTGCAAGTTGCTGCAGAAATGCCTGTCAACTCAAATAAAGGTAAAAAATCATGATGGCAGTTCTTCTTGGAAGCGAGGTCCCGGACACGCAGCTTTGGCTTGCCTTCATGCTGGCCCCGGTCTCGGGAGTTGTTACCAGGGAGGACAAGGGAAAGCTGGTCGCGCAGGAGGCCAGCTACGACCTGCAGCGAAATGCACTTCGTCTCCGAATCTAGACCGCCGAACAGCTGGTTGTACAACCCTGGAATACTGAAGGCCTGGGCGTAGTCGTGGAAGCGGATACGGGTGACGTGCTCGCCCTGGGCGAGCTCGCCCCATTCGTCGTCTTGGGGGACGTCTTTCGTTCCTCGCTGCGGGAAACGGATGTTGAGCCGTTCTCGTGCGGGCGCCGCCGAAGCTCTGGTAGTGCTTTTTGCGATGATGGACATTCTTTTGGGTCAACGGCAGTCCTCCAGGACGACATGTGCTCAGAGTGGGCGATGCCTTCTATTACCCAGCAATGGACCTGAGAAGCTAGGAAGAAAAAGATCTTTTTCTGGGAAAGGCCACTATAAATATGTACTCGCGGCTTTTTGAATGAGCAGAATACAAATTTCAGGTCACCTGCGTCCTTGGTGCTGTCTGTATCGCCGAAGACGCGCCATAAAGGCGAGGTTGAGTAACCACACCAAGGCGCCGATGAGGGCATCCGTCGACCAGGCGCCGCGACTAGGCTCATACAGAGTAGGGCGTGCGTTGCCAACAGGTAGCTGAGGCCCAAACCTCACGGCAGGCCAAGAGTGTCCCCTCCCCCGGCCCGCCGTGGAATGGCTCTACCCTACGAGTGGACGTCTGGCAGTACACGAATAGCTAGGCACATTGCTAGGGGTGGACAGTGTCTCAGGTGTGTGGTATAGACAATCTATTGGTTTGATATAAGTATGGACATCGAAATAAATATCTGCAAGGTCATTGAGAAGCCTTCTCGTAAAGCATGCATAGGGCGTTCCGCCGAGGTAACACGTCCCCGCGCGACGTCTCAGTGTCGCCCTGTCCAACTAACAAAACTAGTCCCATTCCAAGACGCCACATTTAACAGGTAATCTGTCGTCTACGTCAGCATGGCATTCTTACGGGAGTGGAGACACGTGGAGATTGTATAACTCACCTTCTTGGGGCCAGGGATGGTGTAGTTGTTGAAGTTGTTGTAGATCTAAGAAAACCTTAGCATGAAGTCATCAGTCAACACGCCAGGATCGGCTCACGTTGGCAGTGTAGCCCGGGTCGGTAGCCTTGACGTGGCCGGGGATCTTGGTCGTCGGCGAGGGAGAGCCGCCGCTGCCGCCCGAGACGGTGACCTGAGCACAGCTCAGGTAGAACTGGGGAGGAGAGCCCGGGTTGTGGATGCCGAGCTGCTCGATGCGGAGCAGGTAGTCGCCGTTGGCGATGCAGGTCGGGATGCTATACGTGTAGCTCGCCCTCATGGGCCACGTCGAGGAGCCGCCGCTGAAGGTCGGGCCCTCCTCCGCGATCTTGAACCAGTCGCCATCGCCGACGTATGCTGAGGCGGCGGCTGGGGCCTTTGACATGTAGACGGCGACGGGACCTTGGTGGTATACGGCTTGGTCGAGGGAGAAGGTGAATGCTTTCGCACGTTAGTTATTTTGCCTTTGTCTAGGCTTGAACTCGTGCTCTTAAGAGAGCTTCACAAGACAGAAACGATGCCATCGTAATTAAAACAAGTCCTCTTTGTACTTACAACTTCCTGCCTTGACCGCGGTCGTCTCAGTTCCATCGCCTTTCGCGCCGGTGTTGCATCGCAGGTCGTTCGAAGCGAGATCAGTTACAGGCGAGTTGTTGCTGGTGTTCTCCCGGATGTATTTGAATATGCCACTGCTGTTGATCTGGTTGAACCTGTAGTGTGCGGCTACCGGCGAGACGGCGAGCAGTGCTGCTGTGAGGATGGCTGAGGTCTTCATGGTGAACTGGCTGGCTGAATTTCTTCCGGCTTTGCACAATGGAATTGTCGTTTGGCTGGAGTTCACGGTAACACGGGCGGATGGTCGTGGGAAGGCTAGTGTGCCCGTTGACTGCAGATGCTCCCGAGGTGGACTGGGCTCTTATACCACCAAGAGGTCTCATGTGGCGGCGGGTCATCTTCCATCTGGTATGAATTCCCTTTCCGGACATATGGACATGCTCTGGAGAGTATCCCATGTGCCCACCAATCCCGTCCAGCCGCCTGAGACCGTTGGTATCCCTGACCCATACCCACAGTAAATTATTACAGCACCACCAAGTTGAAACGGCCCGCCAGTCCTAGACCAAGCGATAAACAATCAGGCAACCCTTGGCAGATCGCCGTTATACCTGGCAATCAGGTGTGTTCGGCAGTGTGCCGACTGACGTCTGCAGGGGTGGGCCTCCACTTGATGGCATATGGTCAGGCGGCTCAAATATGCTTCTCCTGGTCGAGCTGCCTTGAAATGGCAGAGGGGCTCCCTTGCCGGCTCGCCTTCTTTAGGTACAAAGATCCCAGCCGCGCATCAATGCTTGTATGATTGGTCACGAGCATACTTCGCCTGACACTCCCGGGCGCGAGCCGGGGTTCGCTTATTGATGGAGAAGGTCTTGGCTCCCGGAGCGCTACGGTCCGCAAGTGGGAACGTGCCGGGACACTAAATTTATTCGCAACACCAGTACCTTCTTGTGGACCGGTAATTTAGCCGGAGCGGTATTCCAATCACAGTTTGCCAACGCCCATTTCAGATGGCGGCACAGCGCATGGCAATGCCGAAGAATGTTTCCTCAGATATTGGGCAATATAGAATCAAGGTGGAATGACGCCTCCATTTTCCTCGGTGTTCCTCAAATCGTGGCTCACTTGATATTATCTGACAAATGCAAGGTCGCATTCATCTCAATATTGATGTCTAGGTAGCTTGGGATTGGCGAGTTGTGACAGCTCAGAATACTCGAAAGTTTGCTCAAGAAAGGCAATGGTATGCCTTCTCACGAACCATGGCTACTCTCGAATTATCTACTCGGGTCTGTGCTTCCAAGGACGAGAAACATTACAATGGAGAGAAGCAACCTCAGACCACATCAATTTGCACGCACGCACCCGTTGCTTATCTAGCCGTAAATCGGCCAGCGTGCTTCGACATACTGTCAACGAAGATATTGGTACACAAAGGAATGTGTCAATCCAGAGACATAGCTTCATAGCAATCAGGGTCTTAGGTTGGAGAGACGTAATATGAGACTGTCTTTGGTCGAGAATATTCACTCTGTCGAGTGAGAAGTGCCTGGGCTTTTCTTAGTAGCACCCGCCTTCACGATCTCGAACATCTCCTTCAAATTCGAAGGGAGGTCCTTCGGACCAAGCATCATATCGACACACTGGAGCCACTTTGTCAGTCGATTCGAGTCCCATGGGGATATCAGAAATATGGGTTCCGCTTACCTGGGGATATGTAGCAGTCTGAAATTCCTCATCGGACAATAGCGCATCCAAGTCGACCGCCTTGTCGACCTTGAACGATTTGATCTTCGTTTCCGGAGACATAGCCTGGAAAATTGCGCCATAATCCCACATCGGCACATCATTGTACGCGGCCTCCATGCCGTTGAAGTATCTCTCAACGGTATAACCGAGATTGTTGATGATGAAGCTTAGACTAGACGTCAATATTTACCCTGAAATTTGCACAGAAGAGGGAGGCCTCAAACTTACACCACGGGCTTGATTCCATGTCTGTTCAGGATCGAAAACGCCTGTACGGTCAGCTGCAGGCTTCCCTCGCCCGTAATCAGGATGACGCGCTTGTATCTGCCCGTCTCCTTTGCCGCGATCGACGCTCCGGCCGCCGCACCAGCCGCATATCCGATACTGCCATATACGGCCTGCGTCCAGACCTTCGCACCATGCGGGAGGGTGGTCATGTTGAAACCGAATTGGGAGGTACCAGTTTCTGTTACAACAAGGTCGCCGGGCTTGATATAAGCCGAGAGGCGCTGCGTGCCGATTTATTAGTCGTTCTGGGGATAATGCGGTAACAAGAGGTACTCACCGGCCACAACCAGTCTTGTTCTATGGCTTTGGGCACCGGAACAGCGGGGCGCTCTGGCCGCTTGACATGTGACATCTTGCCGGATAGAGGCTTCTCTGTGCCAATTGCCTTGGTAAGCCTGGGAAGAATCTGTGAGATGTTGGCTTCAAACTTCGTGTCACGTATCTGCCTCGTTGTTAGTTACAAACTTCTCTCCTCGGACCTTGCTGCAGCCCACCTTGACGAAGAGTCTCTGGAAGTCGATCACAGTTGCCGATGAGCTGATGTGGAAAGTGAACCCAAGACTTGGCGTCACGATTGAGTTAGCTGTGTTTCTGAAGGTGGGGATCGTTGTGGTACTGACGTATTGAAGTCAGAAGGAAGGCTGCCTAGCCACAGCACACAATCCGCGCCTTCCACGATTTCCTTTACTTCTGGTAGAGAGACTAGGCCTTCATAACCACCGACATAGTAAGGACCGCTCTCATCGACAATGCCCTTGCCCAATGTCGTCGTGAAGACGGGGATCGCGAGGGTGTCGACGAGCTCAGGGACAAACTTCTCCCAGCTGCCGCGAGAAGCACCGCCATCGACGAGAAGAATAGGTTTCTTGCAGTCAGCGAGAGCCTTAGAAATTGCTGATATGGCCTTCTGTTCAATTTCCATATTTCCCGGGGGAGGACAAGTGACTAGCTTAGTCTCAAGGTAAGATGAGGGTATCTTGGAATAGGCGACGTCCTCCGAAATACCAATACTAAACAGGTCAGCCAGTAAACACAGATAACTCCACTACATTGCTCAAATTTCTACTCACTATCCAGGTTTGGAGTTCAAAAGCATAGCATTGATCACTCGGTCGATTTCGCCTGCGGCGGTGTGCGTGTCCTCGAGAACAGCTGTGGCGCAGCTCAACTCTCCAGACATTTTGACATAGTGACTGTGACCAGTCAACTTCATCTCATCCACTTAGGCCCCTCTGGTACTTACTCATAGCGAAGATCGCCAAGTGTATGATGGATGATCCTGCCGCTCGCCTGAACAGGCCTCGTGGGATAGCCGACAATGTGCAGCACGGGAACATTCTCGCAAAATGCACCACCAATGCCACACAGAGCACTCAGCTCACCAGGGCCGAACGTAGTGACCAGCGCGCCGAACCCTTTCTCGCGTGCATAGCCATCCGCGGCATATGCACCGACAAGTTCGTTTGGTGTCCCGACCCACGAAAGGCCTTGTTCAGGGACGAGGTTAAGAAGGGCGAGCTCAAAGTCTAAGCAACAAGGATAAATCAGAGATTGAAATGGCCCTTGACTTGGTCTGCATACAAGTGGGAGCTCGGGAGACCCCGTGATTGGAATATTGGGAACTCACCACCCGGGACGCCGAAGACAGTCTGAACACCAACCTGCTTGAGCCGGCGGAATAGATACTTCCCTACAAGAATCTCAGACATTTTAATGTGTGTGTCAAATGTGAGCCTGTTGAGGAAGAAAGATTCGAGGTCACGGAGAAGGAGGAGTGCTAACTTGGAAGCGTGCCTAAATATTTATATTCAGTCGGTTGGCAACCCCTTCAGCAGGCTAGATAGATAACTACATCGCGAATGGCAGTGAAGAGAGACCATCCATTTCCCTTGACTTCTAATAGTATGAAGCATGACTTTCGATCTAAACACTGAATAGCGTATCACATGCCTCCGTCCTCAGTTCGCCTAAGTCATTTCCGGGAACGCTGCTGCAGACCAACGAGAATGATCAGTCAGCGGTTTGCATAAGTGTTCGGCACGATGGAGGCATTCCTATGGTTCGGCAGGCATTGACCCAGAGCCGCCCAATCGGTTCTACAATCCTCACATGTCGCGTTATACAAAATGGAACTAAACTGCTGTAGCAGGTTGAAATTGAAGAGTGCGGGGCCTCGGGGCTCTAGTCTCTTATCTCATCGTACACGACAGCAAGACCGGTGAGACGAGCGTCATGTACTTGAAAGACCCGGGAGTATGGCCTTGACGCAAGAAAACATTGTCTAGTTGGCAAACAACATGTGAGCTACTCGTTGCTCACCAGTAGGGCTATTGCAGCAGGCTGAAATTTGAGAGACCAGAAAAACTGATATACGCCTATACGCCCATACGCCCAACGCTCATTCCCGACACATCAGCTTACACCAAGAGTTATCACCACGGTGTCAGCGCCTGCCGACTAGATAACCAAAAATAAATATCAACCAGTCATAGTACTAGAAGCTACAGTATTCTGCCGGCAACTGTGATTGACCATGCGGGGTTCCACGCGTGATAGTGCAAGTGCTACTTTGGGTCATGACGGGAGATCAGCAGTCAGCGCTACGCTGCTTCTCTGATGCCGCTTTATTAGCTTTGAGGAGCAGTCGTTCTCCGTCGCGAATATGTCTTGGCAATCAAACAAAATGGGCTCTGCCACCTCCCAGAAACCCTTCACAATCGCCATCGTCGGCGGCGGGATAGGCGGCGTCTCCCTCGCCATCGGCCTAGCCGCCCGCAACGTCCCCTTCCACATCTACGAATCGGCGCCGTCGTTCGGCGAGATCGGCGCGGGCGTCACCTTTGGCCCCAATGTCATCCGTGCCATGCACGGGCTCTCGCCCGCCATGCTCCGCGCGTACTCGAAACACGTCACCACCAACGAGCCGCCGGAGCTGGCAGACACGTTCCTGACGTACCGGAGGGGCTGGCTCCCTGAGGGGGAGGATGAGACATTCGCACCGCCAAAGATCTTCAACATGGTCAACAGGGTCCAGGAGATCGACGGCATGACGTTCCCCGTCAGGTGCTGTGTCCACAGGGCGAAGCTGCTGGATGAGCTCGTCAGGCTGCTTCCGGAGGGGTCGGCGTCTTTTAACAAGACGTTTGTGAGTGTGACGGAGAACGGAAGTGATACCGGAGGCGGTGTTATTCTCACGTTCGCGGACGGGTCGACCGCCATCGCGTCCGCACTTGTCGGGTGCGACGGTATCAAAAGCCGGACGAGGAAGCTCATTCACGGGCTGGATGCCGAGCCGGAGTACTCCGGCTACGTCGGTTACCGCGCAATGGCACCGCGGGAAGCCTACGAGAGGGTCATGGGTAAGGAGCTGGCGGGGACAGGCAATCTCTTCCTCTGCCCGAGCGGACACGCCGTTGCGTATCCCGTGGAGCACGGATCGGCACTGAACATCTTCGCCACGAGCTCCCCGCCCGGGGGTTGGAAAGAAAAGGAGTGGCGAATGCCGCTGAAGGAAGGCGAGCTCGTCGATGCCTGCAGGGAATTACATCCCGGCATAGTGAAGCTGCTGCAGGAGCATGGAAATGGGGAGACGTGGGCAACGTTTCACTATCCACAAGACAAGCCGTATTTTCACGGCAGACTGTGTCTCATGGGAGACGCTGCGCATGCTACCACACCTCACATGGGAGCTGGTGCAGGTATGGCTATCGAGGATGCCCACATGTTGAGTGGTCTGTTGGGTTCAGTCCAAACGTCATCGGATGTCGAAAAAGCTTTCCAGGCTTTCGACGGGGCGAGGCGGCCCAGGACACAAGAAGTGATCGAGCGGAGTAAGAGAAACGTTGTCAGATACAAGGAGCTTGCGACAGCCGAGGGGCCTTATCTTTCAAGCTTGAGAGACGAGTCGTTTGAGACGTTCGGCTGGCTGTTCGACTTCGACCTGGATGAAAGCCTTCAGAAGGCAGTTTTGACGCTGTAAATCAGCAGTTATTGTTGATCTTATCCAGTATCTAGTCCAACTACACTTGGGGTCATGACGACGTAGACAATTACCTGAGGAAAGCCTTGAACAATAGAGGCAAAGACTAGCACATTTGACACCCCCTCCCAGTGCCCAATATGTCATCCTGATGAGATATCTACCAAATATGGCCGGTAACTATAAATTGAGGACTCCGTTCAATGTTCATGCCGCGTCCAGTGTTTGACACGTTCCACGGTTCACATCCAACTCTAGGGCCAAAATGAGATTGAGGAATTTGCAATGCCTGCAGTTGGAGAAATATCCTGATTACTTTTCACAACAACAATGACAGCGCCACTTTTATTGGATGAACGCACTTTCGAAAATGCATGAGTGAGGAAAAGGCAGCCAAGGCCGAGGGATGCAAGGGCTAGGTTGGCCCAGTTGCCCACGTGTTTTCAGAAATTGAAGGGGTCTCCCGTGTTCTATTCCTGCACTGGCTTTCAGGCAGAAATGGCTATTCCAAGCTGGATACCAGTAATAAGCTTCCCATAGAAACATGCCAAGCATTGACGTCAACAAGTCGACTGGGTGTGGCGTGGGGGTGGTATGACGAGTAAGTCGAAAGGAGAATACAGCCACAGCCACGCTCAAAGGTGAATAACGGTGGTAGAGGGTGGGAACCCACGAGAACGATTAATGTCACTGGATCCGGCAATAAACCTGAAACACGTGGCTTGTAGGCCACTTCACCGGCAAGAGCCGCAGAGCCTCTCCCTGCCCTTTCTAAAGTTGGCCGTCTAAATACTCCAGCGATTCAGTGCCATGGCTGGGGTGACTGTCTAAGCTGTAGACAACCGCATCAATATTCTGATATTTATTTTCGCCAATGGGAAAATTGTCCCTTATTTGATGGCCGTCTGGGCTTCAATCTTGATTCACACTCCTCTATCGACTGTCGTGTGTTTTTGCCAGCCCAGGAGCAGTAGCCAGCAATTGTAGATCAATAGTTTGGGCTTCAAGCTCTCCAGCACCAGTCCTTCGGCATCTTCACAGGCCATGTCGATCTAACAAGACACAATATCAAGACTTGACTCGCGGCGTCATTAGAGCTGTAGCCAAGGCATTGTTTCACGCTTCACGACTCAGATTGGGCCTGACGAACTTACTTCTCTAATCTCTTTTTCACCGCGCAACTTCCAAATGCAGAATGGCATAGAAGCCTTTTGGCCTCAGGGCTTTTTGTATAGTGCATGAGATGTCATCACGTACCGTGAGAATTACCTCTGCTGGAGTCCGCTATTTGCGGCGGACCCAAATGATTTATCATGGAAAGTTCCAGTAACACAATTAGTGATGTCTAAATATGGGCATTGCGTATCCCATCTGATAACTCCACAATCATCGGCTGACCACTATCTGAGGCGCAACGCGGCCGCCGGGCGCAAGGCTGATGGCTCGTACGCACGACTGAAGCTGAAGCAAGTGTGGTTCTGTGTCGCACTGAGGCTTGGTCAAAAGTAAGACACTGTAATCATCGCGTTTGAGACACGCCACTATTAACGCGCAGCATTTCGGGGATGCGGAGAAAAAAAGGGCGTGAGACCGGGCCAAGGATCGGCGCAGAAGCACAACCAAGACAGCTGTGGACGGGAACAGGATAAGCAGGGGCCGCCCGGTCGCCGCAGGGCCGACTCGAGCGCATCACGCCCGGCTGCGGTGGAGCATGTGGGCGGCGGTACGCTCGCACTGCATGCAGATCCTCATGGCAAGTGGGCGGTGGTGCCACATGCATTCACCGTTCTGGCCCGTCTCATATTTCCGATGTTTTCACACACAACTAGGAATTGTTTCTTTCCGCCTTTTTTTTTTGAAGCTCTCGTCGTGACCGGCTGTGCATAGAAGAAGACTTCTGACGGGCTGTCTGAGGTGTTATACCAAGACTCAATTCATGACTAGAATACGCCCAGTCTTGGCACAGACAATTGCGCGAACCATGGTAGAAGAATAGGGGGCCCGCGATCTACGTACGCAGGCACCGCAAAAGATAATATGCCGTGCGTAAACGAGACGCTGTGCAGCGTACTCATTATACACATCGCAACGTGTTTCACATAGCACGGATGCGCGCCTGCGGGGTGGGACTCGGATAATTCCGTGGATACGAGGACGATTCAGACATGCGACCGACTCACTCACTCACTCTTTCGCACGTGCAAAGTTAGTAATCTGGACAAGCAGTTCTGCGGGTTCCTTGGCCATTCATGTCCGGCAGACCCGGGCGCCCGTGGCTTGTTCGACTGCAAAAAGTGGTGGTCGGGCATTGTTTAGAGCCCGACAGACCTCCAGCCCAATGTGCTTTTCGTGCTGCCTACTATAGACCCTGAAGCTTGTCGTCTGATGATTCAACAGTGGGCACTGCCATGGTTACGGTGGTCAGATCCAGAAGCTTGAGCTTACCACCCAGGCACACACACCTCTCGATTTAGCGGATCCCAATCCCGTTCCATATGTGATGTTAATCGAATAGTGTGCCCAAAATCCCGCGGCGGTGCTAAAGCAAAGACAAAGGCTTATCGGCACGACAACATGATCTGCAAGCGGTACTTCCGCGTATGGTTTAACAGGGGTCGAATAGTCTTTCAGCTCGAGCTGGCAGTGTCTGTCTATGAATACGCACGAGCCGGGGTGTCCATGCACTCGCTCGCATCCCACAGCATCTCCACTGAGACCTGGGCCGCATGAGTCTGGAGCTGAAGATCCCTCCCCTGCCATCTCCTTAAGCTTTCCCCAGGGTTGCACGCGTGATAATTAGATGCAGTAGTTACAATATGCGGCGAGTCTAACGCTTTAAATAATACAAATCATCCCGTCAGGATGTATAGATGTTTGGATGTCCCCCTCAGGCTCGCCTTCATCAGTCATTCGTTTCAAGTTTTCATGTTGGCATTTGCGGTGCGAAGATGAGATTCCTGTCGTTATCCCTCGTTTGCGTGCAGTGGCTGCTGTCTCCTGTACTCGGTGACTTGGTCACCCACGACAGCACATTCGTTCCCGACCATGTACTCCGGATAACAGCCCAGAATATCTCGCAAGCATGCGACCAACGGTATTCCGCAGTGGTGAACGGCACATCTCCCGGGCCCGCCATCCGTATTAGGCCAGGAGGTTCTTCATGGATTCGAGTATACAATGACATGACGGACCACAACCTGACTATGGTATGAGCACAACAACATGTCGGCCTCTTTTTCATAAAGCGAACCAGGCTAACGAACACTCACAGCATTGGCACGGCCTCGCCCAGCGGATGGCACAGTTCTCAGACGGCGCAGTACTAGCATCACAGTGGCCGATCCCGCCGCTCAACTTCTTCGACTACGAGATCGAGGCCCTGCCAGAGGACGCCGGCACCTACTTCTACCACTCGCACGTGGGCATGCAGGCCCTGACCGTCTTCGGCGCCCTCATCGTCGAGGACTGCGCGGCGCCGCCGTACCAGTACGACGACGAGCGCACGCTGCTGTGGCACGAGCACTACAAGCAGAACGACTCTGCCTTCGAGGCGGGCCTGCTCGCGGCCCCCCTCGTCTTCGGCGGCGAGGTGCAGGCCGTGCTGCTCAACGGGCAGGGCGTCGCCATCAACCACACGGCGGGCGAGATCCCGGGGGACGCGTCGTGCCAGCTGCCCGTCGTCGAGGTCGAGCCAGACAAAACATACCGCTTCCGCTTCGTCGGCGCCACGTCGCTCACCCACTCCATCATGGCGTTCGAGGGCCACGAGATCCTCACCGTCATCGCCGTCGACGGCGGCCAGTACACGCAGCCCGCCGCCACGTACCGCATGCAGATCGGCAGCGGGCAGCGGTTCGACGTGCTCTTCAAGACCAAGAGCCAGGCCGAGCTGGACTCCGCGGGCAAGACCGACTTCTTCATCCAGTTCGAGACGCGCGACCGGCCCTCGGTGTACCAGAGCTACGGGGTCCTGCGGTACACGGGCGCCAACAGCAGCGCCGAGGGCCAGCCGCCCGTGCCGCCCGCGCCGGCGGCGCCCGTGTTCAACCTCACGACAAGGACGTACGACTGGCTCGAGAACACGCTGCAGCCGCTCAAGCCGGACCCGGACTTCCCGGCGCTGGAGGAGGTGACGCGGCGGGTGGTGATCGACGTGGTGCAGCTGCTCGACCCGGCGACGGGGCAGACCATCTGGCAGCTCAACGGGCTCAACTGGAACGAGCTGGTCGCGTACCCGGTGCCGCTGCTGGTCGACATCTACCTGCGCGGGGAGGACGCCGTGCCCGACTACGACGCGGCCGTCGCCAACGGCGGGTGGGACCCCAAGAACAAGGCGTACGCCGCAAAGGTCGGCGAGGTCCTCGAGATCGTCTTCCAGAACACCGGGTCCACCGTCAACAACAATGGTGGCGTTGATGTTCACCCCTTCCACGCCCATGGCGCCCACTACTACGACTTGGGCAGCGGCAATGGGACGTACGATGCCAACGCCACCGAGGCCGCGAGGGTGGAGGCCGGGTACACGCCTGTGAAGCGTGACACCACGATGCTGTACCGGTACGAGACCAAGACGACGGCCGGTGCTGATGCCGGGTGGCGGGCCTGGAGGATCAGGATCAACGAACCGGGCGTGTGGATGATTCACTGTCATGTCCTTCAGCACATGGTCATGGGTGAGTGATAGATCTCTTGACTATTCCCTAACACCAGTAAGACTTGACTAACCTCCGACTAGGAATGCAAAGTGTCTGGGTCGTCGGCAATGCGAGTGAGATCCAGAAGACTCCTACCGAGTTGAGCCAGGGATACTTCACATTCGGGGGAAGCGTCACTGGGAACAAGACGTCCGACCCGCAAGTCTACGAGCAGTTTGACCACGGCACGTCGACTTGCCCGGTGTAGGACTCCTCGCCAGGTCAAATGTCACGATGGTCATGTTTTATGAGCGGGAGTACATATGAGTACCCAGGTACAGCGTTTTATTATTAGATGATACCAATATTTTTGAATATGACGGATCATAGCACACGCAGTGTCAAAGCGAAGGGGATATGCTGAATCAACAGCTTATTTCCAGAGATGCTTGTCTTCCTGAAACAGTTAACACGGACGCTGGAAGAAAACTCGTCCTCCCAGCCGCTTAAAGTCGATGATCCGATCTGCAGCCAATCCTCATGCAACCGTTCAGTAGATTCCGATACAGTCCCAATCGACAAGTCCACGGGCACCTTCAACTAGCAAAGACAAAGCCATTTCTTTTCGTTTCGACATCAGCGCAGCCAGTGTTGAAAGAGCCCTATGGGTTCTGGATGCCGATTCTGCCCTGCCCGCCCAGATCACATGGCAAGGCCATACACGCCGCCAGAGTTCGAAATGTCAGGGAGCCATAAGGAAACAATAATCCACTGATACCACAAGGGCAGCAGTAATACATACAGGCACATTAACTGGTGAACGGGCGCTCCCACAAACTTTCTCCTAAGCACAACTATTAGTCGCCACATAGAGCCTTCCCCAGAGCAATCTTAGAGCAGCCGCCAGCGTGAGTGAGCCCGCAGAAGACGTTGGCAGAACTGAGGATGCCAAAGTTCAATAGTCTATGTTTCTACCCCCTACGGATGCCCCATGCCCGTTTGAAATGCCACCCAGTTGTTGCTGTCACCATTCGAGTGGGCGAGACTTCATGCTCGGACCACCGCTCCGCTCAATCAGCCCCGGAAGCATGACTACCTGCCTCACCGGAAAGTACCTAGGGATCCCGCCGCGGCCAGAGGGATCCATTGATCATCCAGCCCAAGCCTCCCTTCTAGCCCGGACGGCTTTTGCCCTTCACCTCAAATCATCCATCAAGGTTTGGGGAGTTCAAGGGCAGGGAGGACGCAGAGGGGAGGTTGACTCCCACAACGACGCTGAACGACATGCCACACACGCAGAAACACACACGCAGAAATATACACGCATCTGCTTGCTCGATCAATCATGAAATAAAACACTACGACACTCCATTCAGTTCCTTATCATGCCTTTAACCTAGAATACACAACCACATAACCAACAATATCCTTTCACCCCTGCCCTTTCCTAACCCAACTATCCATATTGATCATTATGTACCACTTACGCCATGCCCACCAACCATACTCCCTTATCTGCTGCTTTCCCATGCACGCACACATAAATATTATACAACAGGTTGTGAGGGGGGAACTCCTTCCAACCCTCCTTCCTTTGGTTTCCTCGTAATCGCGTACCGTACCAAGTCAGTAGACTTCGTTTCTTCTCAAGTAGTTGTGGAAATCTGTCGTGTCATGATATACACCAACCTATCAACCAACTAGCTCTCTCGTGTTGTGCCTTCTCTCGCTCGCCCCTTCTTTCTCTTTCTCATTCCGCCCCCCGCCCCCAGCACAGGTAACATATTACGCTGATACCGATAATGCCCTCTCTTGTTCTCTCATCTAGTCATCCCAACATCTATCCGGGTATCAAAAAGGCCTCTTGCCCAAAAGTGCTGGTGGTGCCCATCAGTAATGGGCTTCGCGTACAAAGGTATCTTCCAGAAATCAGCAACCGCGATTACACTGCGCTCCCAATCTAGGCCGCGCCCGCGGCAGACCGAGAAACGACCTCTCGCGCATAAAACTCGACGAGCATCGTTGCGTAGGCTTCCAGATCCTCAACCTGGATTGCGAGGCGGAAGTCATTCAGGAGGAGGAACTGTATCTCTAGGTGGTTGAGCTCGGCAAGTGGGAGACCTCCGACCTGCAGGTGATCAGATTAGTCTATATCGCCCAGGTACACATGATGCAGGTTGGGGTCGGTATAGGGTCAGTCTTACCTTGGCATATCTCGAATTTGTGTAAAAGACATCCGAGAAGAACTTGCTCGCACATGTTACACCAGAGATGATCAACCTATGAATGTTGAAGCTGTCGACAACGAAAAACGTCGGTTGGCTGGCGGCAGAGGGCACCCCTCCGGCCTTCCCTGGGCCACTCCCTCGCGCTCTGCTGGGCACTGCAGGCTCCGTGGGTTGCTCCCCGTCGCTTTCTGAATCATCGACAATGTCCTCGTCTAGCTCCTCGTCGCTCTCGCTGCTGTCCCCGTGGGCCTCCTTCATGACGACGTCGGGCTCGGCCTGCTCCTGTGCCTGGCCGGACTTCTTGGCTTCTTCTGCCTTCATGACGATGTCGTTGACCCGTTCCGTCATGCGGTCGAAATAGACCAACAGGCTCAGAAACACCTCGAACGTGGTCGGGCAGTACTTGTGTATCCGGCTCAAATAGCTCAATATGGTGATGGCAGGCACGTTCTTGCCGTGGAATGCGAGTACGCTGCTACTCAGGGGGCTCATGCTGTTCTCCGAGGCCAAACCGTCGTTCTGGGCCTGTGCCTGTTTAACGTGGCTGGCGTTGCGCTCGACGGCGTTCCTGCTGAGAGCGTCGTGCTGCTGGTCGTTGGTGGTGGTGATCTTGGTGAGCAGGGCGGCAACCATCTCAATGACATCACCGATGGGGCACTCGCTCAGGTCGTATTTCAGGGCTTGTAAGGGGGAGTCGTCGTCGACGGCGCTCGAGGTCATGCCCGACCGCGCGAGGGCCTGAACGTGGGCAAGGTCGCGGACCTTGATGGTGGTTTGATGTGTGGCGGAGGCGGGCGAGGAGGTCAGTGTGGACTGCGATGCGCTCCATCGATCGCCAGAATTGGAGGCGGGAGAGGGGAGGACATGACTTGGCTGGGCGGATCCGGCGACGGTCTGAGACGAGGAGTTGGGGGTACTACCGGAGGCAGCAAGACCGGCAGCGGAGAATCCCTGCGCAGGCTGGTGCGCGGATGAGGAGTCCATGTAGACCTGCTTCTGACCATCCTGGGACGCAGTTGTATACCTCGCCTTCAGGTCTTCGTCGGATTGTGAGGCGCTTCCGGCACCGGCACTGGCGCTGCCAGACGACGAGTCCGGGGGCGAGGGTAATCTCGATGCGGCGGTGTCGTCGGCAGTCGGCACCCTGGCGGTAGTAGAGCTCGCAGAGAACCTCGGAGAGGCCCTCGAAGACTGCTGCCGGCTTGCTGGAGGGTGGTTCCGGGGGGTGGAGCTTCTTGAGTGGCTGCTGGATCGGTAGTGGGAGGAGGCGTGGGATGATTCTTGGGAATATGGCAGGCCCTGGGTTGCGATCATAGTGTGGAATCCGGAATGGTTTGCAAAGTCTCCGATGACAGCTGCCATAGCATGTGAATGGTGGGTCGTCGGGCGGTGCGTGCTTGCTGCCTTTGGTTGGGGAGTATTATTGGGCCGACGGGATGGCGGGCGTGTTCGTCGTCGTGCTTCTCGTCGTCGCTAATGAGAACGTCAAGGAAGAATGTGGAGGAAGAAACGGTGATGAGCTGTTGCCGGGGCGGAGAGGCGAGGATTAGCGCGCTGCGTGCAGGTTGCTGTCTCAAGGCTGGTCGGCCTAAGAAGCGCGATAAAGTTTCGGGAAGGGGAAGGGGGGCCCAGTGGAGAAGCAGACAGAACGAGGAAAATGCGCAAAGAGAACAACAACAATAACAACAATCGCAGAAGCAAAAACAACAAGCAAGCTAGTCTACAAATAGAACACTTTGAAAAGATTACGCTTTGCGGAACAGAACAAGAGACACCAGAGGCATTCCCAGCCGGGACGGCGGGACAGACAGATAAATGACTTCGACTTGGGCAGCGAGGCCGCCAGCCCAAACAGCTTTGTAGATGCAGGCCGGTCCGCACAGTTGGGGCCTTATCTCCACAAGGTTGGAACCCCAAACTAGATGGACCGTGACGAGGCGACACGTCTGTCTGGGTAGGGCGGGACAAGTGGAGATAGCATCGAGCGGTCGAGGCTGTGAGCAGTAGGAAACCGTATGCTTGGCTTGTTGGCGCTGTCGTACTGATGTGGTATTGTGCTGTTCGGTCTGGAGCATCGACGTCACCACGACGGTCGGTCTCGATGGGCAAAGGGACAAATGACTTCAGCACGACGTGCGTCGAACGCAGTGTCTCGTTTTGTCTTGGGTGACGGTCGCGGGGGACAAGCAGCATCGGATAGCTGTTGAGCTGGAGGCTGTTTGGATGGCGGGCAGGTCGATGTCATGGCGATGGCAGTGGTCGTCTTGGTGAGAGTGGATCGTCGTTCTTGAGACGCCTCCCCCATAATCTTCCTCCCTCGTTGTCGTGTCTCGCTTCACCACAGGCCCAAAAAGGAGGAAGAAAGCAAGACAGATGACGACAGATGCAAGAGATAAGGAAACCACCAACACTTACAGGCCAGAAAATGCACAGCAACAGTCGTGTCGAATCGTATCGTATGGGCACGGCAGAACAAGTAAAAGTCAATCGTCTTGTCTAAATGCGAAGGCGAGGAAAAAAGGCAATGGGATGGACGGGTCGAGATGCGGAGATGTCGACGGAGGGGAGCTGCGATGCGATGCGATGCGCAATGCGAGGTGATGTGATGTGATGACGGGAGGAGGATTGACAAGGGACAAAAGACAAGAAAAGACCAAGCAGGCCAGACTTGTTGTGCGATGGTGGATTGATGATTCGGAAGGGGAGGGGTGTGCATAGGTGGATTGGCCTGGTCGATGGATGGATGGGTGACGGACAGAGCACAGAGAGGCCCCTTCCAGGTTTCCGTTTCCGCAATCTTGCGGTCAGAGCTCCAATGCGCAAGGTAGGTAGTCTAGACCCCCCAGGCGTAACCCAGGCCGCTTAGGTAGGTAGGTGCCAGCCGGCAGGGGGACAGGGGGTGACCTGGCCCTGCCAACCACGCTGCCGTGCCAGGAGGTGCTCTAAATTCGATGGGGCAGCAGGGCGGCAGGGCGGCAGTGGCCCGACGATTCTGGATTCTTTTCGATTTTTGGATTGACGACAGGCCCACCGCCCACCCAGCATGTGCCCCCAGCCCCCAATCTAGCACCACAACACAACAACCTTGCACCCAGCAACAGCAGTTACAAAAACAGCACATACGTACATGCCAGAATCGAATAGTCGAGCCGAGGACCCCTAAATTCTTCTCAGATCTTAATTACCGCCGACAAACTCAGCCTCACGATATCCAGATATCCACATGAGCCCACCTGTGCCCACCAGAGCCCCATCCGTTGCTGCAGTTTGTTGCTCGTGCTGTGCTGCGTTGTCCTATCCTTTTGACCTCCTGCCAGTCTGGCAGTACAGTTTACACCAGTTCAGTCCAGCACTTGGGATGTGCCACTCAGGCATCGGATGACCATGATGACTCGTGGTGCAGGACCTCATTGACCCTTGTCTGATTCGCCTCGACCCGACTCGAATCGACTCTGCTCAACTCGACGACATGATCAGACACCCTGGCTGCCTACCCCTCTGCCCCTCTTCGCCTTTAACCTCCTCTCCTCTCTTCGTGTTGTCCAAGGTGGGGTCCGATGCGGGAAATTTCGCAGGGCTGCTGCTGGCTGACGATGAAGGTGGATGCTCTTCAGGGTCTGAAGGAGGGGTAGACGCCCATCTCCGTCATCACTGCCCGTCTTGCTGCTCGAGAGAGGACACGGACGGACTGATTGACAGGACTAGACAGGACCGGACGGGGACGCACAATGACCTCGCAACGCATCGGAAATCGAATCGTCTACACGTACCCACTGGGGTCCCGTCCAGCCAGCCTGCCAGCCTGCCAGCCAGCAATCACCAGCATCAAACCGCCCGTCAAAAAGATCGTCAATCTAGCCGCGGACGGGTGGTACTGTCCTCTGTGCATGCGGTAGACTACGGTCTATGCTCTAGTAGACGTAAGACGGTTCCTAGTCTGATATCGAACGCTCCGACCTCCAAGCGCCCAACCCGGCGATGCTTCTAGGTCAGTGTCCCACAGGGCCCCCTCCACGCAAAGATACATGATACGCGTAACAGCATGTGGCTGCCTCTCAGCAAGTCGCCTGCAGATCCGACCGACCCTCTCCTTTCTGCTAGCAACATTGCCAGACTAATTCCGGCGAAATTGTCTCAATGGGCGGCCGCCCGTCCTCCTATACCGGACCACCCATGACATAATCCCGCCTGTTGTTCTACAGCACACACGACCAAAATAGGTCACCTAGATATCAAATCCGCCTTTTCCTCCTGTTACACCACAGTATGGCTACATGTGCCCCGCGGCAAACAAGCCTCCGCAGGGTCAGGCCCTGGTTCATGGTGTCCAGTCCTTTGCTGGAGGCACGCATGCTGGCATAATAGGGGACCTCTCCCTCCTCTCATGAGCACCACCCATATCGCTGCCACTCCAACACGTGTCTCCATCGAGGGGGCCACCGAGGAGAGGGACGCACCACGGCGTTCCCGCCGCCGCTGCCAGGATAGGGGTCTCAGACACGACGCCACCGCCTTGTCCCGTCTCACCACAGCCAGGGGCCACCCGGGAGCGTCCCCAACCCGCGCTTACGTGCCTCGGCCGAGTTGGAGGAACAAGCAATTGATGGGGCTTTTCCTGTCTCGCACACACAAGTTTGTATGTGCATGCTCGGTGCGCACACGCCCAGGGAGGCCCAGGAAGGAAAGTGAGACTGGGACAATTCATGCAGAACGAATCCAGTGAGCCTCTTCCTCGCAGTATCGTGCAACATCTTCCCAGCCTGGCTGGGCTGGCCAGAAACAGGGGCCCTCCCACTTGGATCCTCTCACCACACGCTCATGCGCGGAGAATTAACCCCCCATCTCACGCCACGCCGCGATAAGAGCTCATCGCAATTGCGGCACGACGGATCGATCCTGGATCCCCCCTGCCACGCACACCAGATAGGCTAGCCGTTGAGCGGGATAATTTGATGAGAATCCGGGCAAATACGATAGGATCGAAACGCTCAGCACACACATGGCCTCCTTTTTCACCACCCTTAGCCAATCTCCCATCTCCCATTTGCCTTTTGCCTTTTCTTGTGTGTTCGTCACACAAGCTCACCCGGCAACGCGCACAAACCAGCTCCTCTTCCAGTTACACTCCGGCTATCTGGTACTGTGGTCATGTCACACCAAGGGGGATGCCCGCCCGTGCTGCCCCTGAGATTCCGGGGAGACGAGGCCGGCCTGGGAGGGAGGGTCCTGCGGCGCGGGATCCTGATCACTTTCTTGGAAGACAGTCACGCATGTGCCTGCCAGTGTGATGTAGGCACTTGAACCGTATGCATCGCAAGAACACACCCAACCAACCAACTAAGCGGCGACAGCCTCGCACATATTATGTAGATATGCGCAGCTGTGCGAGGCGACCCGCGAACACCCCCGAGCAACAGCACGAACCCATCCCACATCCTCACCTCATCATGTGTGCCGCCCGGCATGTAGTCTACTATACTGCTATACTATAATCCAACTCCCCCCCTGACCGATGAGACCGATCCGCTCACGCTCGCGGGCGACGCGGGCGAGCTGTTCGCCGCCAGACTCCTCCCGCCCGCGCCGGCTAAGGCACTTCCCCTTGCCCTCCGGAGGCATCCGCCGCAGCAGCGTGCCGGGATACGCTTCCATCAGATGCGGCATTCTCCTCCCCCACGCCCTCTCACCGCCCACGGCCTCCAGCAGGGGCCAGCATCGTCATGTGCGTAGCATCCGGGAATAGTTTACAGACGGGACAAGCGCGCCTCTTTTATTCTTGTGTCCCATTGGGGACGGCTGCCCATTCACTAGGTTACTGTGTCGCCCTGGGTGCGGCCGCTCTGTCTCAGCCTCGAGGGCGTGTCTGCCCAGTAGCCAGTCCGTCTGGCAGTCTGACGTAACGTCAATCCAAGGCCTGGGAGGTCACATCGGGCCACGACATGGGCCCCCGTCCCGTGGACCCTCCCTGCGGTGCCCGGTTCCCCGGGTCGCCGGGCTTGCAGACCCCAAATAGCTGCTGTTGATAGAGACGTCCCACTTGCTGCTCCTATATTTCAGTAGTATGGCATTGTACTCCAGAGGTTGTTGCACGCAAGTATCGCGACTGCGCCAACCGAGAAATTAGGTGGGTAATAATAAAGCGGCTCCGAGGCTGTCGCTGAGGCTTTATTTTGCCAGGGGTGGTAACATGCCACAGCTACTATGTACAATACTGTCCTGTAGGGCGCGGGCGCATGAATCTCGATATCCCTGGGACGCATTGCCCCGAACAACAGGCAAGGGTCACTTGTACGGGACCTACGCTGGCGATCAGATGAACCAAGTGGATACAGCCCAGCCGATTGTCCCATCTGATCTCCCAATCCCCTAACCCCATTCTAGATGTGTCCATGGGAGGTCTTTTCAGGGCTGACGTCAAGTCGTCTCGGTGTTGTTAACGAGACAGGCAGGCCCGCTGGAGAGGTGAGGGTGGAGGTGTCGCAGCTCCGGGGACGGACCTGGTCTCCGTGCATGTGCACGTACTGCGCCTGATTATGATGCTGCGAGGACTTGCCTATCGGATGTTTTCATTGTGGCAGCTTTGCCAGCTGCGTATGGACTTTTACCAATAGCCTTTGTTTCAAGTATGTAGTAGGGCTGCCACGTCCGTGATGACGCCAAGGTCCTGACAACGGGTGAGACTTGGCCATTTCTGCCGAGACATTCCTCAAGGTTTGTGTTTACCAAATAGACCAAATGATTAGTGGATATATTTTATTCATTCATATGGAAGGCGTCTTTCACGAACGTCGTTGATATTAGCCCGCTTGATGCTCATTTAATATGTGCAAACCGTATTCCGCGGGCGGTCCTTTTGAGGATGAGTTGGGCGAGAGCCACGTGCAGACCGGTGAGCAGTGCCATGTCATACTAAAGAGTCGTCTCACAGCATACATGCGACTGGACGGTCCGCCCCCGGCCTTGTGGGTATGCCCCCTCCATTTGGGGACAGCAGAAGAGACGTACGCGAAGACGTCCAGCGTGAGCACGAGGCGGCATCAAGCTTGGACACCCAACGGGCGAGCCGCAGATTGCACATAGAGCCATGACCTCGTAGACTTTCATACCAGCTCTATGGCGCTTTCGAACATCGAAGCTGAAGGGAGTCGGGCTCACTTCCCGTCCCCCACAGAACTATCCCCCTTATGTATGTGCCTGCTTGCCTCCCACTGGCCTTTCAGTCCAAAGCGACATTGGTGTAGCCGGCTTCGTAAAGAAAGCTGGGGATGAAGTGAGGAAGACATCAGAGGAAGGTGCATGCCAGAAACCCGTACTGCCATCGTCCCATCTCGAGTCCCCTCGTAATCCTCATGACCAGAGCACCACCCCCAAACCTGCAGGCCGTGGCTCCTCACTCAGAATCCCAAAGCTATACCAGAACATACAGACAGACAGATAGATAGAGGCGCCGGCGGTCTGTGTTCCCGAGACAAGGGAGGGTGAGCACATACATATATTTTCCAAGGACGCGGCAGGACGTGCCTGACAGGTAGAGACTGCCCAACACCCGCGTCAGTGGCAGTTCAGCTCACAACCCCCCTCCGGGTGCCTCTCTCTAAGTCTCGCTTCCACCACTCCCACCACTTCCCTTCCGCCTTGGGAAATGTTCGGGTCAGAGACATACCCAATTCCGAGTGTCATCGTGGCTTCGAGCGCGGAGGGGTGGATGGGTTGGGGGGGGGGGGGCACGGGTAAGATAAGAGGACACTCATCGCCGGTAGAGTAAGCCCACGCGTGGATGGATGGTGTGTGCTTCCGAGACCTGCCCCCGTCCGAGGTCCTCGAAGAAACAGGAGGGGAGTATGGGTGGAGTGCAACATGTGTCATGGACGAAGCGAAGCGTAAGGCCCTGAAAGAAGACCGTTATTGAAGCCCTGCCTCAACTTGGGAGGCTTTCCATGCTCCTCCAGGAATGAGACTTGCGATGGGGCCCTTGAGGCGTAATAAAGGAATTAATCAGGAACCCGAACCGACTCACCACGTGACGGACTCAACCTGGAAAGTCCATCTGCAACCCTTTGGGCTAACGGTCTCCTGAACCAGAAAGTTACCTATGATATTCTGTGGCCCCGCCTCACTGGCCATTTCCTCCCCTACATCTCCATTTTGTCATCAAGTGTCCTCGCATCGTTCGTCTCATGATTCTGGAATTGCAGAGCCACTATGCAATCGCCTTGCGTGCCTCCTAATTCGTACTCTATACCAGCACGGCGGCGCCCGGTTATCGTCATAAGCTGTATTTGTCTTGTCTCTTTTCGTGATATCGTACACGTCTGCCGCTTGTAGATCTCGCACCACTGGAGAAAAACGAGCCCACTTTGCTGCTGCGTTGATCGAGCGAGGGCTCGCACCCCCCTGGCGGAAGTCCCTGTCCTCAATGGCTCCGCCTCACCACCTCACCCAGAGCACGCCACTGCTGATGCCGTTCATGCACACTATAATGCTTCCGCAACCTCCACAGCCTCCCCCTCACTGTTGCCGCACCTTGTACCCGGTGTCCGGGAGGTACAGGTGCCTGTCTGCGCCCTTGGCCGTCAGCACCACCATGCGGATGACGCCGCCCGAGCTGCCGTCCCACCGGATGGCCTCCTTGAGCGCCTCCTTGACGAAGGCGACCGCCTCGTCCTCGTTCATGCCCTCCTTCCAGTTCGCGTCGCAGTATCCGTAGATGTAGGTCGAGCCGGAGCCGCCGATCGAGTAGGCCTGCTTGTGGAGGGACCCGCCGAGGGGGATGCTGTAGACCTGGCCGCCGTGCCGCTCGTCCCAGCCCGCGATGATGAGGCCGGCTCTGTTAAACACAGGGGTTTGGTTAGCGACTTTGGTCCTCATGGCTTGCGGTATTTGGCAGAAAGGCAATCTCAGCCACGTGTGGGGTGGGTATCCTCCTCGTGTGTCCCGGTGAGACTTACGTCAACATGTCCTTGTTCGCATAGCAGAGCTCCTGGAACATGGCCGCGGCGGTCTGGGTTGTGGGTGTCTTGCCGTTCATCATGTGGAACTGGCCCAGTTGGTATTGCACGATGTCGGCGACGGCTTGCGTGTCGGCGGCGGAGCCGGACCGGCAGCACCAGATGGTGTCGTGGACGCGGGTCAGCTTGTCTGTCACTCGGTTCGCGATGTATGCGCCGGTCGTGGTTCGGGAGTCGGCGCCTGATGGGTAGACGGAGGGTCAGCTTTCTGATGTTTCGTACGTATGGGCTGCCTGCGGTGACAGGGAGGGTACAGCACAACGTACCGAGTATCACACCGTCCTTGAAGGTGACTGCCATACTGTTGCGCGCATGTTAGATGTGGGTTGTCTGGCATCGGTTCGGGCTGCTTACATCGAGGTACCGAGGCTGCAGAAACAGTTAGCATCAATCGCATTCCATGGAGCCAGAGTTGACCTACTTGACCTCGCCCGCCTTCAGCCTGTTCATATCAATGTGGATGCCATCTGCCGGCAAGGGAACGTCAGCATCCAAGCTGTAGACAACGGCTGCTGGGGGGGGGGGCAGGTACGTACCTTCGGACAGGTTTCCTGAGGTACCAAACTCCATGTTTGCTGTGACTGTCGAAATTGATGGCTCTTCGGGAAAAGGCGGAGGTCGAGGGTATCTGGGGTATTGCGTTTGTGGTTGAGATCTGGACGGTATGGAGGGGCGGAGGGCTTGAAGCTGGAGTTGGGATGGGCTGGGCCGGTGGTCGTCTAGAGCTCAGTTGCTGAAGCTCAAGGCAGCTCCGACGCGTTGGCTTGCCGCAGTCTCCCGGCAGGCAAAACACCGTCATGGCCCACACGTGATAACCCTGAGGGTCACCCCTTTCCATGGCCTGCTGGGAGGGCATGGGGATTCATTCTGCGCGCATCCTCATGCTGTTTCTAATTTTCATCGAATCGCAAGATCCTACGAATGAGCGTTGACTGGTTCTGAATAAGCTATTCTGCCCTTTCCGTATAGACGAGTCTCACTGATATCTGCCCCGCCAGAGCACGAGATAAAGACGGCAACTCTCAACACAATGCGGAAGGGGAAAGAAACGCTTGCAGACCAAATCGCCTGAAACAATTCTGTCTTACATGAGCCCAGTGTCTTGAAAATATGCAATATGCTGAACTGTATTCTATGCAATGCCGGCCCAAAGTGAACACCAGTGCTGATCGCACCACCCCGGAACTCCTATATAACTCATAACAGACCCGCCCTCATAGATAAATGACTGTAACCCCGCAGCAAGGTATACCGAAGCCGTCCGACATGACCCTTTACGCAGCGACGTGGCCCTCAGGCTCAGCCGCCTCCCTCTCCTTGAGCTCCGCCTCGCCCCCGCCGACCTTCTTGGCGGCGCCCTCCTCCGGGGCCGCCTTGCCGGGATCGTCGGCACATCCGCAGTCGTAGAAGTCGCCGATCTTGTTGCAGTCGAAGATGGGCTTCTTGAGTCTCTCGTTGACGATGTTGTGGGCGAAGCACAGCCAGCCGGCGGCGGCGTTGCGGCTCGACACCTGGGGCGGGTACTTTGCGATCAGCTTCTGGAAGTGGCCCGCGCACTCGCCGCACGGGTACAGGCGCGAGAAGAGGGTGATGAAGGTCTTGAGGGCGACCTGGTCGTCGGGCGTGGGCTTCTCGGGGAAGCGCGCCATCATCGTGTGGAGGAACTTCCACGTGGCGTGGCCGAGCTCGCGCCTGTGCGGGAGTAACGTCTGTCAGTTGCTTGCGCAAAGAACGGTAGGATACTTGGGGATGCGCAGGGTAGGAGCATACTTGGCCGTCTCGTTGCCCAGCCGGGGCGCAATGGCGCCACCCTTCAAGATGTTGTCGCCCAGCCCAAAGTCGACCTCGCCAGGGGACCAGCCCGAGTTCTGCTGCTGCTTCAGGCTCTCTGTCGAGTCGACTGGGAAGTTTGCGGCGGCATAGTTGTCAGCGGCAGACTGCGTGCCCGAGGACATGAACCATGTGAATGTGAGGAAGCCGAAGAAGACCAGCAGGATCGTCAAGGTCAGATGCTGGCGGCGTGCCATTTCGGTTGCTTTCGGTGGTGGGCTGTGCTGCCTGCGCTGGACCGATAAGTGCGAGCAAGCAAGCAAGGAAAGATGTTCGAAAAGAATGTCGAAGAAGAGGAATAGTGATGTAGCGCGGGGTTCAGAAAAGAAAGAATGGCAAGAAGATGAAGTGGTGGATGGTGGATGTTTCGTGGCGAGACTTGTCGAAAATAGGCGGATCGTCGGGGGTTGCGAAGGTGGAGGATCGCCCACTGAAACCGGCCGAGCACACACGCCTAGCTCGGATGCTGCCGAGGTGTGGGGTTTTGTTTCTGCAGGTAGATACCAGTCTACACGGCAATTAGGCTACCTTTGATAAGTACTAGGTACACAATATCAAGGGTCCTCTGAAGAAGTGAGCTTCTTTATTTCTGTGGAGAATAAGAGCGAAGGGAATTGATGAGGCTTTCTACGTGTACAGTAGACTCTTATCAAGAAGACAGCTGGGCGGCATTCCAGTCATTCGTCCTTGGCCAAGCAATTAGACTGCACATGCGAAGGAGTGTTCCTCGTCCGACACGCTGTGGTTAATCGATTGCAGGGGCTGAACCCCTGAGGGAAAACAGCCCAAACCAGAACACTCGTCCGACTTGTGGGCAGACTTCATTCTTACTGTATCCTAGCAAGCCAAACCAGGGCCGTCACCTTATTGAAAATGCACCTCCCGTGATAGCTTCATTCGCACACACCAAATTATCGAACAGCTGATGGTATCCAGATATCGAGGACATCCTGCATCCTCTCCAATGGATCCACCACGATCCAAGCAGAAACTGAAAAGTGCACACTGGCGTGTTCTCTCCCATGAACAATGATCACTCCCCACCCGCCTCAACACGCCTCACACCTCAGCACAACACCCCCAGCCTCCAGCCTCCTCACCGGCCCAAACAGCATGTCCTCACACCTCTCCCTCGCCGCCCCGAGCACCGTCCACCCGCCGGCCCAGCCGGGCCTCACCGACACCGTCAGCTCCCGCAGGCCCTCGAGCCCGACGAGCCCCGCCCACACGGGGCCCCAGATCCGCTCCACGTAGTCGGCCACGTAGTCGGAGCCGTAGATGAACGTGTACGTCACCCACTCGAACCGCACGCAGCGCACGCGCGACAGGCTCGCGGCCGGCGTCGCGGAGAGGAAGTGCTGCAGCGGGCACAGCCTGTCGAAGTGGAACTGCGCCTGCGCGTACAGTTCTGGGAGGGACTCTGCGTATCTGGCGGGGCGGGGGTGCTGTCAGTAATTGTCAAGACAGGAAAGGAGGGGGGGGACGAGGGGGTCTAGAGGCTGCCCGGCCTCGTCGACTCACATCTGCTTGTTCGTCTGGAGCAGGGCGATGCCGTTGATGTTGCTCGCCAGCGAGTGCGCGATCGTGCACGGCCTGGGCGTGATATTGTTCTCTGCGTCTTCTTTCGCGTGGCTACGGATGTCTCTCGTAGAACGGCGGACATGGCATGACCGGCCCTCGCCAAAGAAGTACTGCCGGTATATCAAGACCCGCACCTCGGCCGGGAAGCACGCGAGGTCGCCGAGCATGTCTTTCTCGTCCCCACCGTCAGGAACATCCGAGTCGAGGCAATCAGAATCATATTCCTCTTCAAGTTCCTCTTCAGGGGTTTGATCGAGGTGTCCCCGCCCGGACTTCTCATCGAGCTCAGGCACCATTCTTCCTTGCCCAGCACAAGTTGGGCTGCTCTCGAGGCTGAAACCGAGCACAAGGATTAGAGACGAAATCAACAAGACAATCATGGCGTGGAGACCCGTGCTCGAAAACGGTCTCCGGGACAAAGGCTGCGATGCCCCCTTTCAAAGGCGCCGTCCTGTCCATCAAGGTTCCCTCGCGTGGTCATCAGGGTTCCTGTGAGTGATGTGTGCTTGCATGAGGACACCCTCGAAAAGACCGGTCAATTCTCGTGACATGTTAAAACCGCGGGATGGTCTGCTGCGGTTGTTATCTGGCGATTGCAAGGCTAGTGGGAGCCAAGCTGTGCTGCTGTGGCAGGTTGTAGTAGGTTGCGGGATGACGATCCGCATTGAGAGCACATCCTCACGCACAGCTGGATTGTGAGCTGTTTTGCATCTTAACTCCTGTCACTCGCGTTCGAAGCTTATGTTCATTTTGATCGTTTGCCAATGTGCGAGTACAATATTTAAGCTATTAATTCTACTATTCAAATTAATCTTCAATATACATTTATGAATAAACTATAATGTTATCACAATGTATTTGTTAATGTAAAGAATTAAAGCCTAAATCTCTTGCAAGACTAATGTCTGCTTTTACATCAAAGTCTTTAGCTATCACCACAGGCGGAGCAGCCGGAACTGTGAGCGCGACCGCAGGTCTGGGTGACGGCTCGTCTTGAAGCAGCGTCAGGTCACGGCGGCGGTTATTAGCAGGACAAGAGGGACTCTTATATATACTTCTCTATAAAATCAAGACAAAAAGCAGTTGGTTAGCGGGTGTTTTATTGAAGTGTACAATGAATGCCAGAAAGTCTACTCACCTCATCGGAGGACAGCGACCATCTGCGGTTCAGATTGACGCCAAAGAGGGCTCTGCAACACATAGGACTCGTTAGTCTCCCCCTTTACTAAGAATGGGCAAAAAGTTGGGAGGGCTCACGGGGCAGTGATGCGGGCAAAGGTGTCATATCCAGCCTCAGCGCCAATGCAATACTGGAAGTTTTGCGACTTGCTGACCGAGGCTTGCCCGTGGATTCGAAGATAGGTATCGATCGCAAGGTCGATCTGTAGACACCATGAGCACTCTCACAATTGCAAGGCGGGGGGGGGGGGGGTTAGAAGGCTTGTATCGCGAAAACCTGTGATAAGATTCGCGGCTTGGTAATAACACAATGACCTACCACCGCGCTGGGTACCGCCCACTTGGAGTCGAAGACCACACCGAACGTAACCATGGGTGTGCTGCGATGGTGTCCTTTGTGTCAGCGCACACGGAAGGGAAACGCCCCCCGGGGGGGGGGGGGGTCAGGATGATTTTGTCCTCACAGGTGAAGTTCGACGACGCCATCCGCCGTGACCTGCCAGTTGAGCTTCATGGAGCTGTCCGCCTTGCCGTCGGATGTGGAGAACGACGGCTTGTCGGGCTCGTGCTTGTCCGGGTCGAGGTACGCCTCCTTGTCGGCGGGGTACCGCTGGGAGTGGTCCCATTTGGCGACCGAGAAGTCGATTCGCGCGTCTCTGGCGAGCACGGGGCAGAACGTCAGTCCACAGCTGTAGATTATTATAGCCGGCTGGCTAAGCTTGAAGCAACGGGGAGTAGTGGGCAAATAAATGTAGGCAGCCACTCACGCATCGATCGTGACCCGGCCCTCGACCGAGGAGACTAGCTTGAACTCTGGGCCGATGGTAACGATTCCTGGAATCTTGAAGCTCGCCCCGATGGGTGCAATGCCTAGAGATGCTGTCATGTGATGTACTGACCACGATTTACTAGCAGGTCTCGACACCAACACCGACGCAGCCAGGCATGGTGGCAAATTGCAAGACGTTCCACAAGGGTAGATGTCTCTGTTATATTCCATGACCCTTCTTCTGCATACTCCTATACATGCCTGCAAGAGCTAAATCAACAACGGTTTCCACCGACATAGTTGTCTCGGGTGATGGCTGCCAGTCCATCGCCGACAAATACCGCATAACTCTTGCAAATTTCATTCGCTGGAACTCCGTTGTTGGGAGTGATTGTAAGTCGCTATGGCTGCAAACTTACGCTTGTGTTGGTATTATCAAGGCCGCAAAGTAACGATGCTCGAGAGAGCACTTCAGAGCAAGCTTTGCCAATTCTGAAGATCCGGCCGGCTAGCCTTTTACGTGAACAACAATCTTGCCTTTAGCCCTTCCTCCCCTCAGCTTTTTGTAAGCTTCCTGCACTTGATCAAACGTAAAGACTGAGTCAATGACTGCTCTCGCCTTCCCCTCCCCCATCCACCGTCCAATTTGCTCGAAGAAATTTCGGTCGTTCTTCTGCTGCACGAAGTAGAATGCGGGGCGCAGCTGCTTGACCGGGGTGGAGAAGATGCCGGAAAGCGACATGTCCGCGCCGACACCAACCAAAACGAACGTCCCCCCGGGTTTCAAGTATCGCTTGCTGTGGTCACACAGCTCAGTGGTTTGGCGAATTGGATGCCCCACGTCCCTGTCCCGCCACTTCCGCCGTTTATGAAGACCCTCGCGCCGGCTCGGAGGGTGCTTGGCATGAGGGACTGGTAAGCCGTCGTCGCGGCTGTGCCCACCGCCGCCGCGTGATCCGGGTCGACCCCCTCTGGCAAAGGCGCGACATTCGCCATGGGGATCACGCAATACTGGCTGAGGGTGCCTCTCTGGTTGATCATAGCATAGCCGCCGAAAACGAGTTGTTCCTCCTCGAAGGAGGTATTGGATGGATGGATGGCGGAGTAATGCCAAGTCCTCATAGTTTTTGCCATTGTCGCGATTATTCTGTTGCTTTACGTGCTCATGCAGCTGCAAAGAATAAAATTACAATAGCGGAAACATTGACAACGTAAATAAAGCAGGAAGTGAGATTGCGAACTTAGACAACACCACAGCTTCACTGAATACGCGTTTAGAGGTGGGGCGGAGTTTCGTGTTCGGGTGGTAGTCCTGGAAAAGTTTCCGCGATCGTGCCGATTCCGATCGTTGACCGGTTCTGAAATACCAAGTCTCCGAAGACAGCAATCGGGTTTTAATCTACCGTTGCGAACCGAATGGAGATGAAAAATTCGTAGAAATAGAAGCCACACGAGTGAAGATCCAGTTCAACGCCTTAGAAAACCTCTCCTCACACTCATACGCTGACGCAACAGCTATTACACACAAGATTCATCAGTCAAGTTAGCGGACATACATCACGGAAAATAAAAAAAGGGGAGGCATCGAAGACTAGACTCGACGGAATTGAAAGTTGAAGAACAAGTCGAAAATCCAGCCGGAGGAGCTGATGCGAGATCCCTTGCCCTTCCTCCACATCGCCCCAGGGTCCTGACACCATCACTATCTGGTCGGAGTTTGAACTTTGCACCCTCGCTAATGTTGAACAATTACAGTCTCTTTGGGCGTCTACCCTACGAGTTGCGCCAGGAGGTTCTCATTGCAGTTGATTAATCTGACTACTGATCCTCCAAGTGGTGTTGCTGTCAAGTCAATTCAGTCCATCAGCTTCAACGGGTCACTGGCATATTTCATCCGGCAATTCTATTCCCATGTGCAGCACCTTCCGAGCCGCAATTCGGGGCAGCCTATACTTCGATTTGTCTCCAAGGAGTAGCATTATTCCCCGCAATTCTACGTTCAATGGCAATGCAACTGGCGACTTGTCGTCGTCACACGGGGAATAGATTTGGCGACCGCACCAACATCCATGTCTACCGTTTTGGAGTCGTAGCTCCCCGCGGGGTAGAACATAATGTCTCCCCATTGAGCACGCATTTATAGACAGCACTTGGGACCTATATCACCTTGCATAGGGTCAATCGTTCAAGTAAACAACATAATAAGTCAGACCAATACAGTTACACACCCGCGACAATGACACCATATCTAGAGGAAGCCAAGACAGACGTGCCCGTGCTCCCGGACACTCACTCCGGCATACCAACATTCCTCTTGGAGAAAGCCCGCGATGTAAAGAAGACTATCTTTGAAACGCGGACCAAGCCACTTAACGAGAGGCAGAGACTTCCAGTGATCCCACAGGGCATCGACAGGGACAAGTTCTTCGAGGCTCTGGATGAGTTGCGCAAGGAGTTAGGGTCGGAGCACGTGGAGGTGAACGACAAGCCCCTGAAAGATGGATGGTGAGTTCCAGCCGTCCTTCGCGCGGCCTCCTGTGATTCACAAGGCGAAGACACTGACAGCAGTCTAGGTACATGGAGCGTAGGTGATATCTTCGTTCACGGTGGACAAGCTGAGACGTCGAGGGCGTGCTGACCCGGCTTTGCTGCCAGACCCAAACACCCACGACATGATGACCATCCTCGACGAGGAGGAGTTCGTCGCCTCGGCCATGGCCTACCCAGGCAGCACGGAGGAGGTCCAAAAGGTCGTGCGCTGGGCAAACAAGCACCTGATCCCCATCTTTCCTATCTCCATGGGCCGAAACCGTATGTGCTTCCCCCCTCAGACCCGTCCCAGGCCTCGCCATCACCACCACCTCATCCAACTAACCATGGGAACAAAGTGGGCTACGGCGGCGCAGCCCCCCGCGTCCGCGGCTCCGTGACGGTGGACCTAGGCCGGCGGATGAGCCGCATCCTCGACATCAGCGCCGAGGACTACACGTGCCTGGTGGAGCCGGGCGTGAGCTTCTACGCGCTGCACCAGGCGCTCCGGGACCGCGGGCTCGAGGAGCGCATGTGGGTGGACACGCCGGACCTGGGCGGCGGCAGCATCATCGGCAACACGGTCGACCGCGGCGTCGGGTACACGCCCTACGGCGACCACTGGGCGTGCCACTCCGGGCTCGAGGTCGTGCTGCCCACGGGCGAGGTGTTCCGCACGGGCATGGGCGCCATGGAGGGGAGTAACACGTGGCAGGCGTTCCCGTATGGCTATGGGCCGTTCTCAGAGTGGGTTTCCCTTCGTGCCGTCTGACGAACGGAAGTGGCTGATGATGTTTAGTGGTCTCTTTTCCCAGTCCAACTTTGGGATCGTCACCAAGATGGGCATGACGCTGATGCCGAACCCAGGAGGGCATGAAAGCTTTGTAGGACCAGACTGCTTGTCCATGTTTCGGATGTAAGTCGCCTGCTAACTGCCGCCTCAGATGTATACATTCCCGAAAGAAGAGGATCTCACGCAACTCGTAAGAACACCCCCCCCCCCCCGGTCCGTCAACTGCTTGAGCTCACCACAACTCATCACCACCCCAAACAGATCGAGATAATCCGCCCCCTCCGCATCTCCATGATCCTCGAGAACGTGGCCCAGCTCCGGCACGTAACCCAGACCATAGCAGGCCGCGGCCACCCGCGCACAAAGTACTGGTCCGGCGAGGGCCTCATCCCGCCCGAGGTGATCCACAAGGCCGCGGCCGAGTCGCCCCTGGGCGACTGCACCTGGATCTACTACGGCATGAGCTACGGGCCCGAGCCGATCCGGCGGTACAAGCTGGACATCGTCGACAGGGAGTTCAAAAAGGTGCCCGGGTGCAGGAGGGTCGACCCGGCCACGCTGCCGCCGGATGAGTACTTCTGGGCGAGGGACAGGGTCGCGGCTGGAGGTGAGTCTCTCCTGGTCTCTCTCTCTCATTGATATTGCCTCTCCATTCACAACCACCCTCTGTCTAACCCGTCATCACTATAGTCCCCGACATCCAAGAACTAGCCTGGGTGAACTGGGTCCCCAACGGCGCGCACATAGCCTTCAGCCCCATCGCCCCCATCCGCGGCGCAGACGCGACGAACCTCTACAAGCTCGCGCGCGAGCGCCACGCCCAGTTCGGCGTCGACGTCTTCCCGGCCTTCATCGTCGGCCTCCGCGAGATGCACCTGATCGTCGAGCTCGTCTACGACCGGCACTCCCCCGCCTCGCGCGCCGCGGCCCTGGCCTGCCTGCGCGCCATGGTCGACGACGCCGCCGCCCTGGGCTACGGCGAGTACAGGACGCACCTCGCGCTCATGGACCAGGTGGCCGGCACGTACGGGTGGGGCGGCGGCGCGCTCGCGAGGTTCAACGAGCGCGTCAAGGACTGTCTCGACCCGAACGGGATACTGGCCCCGGGGAGGTGTGGGATCTGGGGCGCGAGGTACCGCGGGAGGGGGTGGGAGATGACTGGGGCCGAGGGGGAGACGAGCGAGGGGGCTGGTGTAGGTGGCGCCGGGGAGGGTGCATCTGGTTGAGAGGCGTCAGTCTGGGATGTGATTAGCTCTGTCGTTTTCCAGTGAGATTATGCCAGAATCCAACGTCGTCCCAGTCGTGAACGGAATTACACAGATCGTGTACACAGCAAGTCACAACAATGTCACTCCCAGCTCTTCTTCAGCATGGCATCACTCAAGGCAACGCACACGACCAGAAAAGAAGAGAACAAATCTCCGGCAATGGAGAAGATCAGACACCAAAAATTGGCCCCGTGTTGACCCCCCGGAGGGAGTGGACACATGACAAGGGGCCCCGCGCCGTGCAATGGGTGCCCTGCCTGTCACACGACTGGCGGACTTTTTGATCTCCCGTCGTGAGGCTATGTAAGTATGCAGAAGGAAGAAGGAGAGCAGGAAAGACCTGCCAAGGACTGAGTTGTCTCTTAAACTTGGGCCTGGGCATTCGGAGCGGGTGGAGTGAATGAAGTGCCGTGTTTCTTTGTCTGGCTCTTCACTGCGGAGCTCATGATAGCCAGGAACCGAAAACGATGCCAGGATTTGTGTCCACCGGCTGGTGAAAACAAAGGCAAGGGGACTCGAGGAGGACTCGAGCCTCCATGGTCCATTTGGGCCTTCGTGAGGCTCAATTGAAGGCGTGCAATAGGAGAGGCTTTTTGCCTGAACATGTCATACTCGCGGGACAGCCAAGCTCAGGCGATGGAGTGAGGTGACTTTCATTAGAAAAAGGAAAATGAAGCCAGGATATAATATAATAGGAAGCAATGCAAAACAGGTATCTAAAAGCCCCTTAAACATCAGGAGACCAGCTTCGTCGCGGCCGAGCTGCACGGAAGTGACACAGAAAGGAGAAAACAAGACATTAGCCCTCCTCTCCTGGAAAGATTCGACAATTAGACATGGAAAAACATTACTCGCGGGTATAATCTCGTCAAGGACTTCATAAGGACAAGTGTCTCCTAAGCGTCTCATCGTACGCCTCTCACCCAGCCGCCGCCGCCGCCCTCTAGGCCTCGGCGTGGTGCCCGGCCGCCGCGTCCTGGCCGGGCTTGGGCTTGCCACCGCCCAGGCTCATCTGCTTGAACCGGTGTGGGTCCTCGACAATGTCCCACGCGGCCTCCTTCTTGCTCTTCCAGTGCTTGCGGCCTCCGTACTCGCCGTCGCTGTCCAGCCGGCTCTCGTCGCTGCTGCTGATGCTGCTCGAGTCGGGGCTCCGGTTCTGCACCAGCTGGATCCCGCCGCCCTCCTTCTTCTTGATCTGTCGCTGCTGCTCCTTGAGGTCCTGGCACTCGTCATCCTCCCAGTGCATCACCACTACGCCGAGGCCAGGGAAGTTGCGCTCGAGGAATTCGCGGAGGTTGGGCAGGATGCGCTTGTCAGGGCGATAGGTCCCGCTATCGTTATCGATGACAAGCTGGTAGTGCCGCGGGTCAGCTGGCGGTTGAGAATGTGGTGGGCCGCCGGGGAGGTCTTCGGACGGATGGGTGGGCTCGCTGGGGTCCGGCTCGCCCTGGTGCTCCGGGGCGTCTGCCTTGGCGAGACGGCGAATGAAGAATTCACCCGAGCAAGCGATGTAGGTCGCCACGTCCGAGTGCATGGTATGCTTGGACAAGAAGTCGATCCCGAATTCCTTGCCCGTCTCGGTGAACCTCAGCAATCCGTCCAGAGTGAGCACGTAGGTGAAGACGCGGCCGCCCTCATCGAAATGGGCCATGCGCAGGAATTGCAGCGAGGCCTCCTCAGTGCAAGGCTTGAACTGGCCCCACTGTGTCGACTGGCTGAAGCTGTAGATCCGGTTGTGTTGCTTGTGCAGGGCCTTGTGCAGGACCTTGCCGCGGAGGCCCGTGGCCGTGAACATGCTCCCGACCCACGAGCTAAATTCGACATATCTATGGTACAGATGCTCCGGCACGGGCCCGGAGAGCTGGAGCTCGTTCGCTTGGAAGCTGTGGTGGGCAGTCAGCTTTCCTGTGCAGGCAGGTCAGAGTTGGTTGCGGCAGTGGTTAGACTTACTCATATTTCTGGATCCTCTTCTCGCCTGACTCGGCATCATACTCGACTTCGTCCTGTGCCTCGTCTTTGTTGACCTTGATGCCCATCAACCTGCCCAGCAACGGACTGAAGTGCTTGAAGAATATCGATGGCCCGATGGTATACATCTGAGAGCCCTTGCCCTCGGAGGGCCCGATGACATCAATTTTCAAGTTGAGACGCCCGGTCATGCTCGTGTTTTTGTCGATGGTACTGGTGATGGCCTTGAAGAAATATGCGCGCTTGCTGGCCATGCGCTTCTTGATATCGAACCACTGGCCCTCTGGGCCTAGGCTCCAGCCCTCTGCAATTGAGTTGGTCTCGAAGGTGACATTGCCCAGGCGATCATCGTGATCGGGGTAGTCCTCATCAAAGAGACGGCACTTGAGCTTGAAGCCGCTGGACGGAACATTTGCGACAACCCATTCTTCCTCCCACACCGGCTCGCATGTTGTGCGGATTGTCCTCGTCCTCCAGCTGAGGGCCGGATCCTCCTTGTGCCTCTTCGGGATCGGGGCGGTCAAGGTAGCCTGGATATAAGGATCACATCGCTGGGTTGAGAGATCGGCGGCTGGCAGATTCTCTGCGCGGTTGAAGATGATCCTGATGGTCCAGCCGGAGGGGAAGTCGGGCAGAGGGGTTGGGTCATAACCTCCGGGCGGGTGGGCCTTGTCCTTAAGCTCCTCCTTCTTACCGGTGACCTTGTGTTTCAGGCCGTGGATGCCCTTCTCGTCGTGGTCGTCACCTTCGTCCGCGGGTGGCGGACTTGCAGGAGCGGGAGCAGCGGGTTGCGCATCGGGACTCTGCGGGCCAGTGCTGCCGTCCAGGGGTACGGTCGCCTCAGCTGGGGCGGGACCAGACATTGTTTGTCCCGCGATCTGAGATTGCAGGTAAGGCTTAGTGTGCTTGAGGGCAGATTATCGCCACGCCCTGTTCGTGTGCTGGCTCTGTACTGTGCAGTACGGAGCACGTGTGGCTGGACGCTTGACTTGACTTGGAGCAGACGGAACAACCACAGCACGATGACGACAATCGGCAGTCAAACAAGCCTGTCGACAAGCCTGCGGGAGGGGTGGAGAATCCCTGTGATTTGCTTGGGTGTCGCTGGTAATGGCACAGTGTAGGGCCAAGACCTGTCAAGTGTCTTGGTACGAGCAGTGCTGTGCGACGGTTGGATCGCCAAGGCCGGAAGATCGACGACCTGCTTGTCCTCCCTCGGACTCGAGACCTGGCTGGCTTTGGTGTTTCTCTGTCGCTGGGGGCTTCCGGAGCAGAGTGTCAGATTGTGCGCGCCGTGAGGAGAAGTTTCGTGCGTCCACCGAACTACTGGGAGGCTGTCGAGTGGATCGGAAGGCAGGCTTGGCGGTGAGGAACCCGGCCCAGATGGCTGGCTGGTTGTCTCGACCCTTGCTGCTTCAGCTGCTTCGGACGTGCGCCCGTTCTCGAGGGAGGGGTTTCCAGTCGATTACATTCAGTCGGATCAGAACAACGGCAACGGATGGAGCAAGGCAAACCAAGGCAGTTTTCCCAGAAGAACCAGAGGGGACGAGAATTATATTGTACTTGTAGGTGGGATTACTTGGTATGTATGGGGCAGCAGAAGCAGAAGAAATGGGTCAAGGGTAGGTCGAGATAGCTACGGAGTGGGTTGTAGAGAGGGCTGTGCAGAGGCCGACTTTTGATCAGGGCCTGTCAAGAAGCTGGCTGTGCTGGGGAGGGAAGCAGGGGAAGCAGGGGCAGAGGGGCAGGAAGGGGGTGAATTCGGGATGGTCGCGATGCTGTGTGGTGCCGAATTCCGCCTGACGTCATTTCTGGCTGCCGTACAGCCGTCTGGACTAGCGTTTGTTAGCATGTGTCAGCTTTACGCTAACAGCTTGTGAGCACAGGATGGACAGTCCCACGCTAAGAAACAGCAGAGCCCCACCCAGTCCGGGTTGTCGACCTTGACAACCTTGCAGTGTTGATCGTCCCATACATATCAGTAGTTTTCTGATTTATGCACGGGCCTTTGTCCCGAGTGTGCTTCGAGTGCCGTATGATGCGAAATATCTCTCACAATTGCTTGGACTGAAGTCAGGGTATAGATCAAATCGTGGCTGACCTGTCAACTGGTGGTGGCGAGCTCTTTCGAAAGCCGCTCCCTGCTTTGAGTTTTGCAACTCAAGCAAACGTACGTACCGGCAAGAGAAGGGCTGCTGTCAGATCACCTCTTGAGTCTTTTGCACCATGGTTCACATTTGTTCACAGGACACAGGAGTCTATCCGAGGGAAAAGTTCCGCCAGAGGTCGTCAGATGCAGGTGCAGACATAGCCCAGTGCCAAAACCGAGTTTACCTAGTTATCTAAGGATGGCTGCTCCGAGAAGAGGCGACAGTGGGTTGGGTTCATTACAGGTCAATGTTCATCAGTTCTTCGCAAGTGACTTTGGTCAGGTCTCTTCAGGACGTTCTCATCTTCATTCATCAAAGCGAAACATTAAATTGGTGACTGTAGCTGCTCTGTCAAAATCGTTTTTCTTGACCCGAGCATGCTGTGTCACTTCGTGAACACAGATTTCGTAGTTCAACCGATCTCGATCCCTCAAGACCTCTTCCGGTTTCGTCAAAGTAATCACTGGCCTAGCAAAAGAGCCCCCTGACCCCCTACCCCCAAACAAACACCAACCCCGGCTTAAAATGGGAACATGGACGCGTCTGAGAAGGAGTTCGATGGGCCTGAAGACACACTGTAAGGACGTTAGACATTGGCGCCTGTAAGACCTCGGGATGCGTAAGCCAGGAACTTCCTGGAAAATGTCGCCCTGGACCAAACAGAGTGCTCCCAATGTTCAAACCTCAGGCTAGGCTATGTCTCCTGCACGGTGACTTTGAGGTTGATTCGGTGGGCCTCGCACCTTTTTGACAGGCTGTCGAGCAACACCAGACCTGGCGGCTCCAGAAGGACTAGTTTGAGTGTTCTCAACCCCTCGATCATAGGGAAGTTCTTAGCCAATGCTTCAGCGGTCTCACTGGCAGGTATCTCTTTCCCGCTCGAACCCCGGTGATCTTGGTCCCACGAAGAGTCCAAAATACGACACGGGTTGCTGGGCCAGTTGCGACTCCCTTCAATGAGTGTGAGATGGCGCAGGTTCCATCGGCTTTGTGAGGTTTGTTGACTGCGCCATTTCATCCAGTGCAGAAACTCACCAGGACGCAAGCAGAGCTCAGTGCCGCCCTTGTTGAACAATCTTGTGATGCCGACGGTCAAATGTGAGACGGCTGGGATGGCTGAGTGTTTAAAAGACCTCCAAATGGGCGCCGCAGGCGTCGAGAGACCACCGACCCAAGCCAGATGGAGGTGGGGAAGCATGTCGTCTCTGATTTGCTTAACCTGAAGGAGGGCCTTGACATGGGGCGGAAATGGCATGGGAAGCTCGATTTTCTTTGAGAAACACCAGATACAACCAAGACAATGCATGAATCCTGGGCGACGCCTGTAGGGAACGCAGACACAGCTGGAGGTATCGATTTTGTAAATTTGAATCCGGATCTCGGCTGGAAGTGACATGAAAGGAAAAATGTCTCGCCTTGGGGTTGAGAGGGCTCCGCCCTGATCGTGCTCCAGTTGATTGGGTGCCATTTTCCCGATGTTGTGGGTGGCACTTCGAAACGAGGTGAGTATTGAACAAAGTGAAATGTCCCGAGGTGGAGATTTTGAGAGTTCGCGATGGCAGCTGAGTTATATACAAAGCGTTCTAGGTGTCTGGTTTGGCTGAGCTAAATAAGACTACCTAGATAGACTATTTGTTATCTGCAGTGGCCTAGAACATGGTTGAGATGCTCATGTGATTTTGCTCCATTACACCTCAAAATTAGCCCCCTATGTTCAATCTAGACGATTGGAGAAGTGAGTGAGATTGGTCTAGAAGATACACGTCGCTCAGGATGTTGTGCCACAAGCTGCCTTGCTGATAGCAGTGAATACATTCAGCAAGCATAGTAGTGGTCGATGCCTTGTGTACAGGTCTTAATGATTCTTTGTTTCAAAGATAGTAATTTCAAGATGGGGAGTGGGGAAGTCGCATTTCTAGGCGCTAACGCATCCGCGAGTTGTGAAAAACAAAGTCACCTTATTAAAATGTTCCTGTTCAGATTCAAAGAACGAATAAGTTGTGTGTTTCTGATGGAATGGGTCTGTCTTGGCCCTCTCGGACGGAAGCGAAGTGTTTGGGGTGCTGGGCGCCGCGCAGCCACTGCTTCAACATTTGATAATCAACTTGCTCGTTTAGATTATCTCTAACGCTGTAACTAAGCCTAGCATATCTGGATAGCTGCAGCATAAGGTGGTATGATAAAGAAGTTGGATGATTTTAGTGTCATCTTAGCTTCCGCCAGTGGGGCGCTGTGATTTTGCAGCAGTACAATTGTGATTTAATCTATTCGCCTTTGTTTGGCTTGTTCAGCTTGCTCGTGTGCGAGGAGGTGAGGCATCAGTCTTGCTCAGAAAGCTTTCCATCCCCTAGAACAGGTAACAAAAACAATTATACATGTTTCACATCGCAATCAGAGGGTGTGTCAGGAGACATACACGCATTGTGATTAGGGCGTTTGATTTCTTTTGTTGTGCACCAGGACTTCTCATGCACAGCTGTCACAACACAACAGCCTAGCCCTAACTATACACAATTATCTCAACAGTGATAACCCTCAGATGACTGCATGGGAGTCATCAAAATGACTTGATCTTTGCTCTGTGCATAGAAGGACCCGTCAGTTGCCCATACAAATATGAAGATAACCACTGAAGCCCCCATTCCTCGTAGTCTCCCATGTGCTGCTTGGTATCTGCCCGAGATGAACAAGCCCAGCTCTAAACAGCAGGTCGTCGTCCGCTCCAGTCGTTCCAAGGCTGGGTCAAGATACTGCTCATGCTCAGGGTGGCATGCAAATCCATTTTCTCAGCACATTTCACCTCCTCCAGCCGCACGGTGATGATAATATTCTCAGCCAGCCATGCGGACAACTTGATTGTCCTGAAGACGGAACCACTCGGAAACCTTTTCTTGGCCGTATGGGCAGTATCCGATTCTGCCGTCGATTTCGCAGCTCTCACATCGCTCAAGGAATGCCTTTACAGCCTCCTCGCCGGCGTGGTCTTTGAGCACGATCCTCAAGGAATCCAGACCAGGAACGACAGAAACGTCTGTGAGAAAGCGATCAGGACCGTAGGAAACATCAACGGGGGTCCGGTATGGTGGTTGCCGATTTGAGAATGGCTCATTTGCCTCCACCAACGTCAGTTTCTTCAGGCTCCACGGGTGGAGATGGGGTCGCAGGCTGCGCCATCGAGTCCACCTGAGCAAACGGTCCAATGGTTCATAAGAGGACTGCTTCCTGGGACGCGAGACCGGACGTGTGAACCGGAAGCTGAGGCTGTTGATGTAAGGGACGACCTGGCGTTTGAAGCATTCCCACTCCAAATCGCGCTGAAATTGTTGCCGTGGGTGAGCATCAGTCCACTCGAAGTGGTACCTTCCAAACAGATGCGGGATGAGCTCGTCTCGGATGACCTTGACCCTCATGAGAGCTCTGATGGTGGGAGGGAGTCCCGGGGAGGCCTTCCTGTTACTGAGACGGACTTCATCTGGCATGGCAGAATCGTAAACCATGAGTCGAATCTCGGGGAGAAGAGACATGAAGGGGAAAGAGTCCTCTGGAGGCGAGGGGGTAAGTGAAGGCGGAGGGCCGGCAGCAGGCGGAGGGGCAACCTTCTTGTGAGTTCGCCGTCTCTTGGCTCGGGCCATGTTGCAGAGTTGGTAATATTCTATCTGTCGGGGTTTCTGTTCCGATGGATGAGCAAAGGTAGGCTGTTGATGGGCAAGAAATGTAGATGAAGCTGCAGGGAGGGGGAAATCCAAAGGTTTTTAAGTAAACACCAGGCACTGCATGGAAACCCCGCCGTGGTTGCCTGGTCTTTCAGCAATGGGACGCGTTTGACCGGTCGCGCGTGGCACGCGATGTGGTGGATTGTAAACAACAAGCTGGAGGTGACCTCACACGCCTACTGACCTACTTGACAGCTGAGCCTGGAGCAAGATGTGTAGTATCTAATGTCACGGGTAACCTCGAGACTGGATTACAGTTTTGCAACAGAATCATTGGTTTCTATTGAAGATCTAATTTCTGAACTTTTGGTGGCTGCTTGGCCATTCGATCATGATCTGAGGCATCTCTCCACCTGCTTCCCAAACCATCCTCAGGCTATGAAGCATCCTTTATGGTGTCCTCGGCAAAGCAGCTCTCAGGCTGCTCCTGTGAAACTTTCCCCCTTTTTGAGTTCCATGGTTCAGATATGCCCACAGTCAAGTGAAGGCTTCCTGACAAAGGATGGCAATATTGTACACAAACCCCCTGAACGCCAAGCCAAGTGCTTCCCGAAACTAGGCAGAGGTTTCTTTTCAATTCGCACGACTTTCGTCCCAGATTGTTTGCCGATCAATGTGACCAGCATTAGGTTTCACCACGGGATGCCCGTCGCTGGCTGGTTGTAGAGGTGAAGCTGCCATGGAAATAACTGTCTTGCTGTGATAAGGGGTTTGCACCCCCAAAGCATGTCATCCTTCACTTGCCGACTAAACTGAACCAGCGTCCTCAAATACTTCGTAGTCGTCGCCAGACTCAGACTGAGGATCAGAGTTGCCATTTGGATCAACCTCGGCCGGGTCGAAGTCGAGGTCGGAGCCCAAGTCGGAATCAGAGTCAGAGTCCTCATCATCTGAAGATTCCGAAGGCTCAAAGTCGTCGTCCTCGTCCCCGTCGTCTTCGTCATTGGATGGTGGGTTGCTGCCTTGAATGACAGCAGCACAGAAGTCCATGCCCTCAGGGATGTATGCAAACTTGGGGTTCGCCCAGTCACGGATACCAGGGGTCTCCATGAACGCATTATCGGATCCGATCGTGGACTTGCAAGAGACTTGGCCCAGCGGGAGGGGCCACCTGGGGGCTCGATTGTTGAGGAAGGCGAGTAGACTGGACTCGGGGATAGTGGCACCGCTCTCGAAGTCGCTGTTGTCAATCTTGAATCCCTCCAACTTCATCTTCCCGCTTGCAGAAAGTCGATGCAGCAGGTTCTGGCTGACAGACCACCTGCGGAAGCTCAAGTGGCGCAGTACGGGGCCGTATCGGATCAAGAATCTCGAGAGGAGGAAATCCAGCAATGGGACGCGTCTCGCAGGACCATCTCGCAGGTTTAGGCGGGTAAGGTCGAGTAGTTGGATATCCTCACTGAACAGACATTGATCTAAGGCGTCCATGAGTGCGTCAATTCCGACCCTCGGGTTGGCCTTTTCAAAGCAGAGGCTGATCTCTTCGAGCCCGCGAACTCTGTCCAGGCATGCACCAAGCATGGCCCAGCAGGTTCTCTCGAAACCTCTAGCCCAAGGCCGCCGGATGCGTGTATCTGTGGGAAGACCCAGACACAGGTCAATTGTCTTGAGGTACTTGAACGAGAGGCCGTGCCTGTACCTGATGCGCTTGATGCTGGACGAGTCGCCATAGGCCTCGTCGGCCCAATGCAAGTGCTTGATCGTCTGCCTAAGACGGGTCAGAGCGGGAAGCAGGACGGTAAACAAGCCGTCGTTCCTCTGATAGTCCTGGATATCGGAACGGATGTCCATCTGAAACAAATAGGCCACGAACTTGTATTCGCAAGTGGAGTTGGACAGGATGTGGTATGCTGGCATGGGTCGAGAGGTGAAAGTGTCCAGTTTAGGCAGGGATTCAAGTGCTCGGTAAAAGACAGGAAACCACTCGCCGAGGATCCTTGAGCGCTGCAAGTCAATGGCGTCCTTCTGGGGGTCATCTTCTTTAGGGGTAGATGGTAGCCAGAACAGAGATGATGCAAGGTTTGACAAGTCAGGGAGAGTGTGGCTGTTGTCGTGTTGAACTGCGTCAACCAGCTGGCGTCCACGATTGCCATGATACGCCGGCATCGCGTCGTTGGCTGTCTCAATGAATACGTTCTCATCCTCTGCCAGCTCAAACCATACTAGCTCCTTCACATGGACAGCTAGCCTGGAAGTTGAAGCGACATTGCAGAAGGCCACGCGGTCTACCCTTGCCTTCGAAATGTGTGCCCGCCGAAAGACGAGAGGGTTGAGGATCTGCTCGAATTTGCCGCAGACGACGCGTAAGGACTTGTGGTCTTCCTGAGACAGTTTGTTGAACACCTCGTCCATGATCTCCCGGGGCAAGTCCATGATGCACGTCTTGCGAATTGTGTTGTTTTCTGGATAGTTCAGAAGGAGGTCAGCAAGAGGTTCAGCAAGAAGTGGAAGTGCCTTCTTCAACAGAGGAAGACAATTCAGTCAAGGAAATCGAATATAGGGTCTCGTGTTAAAAGAAATGGGGAATGGATCTTTTACCTCTTGCCTGCTGCTTTGAGTCTCGCATGGCCACTTTCTTCACATCCTTGTAGATGGTGTCCACAGCCATTTGTGGGTCCAACTCACTGTTGACCTGGTTCATCGTCTCTTTCTCGCCTCCGGCAAGAAGCCCAGTCGCGAGGCAATTCGCGAGCTGCTGCTTGTCTTCACGCTCCGACGCGGTGCGCGGGCGCGACTCTGGAGCCATGGATTGGTTTTAAGCCTTCGGCGGACAGCGCTGCAGTGCTAACAAGCTTTGTGTTGTGTGCACGCTCGAGGAATGATTATTGAATCCAGAAAGACCGAGAAGAAAGAAAAGAAAAAGTCCCAGTGCTGCAGGTTGTATTCTCGGGTTGTGGTTAACAGAGAGCTGCAAGGTTGGATGCAAAGGTCGCGTGGTACAACGGCGTGGTGGGTAAACAACCACGACAATGGAGCTTGCTTAATTTTTAAAGCCAGCAAGCTGTACAAGCCCCCCGCGATTAGGTAGCGAGTTCAAGTAAACAAACTCACTCAACAGGTATGCACCTGCGAGTCTTCTGCAAGGGGAGAGTGATAAAGAGCATCTTCGTCAACTCCCTCAAAGTCATTCGAATGGCCTGATGACAACCTTCTCCCCAGACACCCCCTTCTTGTTCTTCTCGAGCGCGTCATCTAGCGCGGAGAGCCCACCCGGCACGACGACTGGCCGATTGGGTTCAAAGAGCCCCTTGGCTATCCAACCATCCTCGCCACCGAGAATCCGGGCCATTGGCTCACTCAGATGCCTCAGCGAAGGAGCGCTCCCGATGCCTACGATTCCCTTGAGCTCAACGGCATGGCCGCGTTGTGCCAGCTCCACGATCTCAGAGTCAAGGGCACCACTCTTGCCCTCGACAACAGCGATCAAGTCTTCCTTGTCCGCTGTGCTCCTGACCAAGGTCGCTCCTGGTGTCTTGGCCAGTTGGAGTATTTGGATCCCTAATAATAGCGTGGACTTGTGGACGATTGCATCAATGGCAAGAGGAAGAGGCAGGCCATCAAGTGCTTGGTGGAATTGTTCAGGTGTTGACTGGGTTGCGCGGTCCAGCACAACATGCGCTCCAAGCTTCTTGAGGTGTTCCACATGGGCAGGGCTGGAGTTGGTGATGATGTGCGAGAAGCCGGACAGCCTGGCGAGCTGAATGGCATACTGGCCCACGGATGAGCTGCCACCAATGATCACAATAGCCTTGCCATTACCGGCAGTGTCGCCACCTTTATCCCATGGAGCCGGGAGACCAAAGCCCTGGCACTTGTCAGTAGTTATTCTCTCACCTTGAGCACCCGAATTAACATTGCTTGGGGGACTCAAATAAATCCTTACCGACTTGTCATACAAAGAAGCAACACCCGCCACAGTACCCAGGTGGACACCAGCAGCTTGATCATCAGAGATGTTGGAAGGGGTCTTGGAGACCAAGGCAGCCGGCATCTTGGTATACTGCTGGAATGTTGAAGAGGCGTACTTCAATGATCCCCTGGAAGAAGACCCTAGTGCCAACCTCGAAACCTTCGACATCAGCCCCCAGGGCAGCTATCTCACTGGCTGCGTCAGAGCCGAGGATGGCCGGGTACCCGGGCAGGAATACCCCATTCTCATGAACTTTCCAGTCGACGGGGTTGATTGCCGTGGCAGTGACTCTCATGGCGACCTCACCAGACTCAAGAGCTGGGAGCGACACATCGGCAATGGTGTGTCCGGCGCCCGGAGCTGCAAAAGTGGCTGCTTTGAAAGTTGAAGGGACTGGCATGATGGGCGTGGGCATTGGCAGCAATCAATTGAGTGGATGATCAAGTTTCAGTGGTGCTGGGTGCTGCGTGCTTGAATTCCCGGGAAGATTGCAATAGTGTGGTCGACCCTCGGCTTCATGAAGCGTGCAGTCTCCTGGCAATGGTGCAATATATTCTCATCCGATTTATAATTGACTCCTCGGTCATCAAGGGCGCAACATTTGGCAGATGTCGTTGGACCGTCTGAGTAATCAGCTAGTCCCTAATTGGGCTCTTATAGGATAGCCATAGGATGACCATCCGCTAAAGGCGAGGCCTGGGAGATAGCTACATAGAGACACTATAAAGAATGAGGGAGTCAGATTTTCACTTTACTTACAGAGAGCACTTACCGCTCACAAATTGTATAGGCACTTGGGTACCTACTTTATCTCTGGACAGACATTGATCTGTTAGTGGCCTCGTGTGAGACCACAGTGAGTGTCGTATCATGGACTTAGCGACAAAAGCAGAGATGCACTCAGTCCGAGTCACTCTGCATAGCAGGCAACAGACTGACATATTGAGTATCATCAATCCGCCCTGATGCTTGGGCACCATGTAAGCCAGCAGGACTCATCGTGGTCTGCCCCCGTTTTCCCCGAGGAGTGACCCGTTGTGAGAGATCCATGCCACAGTTACGGATGCGTTGCAACGAGGATGACAAAGGAGGTGAATACCGGATTGTCAGCAGATTGGTGTTTTGCATGTGTGAATCCACCCATGCGTTTGCTCCTGGTTCAAGGTTGATGATCCCGGGGCGGTCTCAGGCCACTGGGCAGCTCCACGTCAGCTTGTCCGGGACGAAAAAAACAGCGTTGGGGGCCTGAAACAGCCGGAGAAAGCTTGATCGGCATAAGAGCAGAGCCGCCTCAGCAAGGGAGCAAGCCCCATGTCAAGTTCCTCTAGTACTTTGGACGATCTCGGAAATCTCAAAGGAGCGAACCCTCAGTGAATGGTAGCGGTGGTGGTGGTCCTAGTAGTTGTGATATCCCCAGGGGACGCCCGAACCTTTCTGGAATTGGGATATAAGAGGCGCAGCAGTTGAAGCCTCCCAGACGAGATGAAGGCTCAAAATTGATTTTTGTGCGCATGTACGTGGAACAGGTTCAGGTTGAAGTTAATGAAGCGTGTCCGGTAATGATCGTTGCCCAAGACCCACTCGTTTTGGAGGTGTGCAAGATGTGGGCCATTCACGGACGAAAGAATGGAAAGAACGAGGGCCAAGCGACTCAGGTGGATGGACGATGACGACATCGGATTCATGAGGATGTGCTGTCCATCGCCCGGCATTCGTTGTGCGCGCTGATTGAGGGTAAAGGGGCTGCGATCTTCCCCATCCACCCACCCATCCGTCCGTCCTGGAAACCAAGAGCGTGAGATGAGTGCAATGAAGATGAGCGTGGTGTTAGGATGAGCGTTTCATGCGCGTTCATTCCATCTGTGTGCCGAGAAGTAGTCGATCAATTAGCTGGGAGCTCCCGGGATAGATGCTGTATGTTGACCCAGCCGGCTCCCAGATTGGCGAGCCAGACCAGGCTCGATGGCGTCAGGGCCTCGAACCCTCGATGCTGCCCTAGTGCAGCGCAATATATGTGCAGCAACGTACGTTCAGTACTGCAGAGCTGTTCCCGGAAGGTTTGAGTGCGGTGTGTGTGGAGGGAGGATTGCAGATTCCAAGATTAGTCTCGCCGCACCGCGCCTGCCTCCAAGGGACCCCCACCCCACCTTTCCGTTCCAAGCTTGGGGCAGGGCCTCGCAACGGTAGCCAACGGTCGAGCACTGGAGCAGTCGAGTCGCTAGATCTCAAACGTGATGGATCTGGGGCCCTACTGTGAGATTGCGTACGTACGTGCCTCCCTCCGTCCATCCATCCAGGCCATCCAGACACACGCATACCTGGACAGTCACCTGCAGCATCGCCTGCACCAGCACCCGCAGGATTCGAGCTATCCGGCCCAGCCCAGCCCATCCTGCTGCATCCCACCCACCCGATGCTAGATGCAGCAGGCAGATTGCATGTGCAGCAGCCATTCATTTGATCCATCGGCTGCGATGCTCTTTCTTGGGGTTGCCTACATGCTCTAGTCTCGCGCTGCTGGTTGGGTCTGCCAGGGTCGTGCCGGTCAGTCATTGGACGGAGCGAGGGGCTATCCCAGGAACGGTCGACAAACGGAACGGGGAAGATGTGGGAGGACTGGGAACTGGGCCTGGGCCTGGGACAGGGACGGGCACGCATCTCGTAGACTCTGACACTCTGAACTCTAATAACCGGCCGCAGCACATTGCGGGCATATCACTACTGTACGTCCCGTACATTAAACAATCGAGGCTGCCAATCTCTCCTGTCCCTTCTGTCGTTCCTTTTTTTTCCTGCAACGGCCCGAACTCTGGCGTCGGCTTCCCACGTCTCGTCCTCCTAACCACGCACTCGTTCGAGTCTTACGCCTTGTGCCTCGTCATCGTTATTTCCGCCCCAGACTTGACCTTGGCCCGGACGGACCTAGAGCTACCACGGACCCCAACAGTCGCAGGAAGGAAGGAAAGACCAGCCGAAACCCCCAAACTCACGTCGTGCGACAATCCAGCTCCGACACTGCGAACACAGAAGAATTTACAAGGAGGCAGAAGTTTGAAAGGAAAAGGAAGAGAATAGGGCAAAAAGGAAAAAAGAAATCGAAAACGGACACCCAATTGTAGAGCAGGACGCTCGCTTCTTTCTCCTCGACGAACATCCACCCTCCCCCGCAGTCACCATCGCCAACGCCAGCGCCAGCGCCAGCGAATTGCGCACCGCTCCACGGAAAGACGTTGCCTTGTTGGCGTCCGACATGAGAAGGTAGCGCCATGCTCATACCACAGCGCTTCCAACGAGTCGTGCCAGTCCTCGTCGTCCTCGTCCTGTGCATATTCATCCTCTCCTCCAGCAGGTTCCGGGATGCCGCCATCGTTGACTCAATATCACACCAGATCGCCGGCGTGCACAAGTCGGACAAGCCCAAGTCTGACGCCGCACTGGAGGAGGAGGCAAAGTTTAGCACACCGCCCACCACTCCAACACCGCGGCCGCCTCTTGAGCCCGGCCAGTGCATCCCCGAGATCGAGTTCCTGAGGCGCGAGGAGCTGCAGCTGAGCGACAACATCGTCTACTCGAGGCGTTGCATCAAACCCAAGTTCTCCGATGACGTCGACCGAGCTGTTATCCCCAAGCTCGAGGGGCCCATCATCACCCAGAAGGCCAACATCAACCTCACCTCGTGTTCTCACCTCGAAACCCTGCCGTGCGACGAGCTGTCCATCACCGTCACCCCGCCTCCTCCCCAGGAGAAATACGCCCATTTCGTCTTCGGTGTCGCCACATACTACGAGCGCATGATACAGGGGCTGCCTGCCTTCGAGCACTGGCTAGCAGGGACCGATGCGCTCCTCGTGGCAGTCATCGTGGACCACGAGGGCAACGACCTCGGTGCCCTTCAGCAACTCTTTGGCCAACATGGCATAAAAATGGCCACCGCCAACGGCGATCCCAACCTCACAATCGACCAGAACCATTTCGTCATGCTGCGGCCGACCGTGCAGAACATCAGTCCCGAGACGAAATGGGTTGGAATCCTCGATGACGACACCTTCTTTCCCTCTCTGGACGCGCTTAGCAAGACTCTTGAGCAACTAGACCATACCAAGGAGCTGTGGCTCGGCCAGTTGTCGGAGGATTTCTACTCGGTGCGGTCATGGGGCTTCATGGCCTTTGGCGGTGCAGGCGTCTTCCTCTCGGTTCCATTGGCCAAGAAGCTGGAACCCTTTATGGAACAGTGTCTCGAAGAGGCGGCCCTGCCATCGGGTGACGGCATGCTGCGCGACTGCGTGTACTACCACTCCAAGACCAAGCTGACGCTAGTGCCGGGCCTGTACCAGCAGGACATGCGCGGCGACCTATCCGGCTTTTTCGAGGCCGGCTTCCGCGCGCTGTCGCTGCACCACTGGAAGAGCTGGTACGTCGAGCCCGTCGACAAGATGGCGCAGATCACCAAGGTGTGCGGCGACTGCTTCCTGCAGCGGTTCCAGTTTGGCGAGGACACCCTCTTCTCCAACGGCTACTCGATCGCGATGTACCGCAAGGGCGTGCAGGGCCTCAACCTCGACTGGGTGGAAGCGACCTGGAACCAGCACGGGCCCGAGTTCGACTTCAGCATCGGCCCGCTCAGGCCGGCCCTGAAGAAGAACGAGAAGAGGAGCTACCGACTAAAGGACGCCGAGTGGCTCAAGGACGGCAGCCTCAGGCAGATCTACGTGTACAAGGCCGACTGGAAGAGCGGCGAGACCACGGACGAGGTGATTGAGTTCTTGTGGGATCCGAAGGCAATTCAATAAGGACTGCGAGGGCGGCTTCAAATGGGTTCTTCGAATTCACTGTACATGGCATGGCATGGCATGGCATCAAGGATGTTTGAGTGGGCGTTGGTGAGGCAGGAGTTGGGCGTCTTATATCCCCCGTGCACTGGGAGGATCTGCTTTGGGTTGCAGCGACATTTCCATCTGCAATGAGGTGATTGTATAGAACAAGACTGTGCGCCCCGTATGGGAGCCACATATATATACCGCGCATGTGTATATGGGAGGCTGTCACATCTGATTTTGGTATCGAGACGGGAGTCTCGCAGCGGTAATGGGAATTCAAAGCCTCGAGCGTATTCTGTCAACCTGGCGGTCTTCAACGTGTGCCGTCGTGGTGTGTCCAGGTTGGGGTGTCGGCCAACTCCTGCTTTTCTCTGCTAATGATGTGGTGTGGGAAGATATCGGGTGCTGACGGTGGGTATCGTCGGAAGGTTCGACAGTTCTTCCGGTTAGGATCGATCGCGACGAAACGTCCTGTTCAACTGGATGTAGGCACATGAGACGAACGCCCAGACCCGCTGGATTCAAACGCTGGAATAGAAATTCTGCTTACCCAGGGGCCAGGTCGACCTGTCGTTGAACCTCCCCAAATAAATGCGAACGTCCTTCGTCGCGCAGTCATCTACACATCCCACGAGCAACGGAGCCATAGCGGCCTTCTGATGTCCTATCATGGGGGCAGATATCGGCGAAACTCCCAATCAAGTTTTTGCGAACGCGAGAGTAGTTACCGGCGTGTCGGGTGCGCCAAGGCGCTCACGGACTCTTCAATGCTGCGCACACGTGCGCGAGCGAGCACACGGGATCTTTGAGACGGGGCCCGCGTCTCCCGTCCGGATGAAACCAGTGGTACGGCGGTACACCCGCCCGCCTCCGTGCAGCACCGAACCGAAAGCAGCACCAAGGCCGCGACCCGGCCTTCAGTCCGTATAGGGGAGGGGGTTATCCCGCTGATGTTCCGCTTTTGGCCGGCTGTGGGCTGGCGAGGATGATTATTCCCCCTGCTTGTTGGTGTGACATGTCGACGCACAAGACGAGGTAACTGTGAGCTTGAGAGTTCGAGAGGGCAAGACACGTGCGTGCTCCATGTCATCACTGTTGCGGAAACAGCACAGGAATATTGCTGGCATGTACCCATCGTCGCCAAGCCCTGCGCCCCATCTCCCCGAGTGGCACCGTGTAGGAAAGAACAATCCGCCCAAGCGTTCTGTGCCCTTATCAACCACTCACCCGATTTGTGACCACGACATATTCAAGCGATGCGTCAAGCAGACTATACCTGACACCGGGAGCACTTTCCACCAGTCCATCCTCCAACCTCCACTCCAGGGGTGATGGTAACGCCCAGATATCCGCACAGACACGGGCAACGGCAGGCTGCGCCCCGTCTGCCCCGTTCGCCGCCACATCTCTTGACCTGGGGTGAAGGCGAGCCACGCGACCTGCCGTCGCCCGCACACGCAGATCTTGATTGTCTGTGGTCTGTGGTCCCCGCGGTCTCCGCCAGGTCGTTGGACCAGGAAATTGTCCTGTGTGGCGGCCAGAGTGGCGCGCTCAGGTGCCTCATCGCCAGCCAACCACCAGGGCCAGGTGACCTCTCGCCCTGGCTTTCTGTTGCTTTTGCTGTGGCTTCCCTTTGGTGGAACGTGGCGCGGGCAGGAATAGACATGATGTCTCGGGGGCGCCATCTTTCTGAGACATGCGCTGGCCTGCTTGTCTCTGCTTTTGGCTCTTTGTGGGATTTCGTGGCTAGATGAGGGGGCTGAGACACGATCCCGCACGTCTTATAGGGCTAAACATCCCGTGGCGCCGTGGCTTGTTTTTTATTTTTCCTTCCAGACCCATTTCTTACGTCGGTTCTGTCGCTGGGACATTGTGCAGGAGGACAATGAATCCGTGCTTCGTGCCACGTGTGAAGCCCTGTCCCATGTGCTCGGGTGCTTCAATGGGTGCTGATCAGCATCACGGGCATGTGGGAGAGGAGTTTTGTGTACCATGGTACATGAAATCTGTGCGTGAGCACTGAAATCTGTTGGGAGTACTGGTCGAATCAAGTACGTCGATCGGTTAAGTTTTGGCAAATCTTGGTGAGCACAAACTGTATTATACTGTCACGTTTTTGGCCGCTATACTATAAGGACAAAAGTGACGCCACTAATGCACAGTACACCCGGGTCCTTATATACGCGACATATACTCAGGATCGCATCTCAGCCCATGTTCGGACGCAGTCACATCGCCTACCACGCCGATGCGCATGCGCAAATCGCAGCGCGAGGGAATCCTCGATGTCAATATCAACCTGCATCTGCCGTGTACCCACCCCTCAATAACGCTTATGCTATACGCCTCATCCCACCACCCCTAATCTGCGCATCCAAGATCCAGAGCCGGCTCTGATACGCCGTGCCATCATCCAAACACGGCCGCACCCGGTCCCCCGTCCCCGTGGCGCTGCCCTTTATTCCACAGATAACGACAAAACACCGACGGAACAGACACGGCGACGGATAGCCGCCACCCGGCGACCCTGGAAATGAGCGCTAGCGAGCCGCCCTTGCGAACGGGCCAGCCGTTGGGTAAATTGGTTTCTCCGCCCTCGTGGGCGCGGGAGCGACACACAGACACATTAAAAAAAAAAAAAAAAAAGAGACTCGCGTTATCAGTGTAGCCGAGCCGTGGTGGGGAGATCTCCCGACCGGGGTATGTGTAGCTATGCGCTGCCGCGAATAGCATCGCAGCAACTACAAGCACTACCGGACCTACAGTGCAATATCGGTCGTGGTCGCTTAGGCGCCAATGCGTCCGGCTGGGGTAGTGCAGGGGAAGAGAGCGCGCCCAGGTGACAGAGGGAGTGGAATAAGGAAGAAAGAAAAAAGCACATCGCAATTAGATTGCGGGGGGAGGGGGGCAGCCGGTGTGACGGTTACCTGGCCGGCCGAGTGGGTGCAAAAGAAAAGTAGGCTACTGGGCCACTAACCTCGGGAGACAGGAGTATTTTGGGGTGCTCGGGAGATTTTTATGACACATATCCTCTAAGGTGACCTCGAGACCTCGAGGGTGAGATCGCGTTGTGCCGGGTGCGACGCCACGGTCAGAGTAACGTCGTGTCGGGAGCGACCCAGAGGTCAAAGCTAGTCTGAGGTTAAATTGATGCCGGGCTCCTGGCTGGCTCAAGGTCACAGTCTATGGGCCCTGGAATATGCCCTGCAGACATTACTCGTGTGAGCGCTTCTTGTATTGCATGGTTTGATTACTGAAGCACTGAGCACAAGGTAGATGGATAGACAGGTTCACTAGGCGGTTGTCAATGTTGATTATTTTGTTCGCTGTCTAGGTATGGGTATCTCTGCAGCATCTCTGCAGCCGCCCTGCCCCCTTGGCCTGCCTTGCCTTGTCGTGAGACGCAGAACTCTTTGGTTGTGTTCCTGTGACCGGCGCCCTCGTCTTCCGTTCGTTGGGTTTGATTGCATCTCAGGCATGGCTGACGCATCGGAGAGGGCACTGCCATTCTCCCCCTGCCGCAAAACATCTGCTTGGGTGCTGTGTTCATCATCAAATGGTCATCCCAATACCACAGCCGCGGTCATGTGAATTGACTTCCCCATTACTTCTCTTGTCCTCATTAGGTAGTAGCCCGCGCCTGGAACACGATGTCATGAGACAGCGGTCCTCACGGATGACATGGCATAAGCTCTCACGATGTGTCACTCGTGTGCATGGCGTGGGTGATACATGTCGCGTAAATCGTCAATGTGACAGCGCACTGCCGGTCGTCTCCTCATCATTCGACTCAATTTCTTGCCACCAATTATCTCGAGCGTGGCGAACTCAACGCCCCGCGACCTAGATCAACACGGCCAAGACGCACAAAGACCCCAGCACCAACATGCGGAAGCTCTCAGCCGCCGTAGCCGCGGCGCCTGACGTGGTGGTTCCCGAAGAGGATGATCCCGAAGAGGATGACGACGCAGTCGACGAGCCTGATCCCGAGCCAGACCCGGATCCAGAAGAGGAGGTGCCGGTGGCCGACGAGCCCGCCGACGCGCCCGTTCCTGTCGCGGTGGCGGTTGAGAAGCCGGAAGAGGCGGTGTTCGATGCGCCGAGCTGTCCTCCGGGGGCACCGCCGCTCCCGGGCAGCGCGGTGTGGGTCCCGTCCGTTGTCGACACGGCCTGGGCGGTTGGGGCGCTTCCGGACTCACTGCTGCTGTCGCCGCCACTGCCGCCGTTCCCCCCGCCGTTGCCTCCACTGCCTCCGCTGCCTCCGCTACCGGGCGTGGGAGTTGCTCCCGAGGCGGGAGGTGGAGTTGCAGCGCCTCCAGCCGCCGGCGCGGTGGTCGAGGGCAAGGTAGTGGTGAAGCTAGAGGTTGCCTTGACGTCCACACAGTTGCGGTCGTAGAACAGGAACGGGCTGTTAGACTGTTCGCGGAAGTTGGAGTCTCTGTTGGTTGTGGTCAGTCGGGGGTTTGCTCACTCGATCTTCGATGACATGTACAAGTCCACTTACAGCGGTGATGCGTAGAGGAGGCATTGGGAAGAGTCGAAGGCGAAGGCCTGGCACTTGGAGTCTGACTGGCAGCGGGCCGAGCAGGCGTCGAAGTTGGCGAGACTGCCGTCACCACTGAAGAAATAAGCCTTCTCGCCTCGGTCGTAGCCACTGGAGAGACCGCAGGTGATTTCACATGTGGCAGTGGAGGCCAGGCCAAGGTATGTCAATGTTGAGATCTTCATGGTGACAAGTTGAGTAAGCGAGGTAAATTACTGAGGCGTTGAAGATAAGGGGGAAGTGATTAGATAGTTGACTAGTGATGAGAGTTGTGGATTATTTGCGATAGCGAGCGACTGAAGATAGCGAGTGAATAGTTTGGCTTCCGAGGAGCAGTGATAAGATACAACCCGGCAGAGGGAGGAGGACAAGATGAGCACGCGAGGAGATCATCTTGGGCGCCGTCGCCGTTATATCAGTGGGGGGGGGGGGCGCTCAAAAGAAGGTCAAGCGCAAATGAGAAGAATAAGGCCAGGCATTTGCTGGCATGGTTACCCAAGATACGAGGGTCGATGTATCACACTAGATCCATGGGCCATGGGTAGACAGAAGGAAAGAAACGGGCATTTCCTCCATGGAGGGTGACTGCAACGACTGATACGAATGCCACGGCTTGGGGCCAATCAGTTGGTACCAAGGTTTGGGTTGCAATCTCCGCTGGGGCCTGGGTCGTGTGTCCCACGATCCTTGGCCGTCTGGGGTGGGAGGGCCAACTCGGGACTAGCGGCGCGGATAGGCACGCGCCTCATATCGAAGGGTTGGTCACGCTTCATGCACGAGACCCTTCATCATAAGCTTAACAGCGCAATAATGGCGTGGTACTCTGGGGAGGATTTTTTTTTCCTTCTCACTGGTCCTCGGCCTTGGCTCCGACCCCCACTGGCACTGGGCGTGTACTACCGCATTGCATTGTTCATGGTAATACAACAAACAACGTGGTGCAGGCTTGAATGTGCGATTTGGGCAATGAGAGGAATCTATCTACCCAAGATTTGTCCCGCATCTGCTCCCACAATAGATGGTAGGAACCGAGGAGGAACCGACTATCCGGGGTCCTAGGTAGATTCGGATTCCGTACTACTAAAACGCGGCCGACTAGTCGCGACTAGAAAAGACCAACCGCGGAGCAAAACCCGCCCCGGACAACATTATGATGATCTTAGCGGTGGCAATCCAGCCCAGTGGAAAAACTAGAATTCTGTTACTCAAGCGCCAGTTGTGATCATTGATCGATGTGCCGACGGCGGTTGGTCAGGCCCAGGAAAAAAAGCTGATGAGCTCAGGAGATGACAGCAAGTAGCCGCTGCCCAGAATGCTCAGGGGTTAGCCGTGTGCTGCCGTCCTCCGGCGCAGATTCCCGTCTGCGACCGACTCCAAGAAAACCGATTCCTCCAAGCGTGACCCGCCTCCTCTCTCCGCTTGTCAACATGGAACCGCCGCCCCCTCCTTTTTGATGAACGCCCCTGCTTTTTTCCCTCACTGTGGCTTTCACTCACGATCGGCTGTCTGCCTTGGAGATCAAGGCATGACGCAGCAGAAGCAACATGTTTGAGGCGACCAACATGCAGCGGGGAAAAACACCCCACGCATCACCTTTTGCCAACAAACCAGGTGCATCCGGACGCATCTGTTCCTGCAGGCGCACATGTCGCGCCCGCGGGCCTTGTGATTCTGGAGAGCTGCAGCCGTAACCGCAGAGCCAGAAGGGCCTTCTTTCACCTCCCCGTATCCCAACTGACTGCCTGACTTGCAGAGACTGCAGGGTCAGCTGTTGCTATCTCGCCAAGAGGGGGTTGCATTAGCCTGCAGGTGGCTGCATGGTTGACAGTTGATAACACCCCTAAATGGCCACCCTGCCCTCGGTGAAGGCCCAAGTATGGGATAGGTCCAACCAGTTTTCAACGAGATTGGGCGCTATTACAAGTCAGCACGACGCTTGGGAGGCAGACCACCAGAGAGGGCTTGCCCAAAAGCAGACCAGACACCCCCTTTTGGGGAAGTCTGGTTCGCCTAGCGCTGCCTGCATGGCCATCGCGTGTGTGCCATCGCGTGTAGCCAGTCCCGGCTTGCTGCGTGCGGGCGGCTATCGTGGGAAGACCAGACTAGTCTCCCTCAACGGTGTGTGTTCTGTGCACGCGGGACTGCGACTCTGATTCCGGCCTTCACCACTATTTGCCCTGCGCCCCCAATTGTATATACACTGTCTTGAGCAGTCCGGCCGACGGCATTTAATGGAGTCACGGCAGCGGTTCAGGAGCCTCGGTTCATCAGGAGCCGCTCGTGGGTGTTTCCGGGGCGGGATGGCCGCGCCGGACCAGGATTTGAGAGCGTCGAGGGCTAGCCGGTTCTAATAATACACCGCTCCTTGTTCACAAGTGTCATCCTTACTTGGCTTCGGATAATGCACACTTCCGTCTTTGGTCCTACTGTTGCCGTATGCATCCGGTCAACCTCTCCGGGGAGTGATGTAAACACCAATGTTGTGGACAGAAAAAGAGAAGCTGATATGCTTGAGTTAGGTTAGCCAAAAGCCTGCTCGATTATTCAAATTCTCTTGCCCAGGTATGCTTTGCTCTGTTACACTTTGCAATGTATGTAGTTGAACCTTGCAAATGACCTATATGAAGCTTTTTGAATCAATCGGCTAAAAGCTTTGTATGATATAAATGATCAAACCCATGAACAATTTTAATTCATGAGATCCTGGTTATTTGACAGCTGAGAAGGAATGCAGAGTCAAGAAATGCAGCTATGGGAAAGGCGCACGTGCATTTGTTCACTTCGACTTCAGTCCAGAGTCTCAAGAATTCCTTTGCGTGGTCTCCACTCTTCCATTCTCGTCGTGTGAGCCTATACTGAGAGTGCTCAAGTATTTGAAAGAAGATTTTACAGGAGTGAATGAGACTACACGCACACACAGGCATGAAATAAGCAGAAAATTGAGGGACACAACGTGATGGTCAGCTTACAGTAGGTCGATTGTCTACTGGCCAAGGCTCTCTTGGCGGAAACACAAGGTTGTCACGATGGGCTACCTTAACATCCTGATATAGGAGACAAAGGACTTTGGAGTTTGCAGTCATCATAGTCGCATCTCATCAATTTCAGAATTGAACCGCGACACATTAATTCATTGAAGGAATGGCGCCCGTTTCCTTGCTCGTCAGCGTTACTCTTGTTGCAAAAGCCCGTGCGGCTGTTCAACGGCTTCCTGGGCAACTTTGTACATGATGGCCATTGCGTCAGAGGCCATCTTCCCATCGTGTTGTGGTTCGGTGCTGTCGAAGTGCTCTAGAGCTGCCTTTAAAAGTTGAACGTCGTCTTGAGAGGACTGTGTTTCATGAACATGGTGCTGGAATACATCCATTATCTCGCAGGCCTGGAAAAGTCCGAACATGTTGAATCGTTTGAGAAAGGCTGCATTGCCTCCATTAGATTGTATAACAAGATGAGACGTAGGCCCTTACCTCTCAGACACTGCATGCTAGCATCGGAAGCAGGAAGTGGATAGTCAGAACCGTCGGCGGCCATCGTCGTTGGTGAGTACGTCCAACGGGCCTACAAAGGTGCGAGCCCCAGTCCACTGGACCGATTGGTAATATTCAACGGATGATTTGCGGCTGACACGCGACCAATAGCATGTATTCCCTGCCGGAAGCGCAAGACCAAGTGCAACATCACCGCGGAAGAGTACTCCTCCGGTTCACCATGCGCGCGCTGTCGTCGTGAGATGCGCGAGTGTGTCTTCCCTGCTCAGCGGCATGGTAGAAGACAGTCCATTGGGGGCAGTCGACGTGAGTACACACCGTCTTCCCATCCCGACGCAGACTCATGGGCCAGCCTGTCTCTGACATTATCCATCGGGCCATCTTGCGCAGCCAGAGGACCTCCTCGACGTTCAAGTGTAGGAGACAGTCACCAGTTCATGCCAGAGGCCCTTGGACAAGCCTCTCATGGGGGATACGCATCCCCGCTCCCCACGACACGCCTCTCAGTATCATCTGCGCCTAATCAGCAGGGCAATGGTACACCCCCTGATGGACCACATCAGGGGATCCAGCCCGCGTCTTCCGGCCTTCTGGCTGGCTCTGTAATGCGGACAGTGGTATCAAATGGGCATGGCGCTCTCAACCTCCTCTTTGAGGCCGCTAACCAGGAGGGCCATTCCGACAGTCAGAGCCCGGGGTCGCGGTACCCGCATGGGGCCGGGCGCACACCACACTCTAGCTCCGGAAACTACTCTGTTGCTGCCTGCACGAGTAGTCCTGCCGGCTCAGTGCCCGTGAGCATGAGCGTGGCACCGAGCGGCATGACTTCAGACACTAAGACAGACGTCTTGGAGGTCTGGAGTGCATTCCGGTTCGTGAGGATGGGGTGGCTGTCGGCGCAGGAGGCAGTTAACTTTGTTGATTTGTGAGTGTATAAATCCCGCCACCCTGTCACTCAGTCAGTAACTAACCCGTCGATGATCACAGATTCTTTCAAAACATGTCTCCCTTGTCGCCTGTGTTGGATGACTTCTACGCTGATCACGTCAACCACTTTGACCTGGTTACCCGCGAGCCTCTACTTGGGTGTATGATACTAATGATATCATCTCGATATCATACAATGTCGACCACCGGTGGCCATTCGAGAGGCTACCTACTCCACCAGCGACTCTGGGAACACTGCCAGCATATCCTAATGCGGATCCTTTTAGGCCAAGAGAAGAGTTCCAAGGCCAGGACGCGGACCCTGGGTTCCATAGAGGCGCTGATACTCCTTACCGAATGGCACCCGCGGGCTTTACAGGTCCCTCCGGTCTCTGACGGGTGGGACTCGGACATGATCATGTCGTTCCCGGATGTGCGCGACCAGAATGGTGCGGTTGTCGACAATCCGTCCCGTGACAGGTGGCTTGAGGACGTCATCCAGCCTGCACAGCGGTCGGACAGGATGTCCCGGACAGTGCTGGGCATGGCCATGACTCTTGCGAATGAACTCGGAGTGTTCGACCAGCAAGAGGATGCGGATACAGAGAAGCTGTCTCAGTATGAGATCCGGCAGTACCACAGACGCAAGGCACTGCCCAAGCTGTTGTTTCTGTACCAGGAGCAGCTGTCGTCGAGGCTTGGCTGCAAGTCCCTGATGCCAGAGAGCGTCAGCCATGGAATCACGTCCTCCAGCGCGTCGAGAATGTCGTTTGCGAAGCGCGGGGAGGACTGGAACTCGTTCATAATTGCCTGGACGGAGCTCACCAAGATGGTGCGGTCCATATCTGACGCGCTCTTCCCGTCGCAGGCCATCACGAGCCAGCTGCTCCGCAGCGGCCGCTACATCATCATAATCGAGCATTTCAGGCTGTTGCTCTCCGGCTGGGAAGAGAAGCACCTGAAAAGTCTCGGTAGGTCTAATTTCCATGCCGGCTATAGAGAGCCATTCAGCAAAATTGACCAAGCTCATTACTAGGGACCAAGACATATTTTTATGACCTCCTGACCGTCGAGCACCAGAACACGCAGGCCCACGCCAACTCTCTGGGTCTCCAAGCCGTAGTACAGAGAACCCTAGCCGGCTCAGACGCCGCCTCCACCGCGGGCCAGATCGAGATCAGCTCGACAGACTACAACTTCATCCAGGCCGTCGTCGACGGCTGCCTCGAAACACTGAAGATAACAGCAGCACTCGCCCAGAGAAACATGCTCAAGTACGCCCCCGTCGGCGTCTTCCTGCGGATAACCACCGCCTCAGTCTTCTTGCTCAAGGCCCTCGCGGTCGGCGTCAGCACCACCCGGCTCCGCCGCTCGCTGGACACCCTGACGCGGGCGATATCCGCACTGCGCGTAGATTTTCAGGCGCTGTTTGTTGCGCGAGGCGTTTGTCGAGCGCCATTCGGCGAGCGCAGCCTTGATTTCGGCTGCAGTGGATTTCATTGTGTTGTAGTCGTAGTCGTAAGACTTGTGTGCTTTGTCACGACTTGTTTGTTTGCGCTATTTGGCAGAAAGTAGAGTAGAAAATGCGGAAGGAGCACCCAAGGGTCTTGCACTGGATCCTGGTTGTCCTAGTTGCAAACTGTTTTCGTTTTTCTTTTTTTTTTCTGAATGCAATCAGTATATGCAGCTACCGCAGGCAGGATTTCTTTGGCAGGATGATGCCGTGTGGCTGCCGCATCTGGGAGTCTTTGGTGCGGACTGGGAGCTCTCCGACAGTCATCAGAACCACCCGGCCGGTAAGGATGTCGAGGAGTTCCCAACGCAAGAAACTCTTCTCTACCGAGCCTACTACTCAGATCCAATCGCAAGGCGCCACCCGTGGTTATTTGAGCTAGATTGGCCTCCAGATGACACCGAGACCGATTTGGACGACGACTATATTATGAGTCATCTTTGGTCAGGCGAGGCTGTCTACGTTCGAAGTCTTGTCACCCATCATTATCTCGGAGTGGCTGGCGATTAAAAGTCTGTCATTGACCAGGAAATGGGAATCGAATATGACGACGAATCATTTGCGTGTTTACAAGTAGGGTGAGTTCCCAAAATAGAGATTCCAATTTTAAGCCTTCAACTGTGCTGACGGCACGCCATCAAGTGGGCAAAAGGAACGGTCCCTCAACACCACATGGCGGATTGAGTACAGTCCCGGCTTGGATAATGGATTTCGCCTGTTCAACCTTGTCCAGGATTGTTACCTAGCATCCAGCTTTCGATCGTATCTTGACTGGGATGGCGATTTGGGAAACGATACCGTCAGCACGCACATTCATCAGCTTATTGAGGCCACGTGCACTAGAGCTGCCTCGAAGCAGGCCTCAACTCTGTTCGTAATCGAGGGTACGCATGTGTGAATATCTCAAGAGAGTACAAGGGAATCTGACCGGTTTTACAGGGACGCGACGGCCTGTGAATAACGGCGCGGCAGGCAGGCTAGCTCCACCAGCCTTCATGCGAGATATTTTCATCAGAGGCTACCGCATTATCAGAGGTGTGTTATCTCCTCGTAACATGCGAAGGTTATATGGTGACGCACTTGACGTCCCCAAAATCCTGCTCACTCGAGACGCGAAAGCTAGCGCGACGACACAGGCTTTTGAATCCATCGTCTTCGTGCTCTTCATCCTTGCACATATCGGAAGGCTTTGCAGACAACAGAGATCTGTCGGCAAGATGGTTCAAAACCCTGTTATAATGTCCCCTCTACTGCCAAAACGCCGCCCTCTGATTTCTCAGGTTACAACAAGCTCTATACTTGTCTACAGTCACTGCTTGGCGTACTATGCTATCGGGGCTGCCAGGCCATGCGAAGGACGACTTGTGCTTCTGTTCGCAATTTTTGGGCTGTACGAGATGGGCTATAGTAGTTGAAGGTATGCAGGTCTAACAAGGTCGTGTTATAATGCATATTCAGGGCTCATCCTTCGCATGATGATAGCATGTCCGGAGTGTGAACACTTTTGCCTGTCGCTGGCAGCTTCTTCTCGTCCGTAGATATCAGTACATGACGATACCTGTGAACGAAACCTGGTGCGCCCGTAGAATCAAGCGCACTGTCACGTGTACAAATAGTATGTTAACTTCTAACAGCGCTAAATACATATGCACCTGGACGGATTTGACATTGGAACCATCAAGGCCCCACTAATCACGTATAGTAATTCTACTATGTTAGATTTTATATCCTTTAGTGGCATTGGAAGCAAGTGTGGAGGCCTCAAGACTTCCCTCCCTGTGATGGAGGTTTGTCACTGACCCACAGCAGTGTCAGCTTTCAGACCTATACGGCGACTCTTCAGGGCACAGAATAGAACCCCTGCCCCTTCCCACCTCCTTACAGGAGCCGGAGGAAGGGTGAAAGAATACTACTCTGGGAGGAATACTGGAAACTCCGCATCACCGTTTCACGCCCACAGTCACTGTTCGGAATGGGCGATACAGGCACCAGAATTCATTCAATTCTGAGTTTCGCAGTTTCCTGCGATACTAAATTCCGAATCACTAGTCTAAGACATCGGACACGTTGATTTAACCTGTGGGCTCTTGATACTCAGGTATGCGTGTTGGCTGCGTCAAAATCCTGCTCCTCCATCTCGCCGAGCGGGACATCATTCGACAAGAAGTCTTTCAGGCCTGCAGTTTAAATCCACCTGGAACCGCCTTTTGAAAGATACCCTCAGGGTCATACTTCTTACTTGCTGCGCGGAGTTTGGATACACTCTCCTCCCCGTAGCCTGCTACAACATTGTCCTTTGCGTATCCGTAGTTGGTAAAGATATAGCGATGTAGAAGACCCTTGTCGCGTGCGAGGCCTCTGAGCTCCGCAACAAGGTCCTCGATATTTGTAAATATGCGTGAGTCATCCTCGGCCAGCTTCCATGCAGGATTGATGAGCACGACAAATAGCGGACCATCAGACGGAGGGATATCCATCGCATTTCCGCCGGCCCTCTGTGATGCTTCGAGCAGGGCCTTAGTGATGGGATGGAATCCGAACGAAAAGATGAAACTTTCTGCGTTCTTCACCTTTGACAGTGTGCTCTGCCACTTCTCGTACAAGGACTCCATAAGTTTGACGTCAGGCTTGATCGTGGTTGAAGCCCAATACTGCCTGGACCCCATTTAGCCATGTTATTAATCGGAAAGGAGGGGTACTAACCGTAAGCCGAGCGTCACTGGAGAACTTAGAAAGCTCATCGTAGAAGCCGAGGTGCGTTGAAGTCCGCATCGTACTCATTTGCTTGATCCGCGGTTCCATCGTGGTGAAGCGCCGCAATGAAGGCGCATTCTCCTTGCCCTGTACATGATACATCACGCACGTCACGACCTGATGGCCGAACCCGTACCCAGCACTGGCCTTGACATGGGCGCCCTGGTCCTTCTCGTTCAAGGCAAAGTCGCAAGCCGCCCGTGCAAGTTGGGAGAATGTCTCGGGCATGTAGTACGTGACGCCACCCCAGATGTCGCCCGCTCTGAAAGTGCGCAGCTTTAGAGAGGTCACGATGCCAAAGTTGTTGATACCACCTCGCAGGGTGACCCAAAGGTCTGGGTTGGCTTCCGCACTTGCCTGGACTACTTGGCCAGATGCGAGCACGACCTCGAACTCCAGCACCGAATCACAGGCAAAGCCAGTCCTGCCAGAGAACATAGACAGCCCCCATAGTATCGATTTAGCATCGATGACCACGTGTAGCTGCACTGCGAGAACTCACCGCCGAGGACTAGTCCGGCAACACCAACGCGACCGACTCGCCCGCCCGCGGTCGTCAACCCATGCTTCTCCAGCTCCATGTACACAGTCTCCCAGGTCTCGCCGGCACCGACCTCGACAACACCATCTGCGACGGTGATTCCTTTCAAACCCCTGGTGTCGATAGTGACGCCATTCTGAATGTTGGCGCTACCAGCAAACGGGGTACAACCGGTCCCGCGAACGGCCACTTGGCGGGATCCATCGAGAAGGTAGGGACGCAGGGCCAGGACCAGGTCTTGGACTTGCTTCACAGTGGTCGGCTTGGCGATGAACGAGGGCTTGATCTCGTTCTCGAAGGCGCTGAAGTAGGACCCGTTGTCCGTCTCATACTATTGCTACCGGGGCGTAGGATTGCCGATTCGCTCAGAGCCTGACATGTTGCCGATGGTGTATGTCACAGTGAAGGGGTGTATTTGAGTAATGACTTGAAGGAAGTACGAGATTTGCAAGATTAGAGTGGTGCTGTCGTCATGGGCAGTAAAACGAGCGATTACCAGAGGCAGGCAAGCTAATGGAAGGATGCGGCTGAGGAGGGGTTCACAGGGTTGCAGTCCTCAGCGCTGTTGGTAGAACCAACAAGTGGGACCGCACGAATGCAGCCAGAGTGTGCCTTGCCGAGATTCATTACATCATCCCTCACTGACATTAAGTTAGCTCTTCTTATGGTTGTTGAGCCTTGGTTGGCATGTTCTTTTCGCGTTTTGTTGCCTGACCTGTCGTGCCTAGTTGGGGCAACCGTTGTCCATGTGTATGCACATGCAGCTTATTTGTGTTAGTAGGTGGCAGTTGGGGGCTGAAAAGCTGTACTACCACATTCGTCTGCAAGATCTGCACGTTGATAACCATTCAAAGGCAACATGCCTATCTATCAATTTCAGGTGAGGCTATTTTCGGCCCTTCAACCACACCCAGTCAGCCACATATCACTGAAGCTGAATCAAATGCACTGACTTCTGTCTCGGCGGCGAATATCGCCCCCAATTCGTTTGCATCTGATGTTTGGAGACTTCATGACACCCTGCCCCGACCTCGAAAATTTATAATGACGTCTGCCCCCATCCCGGAGGAAGTCTCATACATATCCCATGCTCATCTTTAATCATCTTCTGCAGGTCGCCGCCAAGGATACTCATTCAACGACCGTTTTCATCGCTTCTCTACTCACACTTTCCCACGATGACTAATGACACGGCATGGCCAGATGCGGCTTCAACGGTCAAGTACAGTGTTCAATTGGGAACCTGGATTAATTGGTCTCGGGGCCGTGTTATGGGTGCGACACTGACCCTGAACCGAGTGGACGGGAACCTTCTTATTGCATTTACTGCCGTCTTTGTCGGGATAGTGACTGAGAGACTCTGGCGGATTGCTTGCGTGTTAGTATCCTGTCTTTCTAAAAGAATTGTTAGAGCTTATGCAATATCCAAATCTTTTGGCCATTTTAGGTCTGTTCCAACTATTGAGATACGACGAGACACTGACCTAGGTAATTGCAGAATCTTTTATAGATGCTATTCATCCTCTGAATCGCGTGATGCGCTATATCATCAGCAGCAGGCAATACTGCGCAATTCGACTTGTATGCCACATTGTCCCCAAAGTCTCCACTCTTGTCTGGCTTTTCAGGCTTTTCAGGCTTGGCTTGACTGCCTGCTTTGCCACTTGACACGCATAACTGACAATTGACCTACTGGAAATTCAGCTCCAGTATCGGCCGTATGGACCCTCTCGCAGCTCATATGGACCTGGCACAATGTCGCTACACGTTGTCTACTCCGAATCCTACCTACGGTTCTAACAGCTACTCTATGCCTCTGTATCTTCACAGTAGCTGGTGGTTTCTCTTCGTCCATATCCTCGGGTATCACCAACGAAGTGCTCCTCAACGGTACCAATTGCGGCGTTGTTTCAATTGATTCAACTGATCCAAGCTCAAGCCTCGTTATCGACCCCTACTTCTCGCAACTAGTTCATTCAGCTGCAAATTACGCACAGCAATGCTATACTTCCAACGCACCCGGCACATTTGATTGTTCGCACTTCGTCAAAGACCACCTCCCTAGTACAATCAATAATCAGGCCGACTGCCCGTTCAGCAATAAGAGTATTTGTCGAAGTCAAACTTCGAATATCCGTCTAGATACAGGATATCTTAATCTCAATGAAGATCTAGGTGCTAATTCTCCTCCGACTGAGAACATTCTCTTCAGAGCAGTTCTTCATTGTGCACCTTTGGAGACTCAAGGTTATACAGAAGCTGTAACGGGACGACTTGATAATTTCACTAATTACCACTATGGGCGCCACATCTCTGGAGTAAATTATACTCATACTGTTGAGAGCTTGGAATCACAGTATAATAGACAGGCTGAAAACATCTTTCGTGGCCTAGGATCTAGTTTTATCCTGTTGTGAGTCTCTTTTTCATTCTCTGTTTAAACATACCCTTTGTGACCCTCTCTATGGGATCCCCTAATTCTGATAAGTCACAACCCATAATAGTGGAAAAGGCAATACTGTATATCACCACGAGGACTATGTGGAACACGGGTCTTTTTCTCCAATACCCGATCTTTTCGATCCCGATGGGGATACTATCATGGTTTTTCTGACTGGAAATGGAATCGAATTCCAGGCCAAAACATACGACCCCTGGTACCGTGCAACCCTATCAGGAAGCCGGGTTTTCTCGCAGAATACGGATGGCTCTTCTCAGTTATACAGACCGGAAGAAGCAGCCTCACCCATGGGATGTCTTCGGCAGCACCAATTCTGCAACCCTTCAAGCAACACTTGCGGTCCTTTGGCTAGCTATGCCGATGCGCAACTTGAGGCAGCTCCTTTGTTCGGCATCACTGCGGCAGAATGGGAGAACCTCACAGTCTTACGAGATACACTCAGTTCCCGTTTCCAATGGTTCATAAGACTCATGACAAGCACAGAAGCCGCTCTTCAAACCACTATCTCGACCCTGGGCCCAGACGCTTTGACTTCACTCAAATATATCAATCATGGGACAATGGGACCGATTTCAGACAATCAGTGGCAACTTGATGTTGAATACTGGTGGTCCACGTACTTGGCATCTCTACAGGCAGGAGTTGTGGACACAGCTCGTGGGCCCTTAGATTCAACACTCAATCCTTATAAGGTGAAGCCACTCAATTCCCATATGCAAGACATGTGCAACAACCAGGTAAGATACACATCTCAGCCATAAGAATTTCACTCAAAGGCTAATATCAAACTATTTAACTCATTATAGAAGATCCGTAGCAATGACTACGTTTCTTTTAGCCTTTTTGGCTTGTACTTTACTTTCATTACTGGCGGCCTGATTATTATTACCTCCTATATTCTAGAACCTGTCTTTACTTGCCTCTACGATCGACGGAAATACCGGGAGTATACATACCTTGAATGGTACGCATCAGAGACTCTTCAACTCCAGCGCATGGCTTTCGAAGGTGTGAATTCGGGCACTTGGTCTGGATACACGGATACCATCCCACGGACGAAACAAGGCGAGATCCTCGGAAGTCTAGTGAGCACCGCCGGCTCGGCGGGCAGCGGAGGCCAAGAGGCTGAGCTGGCCTCTTTGGACGACCTTCTCGACGATACAGACAGTCAGACTTGCCGCGACTCAGATCAGCGTTAGCTCTTCAACTAGGCCTTGTGCAGAAGTGTCACTGCAAAAGTCATGTTTGTGCTTCGGCTTTAGGTGTGGACTCCGGAACAAAAGGTGACGGCCTGACCGGTCACGCCACGGGTATCGGCGGTGGATAAATTATTATATTAGTCTTATTCGAGTCAAGCTGTCAATGGAAACTCTATTTGTGACCGCCCGGTGGACATTCGACGCGAATCGGACCAATTGTGGCCCACACTCTTATGTAACATAAATCTCAGTCTTCGCTTACCCATAAGAATGGCTGCAAATGCGAGCTTGCACCCAGAAATGGCTAACTCGCCATGGGTATGTTCTGACAGTCTTCTGTGTACGTCTGTACCTAGGTAGGTCTATGCAGTGTCCCCAATGATGTTCCGGCCGGCTCTCCTAATGACCCAGCTCCTTCACTATGCCACGAACCGTTCTCCGCCTAGGTATATCCAGCACGGCCTCGGTATCTCCAGGGCGTCCCACGCTCTCTACCCTAGGAGCTCCCTCACCTCTTTCGGAATTTCGTCAACAGCCATCTTTTGCTCGAGTGCACGCCCAAGTAGGTCATGCATTTGGTCTTCTTCTTCCTGCGCCATAGCCTGGTCTCTCGGATGAGTCCCAACGATCCGGGACCGGTTGAAATCCATCACAAACACCTCTTCCGCCCCTGAGCCTTTCCGTTTACGAAGAAAGATATTTCCAAAGCCAACGCGTGGCCACGAAGCATGGTCGACAAAGTCCCCGTGCACCATGTTGTGCGCATGCAGCTCGCTTATGATGCGTCGGAGCTCCTTGGCTAGCTCGTCGTTGAGCCTGTCTACCGTGAGAGGCGTGAAATTCGGCATATATTCTAGTAGGAGACCCCGGCGCTGCTTTGCTCCAGACGGCGCCGAAGCATAGCTGTCACGGTACCCACTACAACGACCCGCTATATAAACGTCGCAGCTTCGCCTGCGGCTTGTAGACTTCTAGCTTTCCTCTCTTCGTGCAACAACAAGTTATTACTACGGCTACATACTAGCACCGTAACAATAGCGGCTCGGACGGATCCACCTTCCATCAGCCTGTAAGGGTTCTACGATGTCCGACAATTGCAGCTGTCCGAAGCAGAAAGGCCACGAAGACGGCTGTGCGTCGTAAGATGATAGGACAGCCCAGGCGCCTTCTGGGTCAGCTGCGGCAGTTGACCGCTGCAGCTCCGTGTATGCTGCAACCTCTCTCTGGAAGAGCCTCTCGTGGAACTCGTTCGATGGGAACTGCAGTGGTCAGCTAACGCGAGGACAACCTTCCCTCCAGAGCTCACAGTTTTCAGGACACATATGCTTGACTGGTTGGCCGGGACTGTGGTGGACTGTATCGGTTGTCTCCGCCGACAGTCGATCAAGTAGACATTCGAACGTTTCCCCTCGCCATCTTGTATGACTTCGAGTACTCTCAGTTCCACTATCTCGTCCAGGCGGTGGATGATGTCTGGTACGGCGATTTTGCTTTTCCGAGGCATTTTGGTCAAATAAGTACCTGCATTGAGACCGTGTTGGTGACTTTTGACTTGGCGCCTTCTTGTCCATTTGTACGTGGAAGATGAATGCATTACCAAATTAACTCAATCCCAAATTATCCCATTCCAAAATGATCGCATTCCAATATTTCTCTCAGGCGATGTTGGCTCCTCCAAGTTAGCTTATCGCCTCAGCCGCCCGTGCCGTTACCAGATCTATGCAGCTGGCATCTCTCAGCGCCGGGACCCTTCCACCTGTGGTAAAGCCACTGTGCACCTTATTTCTGCCAAGATCCCGCCGGATCTCTGTATTTTGCCTTTCGTTGTCCACCTTGCCTTCATAGATGGAGCTGATTTGTTGCGCCGTTAACCGCCAGCCACGAATCCGGGCACGATCCCTGAGTCGATCAAATGTCCCTCGATCAGCTGCCCAATCTCTCTGTAGGACCAGTCTTTGGCGAAAACAGAGATTTGCAGAGGATCTTCTGCGCGGCTGGCTGGAAAGGGGTCATCGTCGTCGTCGAAACCTGAGCCAGACCTATCGACATCGATATCTCCATGAGGTTCCCATGCCTGAGAATCTTGACGCATTTGTTCTTGGGGGACGTGATAGCGGGTAACTTCTTTGCGATGATTAGTGGCTGAATCCCACTTCTCCTCCTTCCACTCCTTGCTTGCAGAATCTGGAAAGGAACAACAATATCCGAATTTCATCAGTTTAGTAATCTGCGGATCTCGTTGAACTCCATTCGGTGCGTTGTCGTACTTGAAACGGATGAAGGCGTACAGCTCGTTTGACTTCATCAACTTCTCAATGAAATTGTTCAATGCCTTGGGATTATTTGCAATCAAGGTACGAGTTGGGATGCTGAAGTTCAAGTAGGCGCGTTGGCGAGTAAAGGCCGGGGAATCATCAAGCTGATCCTCCCATCCTGGGCATGAATTTGTGGAAATAATTCCGTAGTCGTGCAGGCGAAGGAGGTTCATGAAAGAGTCAGTCTCCCTGTCAGGGGGCGATCCATACCCGGCACAAACGGGCAATCTGCGTTGGAGATATCGCCGGTTGAGCTCTGTCATAGTGTGCCAGTTGGGAGCCCGCTCCCATAGACCCAAAACATTCTTCCAAAATGAATCGCTTGGTTCGGTCCCTGGATGCCACGGTCCAACAAAGCTCTGCCACGAAAGCTCGATCTCCTGGGCCTCGCGATGAATTGTCTCATCCATGGTGGTTGATATGCGAGGCGTCTAGGGTTTTCGAAATGATGATGAAATGAATAGCTTAGTACGTCTGAGCAATTGGAAGACCAGATCTGTGTACGGCGGATAAGAAATATTCGAATTGTGGACTTACAGGACAGGTATTTATATTTCTTTGTTGCCTGTGATATGATGGGCTTTTTGTGTCAGGCTCCTGATTTACACTCATGCTCTGAATGTTTGTCACAAGCCCTTCACAGACATGAATAGACGTTTATGCTCCTTTGTCACCTTCTGTGACTCGGAAGACTTGCTATCTCAGACGTCTGTTGGGCCTCTATCACAAATCAGGATTACTTCACTCATATTACGTGGGTAAAAGTGATATAAATGAACAAGTCTCTTTCCACTTTGTCTCTGTCTGTGACTCAGAGTCTTCTTTGTGTTGAACCCCTGTTGATTTTCATGCCGTGACCCCATCTTATATGCCACACATGCTACATATCGTATTGGTAACAGTGTATGCTTCCCACTACATGTGGTAGCATTACTCTTCACATGATTCTTGACTGAGAGAGTGCGTGTTGTTGGCGACGTAGTTATATCGTTTCTACATATGAGCCTCACTGCAGTGCATGCTTCCATGCAGCTCAGGCTTGTCCAACAACCCACCAACAACTCTCTGACCGTCAAACGGAAGCAAAAGATCAGCTTTGGCTACCGCAATCACTAAACCTTCACCAGTGACGGTGAAGTCTACGGAAAGCACTGCCCAGACAAGCTTCATGGACTTGCCTTGCCCAACATGCGAAAGCCAAGGAACCTGGGCATCTTATGGACAAAATCAAAAAGACAATCCAGAAGGCAGACAGACTTGCCCACAATAGAAAGACAAACGCCTCGACTCAGACAGAAAACAGCTCAAGGGCGACGGGTAATTGCCAGTATCCACGTAGGATACCCAATTCCCGTCGCTGTCGTCGTGCGGTATGATGCTGCCCTGCAGGCCGTTGGCCAGGGTTTCTGTGGCGTTTGATCATGTAATACAGTGAACGCATGTGCATCAGCGTTTAATGCGATAGAGCTGTGTGTAGCTATAATTTCGTCACCAAGGGTCTTGAGCCTCATTAGACCTTTTTCGAGATCCTGCTCTGCCTGGGTGCTAGCCTCTTCATGGGTTCTGGCGAGGATGCGATGGTCGGCGACGGCGGCCTGAAGTTCTGTGACTGACTCTTCCCAGGCGGGACAATTGCTGGCGAAGAATTGAAAGGGAGCCGTGGCGTTTGCCACTGCGGCCGGCTCTTTATGCAGACGCTAAAGCCTGGATCTGGGTCCGCGAGCTGAACGGCTGGTGGGGGCGGCTCTCTGAGGACACGTCCAAGATCAAGGGGATGCCATCGTCGCCAAATCAACTATTAGTGCGCGGATAATGAAAGTAAGCAGGAACCAAGTGGGATGTGTCCTAACAATGGTCAACAGTGAGATAAATCCAAATTCTTTATCTGGTCACAGTGTGTCCCGGGGCACCGTCACCTTGTAACGCCGGTCATGTAGCGGCATCTATCGCCGTTTGCCACGCAAAAGTACGAATACGTGAGCAGACAGAACAACGCACAATCCCCAATGGTGTTTTTGGTCGCCCACGTGGCACTGGGGCCGCCGTAGCCCATTACGGTGCGGAGCTGGCGAAGCATCCGATGTCCATAAATTGGAAGACAAGAGTTAGAGCCGCCGGGAGGTCGTGCAGAGATACGGGGTACGTCCCATTCTGGTCGTTGGTTGGGGTGGAGGTGGCGCAGGGCAAGTTGGAAAGATGGACCGTGTTGATGGCCTGGTCGGCTCGCAGGCACGTGGAACTGCCGCTGCCGCTGCCGATGCTGAGGCCGGAGACGGCGAAGCCGTCGGTGGAATTTGCGTTGGAGCCGCCAGCAAGAGCTTTGTCTCGATTCAATTCTTAGTACTGAGTCATCGAAGGTATGAAGTGGTGCTAGAATCCGAACAGGGTTCAGGTGGTAGGGCCCAGGACCAGGTCCAAGGTGAATTCCTGATGTGCACAATAAATCTAAGTAGTTGCTATGTACAAAGACACTTTGCAGATAATCATCAATTGTGATCGGCCAATACACCAAATCCTCAATCAGGCAGTTGAGTTCCCAATGCTCGGCACATCGGGCGTACCCACCAGAGCCAAGTTCTCAAAGCCGGCCACACCATAGAGAGCAGCGGCATTCGTGCTAACCCACTTGGCCTCATCGACAGGAACAAGGACATCACTGCCGTCGAACCTCTCCGTCCTCCACGGCGCATCAGGCGCGAGGCCGTCCTTGCTGCCGTCGCCCAGGTACTCGGACCAGACCCGCGGGACCAGGGTGGCGTTCTGGCGCCTGTTGGCGACGTAGGCGGTGAAGCGCGAGTGGCCCTGCTTGAGGTTGAGGTTCCCAAAGTCCTTGCCGTACCGCGCCGCCTGCTCGGCCTTGGGGGCGCCGTAGTAGTAGCAGTAGTCGAGAAACGCGTCATAGAAAGGCCGTGTAATATTGCGCCCCTCCGGGCCGAAGTGCTCGACGATCTGGTCGATGGTCTCGAGGACGCCGAAGACGCCCGAGAGGTGGCTGACGGTGACGTTGCCGCTGTTGGACGGGTCCGTGGGCGGGGGCGCCCAGGCGCCCGTGTACGAGTCGTACAGGGCCTCGCCGGTCACGAAGCCGTTCTTGAGCTTGGGGTACGTCCGGAGCGCCTCGGTGATCTTGTCGCGCGCCTCCTCCCAGCCCGGGCCGCGCCGCTCCCACTCGATCAGGTAGGCCTGCGCGAGGCCGGCCCAGTCGGTGCCGAAGTTGAGGTATAGCGCTGTTGGGTCGGGCTTGTAGACGACGTCGGGCGCGCGGACCTTGCGGCGGGCGTCGACGAGGACAAAGGCCTTTGCGGCCTCTTGCACCTCGCGCACGAGATCGCCGGTGCGCTCGTCGCCGCCGGAGATGTAGAAGAAGGTCTTCCTGTACACGGGCGTAGAAATACGAGCCTGCTTTGCGCTGTCGCTCCAGTGCTGGACGCCGTGCCTCGTTCCGAGACCAGTGAAGTTGCCGAGATGGTATGAATCGACCTCTCCACCGTGACGTGCTTGGTCGTGGGCTAGCTTGTATGCGTCTGCGCGGCCAGTGCGCAGGAAGTGACCCCAGAAGAACAAGTCAGGGGAAAGCTCCGAGTTGTCCCAGGCGTAGCCACCAATATCATACCGCCACTGGTGGCGGTCATCGTCATAGGTGTGGATGATGTCGCCGTGGTCCCAGAATCCGTACCACCGACGTTGCTCAACTTGACCTTCATAGAATTTGATGAGGAAGTCCATGTTGTTTTCAATCGTCTGGCCCTCTGCAGAGTCCACTGGCGAGCCTGGCACATCCCAGTAGCTGCCAATGGCTTTAGTGTCGCGTATGTACCCCGGCTCAGGGATCAAGACTGGGGGATTGTTGGTGTGATTGGTGAGAGCCGAGAGGGTGTCAGCAGATGGAGTGCTTGCAAAGGCATACAGGAACAACTCGTTGGTGCGGCCCACTCCGTACGGTGTATTGTACCCGCCCTCATAGTCTTCGTAAGTGATCTCAAGTGCATCCAGCTGCTTCGCGTATGTGTCTTGGCCCAGCCCGTCATGGTATGGTCTCAAGTCGAGGGGCTCAGCCTGGGGGCTGTAAAGCCACAACGTGATGGACCCGGTATCTGTGGCAGCGTTGGAGATATCCAAGCTGGTAGGGTACTTCTTCCAGAAGTCACGCAGCCCAAGGGCAAGACCTCCGACGGAGGAGCCGCCCAGGTAAGCAAGACCTCCAGAGCGGGTGCCACCGGGGATGGTCACCCAACTCTGTCCAGCCTTGGTGCGCTTCTTGAGGTTGAAGCCATCTGGTGAAAGCTGGGTGAGTCTGTAGTCGCTCCACGTGGGGATCCATTGCAGGCGAGTGGTAACCCTCTGGTCCCAAGTCGCCTTGTCAGGCGTCTCAGTGCCATTGAACTGGGCAGACCTCACGTCGGCGCCCGGGTCACGACGGAGACCAGTGATTCCTTGGACCGCTTCGTGCAACAGACCACCATCGACACCCGCAATGCGGACGTGGCGGTTGTACTGCTCTTCCTCAGCAAGAGGCACGTCGAACCGAACACCAAGCCCTGAGATGAAGTCTGTCTTGGCCTCGCCGTCGTAGATAATGGTGTGGATGATGCGAATGGCCTCGGAGTTGGAGTAAAGGTAGAATCGCAGTGTGAATGGGAGCCAGTCATCATGCGCGCCCTCCCTATCAACAGCCGAATGGATGCCTTGCACGGTCACCAGTGCACGCGCCGTGCTGTCCTCCGCGACAGTCGCGTTGTAGATCTTGCTGGCAAAACTGAAGTACTCGATGCCAGCAGGTTTCCCGTCCTCGTCATCGTCAGGAGTTCCGCTCTGAGACCTCAAGACAAGACGACCGTTGTTTCCGACAACTTTGCCGCCTGCCTCGATAGATGACACCAGAACATCGCCCGACTTGGGGAATGTTGCCGTGACCTTGCCAGTGTTTACAACGATCTCGTCGTCAGAGTCGCTGACTTGGACACCGGAAGTGCTGTTGCTGCTCTGTCGTCTCAGGCGGGATGAAGTCGTGTTTCCCGCCCCAGATGCAGTGATGGTGTATTCGACGGCGGGCGAGTCACTGGCACCGAGCGCGTGTCCCGTCCATTTCAATGAGCCATCAGGCCAGACGGCGGTGACCCACGATTGCAACTGAGCATCACCCGAAGCGCTGAAGGTTGTGGCGTCCGCGAGGTGCTGTCCACGGGGCCATGGCAGACCAAAGGTCACTCCCCCGAGGTAATTGGGAGTGCCCTCGAGCCACTTGACCTTGACCGAGTCTGAGGCGGCAGCCACGGTGCTGAGCAGGCCGTACAAGCCAAGCACAGATCTCAACATGTTGAAAAGAGCGGAAGGGTTGGAGCAGCACCCGTCATGATGGGCCTACAATCCAGCGAGCACCTGCGGCCCATTTTGTACCTGCATCTTGTCATTTGTGACCTGCCAGGCAGACCTCGGTATGAGGTATGGCGATGCCATGTCGCCATCGAATTTCCGGTGCGCCACGTCCATTGCGGTCCCAAGTCCCGCTATCTTCTCGGCACGCAAGACTGTACCCACAGAGCGTGACGGCGTTGATTGCCAAGAACCCCAGAAGCGGGTTGGCGCGGGTGGATCTGCAGGTACATTGCGAGGTGGGAATCGTGCCGCAATATAGCTTCGGTATAGCGTCAGCCGAACAGCCAGACCTTGCTCAGCGTGGTATCCCTACATCGTCCAGGAGGGGAAGAAGCCAAGAGCCCCACAGTCCACATGATGCATGTGGAGGGGTTCATTGGTATGTATAGCGGATCTCGTCGTATTCATCCCCAGGAGTGACATTCTCGAGTGGGCTTGTTTCTTACGAAAATGCAGAATGAAAGTTATACTCACTGAGTTCCGCTGATCGATGTTCTCACTTTCTAGCAGCGGTAACAGGGTCAGATAGCCAATGGGTACCTTACACATGCCCGAATAAGGTCCCCTGAATTTTAGAATCCAAAGCCAAAAGACATATACAGCTTAGAAGCTACAACTCGCATCCGCACCCCATTTGCCCTGACTCTAGCGACGAGTTTCTGTATCTCCAGATATGCTTCGCAACATTTTCTTGACCTCCACCACAAGATCGTCTCTGGCGACCAGTTGACCGCGATCTTTCTCACCCTTGCCCTGCGCAGCGGGTTCTGAATCCTTGCCCGTGGATGCCTTCAGCCTCACGTTGCCGGCAGCCAGCTCGTCCGGACCTAAAATGACGGTTAGAGGTACCTTGTCAGCGGCATTGAACTGCGAGCGCAAGCTCGGCTTCGCCTTTCTCAAGAAGCCCGCTCTGATACCGGCCCTCGTCAGCTGGCCACAGATTGCCATCCGCTCGACCAAAAGGCCGCCACCTCCCGCCGCGACGACGTAAACGTCAAAGTCCTGAGAAATCACCGACTCCCCCTTCTTCTTCTTGGGTCTCCGCGCGTTGAGGATCGTGTAGATGCGCTCGACGCCGAACGATACGCCGACGTTCGGAACGTCTCGGTCACAGTACATGCCCACCAGCTTATCGTAGCGTCCACCTGCAGCTATGCTGCCGACCTGGGGCTCTTTGTTCGTGCCGGCGTCTTTGGCATTGGGTAGAGAAGTGACAACTTCGAAGATGACACCCGTGTAGTAGTCGAGCCCGCGAGCTAGGGACAGGTCGAACGAGATTTTGTCTGCAATGTCGTATGCCTCTAAGTAAGAGAGAAGCAGGGCCACGTCGTCGATTCCAGTTTTGACATCCTCGTTGGCTGCCAGCTTCTCATCGTCTTTCAGTTGGCCCAGGATCTCGGCGGAGCTACCACGGCCTCGGACAAATTGACCGATCTGGTCGGCTACGGATTCTGGTAGGCCCTTCTGATCAACCATCTCCTGTTTCACCTCACCCCATGACAACTTGTCGAGCTTATCCACAGCTGAGCTGATGGCTCGGATCTTGTCATCCGGCACCCCCGCAACGGCGAACATGCCGTCCAGAGTCCTCCTGTGATTGATCTTGATCGTGATGTTCATTTTCAGCGCCTCAAAGGCTTCGACGATGATCAAGAGGATCTCGGCGTCGGTGGTCATGGGCTCGTACTCGCCCGCAATGTCGAAGTCACATTGGTAGAACTCTCTGTATCTGCCACGCGACACGACAGGTTGATCACGCCGGTAGACCTTTGCGATCTGGTACCGGCTCACCTGCGTGTAGTTGCTGTTCATGGCCAACCAGCGAGCAAAGGGGACGGTGAGGTCGTATCGTAGAGAACATAGCTCGCCACCTTGGTCTTGCAGGTCATAGATGAGCTTCGAATCTTCGCCATACTTTCCTGAGAGGATTTCCTTGAGTTCGAAAACGGGCGTGTCGAGCTCCTGGCCGCCGTGACGTTCGAAGACATCGCTGAGGGTTCGACTAAGGGTTCAATTAGAGAGTTATACTTCGAGGTGTAGCATGAAAGAGTATGGGGAACTTACAAGATGTGCTTTCGTTACTTCATCTCCGTGCCAATAAAGTCCAGGGTTCCCTTTGGGGTTTTCAGCTGACGCGCGGTTGCACGGATCGGCAACTCCGAGGCTTCAGAGGGAATGTCCATCTTGCGGGAATTATTGTGACGCCGCGAAAAGTGAACGGTGCAGAAATGAGCTCGTGAGAATTCGAACGCAGCGATAGGTATTCAATGCTGATTGCAATTTGTTGAGTCACATGGCGGAGGATCGAACAGGTCAAGTTCCGAGTGTATACGGTTGGAGAGAGGATGGGTAGGCAGAACTTTAGGCTTTCCTTGGCGCCTGGTGTTGGTGTCTGTTGGTTGCACGCCCAGTGAGTCACAGCACTACAGTACTTCTTCTCAGACTCCTCACCAACACCTTCACAGCACAAATGGCTTTATTGACTGCACTTCATCCAAAAGGGTGAGAGTCATGGAGCTTTGAATTCCAATATCAACCTAAACCAACCCGCCTCCAGTTGCCTGCTAGACGTGATACCCGTTTCATCCTACAGATGTGTACTGAGTAGACGAGTTTTCCAATTGTATTTCATCATATTGAAGAAGTTCTATGTCTCTTTGAAATACTAATCACGTATTTCTGTTTCAAGTCACCCTCAATATGCCTTTCAGTCTACCCATGTGTCCTCAGCAAACACAGCTAATGTACTCAACAGGCTGACACCACTGTAGTGCCTTCGCTTAGTACAACTGAAAACCTGCATGCCGCTTGCCCAAATAGCAGGCATCTAATTAGTGATTCAAGTGTGGCCTTTTATGCCATGAAAGGTCTAACGCCTCTACTGGCATGCACATGAATGTGAAAATGCTATACATATGATTACACCGTTGATATTCCAGGTGCTATGCTTAGTTCCGAAGTAGACGTAGAGTCACAGTCTCAACCACTGGCAGTATTCCTTATGCAATGACGCAATGAAATCACGGGCATGCTTAATAATACAACAGCTACCGACTCCAACGTGAGTGCATCACACGAGATGCTGAACTCCACTCATTATGCTTTTTTAACAAACGTCGTGGCGTTGGTCAACCGTGAGCGAGTAGCATTTGAGGCATTGTAATTAAGACCACTAAGGCTACCTAGCTTGGACTTGGATGATGCTATGGTTGTGCTTGTAGACATTACGTGAATTTAGTTAAGACAACTCTGATATTTGCAGAATTGGAGAGCAAAGACGAAGGCAAACATATGAGAAGTTACTCAGATTCTAACATGAATTGATTGAAGTAATGACGTGAAACTGCATGAAACCTTTGAGGCGATAGAATGTCGCCTTAAATAGCTGGCACCCATCACCACAGATACCTGGTTGTTTGCAACAGACTCCATTCATCGAGAGAACTGAACGAAAGATCTAGCATCAAGTTGAGGTGACGATAGCAGATATACAAGTGACAACGTCACAGCCAACATTTTCCTAGATGAGGGCCATTAGACTGATATTTGGTATAAAGTGCCTTTGGTACCTTGATTAGTGTCTAGACAGCTACGCAGAAACACCTCTAGCCATCGTCCAATCAATTGCGATACCGTGCATCTGAACCTAGTAACTAGCACAAACTCGGACTGCCCTGGAGGCCTGGATCACTTTCGGTGGAAATGACTCAGAATAGTGCCGGCTGATTAAACGTCTCGGCCTGTATTTGCAACGGTGCGCCGCCGCCGGTACATGTTCCCGAGTGAAGAGCGGCCGTGACGGTCTGCATGGGGGAGGAACAGTCCCCTGCGGCAAAGACACCCTTGAATGAAGTCTGGTTGAACGGCTGGTTGACCTTAATATTGCCCTGCGGCGCAACCTCGAGCCCGAGTTGCTGATTCAGCGACCCTCGTAGTTTGGTCTTGGGTTGGTGGGCCAGGAAGGCCTCCGTCTTGCTGGTGCCATCCTCGAAATGCAGCACGACCTGGGACCGCTCCGGGCCCTTGGCAAGCTTCTCGATCTTCTTGGACTCTACCGTCATCGGAGCTGGAGCTTTGGCGATAGCGTCTTTCAATTGCTTGGCCAGTCCTTCGTTTCCGTTCGTGTACAGCGTCACTTGTTTTGAAATGCGAAGGGCTTGACGGGCAAAGTGCAAGGCGACCACGACGTTGCCTGTGTCGCCCTCGGCAAGCATGCCTGCAGATGGGCTGTCCTTCTCTTCCCACCCATGACAATAAAGGCAGTGGAAACTGCGATTCACCCACTTTGTCAGCACATGATCGGCGTTGAACGTATAGGATCCATGGAGGATAGTGGCAAGGGAAAACTCACATTGCCGAAATCCAGCATTCAGCATAGCCCGGAATATCAGGAAAGATGTCCCCAACCCCAGTGGCCAGGATGACTTTCTTCCCCGTCCAAGTCTTTCCGGCCCCCGAGGCCTCAAAGTTCCCGTCATCATTCTGCTTAATATTCTCAATCTCGACGTTTCAACAATAATTGAGCTGTAACGCTATAAGCCGGCCAGGGAGGTACTGCGGAACTCTGCTGGATTATGATGATCCCAAGTGGGTAGAGTATGCATGTGCTTGGACTCGGCGTTCCGGTATTTTCCTGAGTCGAAGAGCCGCGTCTTGTGGTCTTGGCGCACGATAGATGCAGCAGCACTCAGCCCAGCTGGGCCGCCGCCCTGGAGCCTATGATTAGGATATCGTACTTAGACGCCATGCTGGATTCAAACAATTAGTCTTTTAATGTAGATTGAATAAATATGGGAAAACGAGGAAACCGTGAAGATTAGCCCTGGTGGGAATCAAACTTCCAAGCTATAGTTCCTTTGGTTACGTCGGGTGAGCAGCAAAGGCAGTTGGCGCCAACAGCCCTGTTAGTTGCTTGAAGGATCACACCAACCACCATGTGGGTCTCTCAGCCTGAGATGTTTGGACTGGGGCAGTGTGCTTGGGATCCGCTAGGTAGGGCCTCTCCACCCCTTTGTACCAATTTTTTTTTTTTTTTTTTTTTTACTAGCATCATGTTTTTATTTTCGATTTTATTGTTTCAAGACTTCCAGATTCTGAATCTTTGAGCATAACATGCACGCAGCCTCGCCGTGTCAATAAGGCCGCTGCTCACTTCTGGCATAGCAAATGGTGGCTTTACCCCGCTTAGCTCCCTTTCGGCGTAAATATCGAACCACGGTCAGCGCTAATTGCTGGCAATGTGACATGATGCAGGCACCCCGGGCAGGTTGCCCATCTACAACAGGCTTATCAGAGCCGTACATCAAGGACTACTGGTCTGCAATTGGTCTTGCAGGCCCCTGCCACCGGCTTCCGATCCATTCCCAGGGTTCCGTCATTCTGGACATCGTGTTCTACCAACTCAAGAGACATGTCTCTAGGATTGTGAAATCCGGCCAAGGTGTAGAAGTAGTAACTGTTCACATCGTGCAAAGCTACTTCCATTACAATTATGTGTGTTTCTGTTGGCTCCAAAGTTCGTGTACATGCCTCATTCTCGTGTCGGCTGTCCTTTTGTCCGCCATTGGGACCATGCAGGAACGAGGACACACCAACAAGCCCGGGCCGAGACGAGCACATTTGCGCCCTATATGGAGCCAGAAATCGCGAGATATGTGTGACAGGCGTCCGTCAGTATGGAATGCGATCTTGTAATTGACTAGCGAATGACAACAGCCTCGAGCGAGGATCTTAAGTCGAGATATTTGCCCTTCACGTGGCCCACTCCAATTCTCTCACACACCGTGATCCCTTCTTTTGACACCAATGGCTCCTTGGACCTTGTAATGACGAGAACAAAGTGCGCCATTTCCTCGATGTCGAAGTTGCTCTTCTTCTCCCTGCCCACCACCACGCACATCAGGTCCTTGTTCTCCAGATCCATCCAATCTTGACTATCACACACAATCTCAACCTCATCAGGGGCTGCCAGTCCCGTACTCCTTAGTTCGAACGGCCTTGCCCTGGCTGTCAGCTCCACAAACTCTTTACCATCTCCGGTATGCCATGTGTCTGGTCCTCCAGTCGCCCAGGGGCTCTTAATTGCATCCGTGGACCACTGGACTCCCCCGAGTGGGAGGTCGACGAAGTCGATGCCGCCATCGTATCCCATCCACGACCAACTTGGAACGGGAAGCGACGGAACTGAGGGGATCCTAGCCATGGGCGGAACCTCGCGGCCACGCTGCCAGAGAAGGCTGCGGTGGAAGAGACTCCGTCCGTCGTCAAAGACCCCGAAGCCGCCTTGTGCCTGAAGATCACGTACGAGCCTCTTCTCGAGCCCGGCGATGGCAATGGGTCGGTCTGAGATGCGTGTGAATTGGAGGCGGGTGTACTGTCGGTAGAGGTCCTCGTAGAGGCGAATCTTCACGCCGCGGATGGTCGCGTCGTTGGACAGCTTGGATGGGAAGTTGGGGTCGCCGAGGAAGGAAGCGAGTTTGCTGTGGCAGAGGAAGGTCCATGAGTTAGCCACAAACTCCACATTTGTGGACCTCAGATGAAGGCAAGGCTTACTTGTCCATTTTGGTAAGCATCTCCGACCTGACACCCCTTCCACATTCCCAGTACGTCTGGCTGTCCGTGAAATAGATCGTTCTCCGTGCCAATGCCCTCTCCTGCAATACCCAGCCACGCTTGCTCAGTGGCGACTCAAGCACGTCTTTGTTGAAGTCGTCCATGAAGCGGCTCACATACAGCGGGGGCAGTCCCGCATGTTCAAATATCAAGCATTCGCGGTTCTGCCTTCGTCGATTCAGGAAGCCGTCATGCTGCCCCTGTGCGCTGCTTGCCGCGATCACGCAGAACGCAGAGCTAAACACATCTTCCATCCGCTTGGCTTCCCGGTGAAAATCTCCACCTTCTCCCTGGATGATGCAAATTGAGTCGATCCAGAGGTACTCAAGCCCGAGTTTTCGGGTAGTGACAATAGCGTCTTGGAACATAGCGGGAAGCTCTCCGAAATCGATCTTTTCCCGGTATTCCTCAACGTTGGCCAAGGTAGTACAGAAGTGTGGACCTTCACCCCATGGGTGGGACAGGGCAATGTACTCGAATTTGTCCGTAGGTCGAGTTTCACAGAGATTGATGGTGTCAGAGTCGTTGAGACCGACATGAATGAGCCTTGTAGGCAAGGACCCGAGTTTCTGAGGTCGACATTGAGGATGATCAATATTGCAGTCAATCAGGCACTGGCGAAGAATATTGAACTGAGACTCGCTCGCACGATCGGGGAGCAGTGGATATCCGATCTGGATGTGACTCGTTTTGCTGTTCTGTGGCTCTAGAATTTCAACGTCAGAATTGCCGTCAACAAGGATTATCTGTGTTATGAGTCTCACCTTGACCTCGTCGTATAGAGAGCACAGGCGGGTACGTCCCGTTCAGCTTCAGCATGGATTGATCGCGATCAAACCTGAGAACTGGAAACTGTTGTCGATCAAGATGGCTGCAGATCTGCCATCGCATTCTGCAAAAGTCGCAAGTGTGTCGACTCGCTTCCAGCTCGTCCCATCTGTCTTCAATGCTGAAATGAGGCGTCCAAAATTCGAGCTTGCGACATTTGGTACACGTGATGTTTGAGTTTGTTCCATCCGCGGCAAGTACCGATGTGCTGATGTTGTTGACGATGTTCGTAGCAAAATAATTGTCAACGGGAAACTCCCAGATGTGATTCAGCTGAAGACTTCTCAGCCATACGTGGCGATATCGGAACAGAGACCACATGAGCAACACACCTGAACCTGTAGGGGAGTGAGTATTAGTGATCGAGGTAAAGTTTGAGTGCGGATGAGCACAGCATGTTTACATTCTGAGGAGAGATTGCATTAGCCCATGGTCACAAGATTAAAGCCTTAGCTGGGAACTTACACGCTGGAGAAATATTTTCGTTCAGTATTTCATGGCGCAATTTCCGACAGTAGGGCGGAGGAGCCGCTCACATACTTTAATTTCACTGACTGTCAATTTCGACTGATCTCAACTGAATTGGGCCTCACCTAGGCGATGTCACTTACTTCCTGCTCCGCCCCATGGACACTCTGTCAGCACAGACACAAAACCTGAGGGCCCAGTTGTCTTTCACTGTCCGGGGGCACATACAGTCTACATATTGCAGAAACAATTAGCTGTCCATGGCCATGTGTGACGGCATCGATCCATTGACCGAGGCCCGGGGTTCAACCTACTCCCACACTTTCTGTCAGTATTGGGACAAAGAGAGACGATCTGTAGGTCGTAAGTTGTCCTTGGACATTCCCGGAGGAATGCCTCCTGCTCACAGTCAGGGATCCTGGAGGATTGGGCGAAGAGCTGACCGCCTGTGGCGTACACAGACTCGGTGCATCGTCGCTACTCTCACCTTTTAGCCAGTAGAATCCATTCTGGTTCCCCTTCCGGATGATGCCGTCGAGCTCCTTCTTCAGAGTCATAGAATCAGCGCGTGATGGAGACTGTGCGTTAGTACCGACTTGGGGAGTGCTGCCATTCCCATTGGAGGGACCCAACGATACCACCAGCAATCTCTTCCTGACTACCTTCAGGAGGTCGCCCAAGGCAGTTTCTCCAGCGATGCACTGGGGATGTTGGGCGAGCTTGTCCATCATGGCCGTCACTGCGGCATGGACCCTGAAGGACGTTCCGCCATTGGTTCCCTCCAGTTCGAAGTAATGAACTTGCTTGCCGAATTCGTTCGCAACCCTGTCGTTGAAATTCTGGAGTTCCTTGATCCCGTAGACCATCCAAATGATGAATTCCAGAATGATGCAGCCAATAGACCATGTGTCGTACCTTCGCGACCAGGCGCTTCCCTTTTCAGTTGCTTCCGGGGGCTCGTATCTCCAGGTGGTGAATTTGCTGCGGTTTTACGTCAGTCTACGTCTGTGTTGAACGCACGTGGTCCGGTCAAGCAACGTGCTACGGTGTCCTCGATGCGGGTGAATGGCATAGTTGACGGTCAGGCATGCTTCCGTGGGCAAGCTGATAGCAAATAGATTGTAAAATGATGAAAGACTCACGTGTTCGTTGCTGCTTCTCGAAGTTGGGTGGCCAAGTAGTGGTATTTGGTCAGGCCCATGTCACATATTTTCAGTGTCCCGACATCAACCTTCGAAGGATCGCGTCTCGGAGTCTTGACACGAAGGATGTTTTCAGGCTTCATATCACCATGCCGAAAGCCCCTTGAATGTATCTGCTCCAATGCATCAGCCAGTCCATAAACCTGTAGCATGACGTCTTTGACCAGGGTTCTAGTGAGTCGATGGTTATGGTTGAGCCAGAACTCGCGCAAGTTTCCCCCATCTGCCCATTCGAACATTAGATAGCGGTCATGCTCTCTAGTGATGGCTGTGATGAATCGAATAACGTTTGAATGGCCACACTTGGCAATCTCTTGGTGTGCTTCGACTTCCTTGCGCCATGCATCTTCGAGCTCCTTCCTCGTGTCCCGGTCTTGGGCGTTGGTGCGTTGCAATCTTTTGACTGCGACGTTGGAATTCTGACGAAAGTCGATGCACATGTCAGTAAGCGCTGTTAGCATGGAATTTTGCAACGGCTGAAATGTCTCACGTGGACCACATTCTTCCCATGGGCAGGGTGGATAGTGACCTCGTGCACCTCACCAAACATCCCTGCCCCTCGTTGCATTGCCCACGTAAATGGAAGGATATGATTTGTGTGCAATGCCAACTCGCTTTGCTTGCTGTCAAAGACAGGTGCGAGAAATCTCCACTGATTTGAACAGAAGGCATCCACTCGGAAATGGTTCCACGGCCTTCTGTATCGTTTGGTGGTGGAAGAGAAGAAAATGCGTGTGGTGGCATCTCCAGTCAGAGGTAAGTTGTCATCATTGAAACCAAGGGAATGAAATAGGGTCATCGCCTCGCGGAAATCCTTGTTGCCGAGGTTTGCGTAAAGTGTGATTGCAAAAGTTTTCTTCCTGCTCCTCAAGATGGAGTCCGCGAGACTCTCCACAGTGGCTTGATCCTCTTGGCGGCTCTCCTGAGTCTCCGTGGAAGAATGGCCTCTCCGTGACTTTAACCTGCCGCGTACTATCTCGCGTGTGATGATGCCATCGATAGTCCCATAGGGCAGGAACTCCTTCGAGTGGTCGAACACACTCTTCTCTGCATTTCTTGTCAAGCTTTCGTCCAAACCTTCACCAGGTCTAGTGCGACCAGAAGTCATGCTTTCGGAATCAGTGTGGTACTCGTCGGTATCGCCCTCTCCAGTATCGTACTCGCTGGTATAGTACTCGTCGGTACCGTACTCGTCGGTGTGGTATTCGTCAGTGTGGTATTCGTTAGTGTTGAATATGCCTTGGGAAGCCATCTTGGTGGGTCACAAGAAAGGCCCATGGGTCCATTCTGCCTTACGAGCCAGAAGTGGATTAAATAAGTGGAGGGGTAGATGATCCACCCAGCAGAGCCGCATCGCGTAACATGAAGGTGAGAGATAAGTCCTCTTGGTATCGCGGCGGTGTGGAGCAGCACGCACAGCTCGCTAACACCCGGGCTTGTTTATGATAGGTTAACCAGTCTTCGAGAGGTGTGGATGGGGGCCGTTTGCTGCGGGCATTTTGCACTTTTATGGCACCATTGCTGACCATGCCTTCACAATCCCTGGTATCAATGTGCGCGGAGCTGTCTGCGCCATTGGTCGATGACGGGGGCTCCCAGCCTGCTTTGAAAATTGGCCCTCCTATTGGAGACCCTTTGACCACGACCACGAAGAGTGGTGTCCGGATGTCACCCACACTCCTCCGAATTCGAGATAGGAAGGCTCACCGGTGTCGTTCGCATGCTGTGAGTGAATTTACCCGCCCGATCTCTTACTCAGCTCCACGCTGGACTCAACGAGGCTCGGGACCGATCTCGCCGCTCCATGTCAAAGAAGCTGGTGGCGGGAGGCAGCACGCCACACCTTGCACACGAAAATTCTCGAAATTCAGCATAGTGGTCAGTCGCCTCCATCAACACTTTCCGACGTTGTAGTTCGGTCGAGTATGTCTCTGAGACCCGGGGCCTCAAAATGTCAGTCCTGCAGAAAAAGGATATCTCCGGCACTATACCCGGTCTTGCTTGGCTGTCTCTGAATGGGAAACCCACTAGCCTGCTGCGGTCTCCCGCCCCGGCCATCTGGATCCTAGACTGGAACTCCTGATGGAGATCAGTGCGGTGTGATCAGCAGCACAAGTCTGATGCAGGTGATGGATGGTGAGGGGCTTTTCTCCGTCAGGACGGGTCCTTTTTGCAGTATGCACCAGGAACTGTTCCAAAGATGAAGTCAATTTCTAGAAGCACTTGGGCACTGAACCCTGGCTGGACCGTGAGCCCTGAAAGGTGTGCACCCAGGGCAGGAGACACTGTTGTCCCAGCCTACGTGTTTTGCCTTGGCGAGCAACCGCTTTTGAGGCAGCCGCCTGCACCAATTACTAATGAAAACATTTCCAAGATAGTACTAGAACGTGCCAGGTGTAGCCACCCGGTGGCATTTGCATCAGGCCAGGTTCCACAAGGACCAAAGCGTTGCCACGAAGTCAGGAATTGTTTTTTTCCCTGCACTGCCTCGCGTGAAATCCCAGCCAATAGTTGCCATATAAATCAGTTAAGGTCTCACAAAGCCCCTTTTCAAGAAATTCTTCGCACGCTGGAAAATTCATTTTCGCCCGAAAAGAAGTGCGAACGAAATATAGAAAAGAAAGTTGGAGATGTGCGACCCACCATGTATACGTGTTATTCAGCAGACTGGCTCCTGAGTTCTAGTGGGCATGAGTCTGCCCCGTGCTCAACCTTACACTACTGTGTACCACCACCCGGGGGCCAGAAAGAGGATTTGCCTTGCCGCCGCAGCAGTCAGCCTGGGCTAATTCAATGTTTTCGAATTCGACTCAGCTGATCCCTCCAATTTCCAGAGAAAGACTTTTCATTATTATTTCCCCCCTTCTCCCTTTTGCATCGCGTTTCCTATTCTTCTCTTTTCGTTTGCCAGGATCACTTATCACCTATCCACAATCAACTACAGCCCAACGCAGCGTGGAACCCGAGTTTAGCGGCAGGATGGCTGCACATCGCGCGGTGGTGTATCGTGGCATGGAGCCAAGGCGTTCGTACTCCAGTGACGACCGAGCCTCGGTACACAGAAGTCTTTCCCCTATCAGCAAGGAATTCAGCATGTCACTCGTCAATCCTAGACCGAATACTGTCACAAACTACAGCAGCTCCCACGATTCAGGTATTCACATGGACGAAGACACCGTATCTCCCGTCGAATCAACATACCTGTTGCCTGAACAGGACACGGAATGCCTACAAGATGAGCTGTTCTCAGCTCTCATACCAACACATCAGGAGAGGCGAGGTTTCTTTGCCAAAGACCAGATCTCCAAAATCCTGACAGAAGACCGGGTTCGAGATGAGCTTACAAGACATTTCGAGGATTCACTCAGTGAAGCTACCATTGTGAAACACGCGAAGACCATATGCTACGGGGCTATCACACAAAATGAAGGCTCAGGTTGTGACGAGCAACCGACGACCAAATCATTCATAAAAGTCTTGGCAATTCTTATCATCATAGAGAAGACAAAATCCATTATCAAGCTCTTAGAGGATGATGTGAACGACTCGGACTTGCCGTTGATCAAGATCCCGCGGCCAAACGACGAGAAGTTATTCGACCTGAAGTCCAGCAGAAAACCAAACGTGGTTTTGAAGTGCTTCCAGAAGCGATGGAACCAACTCAATATCAGAAATTTCGAAGAGTGGCAGTGGACGACTTTACCTGTTGATTTCGGCCAGCCCGCAGAGCACGGGGAGGTCAAGCATCTTCAGCTTGAAGAGCAAAAAGTATTGCCGTTCACCGAGGATAGTCGGGAGCAAAAATCACAGTTCTCTCGAAGAACAGAGCTCGAGGGTGGCTTTGCCAGCGTCTTCAAAGTCGCCATCCACCCTCAGCACCACAACTTCCATACGTCACCGGACAAGCCTGACCCTACTTCTTTTGCAGTCAAAAGGCTTCACTCTCAGAACGAGGAAGCGTTCAAAAGGGAGGTCGAGATGCTCAACAAGTTCAGTGGAAACAAGCATGAGCACCTTATCTCTCTCCTGGCCACGTATGAACAGTTTGACCGGTTCTTTCTCGTCTTCGATTGGGCTGAGGCAGATCTGCAGGGGTACTGGAAGAGGATCAATCCTGCGCCTTCATTCGACTTGGACACAGTGCTATGGATGGCGAAACAATGCAAGGGTATCGCGAGTGGCATAATAAAAATCCATGCACATGTGTCCACCTACCAGAAGAAAGACCCAAATGGACCGCCAAACCAGAATGTTGTGTTTGGCCATCACGGCGACATCAAACCGGAGAACGTTCTATGGTTTTGCGAGCCGAGCCACACGGATCGCAATGTTGGTGGAACTCTTAAATTGTCCGACTTTGGCCTTGCCGAGTTCAGCATCCATCAGACGACTTCGATGCCACCGAAAAGCAAATGGGGGGTATCGCTCGCATATCGTGCGCCAGAGTCCGATCTCAAGCAAGGCACAGCCATCGGTCGCTCATATGACATTTGGACGCTTGGATGCCTTTATCTTGAATTCATCACCTGGTTGCTCGGGGGCAGCCAGCTTCTCGAAGAGTTTTCGGAAGCAAGGAAGGCTCGTGATGCGATGTGGCACGAAATCGAGACCCACACGTTCTTCAAGCTGGAGATCGACGGCAGGACAAGCAAGCCGACAGCAATCATCAAACCAGCTGTCAAACAAGTAAGTTTTGCTCTTTCACGCAAAGTACCAGTCAATTTACTAACGCCAGTCTAGTTCATCCGGAGACTGCATTCCCATCCGAATTGTTCTAGGCTCATTCATGACTTCCTGGATATGGTGGAGGGACACCTCCTGGTTGTGAAGACGAACAATCGACATGATCACGCCCGATACGACATACATCAGGTCCACCAAGAGCTTGCATCCATGCTCAAACGCTGCGAAAGCAACGATTATGCCATCAGATCTGTTCCCTTGTGATATCATGACTTATGATTCCTGGCTGTTACGAGTAAATGCGAAGATAAAGGTGTATGGTATCTAGAAGCCATGCAAATTGTCTTTGGGTCTTCATTGCGGGGAAAGCATTTTGTTGAATGGTTTCTGTATTATTCTGAATCATTTTGCTACAGCGTCTAGGTTTCAAGCCAACTATTCTGTCACTGTATCGAACGTTTAATGTATGCCGTATGATAACTTTGGCTCAAACTGCGTCTCTCATTTGGCTGGTAAAGACTTGACGATGTATAGGGCAGTACTCAGCTACCGGCAAGCGAGATCTCAAAGGTGAACTACTTACACATTCAGATCGAGGTGTGTATATATATAGCTTGTTTTGACAGGAATAAACGAGAAAATGCAACACATTACCAGTTGGCAAGACGGGAAGATTCCGAGGGAGGAACCTAAATGTGTTTACGTGCTCACTTGGGGTCGGGTTCCAGCACAGATGCCTCCTTTACGCATTGCTACCGTCGATGACTTAGTGATTACAAACGGACCCAGACAACTTCATTGTAAAGTAATCATCAGATCGGGTCCCGCGGCCGCTCTAGTTCGTGTGAAAACCAGGAGTGTGAGGACGAAGATTTGTCAGATATCACAGTCAGACCCCTGCGTCGTGCAGCGGCAACACCTCACGGGGACCGGTCGAAAGATTTGTCACAATCCACTTATGATAAGCAGCATAAATGTGATCAGAGAACTCCTGCAACCTCCGAATGCATATGTACGTACGTATGGATCCACGTGTCGACGCCGTGCGGGGCCAGTTTCTCATGTCGTACAGATATTGCCAGCTGCTCTTGACAATAATCGGGTTGCCTTGAGACCTCCTCCCACTACCGAGTTCATTTCTCCTCAGTATCAGGGTCCAAAGACTACCAACTGTCCTCTAAGTATCAAGATGGCAAGTATAGCCAATGCCAGCACACCCGCTGCGGAGCTGCCTAGTACTGCCGGCCAGGATGCGATTCGATCCATCCATGACGCTGGCCTCGGAGAGATAATCCGTCTTCCGGGCTCGGATCTCTACGAAGCTCGCAACAAGTCCTACTGGTCGTGCAGTCCGCGATTACGGCCGTGGGCAATAGTACAGCCACGATCAACAGAAGAAGTGTCCATGGTCATGAAAGCGCTGGTTGCTGTCCCGGAATGCCAATTCGCTATCCGCAGGTACGTCGACGTTTCCAAGCACGAAATGTTGACAAGAGGCGTACATAGCTAACACACAGTACAGTGGGGGTCATATGTGCTGGCCTGGAGGCAGTAACATCAGTTCCGGAATCACAATTGATCTCGGAGAGATGGACAGCACTACTTACAACGCAAGCACCAAGATTGCATCTATTCAACCTGGCGGAAGGTGGACAGACGTATACGCGGCATTGAACAAAGGTGAGTCGTTCTCGTTGCATCTAATTCTCAAATTCCAATATCTGATCAAGACATGCCAGAGGGGGTGATGGTGGCAGGTGGGCGGGAAGGACTGGTTGGTGTGGGAGGACTTTTGCTTGGCGGTGGGGTGAGTTCCAATATACAATAATACGTGATTCGGGATTAACTGGCGATGCAGATTTCCTACTACAGCTGTCGTGTAGGCTTTGCTTGTGGTAAGGAAAAGACACACGAGCTCCCTTCTGCCTTGTTGGACCAACATGCAGGCCAAGATTGAGAAACTTATACTCACGGATCTCACAGATCAAGTTGTGAACTACCAAGTCGTCCTTGCAGACGGCCGCATAGTCGAGGCCAGTCAGGAAACGCGTCAGGATCTTTTTTACGCCCTCAAAGGCGGTGGCAACAACTTTGGCATCGTCACAAGATTCGATATGGTGACGTTCCCGGCACACGATGTGTGGGACGGAGCCATCGTGCATTCAAAAGACGAGACCGACTCAATCATAGATGCACTCGTCAGCCTCACCGACAACCTTGACGTAGCTGACAACCCGGATGCGCACTTCATGGGACTATGGACTCATTCTCCCCAAATGCCAGACGTCTTCGCCACGAGCATCTTGACACATCTTGATGGTGTACCGAATCCTAAATCGATGGAAAAGTTCCTGAATATTCCCGGACAACAAAACATGAGGAAAGTTTCCTTGGCCAATAAAGTTGCTGATTTCCTTGTTCCTTCAAACAGGTAGTGAGTCTATGCCTATTAAACACGTTGTACGATATAGGCAGGCTGACCTTGGTTGTCTCAGCGACATGTGGCTATCCTACACCTTCGAAAACGACGCACGAGTCGCCAAGAAATGTGTGGACGTGCTCGTTGACTTGGTCCACCACATCAAGACACATCACGTCCCGAACGGAGACTTTGTCGCGTACAGCGTTCTCCAACCCTTTCCCCTTTCCTTCGCTCGTCATTCCAAAGCTCGAGGAGGCAACATGCTAGGAGTCGACCGAATCCAGGATAATGCAATTGTCCTCGTCACAGACATCCAAGTCGAGACATGGGAGTTGGCCCAGGCTATCGCACCAAAGCAGAAAGCTGGCTTGGCTGAGATTCAGGCTTACGCAGAATCGCTCGGGGCGGTGATCGATTTTCGGTACAGCAACTATTGCGACGGGTCACAGGACCCATTCGCTACATATGGTGAGGAGAGTATCAAGCACATGAGACAGGTTTCTCGGAAGTATGATCCGCAAGGGATGTTCCAGTTCCGAGTTCCAGGTGGCTTCAAGGTTGAAAATGTGGGCAGGTGAGATGAGAAGAATACCGGCGCTAGAGTCAACCTATACGAGACAGAATGATAATTCCCGTTATGTACCTGGATTGTTACCCTCTGTTGAGAATATGACTATCATCTACTTACAAAACATACTCGTTTGAAATCTGCAGATATGATCGGTAATGTACCACCTATAGTAACAATCATAAGACCAGTTTACATTTATGTCCACGCTTCTGGCGATGTCGGGGAAAAAATGTAACAAGGGTGTAGAATGTAGGAAAGGTATCTAGCTTCACCGTTTAGAATAGCCCACTCAGAATTGTTTCTTTGTTGTCTTCTTTATATAATGAGATTTCTTAATGTAATTCGACTTTGTAATTAAGCAATTTCTTCTTCGTTTTCTTCTTGCCTCCATCCACTTGATTCCCATTCTACCTGGCTGTCGTCCTTACCTCTCTTATGGATGGAGAGACTCGGTGTGATGGTAATTCAATCAAAGCAGATTGAGTAAACATAAGCAGTAGGCAAGAAGCGAACGAGCGATATCGAGGCAGTATGTTCGCAGAATAAGGTACACTGAACTTGATTGCTCTCCCCCCCCACCGGACCCCCCTCCTTACACCTTGAGCCCCTTCTCTTTTACACGGAGGGAGCTGCGCTCGCGAAGAACCTTCCCATTGTGACAAAGATCCCTGACACAGGGGGTACCTTTCTCGCGTTCTGCACCTTTCCTAAATGCACTGTTACCATGCGCCATATATGCGCGTCTACAAAACAGCTCCGACAATGGAACAGTTATCGCATTCGTATTCGCGTTCGCCCGACATGTCCAGCCATGTCAGGCGTTGCGGGCGTAACACGGTGTCCGTTAAGGACCCGAAGATTGCTTCTTAGATTGCCGCGTTGGAGTTCAAAGTTGTCCATCTGCTTGAAAAGAAGCTTCGCAAACGTGTTGAGTTGACAACCTTTCCTTGCTCTAACGTTAGCTCTCTCGAGGACCACATTTGACTCACAACACCGACAACATCGCCCTTGAAAATGGCTTTCGACATACTACCGGGAAAATTAATCCTCTCCGTGTTTTACCATGACTGGATTCCACACCTCATTACGATGTTGGTGACTATCGGGCTCCTTGTGTTCTCACGATACAAAGCTCCAATCATATCGCTAAATCCGAAGAAGCCATTTGAATTTACTGATGCAAGAGTCAAGAAGGAATTTCTTGAAAACGGAAACGCTCTTATTCGAACTTGGTTTTCTGATAATCCGGACAAGCCAGCTCATATCACTGCAGACTGGGGCCCTATAACCATCTTGCCCGCTTCCCTAGCGAACGAGATCCGAAATGATAAGCGTCTAAGTTTTGCCAAGTTGATCTTCAGAGTATTGTTTACGATGAATCTTTTAATTGCTGTTACTGACGTCAAGTAGTCATTTCACGGCCACCTTCCAAAATTCGAGGGTTTCAAAGAGGTTGTTGGGGGCTCAAATATTGTCCAGAGTGTCATTTTGAGGCATTTGACCAAATCGTCAGGTATGATGATCCGGCCTAACCATCTTGATTCATAAACTAAGCTATTCTTGAGACAGGGTTCTAAATCCACTGATTGATGAGACGTCGCAAGCTCTGGAAAGAGGTTTCACTGGCAGCACAGGTAATTTCCAAGAACTTCAATGAGCTCGTTCCAAAATCGCTGAATTAGGTACAGAATGGCATAAAGTCCATCTCAGAGATACGATACTAGATTTGGTTGCCTGCGTATCCTCACGAGTCTTCCTCGGCGGAGGGCTTTGCCATGATGAGCAGTGGTTAAGGATCACTCGGGAGTATCCTACCCTTGTCTTTTCTGTCGCCAACGAGCTGCGAACCTGGCCCGTTCCACTGAGACAAATCGTGCACTGGTTCCTTCCATCTTGCCGCCAGCTGCGAGCGCAAGTCAACGAGACTCGAGAGATCATTACACGAGAGGTCGAGAAGCGTGCAAAGCTCGAAGAAGGGACGACTTTCGATGACGCGATCGAGTGGTCTCTACAGGCTGCTAAAGCCGCGGGAAAACAATGCGATCCCACCATGGTGCAACTCATACTATCTTTTCTGGCTATCCATACTACCACCGACTTATTGACTAAGACTTTGGTGGAGCTCGCGCAGCACCCAGAGGTGATGAACGATCTTCGAGAGGAGATATCCAACCGCACTGGACTCGACGGCTTGACAAAGGCATCACTTCAGGGCATGAAACTGTTGGACAGTGTCATTATGGAAAGCCAACGCACCAAGCCAACCGGAATCAGTGAGTGCCCTTTTCAGGGTCCATTTAATTCAGATTACTCACCTTGGCACAGTCTCGATGCAACGCATGGCCACCGAAAACATCACGCTTTCAGACGGCACATTTATCCCCAGAAACAGCGGGGTGGCGGTCTCGACTCTCGAGATGTGGGATCCAAAAACTTATGAGGAACCGCAAACGTGGGATGCACATCGAGGGAGTAGGATGCGAGACGATCCTGCCAGGAAACACGAGGCTCAGCTTGTCAGCACGTCTCCACGCCATTTGGGATTCGGTCACGGGATACACGCACGTCCTGGCCGCTTCATGGCTGCCAGTGAGATCAAGATCATTATGATTGAAATGCTGACGAGCTATGACTGGCGACTTCCGACAGGGGCCAAGCCTCAAGTGTGATGAAGCAATTAAGCAAACGATAGTTGATTATTGGGTGTTAAGGAGAGAAATCTCCCCGCTATTAAACGCTTAGAAGGAGCCTATTTATAGGTTAGCGCTAGCATATAGGCATATAACCCTCGCACCTTTTAATATACCCCTTATTGCAAATATTATTATCTTAATGATAATAAGAAATATTCCATTTTAATAGCTAAAAATATAATTTAAATATTCCGTTATAATTTATATTAAAATCATTATATAAATATTATTTAATATTTATATATTCCGCTTATATTATTTTTAATTAATTATTTAAATGCCTTTTTTGGTAATATAAACCCTATACTTATCTTAATCTTAATCTCTTATAAGCCTCTTTAAGAATAAGGTAAGGTAATGCTTTTATATAAATATTAATAAAATTGTTTTTAAATATAATATAATAAACATTATATATTTCTTTAATTTCTTTATAAATAAAGTAATAATAAATAGCAATATATTTTAATTAAGCATTAACTTTATAATTTTAAATAAGGTTTAATGTTAGCTAATTATTAATATATAAAATAAGCAAATATTTAATATACTTAATGTTTAAATTTTTTAATATTTAAATCGTTTAATAAAGATATAATAATATTAATAAACATGCTATATATTCCGCCTTATAAATAGATTTTGCAATAATAAATTAATGCTTTAATAATTAAGCAATTAAGTCTTTATTAAGAAGTTATATATATTCGCTAAATGCTTTTAAATTATTTAAATTAGTATTATAAAAAGCATTAATATATATATTAAGTATAGTAAATTAAAATAATAATATTTATTTTAAAAATTATAAGGTATAATTTAATATATATTAAATATATTAAAGCACCCCCTTTATAATATTTAAATAATAAATTATAAGCTTTATATTAAATATTAAAAGCATTATATATAAAAACATAAGATTAAGTTTTATTTTAATAATAAGAAAATTAATAAATTTAGTAAGTAATTAATATATTATTATATTTATTATAATATTATTAAGTTCCTTTTATTATAAAAATAAATTTAAATTTATAAAAGTTTATCTTTAATTATAGTTAAATATATTAAAGCATTTTAAAATTTATTAAGCATATCCCTTTTAAGAAATATAAATTTTATTATTAATTTATATAATTTTTAATTTAAGTAAGTATTTACAAAAATTAAAATCCTTATACTTAAAACATTATATAAGCTTAATGCAAAATTTATTAACTTAAGAAGAACTCTTAATAATAAAAATATTATTAATATAAATAATAATAATAATTTAATCTTTAATAAAAACGCAAGGGTTAAATATTGTTTTTATTAAATATTTAATTAATTCCTTTTTAAAAATATTAAATTATTCATAGCTTAATTATTTAAGTTTATATAAAGCATTAAGAAGTTTTAAAATAACTTGCTAATTATTAAATAATGTTTAATATCCTTGCAATAATTATATATAAATATTATATTTTAAATAGCTATATAAATATACTATTTTAATATTAAATTACTAAAGCTACTAACTTATTATGGCGGCGATAATAATGATTAATCTTAAACTATTATAGCGCGCTATAAGGTTATAAGTATTATTATAATTTATACTATAAATTTATATATATTTATAAGTAATAAATTAAGCCTTATAATAAATAAGCTTATTAAAAGCATTAAACTTCTTTATATATACTTAATAAGAATTAATAATATATTAATTTATAATAGCAAGTACTTTAACTTATATACTTATATTTAAAAGTAATTTAAGTTTTCTTTTAATAACCTATCGCTAAGCATCTCTTTTACTATTTTTTATAACTTATATATATATATTAAGAATATTATTAATATTTATTATGTTAATAAGCAATACTTAAGTAAAGATTTAATTAAGATAGTTAGCATTAATTAATGCTAATTAAGCAAGATTTAATATAAAGTTTACATTAATTAATGCTAAGTTATTAAAATCTTTAAAATATTTCATAACAATATTTACATTTTCTTTTACTTTTCATAAAGGCTAAATTCATTATTCTTAAGAATTATATAATTATATAGGTTCCATAAGTTTAAGTAATTTATTAATAAGTTTTATAGGTTTAAGCAGTTTATCTATGGGTTCTGCATTATCAGCAAGTTCCATTAATTAAAACATTAATAACACCTTTATCTCAAATAACATATTTTCATTTAACTAACCAATTATCTATATAATCTTTATTACCAAATCAAACTAAGTAATATAGCTTAATATTGCAATTATAATAACTTTCCAAAGTAATATAAATAAATAAAAAATAATTTCACTTTTAACCTTAAATCCCATAAAATATACCTTTTTAGCTTTATTTAATAATTTTATTTTTAGCTTATAAGCCTTAATAAAAATATAAAAATATATAAGGTGAAAATATAGTTAGAAATATTTAATATTAAGCTTTTATTTATAAAGCGCCTTAAATAGCATTATTTAGCATAATAAAGCTAAGTATAGTTTTTAATTCCATAGGTATATTATATAAGAAATTACTTTAAGCTATAAGAATAAGTAATCTTTATTATAAATTATTATATAAATATTAATAATAATAATATATATAAATCTTTTAAGCATATTATTTAACTTATAATAATAAGAGGATAATTTCTTATAAATAATTCCGCATTTTTAAAATATTATAATAATTATTTTATTTATATATTCACCCTCATTATTTAAACTAAATATCTTAACTTTCGCGCTAAATTAAATTTTAACTATATTTAAAAATCTCTTAATAATATTTAAGATATCATCCTTTTAAGCAATAAAGTAAACCTAATAAAATTAAATATAATTATTAATAAATAAAATAAAATATTAAAAACCTTTTAATAATCTTATTAAGAATTTACTTAATAAATTAAATTAAATATACTTAAATAGCTGCATAAATTATCATTTTAGCAATAAATATAGGCATTTCTTAATAAACTTTATAAATTAGCATAATTTATAATAAAAATCCATTAATTTATTTAATATAATATTTTTATCTCCATATAAATATTAAGCAATTAATTTTAATAAATTATTATAGCTAAAAGCTTTATAAAATTTACTATATATTATAAATATTGCAAAGTTATTTTCTATTATTTAAATTTTAAAATTTCTATATTAAAACTTTACTTATAATATCCTGCGAAATTCATTATCTTTTAATAATAAAAAGATATTATTTCCCTATGCATTTAATTAAAACCTTTTTTAAATTATAATTTAACTAAATAAATAAGTATTTCTTAATGCATAATTATATAAAACATTAATAAAGATGCTTTTAATAATTAATTTATTTAGTAATTATAAAAAGATTTTTATAAAGCTAATGCCTTTTATAATAAGTTAATTACTACTTATAATAATAATTATACCTAAATATAGTTATAAGGAGCTAAAGTTTTTTATATATCCTATTATATACTTTAAAGCATTAAAATTAAAAATCCATAATATTAAAGTACTTATAATTATTAATAGCTTTACTATATATATTAAAATATTAATATATAATACTATTATATCTTCCTTATTATTATTAAAAATTTTAATAACTTCTTTATCCATAGCTTAATTTATAATAACTTATTTTTTACCCTTTTTTTATTCTTAATTAACTTTATATTTAATAAGCTTTATATAATTAATATATAAATAGCTAATAAATATAAAGTTTTATATATAGCATTAAGTGCATTTTTTATTGCTTAATATAAAGTTAATATCCATTAATATAAACTTTACAGCCTTTTTTATACCCTTTAATGCCAACTTTTTTTAAATAAAAGTAAAGTAAGCTTTAAATTATTTAACCTTTATATAAAAAATAATATTTATTATTTTAAATTTAATTTTAAAAAATATTATAAGATTTTAGCTACTTAAGTTATTAATAATATTATTTATAATATTTAATAGCATTATTAAAAAGAAAGAGCCTTTAACCTTATTACTTTTAAAAAGTAACTTTATTAACTTTTTAATTAATTATCTTAACATTAAAATTTTAATATAAAGTTTTATTTAAAGATTTTAAAAAATATTTAAATAGCCTTATAAGTTAAAGCTATTTTTATATTATAAGTTTATTAATTAATAAAAAAGGTAAATAGTTAAGTTGCTAATATTATAATTAAATTAATTAGCTAATATTTTCTAAGCATTAAAAGATTTTCTATATAATATAATAAATATTATAAGGCTTAAATATATTAAGCTTAAAAGCATAATAAAGACTTAATTATTAAGCTTTTCTTATTTTATAAGGGCTATACCCTTATTTAATTATTTCTTAATACCTATAATATATTTATTAAAGCTAATAAATTAAAAACTGCAATTCCATGCCGCCCTTTAATTTAAAAAGTTTTCCCCTTTTAGGTTTAACTTTAAGAAAGATAATAAGTTAAGCTTAAAGTTAAGTATATTTAATATCTTTTAAATAATATTTATATATTTCTAGGTATATTTTAAATAATGTTTATATATTTTTATTTATTTATAATAATTAACATTAATTAATATAAGTAAATAAATAAAAAGGAGCGAGTAGTTAAAATATTAAATAGGGTAAAAGTACTAAATTATTATAAGTTATTATTAACCGTAGTAGCTATTATAGGGTATAATAATGGTATATAGGTAAAAGCTAGTAATATTAAAATCTTAATGATTTAGGTATAAAAATAATTATAAAAATGAAGGTATTAATGTTTCCTAATGTTTTAAGATATTTTAAGCAATACTAGGCTTATAATTTAATAAAGCAATTAAGCAAATAATAGTTAATTATTAAGTGTTAAAGAGAGAAATCTCCCTGCTATTAAATGCTTAAAAGGAGCCTATTTGTAGGCTAGCGCTAGCGTATGGGCATACGACCCTCGCACCTTCCAACAAAGTGTACCCTGTTGGTTTTGGGCTAATTGGTGATCCTTTCACGGAGATTGAGGTTCAGAAACGGCAACCAGATGTCAAAGTTTGAAATTTGTTTTAAAAAGTTCCCAAGGAAAATGCAGGGGACCAGCTGCCAATCTGATGACGGACTCAGAAACTGTTCTGTTCCACTTGTAAAACCCTTAGGTGAGGCTCTATATAATACAGAACGACGTCTAGACATGGGACGCCATTTCCGCCGGAACTGGGCTTTTTTCTCATTAGGAATCTGAACGATTGCTTTACATTGTTGTGATAATCACCTCACACGTTACGTGAAAACTCTTGATCTTGGATGTCCATGGCCTGACGTATCATGTCACTTCGTTGTATCGGATGGACGGGTCCTCTGAAGTCTCGGAAGAAAAGTATCTCTCACTATGTGATTTGTGAGGCACTGTGGTATCAAGCTCACTTGATGTTCTCTTCGTGCACTCCAAACACAACCAGATCTACATCAAGTGCAGGAAACATGTGTCAACCGACAAAGAGCAAGAAAAAGGCGAAATCTTCAAAATAACTCCATCCATGGCAGCCAGGAGAAACTTCTTGAACCAATCACCAGATAGCACATCGTCATTGCGCAACGTGTATCGTATTCGCCGCATCCAAACACCAGCGGAAGTTTCTGGTCGGTGGGGCTCCTTGCTACGTTAAGCCGAATCGAGCCACGCAAACTGTGCGTTGTTCCAGGTGTCGTTGCGGTCGTTACTCGCGGGTAAAGGCGCGAAGGATTCAGAACGCCCGCAGAAAGATTAGTGTGTTGACTATGCCATTCTTGACTGCAGACTTGTGCCTGAAAGCCTCGAAACTAACCGTTCGAGTCTGATGTATTTCGCTTGATAGGACCTTTCGTTTGTGTGATGGTTCTACTGTATCGATGAAGTCAGCGACAGGATCCCAGGCACTTCTCCCATGTCTGTCGTTTGTGAATTGTGACCGTCTTGTGGGACCAGGGACCGCAATCGACCGATGTGTATACAGGTATCGTACGTAAGATAAACAGCGCTTCTGACCTCAGCTGTGAACACACCGATCTTTCCCGCGATGTAATAATCGCATTGAATCATTGCTTCAGTTTACAGTCGTAAGCCATATTAACAACATCCAACGGAAACCTGATGGGTTTTCTAGAGAGCATATTCTGCTTGAGCTTCAGTAACGTCTGAAAGGGGCGTGGCATCATCTCTACGGAGGTGAGACCGGATTTCACCGTGTAACATCTCCTGCGATGGGTGCAGGGTGCCGTGTCTCAGGCAGTGGCTACCAATCATACGACATGTAGCGCAGGGAGACCACGAGAGGCGGACTAGAATCTCCACATCACAGTTGCACAGCGGTCGTGGCAAGTCTTTGGACCAATGAATGCTTGTATTCAAACTATATGGTGGTCCAACGAGTAGACTTTGAGTCCCGGAATGACCGCTTCGGGTTCAGAGCCAGTTGTGCTTGATGATCGTTATGCTTGATGTCGCGAGGATCCTTGCCAAGTGCGTAAAAGCCAGCTCCCATTACACTAGCAGCACCGCCAAATGCTCTGTTTGTTGATGACACGTTAGTCTCTGATGGTTCTCCATTGTTGGTGTTGAAGCTGGTTGGATGGGGTTGGATAGCAATGGGATGGGTTTTTTTGGGAGAGAGAGAGGCGTTCTGACACGTACAGTGGAACTCCGCCGAGGCCAACTGTGGAGGTATAAGCGTAAAATGGCAGGTCTGAGTAGCACCTCTTCGCGGAGGTAGCGCCGCTTGTTTGCCGACTGACGGTCCTGCCAGAGGATGCTGTGACGCGGCGGCTGCAGAGGGAGAGACCAGCTCGGAAGGCAGACATTTTGTTTGTTTGTGGGTATTATGCGGAATGTAGGTCGTTATAGGGTGGTTGTTGCTCGTTGTAAAGTCGTTGTTGTTCGTTGGCGCAGCCAAGAGTGTTGTTGAGTTGGGTTGAGATGGAGAGAGTGAGTCGAGAGTGAGTTGAGGATGGATTGAGATCGGATTTGGAAATTGTAGAGGGAGTTCTGATGGTTGATATAGTTCGAAGCTGTCTCAACTCCCGGTCACTTCCCCAGCCGTGATGGTCCCATTAGCTCCCCATCCAGACAGTCGATTGACTTTGTGCGATGTTGAAGGGCCATCTGGAGTTTCGCTGGCGTAGATGCATTGTAACACCAAGTCGAATCAGGTATGGGCCGATCCATGTGGTTCTCGACAGTTTGCCTGATCAGTGCGCCAAGGATCATACGTCAACCGAGATGCTTGTTTCACATGCAACATATGACCTGGCCCAAGGTTCTCGATTTCAGGGTTGTGCAAATGTGGAGGCGACCGATGCAATAACCCGCGAAGAAAACCCCGACCGTCGTTACGGCGCCGCGTCGAAACTGCCACGGCCGGTCCAGACTCATACGACCGGTCGCATGCTTTTGTGGGTGCATCTCCCGATTCAGTTACATGCCGTCTGGCCCGTCCCGTTCCGCTTGGCATTCCACTGCCGGGGGCTCGTCAGAGACATTCCGGAACTCTGGAACCCAGCCCAGTCAAAAAGTACCCCCTTGATGGGCTGCTGTGTCTCTTTCCATCGAACCATGGGGATGCACGGGTGGGTCGTGTACCGGAAGGCGACATAGCCACTGCAAGACTGGCGCGTCTCTCACCACGACAACACAAGACGACGGCGGATAACGCCCCCACGAGGCTGGCTCTGTTCATTGGTCGAGGCGGCGGGACACATAGCCTAGTGCGAAGCTGTGCAATGGGCGACTGTGGAGGCTTGAGATTGTGCAACATGGTGCTGGCTGCTCGCCATGAGAACCTGCCCACGGTGGGACGATGCCCATAAGTTCATGCCTTCGTGTGTGTATCAGCTTGTCACTGCAAGCTTGCAGCCAATAGAAAGTGGCCTCGAAAGGGACAGATGGCAGATAGGTAGGAGGTGATGATTCATCGTTGATGCTAACAAGACCACATCCTCAGCCAGAGTGCGTGGCAGGCTGGGCACGACTGACTCGGAGGAACTCCTCGGAGAGAGTTGGCCGATCTCAGTCAAGGTTCACTATAAAGGAGATCCAAGGTTATTGAGATGATCGTGCAGGGCCTTCACTAACTGTAACAGTGACATCTGAAGTGACCACGATCCCCCTTTCGTGGTGGCTGTCCTCATCATGATCAGACCCCTGCCTTCCTGCTGTAGCAAGCGTGGTCAGGCGGATCTCGTCGTCCTCCCTCGGCCTCAGCACCAGCTTGCCCTCGATAACAGTCTGCAGGCGAGTCCTGTCAAGCCCCCTGTAATCGCTCGACCGCGGCCTGTTCGTCCTCTCCGAATGTTCGCCCGGATTGGCCTTTTCCATCAACCAGTAGTACAGTGGCATGACATTCGCCAAGCAGGCCGTGACCACGCCGATGGCCGGTTCCACCGATACCCAGAGCCCGACTGGGCCCATGGCCCACGTGTGGTCGTGTGCAAAAGCGAACAACATCATGTAGTAGATGCGGATCAAGCCGGCAGCACAAGCACTGTGCCAGGCATTGTTAGTCGGACTGTGTTGGTCGGTTGGACACGAGGAACAGAAAGACGTACAAGGTTCCAAGCATCGTAAGTGCACAGACGATAAGCTTCTTCCGCACCGACATGTGCAGCTTTAGCACCATCGGGATGGGTAATACCAGCAGGAACACATCGACTGAGACGTTGAAGATGGAAAAGGCGACGAAAAAGCTGCTTGTGCTGATGCAGGTACCCTCTGAGACCCCGTCGTATTGCGTCCAGAAGAATTGCAACGGTTGACAGGCTGCAAGTATGACCACTATGAAGGTCACAGACAAGGCCATAGTCAAGAATTCGGCCGCAAAGATGCATCGTCGGAAGGCAGTGTTCGCCGTCGAGAAGACGCGTACGTAAAGCAGTATGATCGACATTTTGATGGCCATAGCTGCCAGAGAGTAGACGATCGCCAACGCGAACAGGTACTGCACATTTGACCAATCAGTTATCATTCGTTGGGGTGGAGCCTATTGGCCAGTGGGCAAAGTCTAACCAGCGATGTTTCTACCACCTCTTCTGTTCTCAAAGCCCAGATATGTCTTCCAGCACCGGCACCTGTCACTTTGCGCGTGGTTGCGTCAGCAAATTGTGGCTAATTGGATTGGGAGCAGGAACACAATACGTACTTCGCACCGTCACAACACAGGTCCCGATACACAGTATCAGAGCGACGATGATCAAGTAGTCGTCCGCTCGCAACCCTGCATCCTGGACAAGCCTCGAGCCCAGCCGGAGCAACACGGAGAGCGTCGCAACGGCAACCAAGGCGATGACCCCGATCTCCGTTCCCGGCATCTGCACCTCGGCGAGGTCGACGCCGGGCGGCGGCTGGCCGAATTGTTCGATGACGGCGGCATCGACTGCCATGGCACAGTCATCGGGCGGTATCCAGCAAAGGGGCGCGATTTGATGGAGTAAAAGAGGCAAGCAACCCAAAAGGCCGGGAGGGGGGCACCAGCTCACACAGCGGTCAGGGAAACCCTTTTAAATGGGGTTTTCACGATCACTGATCGCCGGGGCTCCTCCTGCGAACCCCGGCACAATGCCCAGGAACGGCGGTGCATCGTAGCGGAACCCGAATTTGAGGCTCGCCAACCAGAGCTGCCAGAGCTGCCAGAGCTGCGAGAGCGGGCGGGTCGGACGGGCTCTCAGGATCGGCTCTCTGGAGCGGGACAGCCCGGGCGAGTCATGGCAGCGGGCGACAAATCTCCATTACCTGGTTTGCGTTGGCGATCAATCACGAAAGCGCCGGGACGGAGATCGGAAAGACGCAATCGTAGCGCGCGAAGATCATTGGGGTCGATGGGCTCGCGGCTGTGAAATAGAGTTCAGTCGATGGAGAAGCGCGGGCATTTTGGGGTGAGTCTTTCACGATGATGCTTCTTTGCCTGGCTCAGCCTTAAAGGAATGGTGGTTAGGTTACCCCTGACTGGGCACACTGGCGCTTTCGCAATCGCGTGCCGGCAACACATTACGCAAAGGTGGGTGTGGGCCCCCCAACCCCCCGGGGAGCGTCAGGCAGCCCTGAAGAAAAGATGCGCCGTATACCCGTCAAACGCAATGCGTTACGAGGACCGCGGAAGGGGGGGTGGGTAGCACGGCTCGCACGGACTACTAGTATGTTCGGTTGCAGTGGGATCACTTCGGTCGAACTGGATCGTCACCCACAATCCGGCAGGGGGAAAGATTCGACAGGCATGTACGCAAAAGCGTGTTGAAGGGGGAGTCTTAGCGTCCTGCACATAGCTGATCACGTATGTAGATGCGAACCGTCAAAGTATTGACATTACGAACATGATACGTCGATGAAAGAGGCTCTGCACGTCTACTGCCGTTCGAAAAGCTTATCTTTGGCTTGTCCACAACTTGAATAGGCTGACTTGTCATTCAAAAATAATACGTCTGCCTGGCTTGGCTCTTGATCGGAAGAAGCCGAGCTGGGATGATAGTTTTTCTCCGTCCGATTCATGTACATGGATAGCGAAATTGGTCATTCGTCATCACCGCGCGCAGCGGACTTGCCTACAATGTCCTTCCGGTCCGGCTTTATTCCCGTCGGATACCACCAAAGGGGACACGCTTAGTGGTGCTGTCATCCTCACCTGAGAGCGGGAAGAAAGGGAATGGCCTTCTACTATCGGGTACCATTCAAGGTTGGTGATCGTTCCGTATGAGAAATGACCCCTCATGACTCCAGATATGTATGGCAGTGGATCTGGAATGACTCAAAGGGGCCACTGCGCCCAAGGAATTTAACCCTCGTCCCAAGGATTGACAGATGATTGTATTCACCCAGTCCTGGTATTTGCATCCGCTTCTGATCCTTCGCCCCTATTTTGTAGAATCAATCCACCTGTGGCCCCCGAAGCGGGACAAGAAAAAGAGAGAACCCTTCCGCATTGACAAAGCGCTTAGAGAGCATCACTGGCACGCCAAGATGATATGCCAGTGACCGACTTTTCAACGGCTGATGAACGTCGGATCCAATGTCACAACCCGTTTTGCGTGTTCACTTCTCTATGTTCCGAAGTGAGCAAAGATGCACTGGGAAACGTTTGCGCTGAGTTATGAGTCATGCTTGGCATTGCAATGAAATTGTCGAAAAGACCGTCGATCCGCGGTCCAAAGAAATTGCTGTCAAAATCTGGATCCGTTGCAAAATCGCTTAGTGTCATGATATTATCGTCTAGTATTTGGTGATTAGTACTTGTTGAATCGCTTGCCGGTTCACTTTCGTTCGGGGTACTTGAACCCGAGAGCGTGACAGGGCTTTCTTCTCAGGACTTTTGTGGTTTCATGCCCCTTTCCTCCAACGAATTCTCGTATATTCTGTCGAGGCATCTCTGCAGCAACTCCTCGTCGACGCTCAAAGCGACGTGGCTTAGGTCGCGGTCATTAGCCAGGGCTCGCCAGCCCTCACGGTGTGAAAACTCGCGGAAGAACAACAAGTCCTAGGATGGGTTTTGATTGATGTACGGGGTGGCCGGTCATGCGGGCGGTGGCTTTCCGTTGGGCCCACCTGAGAAAAACACTCTCGTTTTATTAATCTCTAGTTTCTTCCTTACTACCTTATCTGTAGCTTGAAAGCCTGGCTGTGGTTGGTCATCCTTTACATCCAAGCTACAGCTATAATGATTGCATGATTCTGGTTGGACTTGCTGACCATGTACTGAATTAACTCTATAGAGAGAGTGTAGTTTAGGTATCTGTCAAGAGTATGACATATAGCTCAAGTAGTAAATTAACCTCCCTTAGCCTGACTACGGGATGGATGCGACCAGACTGTCTGAAGGTCCAATGATCTCGTTAGTGCTATCATTCCTCTTCCCCCCCCCCCCCCTGCGCGTCTAGATTCCGATCTTTCTTGTTGCCTTTACGATCCATCCGTTCCTGACTCTAGTTCCAGCACCCTGATGAGTCATCAGACCGGGTGATAGACCATGCCCATGAACTGCGAGAACGCTCCAGCCAAAGTTTCCCCCCAAAATACATTCTACCAGCAAATCCGAATCAACATAACCTGCCTTCCCCACTCCTCATCTCGGAATTGCACTGCACCCCTCTTCACAATTTGCACAGACTACAGAAATGCCCGAGCATGACGATGGCTTCTTGTTTGGTTGACTGACGCATGTCGAAGGTTTGGGTAAAATGTCGCCGAGTAAGACTGGATGCAGTCCGTGATGTTCGTATTTGCGGATATCCTCGAACGACTCCTGGCCACCCGCAAATGAGAAGAAAAGATATCGCATCCACCTCAAAATCGGCTTTGGAGAATTTTCAGTTGTCTGGCTTGCCTTTGGTCTTCAAATAAAATAATGATACACACCCTGTGGTTCTTCCAAGTAGATCAAAACGAGAATCACTGACGTAGAAATCCGGCCCAGACGATTCATTAGTCTCAAGATTTGTCAAGGCTCTGACAGCCGCAAACCGGATACCGAGGCAACTATCTTACAATACATAAAAGACAACCCCAAGCCAGGATCAGAGAATATCATTCATTTACACGACGCATTTGTAATCCATGGGCCAAATGGATATCACAGCTGCCTGGTAATTGGGATTGTTATCCCTCTGGGTATGCTTGGTGCAGACGGCAGCGGCCTTGAAAATCTATACAGCCCACGCTCCGTCATCAATCAGGTTTTAAGAGGCTTCGCCTATCTTCCTACGCAAGGTATAGCACATGGGGGTAAGCAACCATTTACTTTGAGCGCTATTCAAACTCAATATCTAGGCACAGAGAATGACTTGATCACAGACCCCACCCCTGCAAACATTGGGATTGCCATACCACAGATTAACAGCTTCACCGAAGAGGACCTGCTGGACGAGCTCGCTGCCGATATGGAGCTGTACCCAGTGATTCCGGTTGACCCTTCGTTCCCCATGGAGATGGTGTCTCGATATCTCATAGGCCGCATGTCTTTGCTTGATTTCCTTCTAGCCAGTGATGCCTTTACCGTTCAGAATAGTACGGAGATCAGGATTTTCGATTTCGGTCGAGGTAAGCTTTAAGAAAGAGACACGAAAATGAAAAGGCAATACTGACCACACACTCATACAACTATGTTGCACAATCGAGCAGCATGGTGGAATCAAGTTAATTAAAGAAAAGAAAAAGAAACAGGCAAATACATACTCCAATACACTTTTTAAAGGGGGAAAAGTGGGCCTTTTTCATGACAAACTAGCATTTTTGGCCATCAAGCCACGACCTCCCCCAGGAGCCATTCCTTGCATGTACAGGCCCCCAGAGGTTTCTGTATACGAGCTATCAAAGGGAAAGATCGGTTTCCAATGGAGCCGTGAGGCGGATGTGTGGGCTCTTGCATCTGTCGTAAGTTTTCAACCTGGTCCAAGCAACTGGCGTCCTTGTTATCTCAATACTGAGCAGTGTCAGTACTTCTAGTTCTTTTCAATCCGAACACGAGGTGAATTGTTTCCCTTCGAGGGCAATCTCGAGACCACTTTAGGGGCAAAGGTAAATGATGTGGAAGCAAACCAGAAAAGTAACTTAGGATCTAATTCATGTTACCAAGAGTAAATGGTATGCCTAAGTACCTAGGTAGATATGATGGGCAAATGGAACAAGAGATAACACTTTAGACAGCTTCGGGCTAACTCCCATCTATTCTTCCATGATTAACTACATGGTGAGGCAATGATGTGTTAGCAGGAATTCCATCGTGCTAACGTAATCTTTGAGCATCTATTGATGAAGAACCACTAATATATCAATGTAGAATTCATGGATACTGGCTCTGCTTATCTTTAGTTCTCTTTCTGCCATATTAACACAGTGGAATAGCAGACATGAGTTGGGGATCTAGTAATCCAACTCACCCTTAACATAGACCTACAGCCACCGCCGCCACCGCCAGGTCCACCACCCACACCCAGCTCCTTAGAGTTGGTAAGGTTGAACTAGTAGCACGCCACATCTTCGCTTGGTGTGTAACGTATGACTAGACCTCTGGGCCAGAGGAATACAATGGTACGGCCACCGAGCGTTGAGCAGACACTCTAATAACTTGACTGCTGCTTGGCTCTCAACTTGGCACCGAAGCGCCAGAGTATGCCTACCGCCGGCAGCGCGATGCCGACAGACAGGAAGGCCAGCAGGCTGTTTCCCCACCCGTAGCCCAACGCCTCGTACATACTGCCTGAGAAGAGCGGGAACGCAAACGCCAAGAGACTCCTCAGGAGCTGTGTGGCGGCCGAGGCGGAACTGATGTGTTCGGGGTAGGCGTCCATGACGTAGGCGTAGAGCGTGGTTCCGAAGACCTGCATGCCGAGGGACAGCAGGGCGGCGCCGGCGTCGACGACGAGCCAGTGGAGGTGGTGCTGCGCGGCCCAGCCGTAGATCAGGAAGCCCACTGGGGTGAAGAGGGCACCCGGCAGCAGCAGCGGGACGCGCAGCTCGGGCGCGTGGGCCTCGCCGGTGCGCGACGTCAGCCTCGCGTAGGCACAGTCCATGAGCGGCCCGCAGAGCTGCGAGCCTGCCACCTCGCCGGCGCAGATGGCCATGTAGTGCAGGCCGGAGACGGCGACGGCATCGCCGTACGCCGACACGTACAGGGACGAGAAGCTCGCCAGCGCGAAGTACAGCAGGCCGTAGTTGACGCCCGACAGGATGGCCTGGATCTGGATGATGGGGTGGAACGCGAGGAGGCGTGTGGGCCGCGAAAGGCTACGGCTGATCTTCCACGCGGCGGAGCGGCCGGATTCGCGCATCTCGATCTCGGCGTGGAAGCGGGAGTCGCCCGTCTCTGTGCGCAGCCTCTGGGCCCGCCGGCGGAGGAGGACGGGCGCATAGCTCTCACGGAACAAGAAAAATGAGGACAACTCGAGAAGGCACTGCAGGATGGTGGTCGCCCAGAACATCCACCGCCAAGTCGAGTATTGGACGATGAAGCCGCCTACAATGGGCCCGATGGCCGCGCCGGTCAGCGGGACGAGCAGGTACATGCCGAGGGAACGCCCTCTCTGCTTGGCCGACCACACGTCGCCCAGCACGCCAAAGGCCATGCTGTATACGGCACTGGCCCCGAAGCCGGCAAGCAGCCGGGCGGCGATGAGCAGGCCTCTGGAGTTGGCGAAGCCACAGATGAGGTTCCAGACCAGGAACCAGATGTTTGTGAGGTGGAAGATGGAGCTCCGGCCATAGACTTCGGACAGGGGCCCAATGACCATCGGGCCAAACGCGGTGGCGAGCAGGTAGACCGACAAGGCCATGGTCGACTCTGCGGTTGACATGCTCAGCTCTTCCGCGATGGTGTTGATCGCGGGTGCCATCATCTGCACAAAGCTCGCATCAGTAAAAGTTCCAGGTCTCGAAGCTGTGACCACACTCCTGGTAACAGATTCGGTTACAGCACAGGCTGTGTCTTACCGTCGAGACCATGATGCGAAGGAAGCCTGTGCCAGAAACGGCCGCCGTGACACCCCACTTCAGCTTGGTGGGCCAGTTGAGGGGATTCTCAGTATCATCTAGGCCGAACGTCACGAGGTATGTATTCGACTCATTCGAGACAGCTTCTTCCCTAACCCCAACATTGTCGCTGCTCTGGGTAATCGGGCATGTGTTCTGCTGCTCAAGGTCGCTGTTTCCCACGACCTCTGCGCAAACCTTCTCGTTATGCTCTGGGCCTTGTGGGAGGGCTTGTTTGGCTTGAGGCTGCATTATGGGTCTCGTTCGAAATAACACACAATTGATGTTGACGTGGGAAGTCAAGGCACGGAAGGCAGGAGGTAAGTTACCGTATATGGCTAAGAGATTTTATTTAGTTAGGGAGACAGCGCCTATTGCGCGTTTAAACTTGAGTCGACAGGAAATCAGCCAACGCCTAGGTGATGAATTATTTATACCAAGAAGGCCTGTGATAAGGGGTGCGAGATCGGAGAAATGTGAACTGGCGTGGAAAGTATGAGCGGCTGCAGAGCAGGTCACATCTCACCAGTGTGCACATCAACTGATGTGGTTGGCGGTGCAAGTTGTGAACGCAGCTCGGTATTGAAAAGGTACATACCTGCCCAGGTAGGCAAGCACAGCCTGGAGCTGGCAGGATGAAGCCGACGGGCGGCGCTCGGAAAGCCGAGCGCCGCCGCGTTGCTGGGTGAGCATATTATCCGAGTCCTACTGGAATGTTACAGCAGTCGCACCTTCCAACAGAGACTGAAGATCTATTTTCGCGTCCGAACACTGCAAAAGGGCCATCATGCTCTGCCTTGGAGGCCTGTAGATACTTTCAGACAACGTTCCGGGTTTGCTCAAATGAAATGGTGCTATGTATGCATACGTTAATAGTTTTGCGTCGGGTAGAAGGACTGGCTAGGTCTATCTGAGTTAGCTAGAATCTAGGTGCGTTCGTTTTGCTCATGTGGACTCGTACCCCGTGGGCTTAGAGACGTGGGTAACGACCGAGTCGTTCAGGCAGTATTGGTCAGGTAATTAGCCAATATTTAAATAAGTGGAAGCATTTTGCACCAAAATACTATATCAGATAGGGAATAATGACCAGTGAAGTAGTTGCTTATGGTTCTGTCAATCATATGGATAATAGCCTGTAGGGTGAAGTGACTTGTTTATGAAGATGAGAAGGACCTGATAATTTCCACCCACGCTTTGACTTTCGCGAAAACTGTGGAGTAATACCTACGATTAAACTCTTCATCGTTTACATTTGCCTGGTGGTAAGTAATTTTCAAGATACTAATTCACTGCATCGTAATCGATTTTGATAAGACAAGTACTTAAGAGCGTGAAATCCAAGCGTCACTAATGGCTACTACTAGTATAGAATCCAGGGAGGATTGAGTATCACCGAGCGACAGTGGCCTCTAGCTATGGTTATGCTTAAACTCCAAGACTGTGCGTCGTCGAAATGCTTTCATCAGAAACGACCGGGCGTGTTTTCACCGTTTTCGCCGTTTTCACGTGCTGTCTGTCCTGGTGAGTACTTGGCGTGAAGCCACCGCGATTCAGGGGTTAACCCTCTGTGCATTCAGGGTGACACGCGAGTCGACAGTCTAACCCGAGGGTCTGGCCAGCTCCGATTCCGCACCTAGCTGAGCCCAGTCTCTCAGAGTCTTCCGCTTCCGCACCTCAAAGGCTCGTTCGCGGGTCCCGAATCCGCCTCTCACCCCGACAGTTTGACTCTGGCCCCGACCAAATGTCTCCATTCGCCGCCATACGACCACCCAAAGATGGACAAGTCGAGCACTCCTGGCACCGGTGGAGGTGACCAGGCCACTTCCGGGGAGCCTCAGTACATTCGAGCCCGCGTGCAGAGTGCTTGTGACGGCTGCAAAGCACGGAAAGGTAGGTAACTTCCGCTCTGCCCGTCCTGCCATTGGCCCGTTCCTCCTGATTTTCGGTTGTGGTTTCACAGCGTTTGTGTGGACGGATGCACCCTTTCCGTTTTGCCTGTTCACTGGGCTGTAGCCATGTGCGCTAGGTGTTATTCCGTGAATTTTGTCTCATTACGCCCACTTACTCGTCTCCTGTTTAATGGTGTTCAACTCTTGAACTGTCGTCATTGTCCTACTGTCTATTCGCCAACTCTGCTAACACAACACGCAATGCAGTGAAATGTGATGGTAAACTGCCATGTAGCTATTGCACACGTCGTCAGAGACCCCACGCCTGCAAGTACTCTCCTCCAAGAGAGCGCCGCCGGCCGGGACCACGGAACCAACTCCAGCCCAGGACACCGAGCATCCACTCTCCCTCCGTCTCCAACAGCAACAACCACAGCCAGGGGACACCGCACCCAGCGGACTTCGAGCACTCGAGCATCACGGCTGCCACAAACCATGCCGTCCTACCAACGCCCCCGGTGAAGCCTGGCTCTGCAGCCGGCCACGCGGCTCACCGTAGAAGTAGTGATGCCGCCGTCACGGACGACCACGAGGAGGCCGAGGTGCCCCGAGAGGCACGGCTACTCTGTGACGCCCAGGGCAAGCTGATCTTCATTGGCGACTGCGCCCCGCTGTCGTTCTTCCAGACCGTCCGTCAGCTCGTCACCACCCGGGTCGACCAGAATGCCTTTGCGCCACAGACGAGTCGCTACTCGGTCCTCGAGAACGCAATCTCCAGGTCATCGTTTCTGTCAGGTGCATCGTCGCCTCCGGAGGTCAAGACCGAGGACCTGCCGGCCATCATCTCGACATATCTGTCCGTCACGTGTGGCATGGCCGACCTCTTCGTCAGCAAGTCCCGCCTCGTGGAGGACATGACCATCTGGTCGTCGAACCACCAGGCAGGCAACCGCATCGACGACGTCTCGTCCGCCGTGAACTACCTCGTGGTCGCCATCGGCATGCAGCAGACCAACGAGGAGACGGCGCAGCTCTACTTCGAGTACGCGCGCGACCAGGCGCTGGCCAACCTGAACGGCAACCTCAGCGTCGACACGGTGCAGGCCTTCATCCTGGTCACGCTGTACATGCTGTGCGCGTGCCAGATCAACGGCGCGTTCCTCTTCTTCGGCATCGCCGTCCGCGCGGCCTACTCCATCGGCGTGCACCGCACCGAGGTGAACAGCCGGTTCGGGCCCGAGACGCACAGGCAGCGCGACAGGCTGTGGAAGAGCCTGCGCGTCGTGGACCTGTTCCTCAGCACCTCCATGGGCCGCCCCCCGAGCACGAGCGACGTCGACTGCACCGTTTCGTACCGCCAGGTCGACGACGACGGGCAGGAGGTGTTTGACATCCTCAACGCGTCTGTGCAGATCTTCCTGATCCTCGAGGGTGTCGTGGTGGAGGTGTACTCGAGGCGGAAAATCTCCCTGCAGCTGACCGAAGGGATATCTCGGCAGCTGAGGGATTTCTCCGTGAGATGGCTGCAGCAACTGAAAAGCGTGGTGTCGTCGCCGAACGAGCAGAACTCTGCCGAGGTGAATGGGGCATGTCAGGTCCTGGCGTCGTACTACTATGCTGTGATGCTGGTTTCGAGGCCATTCCTGATGTATGAGCTATACAGGCGCTTGTCTCCTGAGCCCTCTTCTGCCTATGGGAGGGCAGGCTTGATGTCTGGCAAGTCGAAGCTGGCTGATGCCTGTATCGATGCTGCCAGCTTGATGGTCGATCAGATATTGGATCTCGTAGAGAAGGGGCTTGTCTCCGGAAGACGACCGGTGCTTGTGTAAGTTAAAATGCTCACTGTCCTCCGTATTCAGTAAAACGTGGAGGCTTACAACTTATCTAGATCGTGGCTCTTCGCAGGCTCACTTGTGCTGGGCGCTGGGCTTCTCGGTGGTTTTGGCCGCATTCTTGAGAAATACGCGCGCATGTCCGTGACGGCGCTGGATCACTTCGCAAAGATCGATGCACACGCAGCGCAGTACTCGATGATATCGAAGTCTCTTCTCACAACAGCGGTGGAATATCTCGAGAAGAAGGAAGTCCAAGAACGACTGCAGAGGACCGAAAGCTCCGCCCAGCTCTTTGGGCTCATCCCACATGAGCCTAAGGACGGGGACAGCATGAGCACCAGGAGATCACCCGAGGTCGCGCGCAAGGTGGCCAGCCCCATGAGGATGGGCCACCAGAGAGAATTAAATTCGGAACCGACACCGCAAAACCACGCGACACCGCATTTCGGCATGGGGAGCGTGGCGTCCCCGTCCTTGTTCAGCGACCTGGACCCAGCGTTCCTGACCATGTCAAACAGCCTGCCTCGGACCCCGGATCTGTCCTTACTGAGCGGCGCTTTCGACGGGGACGACTCCTTCGGCGGACTGAACTTGTTCCCACTGCTGGATACTGGGGGAGGAGGACACATTGATCTAGCACACTATTTATAGCCCAATCAAGACTACCGGCTCGCAAGAGCATCACGACAATACTCGATTCGTTAATTGTTCCCCTCGAATCCCACGACGGTCGTCTCAGCATGGCTGAACCTCCTCTTCCCCGTCCGCGATATCCGCAACTTAGACTTGCAATTCGGATCAGGGCAAGCAATCAGGGCGTCCGATGTCATCCAGTCGTTGGCATGTGTCACGCGCTGCTTTGCTGCCAGGAGGGGGAGGACGGATGCTAGCCCTTTTGTCAGTCGAGCCCGACGTCGTTTGGCTGTGCTGTCACAATCATCCACCAATTCCACTCACCCAAGCTGTAGATGCTGATCCCCTGTCCGGGAGGCAGGTACATCATCTCGCCCTCGAGCGTGAAGTAGTCTCCCTCCCTGGCACCGCACATGATCCTCTCCCCTTCCGGGCACACCACCTCGACCCGGAGGTCGTATAGCTCAAAGGAGTCGTCCGCCTGTGAGGGCACCACGTCGGCAGCATTCGATGACATCTTTTTTATGGTTCACTCGTTGATGGCCCCATACACCTTGATACCCTAGGGTATTGAGTACTGATGTCGCCGACGAGCCGCTGCTTCCGGTCCTCGGACCTCTCTCTGCTCGCTGAAGAGATTATGTCAGCTTCCGAAGTTCCGGGGTTCCACCCGTCATCCGACGCAGAATGACTTGTACCAGCGCAATGGCGTCTTCTATCCAAGCCTTTGCGCCTTTACTTATCAATGCTAAGGGAAAAGCTGTATACATCATCTCGTTCGCGGGCTACATCAATATCCCGTTCATAGGTAAGTGTCTCAAGCAACATACCACTATACAGCTGACAGCTAACATGAAATTTAAAGGGACATCTGCGGCATCCAAGAGATCACTGAAGCTTGCAGCCGAAACTATGCAACTTAAGTGGTCTCGTTTGTAATCTGTACACATATGCTTCTTAAGCAGTATGCATCCAGCCCCTTCATACAGTGATAATATGCAACTTAAAATAGCGCCTTTCGGCGTTAATGTACTTGAGGTCGTGACTAGAGCAACAAAGGCCAAGTCAGACGTACTTCCGCGACTTTAAGATCCCGGATTAGTTGCTTTATAAGGGTATCGAGGAAGTGAGTACTAGTGGGGCTTAGTTTAAGGATCAAATGCCACGGACACAGCGGAGTACGCGGCCGTGCTTGCGGATAAGATCACAAGCCGCATCACAGGCCGGTTCTGGTGTGGAACCAATGCCGGCAGTACTAGAATGGCCACAACGGCTACGGAGGTGCCACAATCCGCCATGGTAAGTTCAAATGTTCCCTTTTCTTGGATGTGCTGACCAATTAAAGGATGCTGAAGCTTCCTTCGGATGTGGGCTAGATGTTTTGAAGTAGAGCAGGCTGGGCTTCCGTAACTCAAGCGATGCTAACATAAGTTCGATGGTGAGGATCTCTGCTGTTTTGTTTCCAGAGGGACATGCTGATTGTATACCTTCCTATCTAGTTGAGAACTAAGTACTATGGCACACTACCATTCAAAATTCAAACTCCTTTCGGTGCGTTCGACTTGCATGATAAGCGCGATCTGTTGTACAACCTGAAGCTCGTACTGCTCGGCCTATCATGACTTTGTCTTTGCAGTCCGAGGCACCAATGAGGCAGTAAGTTGCGGGAAACAGCGCTACTGCGACCCAATATCTCACTTGAATCCTTCTGTACACAGAACAAGGATAAAATCCCAACCGTACGGACGCTGACTACATTGGCTCTCTGCCCATGCTGACGCCTCCCTTCTCTAGCCCTCGGGCCGAAGACTTGGCATGTTATCTCAAAACCGAGCGATAGTCTATCATCACCACACCTTCACATTTTTTGCGTCCAAATAAGGGCTGTGGCGGGCTTACTGTGCATTGAGGTCGATAGCCACGTAGGGCTTGGCAGAGAATTTTCCCATACACACGCACCGCTCAAGCGAGTGGTTGGCTAGTTGTGCGGCGCAGGATCTCCGTTCGCTCATCCATGCAGGACCCTCAGCCGGCCGGGAGGACAACAAAGTGCGCCACTGGGGACTCTTTTAAAGATGAAGTGCAACGAGGCCAGAATGTACTGGGAGTCTCCTCGAACTTCCGGACATGCAATCTCTTTGCTCGTCCTGTGTATTACATCGCAAAAGAGATAGTCAGTCGATTTCTCGTTGAGCACTGGGATCTGGCCAAAAGTCCGACTTTGATCATGCCTCTAATGGATGTGAAGCACGTTGTCGATGATGAGAGGGTTCATTGGGCGCTGTTTCTGATTATCACCGGGTTATCAGCCTATCCGGATATCAGGTCTAGTCTTGTGAGTATCCATGCTACCATTCAGATACCAACTGTCTAATTTTGAAAATAGGCTCTTCTATATTCGATGTACAAAGGAATCGTATATTTGTGTTCCTCCACCTTGTCCACGGTGAAAGACTATGTCAGGGTTTCCCTCTTGATACGTTTCGACACTACGTGATGCCCAATACTGAGTATATCATAGCAATCTGGGAAATATTACAAGCCTTGGAAATCAAATACCCCAATCATCATCGTGTCTAGGAAGAAGGAAATCGCCGAATTCAGCGAGGCAGCATGTCTCTCTCAGCGAGCTGTTTACGCCGATGTAACGAGTCCCTCATTGTTCAAGTTCTGTGCGCCGAACTAATCATGAGCAGATGTTTGGTTTCAAGCACACTATGAACAAGTACGAGCACAACACCAATGCTTTTAGAGCGCTCAGGACACGGCTTTTCAGTCGAGTCCTGCAAGTCAACGGTCCAAATAACCTGAGTGCCCTTTACCCGCGTCTCCTTGCGGAATTGGACAGCAGTCTAAGCAAAGAGCTTCACAACGGACGTGCACTCAATGGTGAGACTTTCAACAAAAATACTTTTGAGATTGATATGATGCTAACGTCTTAATTAGGAGGAACATGCCTGCCTGTTGCGCAGACAGTCCGCCGGATGGCCTCGAAGCTCATGAGCATCATGTTCTTTGGTGAAAGTCTTGGTATGCAATAACTACAACTTCAATCATTCCTTTTGGGCACCCGAGATTAACTTTTAATACAGCCTCTGACGAGGAATTCTCCAACGCACTCTTACGATATCCTCGGGATATAGTCAGGTGCATGGCTGCCTTCCAGATAACGCCGTCGTTCATGTCCCCGTATGTCTTCACCCTTGAGTCATAAGGCGATTGAATACTTTCTAACTTCCTCAGTATCATGCACATGATTCTCACAAACCGGGGTCAGGCCATGCGCTTGATCCAGTCTCGCCTTCGTGAGTACATGGGCCCGGGTCGCTCTAATTGGAACGAACCTGAACCCACCAAACAAGTACGCGTACCCGCTTGAATTGCGTGATGAATACTGGTTGATGTCTCCTGCAGCTCACGATCATGCACAACATGGCGGAACTGGCAGACACCAGCGACTACTGGGATCCCGAGCTGCTTTCGCAGTCTCTCCTGGGGATCTGGTTCGCAGCCTCTCACCAGCCGTGGATGAACCTGCACTTCATTATACTAGAGCTGTGCGCCCGGAAGGAGTGGCAGGCTTCGCTCCGTCAGGAGCTAGAGCAGCATCTTCCGCTGGATTACGAGACTCTGGAGCATTTGCCTCTTCTGGACAGCTTCATCAAAGAAACCGTCAGGCTCAACCCCCTGGATACGCGTATGAGTCGCCTCATTGGATTTTCCCCTTCTTAGCTGCTGTGCGCTAATCCTTTTGTTGCAGTTGCAATCCGCAGAAAGGCACTGGAGCCGTACAACTTCTCCGACGGCACCTTGTCCGTCCCCGCAGGTGCCACGGTCTGCGTATCAGCGTATGACCTTATGCACAACCCGGAGACTTATCCCGAGCCTGATAGCTTTGAACCTCGTCGATTCCTACCGGATGATGCCAGAGACCAGCAGCGGAGGTTCACAGAAATTTCGGAGACGTTTCCGGTATGGGGCTACGGATCTCTCGCATGGTGAGTAATGGGGAGCCGCACTGTGGTCCGACTGCCGCTTGTTTAACTGATCATGATACAGTCCCGGTCGATTTCACGCCTCGCTGGCGATTAAGATGGTGGTGTCGCAGTTGCTTTTGAAGTATAATCTGAGACTTAGAGATGAAAAGGCAAGGACAAGGTGGTCCTGGGAAACGTTCACTATGCCATATGAATCCACGCAATTCATTGTTGAGAAATTGTGACCATCCAGCCCCGCGTCGTTACCTGTCACAATATATAGACGCCGCTGAGCTGGAGGCTCTCTGGATAGTTGATTTGGCTGGGTTGATAGGTTACACTAGAACTGCAATACATTGCGTTGCTTCTATATCTTGAGATGCTGAAATAAATTGACTTGCGGGCTTGGAATGTTGGTGGTGAAATACTTGTGGGAGTTGCCGGGTAGAATCTAGACAAACTTTAGATGGTTATCAACTGCCTTGGATTCTAGTGAGCTGTTTTGCTGCTGCTGGTACTAAATTATGTATAGTCTATGCGGAAGCCCTGGCCTCACTGGAAAATGCCACCCAAATATTCTATGACATTGGTTGAAGCAAGGCTCTTTAAGCCGCGCCAAGCAAAGTCTGATGGAGCCAACCGTAGAGCAGCTGGGATCATTACATTCGATCTTTGAAAGTATCTGGGTAGATTCAAACGCATAACTACATGCCTTGAATTGGTCAGGGAAGCTTTGCTAACTTAGTTGTTGGTCGTAAACTAACACAGCTTATTGTGAGTCTGCTCAAGCTTCTCTTCCTGTATCGTCTTGTTGGTTCTCTTTTCCAACTTACCGCCTGCACTGTTCTCGGCCGCTCGACCGGACACCTCACGACCGCTATCAACCTCCGTATTGCCATACCCAGAAGTCTGAAACGACATGACCCTCCTCCAGTCTCTCTCCAAATCCGTATCCCAACTATCTCTTTCTCTGTACGCCGTCGACCAGTGAAAGTAAATGTAGACTTGAGAGTCTAAGGGGACTTGCGGTATCTTTTGATTTGACCCACCGCCGATAGATCGACTCATACTGTCCAAAGAGGTCATATGGAAGCATATATTGTGGAGGGCACCCCTGATTGAGACGTGCTGCGTTGTTTGATTCCTACCATTCCTCCTTCACCTCATGGTGTTGCCAATTTTGGAATCAACGGGATGGGGGCCGCATTTGTCTACATAAGTATGACTAACCTTGTTCTTTTTAAATCTGACGCACCCGCAACCTATGAACGCACCGCGTGCTCTAAACGCAGTGCGAAAAGCGGCCTGGGTTGCACAAACTTGGCTTTCAGGCTGAGTCGACTCTAGGGGCTTGACCGGTTTTCTCAATGCGGGAAAAGGCTATGTCGATCGCGACTGGAAGTAAATGCTGAACCAGAAGGAGCTGAGACGCAGAAGTGCTTCTTAGGTTCCGAGACTGCAATCCTACTTCGCCCCCAGGCGCTGACCACCATAAAAATAAAGTAAGCGTTTCCGCGGAATATATCCCATCAGGGGATCGCGCTTGTGATACCTATCACGTTTCTCGGTGTATAAGACTTTACTCGTCCCGTCAAATGGGCCAAAGCCAGGATTTGTAACCCGCGTCCGTAAGACGGCTAATCGGTTCCCGGAAAGTGGCCTCCGAAGGCTGCTCTCGTCAGCGTAGCCAGCCCATAAGCAAAGCCTCATGACCTTTCTCCACCCATTCGAAATTTTAAGAAGCCACTCATGGAACAAGAAGCAAAACGCGAAGAACTGAAGACGCAACCCTGAGCCGATACATATCGAAGCAGCGTGGGCCCAGCCACGGAAGCCACAATGTCCGCTCACGCGGGACTCGACTCCTACTCTCCGGAGTATCTGGCAGAAGACGACAGCCAGAGACTCATTGACGCAAGTATTTCTGTCATAGTCGTTATAACGATAGTACTTGCCATTTTCTTGATTTCTCGGCTGTTCTGTGCGGAGCGCAATCACTGGGAGGTTTGGATTTTATATCCCTTAAATTACCTTCTCTGCCTGGGACTTTGCATCAATGGAATCTGTGAGTCTACCGAGGACGGACATGCTGAGGATTCCTGGCAGACTTGCGTTCGCTGACTCTACCTCCTCAAGTGTTTGTTGAGGTCGGAGGTGCAGGCCGCCATATGGTCTACTGGCTGATCAATGATCCGTCGGTCATCGTGCCGTTTCTCAAGATCCAAACGTCAGGCGACTTTGTGTATATGGCCGGTGTGACCTTCCCCAAGGTGGCGGTCTTGATCCTGTATCTCAGGGTCTTTGTCGACCGCAAGGTCCGCATCGTAACCTGGATCGTCATCGGGGTGGTTTTGACCAACTGGGTCGCCATTGGTATCATCGCTGCCTTGGTAACTTGCCAACCATTCGCTTTCAAATGGGACAAGACAATCCAAGGTGGCCACTGTGCAGATCTATTGGCCGCCTATAAATATGTCAGTGTTCCAAACATCCTCACTGATCTGGCTATTGCTATTCTGCCTCTGTCCACTCTCTATCATCTGCAGATGAGTCGAACCCGGAAGATTGGAGTCTCCTTGACGTTCATGGCCGGAAGTCTGTAAGTGATTCAATCATTCTTCCCCTGAACATGTGAAATCCAATACTCTCTCATGTTCGCTGATTGAAGTTTCACCATGAAGGGGTATAATAACTTCTGTGATCCGTTTCGTTGGGTTTTATGATTCGGACCTTGAATCAGACTTGTGGTATCTTGGAATCAACACGACGATACTGACTTTTGTTGAACCCTCTGCCTATTTCATTTGCTCGTGCTTGCCAGGGATGCGCCCCTTGGTACGGGCCTTGTACAAAAAGTTCAACGGCGGCCATACCTGGGATGACTCGGCCACAAAGCGCTTGCACGATTTCCCCCTGGGCAGTTACAAGGGCAACAACCACACGTCAGTTATTGCGACACAAGGCCAGAGTGTTCCCAGTCATGACGAGAACAAAGGCGGATTCATCAGACTGGAGGAAACTGTCCGGGTGGATTACTCACCTGGGCGTGCGGCGTGATTGCAAAACCGGACGAGACTTCAGGGGTTGGGCAAGTCTATACCAAACATCCTGATACCTTTTGCCTGATGGGCCATTTGCCTGGTGCCAGGTGGCTGATGCCTAATTTCCGCCATGTACTGCGATGTATGCGTAGAAACAGGGACTGAGCAAGGAGACATGAAGACCTCAGCATTTTAGAGGATCATCTTTACCCACACATCATTGCTCAATTGAACAGTCAGCACACCTATGCATGCAGATTCAAATACGTTGTGCATGGACTCGAACGTGATCAGCCTCTGATCGCCACTTGCCTTTTCCTCTTCTTCCTCTTTCCTCCGTGACTCTTTTGTTTGTTTATCCCAGAACTCATATCACCGCCTTGCACGTATCTGATAAAATTGACGGTTCCTTAGTCCTGCGCATCACAATAATACAAGTGATTTTCTGAGGCCCAAATAGGAGTGTGCTGCTAGTTGGCTGCCCAACTGCAACCAGCCTCCCCAGTGTAGTTAGTTCGCGGCTTTACCGCTGCCCCTTGCTCTCCTTGTCCATGTTCGTGGTGCGAGGATCTTGGCTGAAACCAGGGCTCGAGAACACCCAAACGGCTTAGAACACCAAGTGGGGACAGAGGGGAAAAGGGGACTCTGCAGCCTCACTTTGGGCAGCCGTTCCTCGGCAGGCACATACTTACCTAATAGGCATGGAATACTGTGCAGCATACTGGGGTAAATTCAACAGTGATTTGTTTTTCAAGGCACGGCCGCGTGTTGGTCCTCTAGAAAACAGTACATGCATCGTTGGTGAATTTACAGACATCTAGAGACAGTGTGAAATTTGCATCACATTTCCCTCCCATCATTGGAGTAGATACAAATAACGATGGACTGACTCTGAGGAGCTCCCAGCTCGATGAGATCTGTTCAGGCCATTCTTGTTCCTCAGCTCCCGTCGTAGAACGTCGCTGCGACACGGGTACACAGGTCGGAAACAAGGAGGAAGAAAGTAAAGTACAAGGTCATAATCGTGATATAACGCCGCCCCAATGCCATCCGTCCACGTACTGCTACACAGATACAATACAACACGCTTTGATACACAGCGCTTCATGATCTGGTTTATCGACGGTACTCAGACTGCACCGAATGGCGCCTGCTCCTCTCGGTGCTGCCCCTCCCGCGCCGCTTGCTGCCGACGCGGACGGGGCTGGCATGCTCGTGGCCGAGCCGCTCCTTCTGCTCCTTCTGCTTCCTGCGCGCGTAGAGCGCGACGTCGACGCTCTCGAGCGCGTAGCTGAGGTCCTTGAGGGCGCGGTCCTTGTGCTTGTCGTTCTCGGCGGCGACGAGGGTCCGCATGGCCAGGTCGAGCTCGTCGACGGCGTCGCCGAGGTCCTCGCCCATCTGGGACCCCGTGAACCCCTGCGACCGCTGCAGCCGCAGGACCTCCTTGAGCGAGTGCTCGAGGAACACCATGGCCTCGTACTCGTGCTCCTGGTCGACGGCGCTGAGGACCTGGTCGATGCCGTACTGCAGGTTGTCGAGGGCCTGCTCGCGCTCGCGGCCCGTCTCCATTATCGTGTCGAAGGGGTTGGTCTTGGGCCATGAGGACGGTGTGAGGAGTTCTTGCTTGTGGTGGCCGAGGTGGTTGCTTTGGCTCCGGCGCCTGGATGACGACGTCGAGTGTCTCCGTGTGGGATCTGAGAAACTCGAGGTGCTGCTTGGAGGACTGTAGATGCCGGTGGGCTGAATTGGTGTAGGGCTGAAGACACTGCTGTGGCGGCTGGACATACTGCGTGGGCTGCTTGATCCTCTCGACGGCGCTTCGCCAGACTGGACTCTGGAGAGGTCTAGGGAAGGCCGCGTTGGCGACTTGTCTTTTTGCTTCTCTTTACCTTCGTCATTTTTGTCCTTGTCGCCTCCCTTGTCTCCTCCTATCTTGGCGAATCGAATCTCCGCAAGGAGGTCGTTCAGACCTTTGGCTGTCTGGTTGGCCTCCTTGCCTATGTCGAGCAGGTTCATCTCGGCTCCCGGTGTCGAGGCATACTCGAAACGCTGCGACGTGCTGGCGTAGCGTGGGTAGTTCTTGCGCAAGATACGGTAGGCGTCTCGTTTCTGCTTCTCGGCCCTCTTTACAAAATCCGCGTGAGATTTACTCAGGGACTGGCCTTCACAGTTGGTCTTGGTCTGGTCCAAGGTGATTTGTAGGTTGTCGACATCTCGGTAAACTTGACGCACGTTACGTTCGTAGTCACGGCCCTTGATATATGGTGTCTTAAGCATGTCCTTGACGATCATCGCCGCCACACCATACACAAGTCCCTCCATGTTGTAGACGGGTATTGATGGAAAGTAGGGGGTGTTCTAGAGATCCGGCCGGTACCGGTGACATTGAATGAAGACAAATGAGGAATGATGTAACTAGTGCTGTTCGTCAACGGGATGGTAGGTGATGGGAGGAAACACCCGAGACAAAATAAAGACGTCCCGGAAACGAAAACAGATTCCGGAGAGGGCGGCAGGATTTAACCACTTCTGGAAGAGTGGCTGACGCTTCCACCGGCGTCGCGGTCATGACAAGGGAGCGTTGTTTGGACACGGCGCACTGCCATAGCAACGTTGGTGACGTCGGAGGTTCTGGGAGTCGCAGAACTCCCGTTTTCAGCTAGACGGGATATCCCAAGCCTCGACCTAGGAACAGCCGGCGGAGCCCGAGTGTGCGACTCAGGCTTATTCCCTGCGCACCGTCGATTGGGCACCCTCATCACCGCTTATTCATGCTGCTGTCGACCGCACTGGGCCACGTGCCTAGTGTCAGAAAGCCGTCCAAACCATGCGCTCCGGGTGGTCTGGCTCATGACGATCTGGGGAGAGCCCCGTCCCGAGACTATAGTGCTTTGGCAAGGGGAGATTGGACAGGACGTGACATCATCAACCTTATGCCTCGGAGTGGTCCTGAGGGTCTCGGCCGCTAAGAATAAAGGGGTTCAGCCGAATGGAGCTGGGCGTGGACGTTGCATAGTGAGAGCAATCGAAACAAAATAAACTTTAGGGGAACTTCCGAGGTGGCTTGTTAGGCGCAACAGGTTACATAAGTGCTGCGGAGATTCTGCGGCTCGCCTCGACGGCGTCAGTTCACCGTCCTATGTGCCGGCTCGGAATGGCACCCTACGCCAGCCGCGCGTTGATCCCATGCAAGTTCAGGCACCCATCACGCGACTGCGTACAGGGAGAGGCACACTACAGAGGACCCGCAACAAAGTCATCCTGCGTGCAGATGATATCACCAGGCATATATAGGGCCAGTAGTCGCTGGTCCTGATTCAAAGGCCCGGTGTCATCTCTGAACATCTCACCGTTTTGCGCCTGGCGCGGATTCAGGCGCGTGTCGACTGATTATGATCTTCCGCCCTTACATGCAAACGGCAAGCGACAGGTCTGCGGGCTCCGAGATTCGAGTACGACTCAGCGCATTGTCATCTGTCATTTTCGTAGTCCCACTTGAGTGGTTTCGGGAACAACATAGGCTTTCAGGAGACAGGGCTCTGACGAGTCCCGAAAGCGATCAACGACATGGAATCCCTCATCACACGCGCAGGCTCGGTCCGCACAAGGCAGACACACCACAGTGACAACGGTACTTCTATCCAACGGGAACCCTTAATTTCAGACCCTTAAAGTTGAGTCCACGTACTTGAGGACGAGGCCTATTCAGAGGGCCACGAGTCCCTGTCGCTGTCTTCAACACAACGCAAGGGTCCAAGCTGCACTCGTAGGCCTCCTGATCGCTCGATTATCATCCGCAGTGGGTTTGCCCATTCCTATCGGAGGCAGGCCTTTAACAATCAAGATTGCTTCAAAAAGTCTCTCCGCTCGAAAAGACGATCACCGATTCGCAGTGGAATAAAAGTGGTTCCAAAGACAAGGCACCGTGCTACACATCACAAATCAAGTCCCCCATCTACAAGTCCCTGGCCATCTCATGATTATACGACTCCATCCTTTTTCACATGTTCTCAACACTTTTATCGAAAGACGCTATGCCACCTGGCCTGGTACCCCGATGACTGGACAGCTACACGTGGCGTACGGCGGAAGTGTCGGGTAGTCTAGCAGCTGTGCTTCCTGGTGGTTGGGACCGATCTGGATCATTCCACAAAGTTAAAAAGCTTCCCACCCCGAGGACCTGCATCCGGGGTACATGATTGCCCCGGGCTGAATGCCTCAAGAATCTGGGGTGAGTTTACTCCGCAGCCTGCATCATTCATCCCTGCGTCGCTCACCTAGTGACTTGCTTCACCTCCACATGATTGAGTCTTACGGATCCGCCAAGAATACCCTTTCATATCGAGGAAATCTTGAATTAAACATACCGTTTCTTGAGACAGCGCTTAAATCAAAGTATAAGCTTGATCGATGAGATCACGAAGTCCTTAAATCTCCTATGTGCACTGCACGATGAGCGGGCGTGAAATAGAACCACTAATCGGCCAACGGGGCAACATCCGCAGAGTTTTCAAGACAAGACTTGCTTTTTATTCAAGCGGGATACTTGAGCGTAGTGCCCGAGAACGATCGCAGATGCATAGGTCCAGACCGTCGAGGTGTTGTAGCCGCCGTGAGGGTCTCGGGAAACATGTTGCAGTGCATCACAAGCGCCCAAACGGCGTCGAAACCATCGAACGTTCTCACCGCTCCTTGCGTCTCACCAGCAATCGGCAGCGTATTTGGCAAGCGACGTTGTCTCGCACCTACATTCGCAGTGTTGCGTCATGACGCGCGAGGTGGTGTCAACATTCCTGCCCGATGTCCACTCGGATTTGCGCAGGCAGAACCCACAGCTGGCAGGATACACTCAGTCGCTGACGTGTATCTGTCGCGAATCTTCGATCTGAAATGTCTGCCATGCGATTGGTGTCTGCTGTTTGCGACTGGTCCCACACTGGCCCTGGAGTCAGGCAACTGGCTTACTCGCCGCCAATACGAAATTGCTTACTAACACTGAGGCAGGACGGATCATAGATCTTGACAGAATGTCGGAGCAGATGGTCCCATCTTCTAACGACTTGAGGTCGTGTGAAATGTCAGCTTTGTATAGCGAGAGGAGCTGTCGCAGCCGACCAAACAGGGACCAACAACATCGTACAAGACCGGGTCAAGACTTCACGGAAATGATCGTACGGGCCAAATGATGATGAAAGGATCAAAGAAGTGCTGATGGTCGACCTTTCGAGTGAAAAGAATGTGCCGGCTTGATGATGGAATCTCCCGGCTGTAAGACACTGGCAGAGTAGGCACTTGATCTAGGTGGCAACGCTTGCGGGATTGAACGTACCGGCAAATTATTATCGAGGCAAGATTTAAGCCTGACAAGTCCAACGGTGCCACCGAGATGAGTCTCAATTGGTTAGACTTGCTGTATGTATCGACTTCATCGCGAGCAGTCGTCAGAGGCGTCGGCTCGATGTGATTCACGTCCAGGGTGAGCATTGCCTGCTCCTCTCTGTGACGAGGGCGCATGCAAAATTGTGCAACGGACAGCACACCGCTGATATCCAGATTATGTGACCAATTGGAGGGGGTGAAACCCCTGAGGGCAGCTGTTTGTTGTAACGCCAATGTCTTCGATGAACTACAGAAGAATACCGGAATTCAGCACAGTCCACGTCAACGACGACGAGGAACGCCACGTCAAGCAAGAGTTGGCTGGGCGCCCACTTTCTCGCAGATTACTGAATTTTGTCTCCGGCATTCCATCCTCCGTGGGCATAGTTGACAAGCAGCTCAGTGAGAGAATGATTACTCACATACAAAGCCCCAACTGATAGGCAGTGACCGTCCGTCTGGAAGTGAAATACTGGAGACGGGCTTCGTGTCTGCCCAGGCGTACAGGGTAGCCGTATACTCGATACCGCAGCCGTCGAGATAGATGCTTTTGAATTTTTAGACAAGCTGCGAACCGACCCCTTGTATCTCCAGCACCCGGATCCAGTCGCCGCGTGGAAGTGATTGGTAGACGCCGCCCATGGTATCACAAGATGACATGGCAAATTAGATGCACGAAAAGTCAACGCTTCCAGTCCGTCCACTCTAACTGTTTGCAACTCATCCTTGGCTGTGTTGGACGTTGTCAGCACCAAAGGCCTAGTGTTTACGAAATCTAGAGAATAGCTTGCAGCATCTAGGGTCTCTGATGAAGGCCCGCCGCGGCTACTTTCAGCATTCCGGGGTATGCGCCAGTAGCCTGTGACCGTTTACATTTGGTCTTGACTGTCACAGCTCCAAATGATGAGTACCAACTCGGAAGTACAGATGTGTACGAGTGCCAGACCAGTTCTCTCAAAAAAGTAATATCTCCATTTTTGTGCTTGTAGTTCTGTATGTACTTGGATGTCACAGCGAATGTGGTCTCAAGAATCAAAATGGGCGACAGCGCCTCCTCGGACTTCTCAATCCACTCTGCGGCGCTTCCTCGACTCCTCTTGGAAACTCGGCTCTCCTTTCATGAAACCAATAAACGCCTGAACGTTCTTCGAATTGCCAGCTTTGTACAATCTGCCGGTATCGACCGCCAATAGATCTAGCGTGTCCAGACGGGACTCAAGCGCTACAAAGCCATATGTAAGCATACAACGGATCAGTGGAGGCCCAGCAGGACATAACTTACAGAACTTTTCAGGTGTAATTTTGGGGCTAGGCTGATGCGATGCACCAGAAACAGCGATGGCTTGCTCAACGCCGGATTGCGCAACCACGCGCACGTTGTCAGACATGCTGACGAATGAGTTGGGGTCTGTCGGCGTCACCAAGACAAAGAAGTATTCCTCGCCTTCCTCAAGACCAGACTCGCAGTGTGCTCCTTGCTGAAAAGGGACCCGGCGGACGCGACAAGTTGGCGGCCGGCTCTGGCGAACCGCTTCAGGAAAGCACGGCATTTCTTTTCCCTCAGCTGGCACTTGACATTTTTAGTAGAGATCCAGAGGCGAGAAAGTGTAAAAGAGGCAACTTCATGCCAGGAAGTATACATACAATCGCCAGCAATCGACAAATTATTCCGAAGGCCGGAGCATCGAGAGGTAAGGTGACACTGAACCTCAATCATGACATTGTCATCTTGTGGTCGGGCGTTGACAGCCCATCCCACACGGAGTCCAGAGCGCCCATTTTCACTCGTGTTAAAAACGCGCACTTCCATCTCCTGTCTGTTGACCAGTCTCTCCTCGGCTCGATTGATCTCCTGCTTCATATGCCACTCAGACGACCTTACGCTGCGTTCCTGTTGGAAGGCATCCCGCGGCAGCTGTTGCAGCACGTCGGCGAATAGATTCTTGACGGTGAATATGACGACTTTGTCCTCTGCCATCTTACCGGAAAGGCCCAGCTCTTTGACCGCGTCTTTCATAGAAAGCCATAGCTCGTGAACAAGGAGCAACCGCTTGTCCTCCGAGATTGCGACATCAATATGGAGTTGGCCGGCTCGCATAAATCGGACCTGCGTGTTGGGAGCTTGGGGGCAGGCCCGGATACAGGCCTGGAGAAGACGGTACACCGAAAGCCCAAAACTGATGTTGAGAGACGGCACTTTCTTGGCATCTTTAAAGCGCCGGAGGGCTTCTTCCTCGGCAGTGCGGACGAGGTTCTTTTTCTCAAGGATGTCCCAACACTTCTTGGATACCTCATACGGTTTTCGCCCAATGCCTTCGATGGCTTGCCGAAGCCTCGGGCTCTTGAAACAACGGCGTCAGCATAGGTATTTGAATATCATGTGAGGCTTCTGTACCTTGTTCATATGCTCGCTGCTGTAAAACCAGCGGTCAGCGAATTCCCCCCTCAAGAGATAGCCTCTGATGAAGAGGCCAACTTCTCTAGGCCAATGTTTCTCGGCACATGCAACATCAGCATAGTAGCTCTCGGTAGTGTTGAGGATGTCGACAAAGTCTCCAATAATGTCAGGCTTTGCCTTCATTGCGGCGCTCAAGATTTGACACATGGCCCTTGACTCCTCAGATGTAGTATTCACCGATTCTCTCTCGCGGTTAGTCTGTCCACCCGCGAAGTTATAGCCGAACCGGAGAGGAAATCCTGTGATGCTCGCCGATCGAGAATCGGTTCCTTCTGACAAGAGAAGGCCTTTAAGGTAAATGTTGCCGCGCAGGTTCTCAGCCGTAAGAAGATCGCCATGGTAGGTAGAAATAATTCCGGTATCCTCATTGTCGACCCGAGTGAGAAACAATGCAGCTTTTGTCCAAGACTCGAAGGCTGTCTGCTGGACTGGGCCGCGTTTGACTTGAGAACCTGTCTCATCTCGTCCTCCCCGGCTTTCTCCTATGACAAACTGGACATCTTTGTCTGCCACCACTTCAGGCGTGGCAATCTTGAAGGTACTCTTCCGTGGCCGCCGAGCCTCTTTGCGAGCCATGTTGATGCGGTGTGCCGAGACGACAAGGCAGTTATTTTTGAAATTGAAATTCCAATTGAAGCCGGTTGACTGACATCTCAAGTGATTGTTCTGGAGGCTGCGCAGGAAGACCAGGGCGGCCAGCTTGAGGCCCTCACCATGAGCTCCGGCCTGGTCCTCGGCTCCCCGTTTGCTCGTACCGCCAATCTGGAGATGCCAGGGTTGCAGTGTAGCTTTCCGGTTTGTTATTTCGACAGTGCCAGCGCCATCGTGGCCAATGAATCGAATGAATCCTCGGCATTGGTTGACATCGCTGCGGTCGGCACCGCGCTCGAAGGCTTTGAAAACGATCTCGGTGGTACGGCCGGCGGAAGCCTCTTCGCGGTAAACGCAAAAGTCCGCTGGGGACATGTCGTTCGACTCGATAATCCCGTCACGCCTGCATGGAAAAGTTAGGCAAGGACATGGCATTGGAGGGCAATGAGTTCAATGTTGAAAAGGGAGCGCTAAAGTGTGCGTACCAGTTCTGAACCAACTCGCGAAAGGCTGCTTTGGGACTCCAATCTGTGTAGTTGCCACGAAGAGCTAAGTCGAAGGTCTTGCTTCTGACGATAGAGTCGAGAGGGCTCCAAGAGTCATCGTCGTGTGTGTCGTCGCCGTCTGACGGGGCCCCGTCACTACGGTCATCGACTTCATGGTTGATGCTCATTTCGATGTAAGGTGGCATTTTGAGATGACACCGATGATGAAGGGAGGAGGGCAGAAAAACCCAAGGCAAGGAAGGTGTTGCAGGAAGAAAGAAAGATGCAAGGCAAAGAAGGGGTTGCAGATGGTTCAGAAGTGGGTGGGGCGGAGACTTGGTAGGGAATGGAGTTGCAAGCAAACGCGTTCAAGACGTGCTGCAGTGCTGCAGAAAGGGGAACCAGAGATAAGCGATAAGACACTGATCGCAAAAACTATAAAGGGCACTTCCGTCCTACCCTAACACTAAATGCAACAGCATTCAGCAAGCCTGTGTTGGTGCTAGGGGGGGGGGGGCTCGCAAAGCATCAGTGTGGTTACCACACTGACATGACATGAGGTGAGGCCGGTTTACCACGCTTTCAAGCAACAACAACGCGAGTATTTGAAGTCCCCAACTACATTCTGAAGGCTAAGTCTGCAAGAAGGTTAGAGCTATTGAGCACGGGTTTTCTATCGAATGGAACTAGGGCGACTCTCTGGTCCTCTGGGAGTGGGATCTATAGCGGTAATTAGACGGGACGCAAACCGAAGCAGTGTGTCAAAACAACGTCCGAGGTTTGGCGTCCTTTTCTTTGCATCCATCTATGGTTTCTGAAACCGAATTTAGCATGTATGGCTCTCTGTTGTGAACTCTCCTGCCTGACGTTGCAGATGATGCTGCGATGGTGACAGCAAGCTCGGCCATGAGTTGAATGGCCACATGAGGCATTGAGCTTGCACATTCTCGAGTACGCAGTGAGACCAGCATTCTTTTGGGGACGTCGACTGTCGCGGTGGAACAACACTTGAGGCCGGGATAACAGACGCCCCTAAAAGTCTGGATCCTAGAGGGATGGCAGCATTCGCGGCACATGATGACCTTCGCACCTTCACTTTGCCGAATAAGAGTTTTGATACACTCTTACTGGCAGATTTTTAGAATACCACATCTTTGCGTCTCTGTCCCCGTGTGAAAACATTCCTGCAGGGTATGAGAAGATGGTCTCCCACCGGTTGTCATGATGGAAAGCTCACCCAACATGTTCTCAACCAAAGAGTCTTACAAAGTTGAAAAAATGAATTTTATGACCACTCGGATTCCGTGCATGCTCAATAGGCGCAAAGATATTACTTAAACCAGGACCACAATAAAGCAAGGGCTATCCGTACTCAGTTTTCACACAATAATTTGACCATACGTTGATAGATGGGAAGTCTGGAGAATCAAAAGTAAGCATCTACTATCGTTGGAGGTTGCTCTTCCGTCGATATAGCAAAGGAGCAAAGGCCATCTCTTCCTGTCGAAGACCCTTTTGCTACGGTGCCGTCATACTTGGATTTTACTCAAACATGACGTCCCCAAACACACCGCTTGAGAGGCTTGAGAGCGCCTGTAGGCGGTGGAGCGCCTGTAGGTGGTGGAATTCAGCCACAAAGAAAACGTCGGAGGACCAGATCTCTCGAGAACGCTGTGAAGAATCAATGCAGTTTTCATAACTGCGCCATCACATCTGATAGGTTGAGCAAAGGTTGGCTCTCTTTCTGACAAGAGCAGATGATATGCTTATGTGAGGATCAGGACTTTCCAGTTCTTAAAATATAAAGAGTGGCGAGAGAGTTTTAAGTGCGTTATCCGATAGTTGAGCTACTGAAGATCCAGACACCTGGAACCGGCTTCATTAACGGGTCTGACTAAGAGTCGTGAGGGTATTCCAGGTGCACGATCTAGCAGGCAGCACCCTTGGGAATTCGGCACCCAGTCGCCGGTCTGGTATGAAGGCGTATGGCTATATATATGCAGGACTAATCTTCAACCGCATTCTCGTCTCTATTCCGTTCTTAGCCCATTGACCAGCCATTCATATACATCGTTACTATGAAACATACTTCCGTCTTTTTCAGTCTCTGCCTGCCCTCTGGAATAATATGTCTGCAGATTCCGATCAATCAGTATCTCTATCATCTAGAGGATTTGACTTTCTAACTTTTACCGAACTTCACCGCAAAAATGCGCATCCACTGGGACATTACTTCCAAGCTTCCCATTGTGCACATAGACTTCTGACCTATAGGTCAATAACATTCACGCTAGCAAAAGAGGAATACAGGAAACGAGGAAGAGATATAGTGATATAGAGTGAATATCAAAGCAGTGAATAATTGGGAATCAGAACCTCCCCGGACAGTTTTCATTGCGAGCCAAACCAGTTGCTCTAACCTCAACTATACTAAAGCCTCTGATACATGCATGATTGTAAAGGCGCTAGCGCCAGCACCAACGCCTCTTTGCCAGTTTCCCTTCTTCTAATGTTACAGTAATTCGAGAGAACTCACCATTTACTTCTGACCTGCCGGAGCCCCGCCAGCAGCATTACCAGGAGGCTTGGAAGCACCGGCAGCAGTCTTGGAAGCGCCGGTAGCAGTCTTGGAAGCGCCGGCAGCAGGGTTTGTAGCGGTGGGCTTCGGAGACAAGCCCCTGGGCCTCGTAGGGGACGGAGTCCTCGAAACCGGCATCCCAAGCTTTTCCCTCCACCATTTCTCAGTCTGTCCACTGCTGCTGTGTTTAATGACGTCTGGGAGGCAAACTTCAATAATTTGGTTATCACGAGAATTGAGTCTGAGGTTTCCGTCTTTGGTTGCGTCCACCAGCAGGTTGTAGGCATCGTCGGCGTCCTTCTTCTTCTTTGGCGCCTCGAGGCGCCGCCCGCAGACTTCGATCTTGAAGACGATGAGCTCGGTCCTTGTGATATTTCCTCACCGTGATGATGAAGTCGGCATCCTGTGGAAAGTCAGATACAGAATGATGATTGTGTGCAGCTCTCAGAAAGACTTTTGATACTTACAGTGGTGGAGCGATATTGCGGAAGATAGTTCCACAGAGCAAGACCGCCAATTAGAGCAATTCTCACGTCGGCCTGCTCTGGAAGGCCTTTGAGACACTGCATCACGGCCTTAGCAGCTTCGTTCAAGTCGGCAAGAGTGTTGGCAGCGCTCATTTTGGCGGTTCTGAGGCGGTACTGGTAACAATACTATAGTACTGAAGTTGGCGGGTTTCGAACTAGTATATGATGTTTATAATATTTCAAAATTCGAATTGCGTACTTTCTGGATTATGAGCAATATTATAGCGAAGAGAGTTAAGAAACGATGTGGTGATGTGCTTGAATTGTGAAGAGTCTGATGTTGATAGTGCATCTCAATATGAGGTACCGGTCCTCACCGAGGCCTCCTCTTATAGATTTTCTCCTAATAAGGTTTGCAATTCAACTGCGTCTGTCTTCCAATCACAGCTTCCAAAGTCTGGGTGTCTTGCATGTGCGTCTTGGTGTTTTGCCTGACTCCTTATTTAGTAGACCACCCTTCGCCACGGTCAAAAGGGGCCGACCTTGGCCAGGAACTAGTCATAGAATATTCAAATTTTAGCCTCGCTGCACCGTCCAACACGCTTCAAGTGGCTCCCCAGGAGCTGCAGCCCGGTGGGTGACTAGTGGAGGTGAACTATTTACACGACAGTTTGATATATCGCTTCTTTCCGTGCCTCTTCTAGATCCTCGCGCAGATCTTTCGGCTGTTTTCCGAATGGGCACAAGGGAGGAGGTTCATCCCGGGCATTTTTATTTTCGGCACCCATAGTGGGGAATCGCCGCCGCAGGGTGGCAGATTGGCCCCAATATGGCTGTGTGGTCGCGGCGCGACGCGCCTGGGGGCCCGACCACCGCGAGGTTGCCCCCACCTCAATCGCTGATGCCGAAACGGAACCTCTGTGAGGGAGGAGGCAATGAAAGAGCCATCTCTTTGGTTGATTCTGTCAAATATGACAGGGTCGCCTCCAGCCGACCAACTCATCGGCCCCCAAAATATTGCTGGACACATCTATCAGCCAGTGCGGCCACATCGAAGCCGTTAACGAAGGGTATCAAACACATGTTGGTCAGCATAAAAGTCTGTGAGGCGGATACCAACACGGCAGGTCAATCAATGAACATGAGATTCGAAATAGGACTTACGTAGCATTTCCCTTAAGGAGAACTGGGCAGAGCAAGACGCTTGAAGTGGAATTCCGAAGAAGTTAAGCACTCAAGCCACGACTCGAAACTTGTACCAGCCCTTGAATGCCTGCGCACACACGATACATGGAGCTTTTCGTCTATGTTGAGAATCATTTTCGTATCGGGCACCAAGCTGTGCCCGTCACATTTTTAAGATACCCATCAGGAAACACAAACAGCAGGAAGCTGCCAACAAAAGGGTTCATATCTCGATACATTTTTAGGCTCAGCTAACCTAGGACACCATGTGTATTCTCCCATAAACTCCTTGGAGCGACAAGCAATATGGCCCGCCGTGTTGTGCCAGAGAATAACGAGGTACTCAAGTCCGGCCCTCCCGGAGATGTTTGATAGCATCACTCGAGCGAATGTCTTCGTCGTTGATTTCCTTCCAGAAAGTCCCGCACGCCGGTGAAAGCTTGTCAACCTCCAAGTGACCCTGAGGAGCCACATACTCCATAAAGTAGATGACAGTGGCCACGAACTAGGTCACATAGATGTTATCATCATCACGGATTAAGGGAACGATCGCTTCCAAGTACGAATGACTCGGTAGAACCCAGACTTGACTTGGAGATCCATCATCTTGGGGTAGCAGTGATCCATGACCAAATCCCAGCTCATCGGGCGGCGGCAAAGACGGATGGCTGGCTGGTATCAAGCCCAACGAGAGCAAGTCCGCGCCCTGGTCGAGCTTGAGTGGCAACACGACGTCACCAAGAGTGGCTGACTGTACGTGGAGTGCAACATGAACATTGCTGTCAGGCCTGTGGGCGTGGAACGCAGGAACTGGTGAGGGCCGATCCGCTTTTGAGATGTAGCAGCTGGCGGGATCGGGGCATGGCGTGAGTTTCAGCTCCTGCGAATGCATGAGAGCTGCTATAGCAGCAGGTAGCAGAGAGTCGTGGACGACGAAGTCGGCTTCCTGACTACTGTCAACTTCAGTCCAGAATTCGAAGACTGGCAAGGATGAGGCAGAAGTCTTACACTAACGATGCTCGGCACGCCATGGACAGTCAAGAGGAAGTTGCCCCAGAGCACAGCAGGGATATCCTTGCTAGCCAAAGTCTGTGAGATCGGTGCGAGGAGTGCCTCGCGAGTATGAGAGCTTGCCATGATGATTTGGCTTCAAGAAAGCAGGTAAGGGGATAAGTCTCCGGAGAGATAGATATTGATCACATTAGTCCATTCAGATTTGCTGGGTTGGCGGACTGTTCAAATCCTGCCTAAAACCAACGAGATAGCACTTACGTAAGCAGTTCAAGCACGGGTCGTCCTCTGGAAGTATCCAGGTACCCTCGGGTGGGCTACTTCAGCTTCGGCAATCTATTTTTGTTGCCAACTGCGGTCGTTAGTGGCTGTGGAGGGAGGGGCGCCTCTGTTATTTAAAGAGAGGTGCTATACTTAATTTTGGACAATCTGCACACTTCCTCCAACAGACACTCGCCAGTTACAGGCAGTATGGATATCCAAATCCTCTCAGACCTCCATCTCGAAAGCCCTAAAGCCTACGACTGCTACGAAATCACCCCAACCGCGCCCCATCTCGCACTACTGGGAGACATCGGTTGCGTCTGTGACCCAGGATACCTCACCTTCCTCACCGCCCAGCTTAAGCAATTTAGCATTGTCTTCCACGTCTTAGGAAACCATGAGCCCTACGGATCCAGCTGGGACTCAGTCACCGCAAAGCTCCGCACGTTCCAAAAGGAGAATCGGCTACAGCGGGCAGCAGACTCGAGTTTAGGAGAGTACATCCTTCTCGACCGCGACGAGTATCATCTGCCCGAGTACAATATTACAGTCCTTGGCTGCACGTTATTCTCACACATACCTACGGTCTCATTGGAAGATGTTAGCTTCGGCCTCAACGATTTCTTCCGCATTGACTCCTGGACTGTCGAGGATCACGTCTCTGCACACACACGCGAGTGTGCCTGGCTGAATTCGCGCGTCAGCGCCCTGTCTCGGGAACGACCTGACCATAAAATCATCATATTCACACACCACAGCCCTACGATCAACTCTAGAACTGTCAATCCTCGGACCGCCGGCAATAAAATTTCATCAGGCTTTGCAACTGATTTGGGGGGCGAAGTATGCTGGACCGGAGAGAAGGTCGTATTTTGGGCGTTTGGGCATACGCATTACAACTTTCCGCACTGGAGGGATGAGGAGAGTGGGACCTTTGTTTACAGCAACCAGAGGGGATATTACTTCTCGCAGGCTCCTGGCTTCTCGGACACACGGGTGATAAGGATTGGGAAAGATGGGGGAGTGGTGGCTAAGGAAGAGAAAAGCGAGATCGCGCCTCAGCCCGAGCCTGACTCCTGACCAAGCAGATGAAGTCGAAGAGGGCGTGGACTAGTGGGATGATGTTCCCGATATGCAGAACCCGTAATGGGGAGGAAGCAACCATAACGCAAACCTACTGCTTGTAAAATGATGTATACTTCATGGAAGTCCCATGAGGTCGTCCACACGGCGGCAAATGTGGCCAACAGGGAGACAGCGTGGCTGACCGCCTCATTCAAATTACATAAGTGAAAGGGAAATTTACCCATCCTCAACAGGGATGGGGAAATGCTTACAGGTGCATGTAGATCATGTCACCATCATTGACAGTGGGCAGGTTACCTGACAGTCACTGGTGATCTGAGTTCCGGTACATGAAGACGATGATTGTGTGGTTGGCGGAGAAGATGGTGACAATGAAGTTTGTGATGGTGATGGTTGGGTGGACGACGACGAAGGCTGATTGTTCTCGTCATTGGTCGGAGGCTTGTCGCAGTTGCCAACAGTGATAAATAGGATACGGATGCAAGGGAGGCTGAAACTTGGAATATTGAAACCTGGCAGGTTGAACTGGAATCGGACATTCATGATCATCGGCACCTCCCAAAGGGCGAGACCTCCGACAATAGGCAGGACTGTGGACGAGCCATCCGACTTCGTGGTCGTGATCCAAGTGGAAGCTTTCGAATCAAACCCAGGCATTTCTAGGCGCCGAATCCTGGTGGCAATGTAGTCATTGTTGACGTTTCCGGGGGTGGGACAAACGTCTGGGTAGACGATGCGGATGACATTACAACCGAAGAGGGCATTGGAGAAGGCAGTGATGTTGGGATTATGAGCCTTCACCGAAGTCAGCAACTGCCTCGTCAGATGTCCTTCAATATTCTGTAATGCATCATACAGCTCTGGAATCTTACATACGGTGTACTTTCCACCACGGTCACGTTCAAAGAAATCGAGGTCGATCGAGGATGCCGGTCCAGGCACAGGGATAGTAGAGAATGACGAAGCTTACGATGAAATGGCGCTTGTTGTCACCGTCCCTTGAGAGTCACTTGACCACGTAGAACTCAGAGGCTGAATAGCAGAAGTTCCATTATTGAATGAGGAAGAAGAAGCAGCGGTGCCTATCAACGACCATGTTGAATTTATCGAGATATTGAATGACGACTGGGGAGCCCCTGTCCCTATCGGTGACCATGTTGAATTCATGGAATTATTCAATGCAGCATGAGACGCTGCGGTGCCTAACAGCGACCACGTTGAGTCCATGATGAGATGTAGGAAGAACTTGATCAATTTGAGCTGATAAGATCGCCGTGAGTACAGGATCTTGACCGGTAGTTGAAAGTTCAAGGATGGTTTCTACAGGGCTTTCTGGGAAATACTGGGATTTAGTTTAATGATTTAGAAAACATGGAAGGCTTAACCGACCTTGTTATGCACACTTCACCTGCATGCACCGATGCACGTTTGAATTAAGTAGAGTGAATTATCTTGAATAAAGTCATCGTCGTGAGGTGGGGGAAAGCGCCGTAGCACTTGCATCCACTTTGCCTGAAAGCGGTGGCGCAGGACGCGAAACATGGCTCGAAGGGGGCTTGTCGTAGCTTGGTCCCACACCGGCGCCTTCATGGCAATGTGAAAACATGACCTGTGCATCGGGATGTATATTGTGTTGCCGCCATCGGGACCACCATTAGAACCATCGGTGTCGGCGGCGTACACAAAACAAGATTTCGATGTGCCAGGGAGGTTGAAACAGCACCCCGCCGGAGACTCAAGGTGTGGTCAAATGATGAACATGTAAAAGTTTATATCGGACAAAAAGCTTGGTTTAATTTCGGGTTTCGTGTCCAGCAAGGCTCCTCTGTGGTACAACAAGTACCTAGGTCTTCTCCAGAGCTATGTGAGTCAACGCTAAGAGAGACTCCCGTCTTGCTAGATCATTTTTATCTTGAGATCATTACCTTAGTGGAGCGGCGGACATCAAATGACGGACCATACGACCACCACCTAAGCATCACATGACATGTGCAACTTTGGACCATCAGCTAAATTTCGTTCGTCTTACGACTACCACCAACACCAGAGCACACTGTTATGTGGAAGACATTACTGGTTCATACAGGCTTGAGTCACATAGCACTCTCGGGTCAATTTGTTACACTCTTGCGAGCCAGCGACCCCAGCCAGATCCAGCCTATCACACATGTCTAACAATTTCCGGCTGGACGAGATCCGACATCAAAGTCGCACGACGCACGCCGACTGTTTCAAGCACAATGCATTATAGTCACTTCGGAGCGTTATCTTGATACCACAGTTGTAGTCGTGTTCACAAGCCTGTCACAGCTAATTTCGGATTCGGACAACAATTTGCCGGCTTGTACAGCCCGTCCTCAGAACAACCTCCTACTTAGGTCGCTAATTTTGACTCCTCCAGAGACCGGAACTGACTGAAGCTTCAGAAACCTGTGAGAACGTGCTCTTGATTCTTTCAAAGCAGTGCATGCCACCCTAGAGTCTGTCCAAAAGACAGTGAAGGGTCATGGAATCGCTAGGTGCTTCATCCGGATATGTGCTACCGTTGGGCCTGAAAACATGGTACTATGGTCTATCGAGCAATCTGCCGACTATATACTAGACTACAGGCGTGGTGATCATCATTGTGACTCGGAGCATACGTCACGCCCAGTTCTTAGCATACTGATGGCCGAGCGGCTATTTGCGACTAGCATCGGAGTCGGTATCGCTCTGAAAAGAATTTATCTCCACAGTCTTGGTCACTTGTACCTTGCCCTGATGTTCGCGCTGCCAAAGCTCTTCTTCCGACTCAGTAGCAAGATGGCGGGTGATGCTTATGTCGACGACAGGCGCAGCCGGGTTTTTCCTCGATGTCGTGGAGCGCAGCCTTTTACCCCTTGCGTCCATGGACGAGAGCTTGTAGCCGTTGCTGCCGCTGATCGGTTCGGACTGGTCGTTGCTGGAGCCGCCCGTCATCCCAGAATACAGTGCTCTCATTGCCGGCAGGTTCACTGCCACTATCGCCAGCTGTATCTCGAATGCCGCGACGATGACCATGTTCCCCAGGACGTACGAGGGGTCTTTGGTAGTGCCCAGTTCCGCGAGGACGATAAAGCGACACGCAGCCACGACCACCGAAGATGCACCAAAACCCAGCACTCCGGTGACTGCGAATTTCTTGCGCCGAGACATGTTCAGTTTCCAGATGGTTCGTATCGGGAGGACGAGAATTATGACATCCGTGACGATATTCTGCCTCGCAAAAGGTTATCATTAGCTAAGGCTTCTTTTGCAGAATACCAACGTTGACGGAAGTCGTTATCAGTAGGGATGGACCAAGCAGAAGCACGCCCCTGTCAATACACTTGGCACCGGGATGAGTACCCGGGTGAAATTATTCGTCAAGGGGTATGCATTGGAGGACTGCCAGGAGCCAATTGATGACCATAAAAGCCGTGTTCAGGCCCATATTTGCGAAGCATCAGACGCGGAATGTATTGTTGGGTGATAGTCGCAGATAAAAGATCAAAAAGGTCAACTTGATCGTCCAATGAGTGATCGTATAAAACAGCTCCTCGACGAAGAGCCACTTTCCTAAAGTGTCAGTCTTTTCCCTCGTTCTTTTTCTTTCTTGGACGTACCATAGTAATTTTCTCCAGCTGGTAGGGTGACAAAGTCGAGGCATGTCTGTATGGTCTAGAAGTTAACATCGATATCCGTTGCTCATTGTAACTAGCACTCACAGGCCGCAACCGTAATGAAGAAACATGTATAGAATTGCTTGTTGCATCATGTTCACTAACTTTATTGCGGTTGTCTGTCAGTCATCCCTTCTGATAATTCAACTTTTTGGAGAGCTTGTCTGCTTTGCCACTCTGCGGGAAAGGGGTTAGTTGATGAAACAAACCAGCATAAGCACAAGTCCCCACGGGATTCTAGTAGACATGTCTTCAGGATCCGGAGTTTCGGAGTCTCTCCGAGCTCTCTTGGACGTTGATGCCGTCAAAGCAGCCTCAACTGCTGCGGTCTTGGGGGTTGCTTTCCACAATACATTCCTGCGGATCGTGGAGGTGGAGGCTTTCATGTACACGCTTGTTGCCCTGGGGTTTCTCACTCTTGTAGGGCTTCTTGCAGTGCATCTCTACGCCGGGCTCGCTCCACTGGCTGCACTTGCAAGGGTTGCTCTGTTGTCCACATCTTTCAACGTGGCAGTCTTTCTCAGTATCGGCATTTACAGATCTTTCTTCCATCGACTCAGGAGGTTTCCCGGGCCGCCTCTCGCAAAAGTCTCTCGCTTCTACTCGGCTTGTAAAGCGTCCCAGGGCCTTCAGTATTTCAAGCAGTTCAGAGAGTGGAACGAACAATATGGTGATTTCATCCGGACTGGTAAGTACTGAATCGCAGGACAGCCTTTGTGTTCTCGCTGACGCGAGGGATCAGGACCCCGCGAGCTAGCTATCATCCGCAAGTCAGCAGTGCCACTGATCTATGGGACTACCTCAGAGACAAGAAAATCCACGTGGTATGGCCAAGTTGATACGGATCCCTTGAAATGCTCAATCCACGTGACGCGGGATCACGAGCAGCACAAGCGAAGACGCAGGACTTGGGACAGGGGATTTTCTATCAAAGGTAAGGCATCTAGAATGACGTGAGCAGGAAGTCAGGACTGATAGAAATGACGCATCGCTGAACACTTACGAGCCTGCCATCAATTCCAAGGTCGATGAGTTCATCGAGCAGCTGTCCAAACGTGGCACTATCGATGCAACAGCATGGTCTATGTATCTGTCTTTTGACATTATGGGTGAGTAGAAACCGTGCCAATCCATTAATTCAACTGCTAATTCAATGATAGGCAAGGTCGGGTTCGGCAAGGAGTTCAATAGTGTGACCAACGGAGAAGAGCACCCAGCGATTGAGGGTGTTCACTCGTCCATGACCGTCCTCAGTATAATGAGCCACGTCCCATGGATGTTAAACATGATGGGCAAAATACCGGGAGCTGCGGCTGCATACCAGGAATTCTTCGCCTGGTGTGGCTCCGAGATCGAGGCCAAGAAGAAGGTTAGTACACCACTGCCCGCCGGGTTCACTAAATGGCCGCCAGACTAACGACGCGCGCAGAACTGGAACGCAGAAGACTATCCCCAGGACATCGTGTCATGGCTCATCAAAGCCGTAATGGAGAAGGACGCCTCGGCATCCCCCTCCGACCCAGCGCTGCACGAGGACTCCCGCGTCGTGATCGTCGCGGGCAGCGAGACCGCAGCCACGACCCTGGCCACCATCCTGTACTACCTGTCCAAGCACCCCAACATCCAGAAGAAGCTCCAGTCGCAGCTTGACTCCGCCCTCGGGAAGCAGTGGAACTACGAGGACGTCAAGGCTGTGACCTACATCGACGACGTCATCGACGAGACCCTGCGCCTCAAGCCCGCCCTCCTCACCGGCGGGCACCGCGTCACGCCGCCGCAGGGCATCACCATCGACGGGACCTTCATTCCGGGTGACACCAATGTCTTCGTCCCTGTACACAGGCTCCAGAACGACCCGCGGTACTGGAAGGAGGCGGCCGAGTTCATCCCCGAGCGGTTTGGCGAGAGGAGGGCAGAGATGGAGACCGACGGCGCGCCGTTCCTGCCATTTACTCCCGGAGCATATCAATGCCCTGGTAAGAATCTGGCCTTTCTGTCGCTGCGGATCACGCTGTCGAGGGTTTTCCGGGAGTTTGATGTTGCTTTTGCTCCGGGTGAGACGGGGGAGGCGTTTGATCGTGATGCGAAGGACACGTTCACTACAACGTTGCCGCCTGTGATGATCAAGTCCACTAAGAGAAAATAAAATTTGGATTATGGGGTAGCTCCATAGGCTGTTCCATCCAGCGGACAGTCAGGGGAAGAAATAGTGCGGATAGGCCAGCCGAACGGACGGCAGTCGATGTCATGGTGCGGTCTGGAGAGAACCGGCCGACGTCCACGACTCAGTGCTAGGCCTGGCTCTAGTCGAAATATGTGTAGCTAGGACAGAATGATAAAGGTCCCATCCAAAAGCACCCTGCCTGTCGAATCTCCCAAAAATATGTTCAGTTGGAACGGGCAGCGGCACCCGGCACATCTGCTCCACAGAGAGACCAAGCCGGCTCAACCTAGTGGCACAAGCCCGGCGCAAATCGTCATTTCAAGCTGAGAGGCGTTCAGCTCTCCCTCCCACCGCCTCCTTCTCTACCAAGTACGCTGTAATAGACGCCATTCTTTTAGTGGCCCGTCAACAGGCCCGCGGGAAAAAAAGACTGGGGCTATGATGCTATCATGACCTGAGGCTGAGACACCTTCCTTGGCCCCGGGGAATAAAAGCCAGGTCGGCGGCTCACGAACAGCTTGGGATGGGTTCCGCGCGGATCCATCTACGTCGCTAAACGCAGACGAGTTTGTTTTCAAAATGTACTACTGCGTCTCTATCGGCCTTTTTCACTTCCTCGCAGCCTCAATGGTGCTCGTCTAGCGGGCGCAAGAAATTCTGTCGGACAAAAGATCGCATTGCCTGCGGCAAGCCATGCAATAGCTTGCCCTCCCAAGCTGGGTGCTGGTTGAGATGGCTTCGAGGTGAAGGAGCTGCTGTACCACATTGGGTCACTGGAGATGGTACGTAAATACTTCCGACATCCAAATTGGCCAGGCTAACGTCCATGACAGAAGTCTGCCACGAACGAGGAATTCCAGGTGCAAGGCTGCAATATATCGTGTGGAACATGGGAGTTCAAGGATCATAAACACCATTGTGGGAGAGTCAGGGATGCATGACATTAGTTGATGAGCATGGACCCCGTGTTATTGTAGACGTCGAGGAGCTGCTTCGAATAGAGTCCGAAGTTTATCACACATTTCGACGTTCCGCAAATAATGGTGTAATGCGCCCACAGAAGAACATTGGTTTCTTGTCTTGTCATTACACGGCTGACTGCGGTGGCTCTATCGGGTATTGTACAGTCGTTGAGGATCGTCCACATCTACATGGTCACCCATCACGCTCCACCAGATCACTGCCTCTCGCGTCTCCTAGGCGCCGCTCTAATGATGTTGTCCACACGAAGGAGTAGCTGTGTAATAAGGGTCAGCCTTACACGAATGAGCCAATCGCCAGAGAATGCAAACTTACCTCAGCAGCCTCGCTCGCCGATGATACCACCGCCTTCTTCAGCTTGTAGCTCTCGATAACACCCAGGTCGCGCATGTCGGCGATGCCGCCGCCGGGAACCATCAGATCAAGACCATACGTCGTCATCCCGTCGTAGATGGCCTTTCGCAGGCGAGCGACGAGGTCGCCAGAGTCGAGACCGGCGTTGTCGGCCAGGATGGTCGGTAGTTGCCGCAGGGCAACGGCAAACGAGGAAACAGCCACCTGCTTCTTGCCCTCAACACGTGTGGCCTGGGCCTCGACAGCCTTGGCCATAAGCATCTCTGCGCATCCACCACCCAGGGTTGTCCGTGGCTCCTTGACTGTTTGGGAAAGGACGGCGAGGGCGTCGTGCAAACTTCGCTCAGCCTCATCGAGGAGTTGGTTTGTGGCGCCGCGAAGGACGATGGTGCATGCCCGACCTGCTGCAACCCCAGAGAACCTGATAAGAGTGTCCTCGCCGATAATGACCTCCTCAATAACATCGCAGTGACCTAACTTCACTTGCTCGGGGTGGTCGAACGTGGATGCGATCTCGCCTCCTGTGACCAGGGCCAGTCGCTCGATACCGTCAAAGTCGGCGTGCTCGATGGACATGATACCGGCATCGGTGAAGAGCTGCTCGGGCCAGTTGTAGATGAGCTGGCGGTTGATGAAGCAGTTGATGCCGTGCGACTTGATCTTGTCGACCTTGGCCTTCATCTTCTCCTTCTCGGCCTTCTCGAGGTCGGCGAGCTTGCTCGTAGATGTGACCTTGACGCGGGCACCGAAGATCTTGACCTTGTCCGTGTCCATGGAAGTGTTTGCGACGAGGATCTTGGCCTTCTCCAGGCGCTTGGGCTGGTTGACTCCGATCTTCTTGTCCAGGATGAAACCGTCGTCCAAGTAAGAGTCGCTCAACTTGCCACCGGCCTTCTTAATGATCTGAATATTGCTGAGGTCAGAGGATCCCTTCAGCCTCAAAACAGCCTCTGTGGCGAGCTCCGCGAAGTGATCCCGGTCCTGGGCGAGGACCTTGGAGCTAAGTGTGGTCTTTCCAATAGCTATCAGATCCTTCCTGAAGGCCTCGGGGTTCTTGCTGTGGTCGACGGCGGAGTCTTCGAGGGCCTTGAGCGCAGCCTGGCTTGCTAACCGGTATCCCTCGATGATGGTCTGGGGGTGGATCTTCTTGTCGACCAGCTTCTCTGCCTCGCGCAGCAGCTCGGCGGCCAGGACGGAGACAGATGTCGTGCCGTCTCCCACCTCGTCGTCCTGCACTTTTGAGATGTTGACGAGAACCTTTGCCGCGGCATTGTCGAGAGCTATGGACTTGAGTATGGTTGCGCCGTCATTTGTGACCAGGATCTCTCCGGTAGACCTGTTGGGGCAGGGAAATGTTAGACAGGGAAACTCGGCAGGGGACCAGGCTGGCCGGTACGCACGCAGACTGCATGATCTTGTCCATTCCCTTGGGACCCAGAGTGCTCTTGACCAGATCGCCAACGGCAATGGCGCCGACGAAGGCGGTGAGACGGGCATTTTCGCCCTTCTCTTCGGTGGTGCCCTCCTCGAAGATCTGGGTTGGGCTGAAGGAAGACTGCGTATTTGAAATGCCAGTCAGTCAGTGTCTCAGGGGTCCAGCCGGAGAAAAGGCATAGTTAGATGTGCATACCATTTTGGACTATTGGCGACAGGAAAGGGTATTCGGAGGATGTCAAGTGTGGGAGGGAAAGTGAGGTCGTCTTGAGTTGCCCTGTCCACGGATGGGAGCCAAGTGTCGCCTTGTCTCGGTAGCTTCGAAGCGTGGGGATGGTGGGAGGCTACACGATGGCAGTCAACACAGCTCCCCCCTGACGAAAGCTGATTTTTCGATACTGCTAGCGCGTACCCATGTCTCGATGTACCAATGTACCCCTACTGTTTGACAGCCAACGCCGCGGGGTACGCGGATGGGACGTCCTCCAAAACGGCAGGCGGTGAAGGACACCCAGGCAGTCGGAGGGGAGGAAATTCCTGCGCCGGCCACCAGTCCCACTGAAATCCAGCTGGCAGCATTGGAAGCTTGGACGCGAAATGTCAGTTTAGGCAGCGCAGGCCAGAGGCAGAGGCACTAGCGACTGAGTCTGAAGGGGGTTACTGTGTGCACCGTGGTCCTATCCCTCCCCACCTCGACCTGGCCCAAAACTCCATCGCGGGAAAATTCATCAACCGTTGCGACAACCCAAGGCCACTGGTGTTTTGACAGCTGCTCCAGTATCCCAGCCTCGTCACCGCCAGCACCGAAACACCGCTCGCTTCCGACTGCACCGCTTGGCCAGCTCATCCACACATATCACGTCGCACTTCCGACGCTGAACACACAGAGGACTTCTTTGTCAGCGCACTCGAAGCTCCTCCTGGACCACGATCCACCACACACGCACACACATCCCGCGCGGCCAACAGCCTTCACCACGGCGTCAATAACAAAACAGTATCAACAAAGAGCACTGCTACAAACGAAAAAAGTCCATCAACGATATACGATCGCCCAGCATGGCGTCCACTTTCGAGCATCTGCGCGAGGCCGACCTCGATGACGACGAGTACGATGAGGAAGAAATCGACATCTCCGACCTGCGCGAGAAATACGAGGTCCAGCTCGACTCGGGCTACGACCACTTCGTCGTTATCGACGGCCTGCCAGTCGTCACCGAGGCGCAAAAGCCCAAGCTGGTCAAGTTCTTGCTGAAGAAGCTGAACTCGGTTGGCAAGACCCGCGAGGACCAGATCTACATGCCCATCGGCGAGAGCGGAAACTCTGAGAGGTACGTGCCATTTCTTCTTGGGACTTGCTGTTGTCTGTTGCGCTGCGCATGACCTTTTTTGTCTGACTTTTCCACGGCTCCAGGTTCGCCTTCGTCGAGTACTCCTCGGCCGCCGAGGCGGCAGCAGCCGTCCGACAGCTGGACCAGGTCCCTCTTGACAAGAAGCACACCCTCCGCGTCAACAAGCTGACCGACATCGAACGATATGGCCGCGAGGGAAGGATAGAGGACGAGTACCACGAGCCCCAGATCGAGCCTTTCCAGGAGCACGAGCACCTGCGGTCCTTCCTGGCAGATCCTTCCGGCCGAGGCCGGGACCAGTTCGCCATGTACCGTGGTGATACCGTTGGCGTTTTCTGGAACAATGACAAGGACGCTCCCGAGAACATTGTGGATCGCCAATTCTGGACTGAGACCTTTGTGCAGTGGTCTCCCCTCGGCACCTACCTGACCTCGATCCATGCGCTTGGTGTCCAGCTGTGGGGAGGCGCGAGCTGGTCGAGGCTGCGCAGGTTCGGCCATCCTTTTGTCAATCTGGTCGCCTACTCTCCCCACGAGAACTACCTTGTTACCTGGTCCGCACGGCCCATCGCTATTGGCGACGACGGCCACCCGCAGCTGACACGCGACGACGACGGCAAGAACTACATCGTTTGGGACATCGCCACCGGCAAGCCACTCCGGTCCTTCGCTAACCTTGACACCCCTGAGGATGGGCCGGGCAAGGCCCCCAAGTTCCCCTGGCCCGCTTTCAAGTGGTCTGCCGACGATAAATACGTCGCTCGCTTGATCCCAGGCCAATCCATCTCCGTCTACACCTTGCCCAGCATGGGTCTCTTGGACAAGACAACAATCAAGATCGAGGGTGTGAAGGACTTCGACTGGGCGCCCGCCACTCCCAAGCGCGAAGGTGTCAAGACATACGAGCAGCTATTCTGCTACTGGACCCCTGAGATCGGCAGCAGCCCGGCTAAGGTCGGCCTCATGAGCATCCCCTCCAAGCAGGTTGTTCGGTCCTTGAACCTGTTCAGCGTCTCCGACGCCAAGCTGCACTGGCAGTCCGAGGCGGCCTACATCTGCGTCAAGGTTGACAGGCACTCCAAGTCCAAGAAGTCACAAGCTACCACTCTCGAGATCTTCCGTGTCAAGGAGAAGGGTGTGCCTGTCGAAGTCGTCGATACTGTCAAGGAAACCGTGGTTAACTTCGCATGGGAGCCCAAAGGCGACCGCTTCGTCATCATCACGGCCCCCGAGGCACCAGGAGCTACTGCCGTCGCCCCCAAGACCTCCGTGGCCTTTTTCTGCCCCGAGAAGGCCAAGGGTAATGCCGTTGGCAACTTCAAGCACCTGCGGACCCTGGATAAGAAGAACAGCAACGCCATCTACTGGTCTCCCCGAGGCCGCTTCGTGGTCGTTGCTAGTGTTGCCAGCCAACAGAGCTCCGAGCTCGAGTTCTTCGACCTTGACTTTGAGGGTGAGAAGCCAGAGTCTGACAAGGACCTGACGGCCAACCTCCAGCTCATGAACACCGGCGACCACTATGGTGTGACAGACATCGAGTGGGACCCATCTGGACGTTACGTCGCCTCCTGGGCTTCGTCATGGAAGCATTCTGTAAGAACATTTTTCCTTTAATTTTTTCGCATTCACTTTCCACTCGCTGACAAACTTCTCGCAGATGGAAAATGGATACCACATCTACGATTTCAGGGGAGAGACCCTCCGCGAGGAGCCCGTCGACAAGTTCAAGCAGTGGTCATGGCGACCACGGCCTGCTACCCTGCTCACCAAGGAGGAGCAGAAGCAGATCCGCAAGAATCTGCGCGACTACTCGCGCGTCTTTGAGGAGGAGGATGCCCAGCGTATTACTGGTGCTAACCAGGAGGTTGTCGAGAGGCGGCGACAGATGCTGGAGGACTGGTTCTTCTTCCGCGAGTCGATCGAGGCCGAGGTCAGCGAGGAGCGCGAGGAATACGGTGTGCCCGCCGACCCCGGCGCGGAGCTCATCAAGCAGAAGATGGCTGCCGAGGCGATCGACGGCGAGAAGGAGGAAGTCATCGAGGAGATTGTGGAAGAGGTGCTCGAGGAGAGCGAGGAGATTGTCTCCACGTAAAAGGATCCTTCGACTACCTAGCATGTGTCTCGAGGGGAGCCCAGCCGTCTCGACGGTGTGGCTGTCTCGTTTCTTGGACCGACACGAGGGCTTCAAACAGCTGTCCACTATCGACATTGACGCGTTCAAGGTATTTGCCACTGAGGTTGGGGTAGAGCAGCGAAGGATATAGCGGAGAGTGCCTGATAATGCAAACGATAGGCGGTAGGGTGTTGGTAGAATAGACAGTGGTGCCGGCGAACAAAATCGGGGAATGCTGGGGAGCCATGGAAGGTGCAACCGCATATTCAATCTACCGCATTTATTTCACCCTCAGTACTGTCATTTTCATGGGAATGCCACTGCCTTGTCAATCTCTGCAATGTCGTCTTGCGCAGTCAGGCCTGCGCTGGCTAACTCCCCCACCACCACCTCGCCGTCGGTTGTATTTTCTCAATGCCCCAATAGCAGCTGTTAGTGAATTCTCTTTCCACTCTCATGTCCACTCTGACAGCTTAGAATCGTCCGCCTCACGACGCTGACATCCCCCGGCGTGGAGTTCTCGCTGATATTAGGAGTCGGACATGACCAATGCCGCAAAACTGGAGCCATTCTTCTGGTGAGTAGACGAGGATTAGAAAACGCCTGCCTCGATGAGAATGAGGAGTAGCTGGTGCGGAACATGCCAAATTCGAATGATCCCGTGAGCGACCTAATCGTTGGACTCGGGCTCAAATGCCTCAAAAGCACCCGACCACACCCATTACGGAACATACTTTGCATGTAGCCAATCTTAGATTCTAATGCAGATGGCCACAGCCTCATACCACGTTCTACCTGACTTGCACAGACCGTTTGCGAATGCATGGGCCCCAAGGTTCAACAAGAATTGCACAAAAAAGTAAAGCGTACTGGATGTTGCCTCGGATGGCATTGGTGCTGCTGTGTGAGACATCCTGATACCCAGACCCACCTGCTGCTCTATTAAGTATTCATATCGGCTGGTGTACACAGGGCGCCAGAGCACAAGGGCGAGCGAGAACTAGTGCAATCCTCGTGCTTGAGTGGCTTACGGGTCCTCATCATTGCCCAGCCAACTTCCGTCCAACACGCTTTAAAACAAAACAAGGCTTGTGAGACACAAAGGACCCGTGCATACTTCCCCATACATAAGAAATTCCATCGTCATCCTGCAGAGGACATTTGAACGCTACTTAGCTAACGTCGTAAAGTTCGTGGGATACTGAGACACGTCATACCTCAACGGAAAAGATGCATCGAGCTTTTGTGCCTCGGGCACTGGCGAGCTAAAAGTCCACAAATAGTATTGTTGGCAACGACTTTACCCCATCTTGTAACAACATCAGGATCAAATTCTTGGCCTTGAAGTAGAAATAGAAGATGATGAATGGATCATCGAGTCTGGGGCAAATGTACATTTCTGCAGAAGATAAACCTTGGTTGTCAATGCATGTCAGCACCATCGGCACCCATTCCCACCCATCATGTGCGACCTTCTCCAGAAGCCCGTGACGTGAGGTCCTATACTCAACCCGGCTCAGTCACGCCAAGACGACGGAGCCTCATTCCAGCTAGCATTAGCAGTTGTGGTATCTGCTACCTCGACGGGTCTGTATTACCGTCGTCTTGGTAGTTAATGAGGAGCAGTCAATCCGCGATACGACGTTGCGGGTGCTGGCGTTTCCGGCTTCGAATCAGCTGTTGGTGGACTACAAGCTGTTTTCAGCGAAACAGGTAGGGTTACGTTGCGTGGAAGCGGGCGCCATTCCAAGCTCTGGCTTCACCAACAAGGCTCTCCAAGGTCACACAACAAACACGCCATGTGATAGGCGGCGAACGAATCTAGTATACATCGGACCGGGACTTTTGTTCCAACTGGCACAGTATTCTGAGCTGTCAGGTCACACAACAATTTTGCCACCGCCAAAGAATCTTTCCCGTCGCCACGTATCACATTTCACAACCGTAAAAGGAGTGGGCTGCGTAAGTGGGACAACTGGCACACGCAGGCATAGGGCTTCCCGCTGAGCCGCACTAATGCATATTTCGGTGAGCAAGGCCTCCGCTCCGTGTGTTGCAGTCCGTAAGCGTCGTGCAGGAAGCAGGCTGAACTCGTGTTGTCCAACAGTCCCAGGTGTGACAACCACTAGATAATGCGCTGGCATGTCAAAGCAGCATTCGCGACCCACCACTACGGTGATAAAGTATGCTGAAGACTTCCGGGTTGGATGTGTGATCATGATTACGTACTGTGAGGTATTCAAAAAGGAAAGAGAAAAGAATACTGTGTACATGGACAAGTCAGTTGCAGATCGCTTAGGGGCCGTTGGGAGTGATGTCTGTCACAGCCGGGCCGGGCCGAGTGTGGCAGGAGCAAAGTTCGGTTGGACCCCTCACCCCCATCATATCAGAATCACCTGCTCAGGTGGCCCCTTAGCCCGTCATCTGCGGTTGGTTCTTTAACTGGAATCGATTTTCATGTTGCAACACATGTGGCCGTTCTGACCACCACCTTCATTTTCTTTTCCTAAACGAGGAAAAAAGAAAAGAGGGGAAAGAGAGGAAAGAAATGCCAATCAAGGCTGCAAGCACAGTACATTCTACTCCTCTTGGCATTCACTTTTACTCCCCACCAGAGATTCTCGGTGTCTACTAGTAGTTAGCTTGGTAAGAGTAGCACCGAGGATATGGCCCGAGTGTTGTTCAGTTTGATCACACTTCGCGGTTCTTAATCTTGTCGCTCACAGATTAGGATGGCATCGCTCCGAGATAGTAGACGGGTCGAAAAGGATGCCAAACCTGAAACCCGTTTAAGTATCTTCAGAAACGAAGTCCTACACTTGATGGTGGCTATATCCATCCTGCGAAACCAAGGCTGGCCAGGAACAAAAAGTATTGGCAATAACAAATAATATCCATCACAACAAGTCATGTCGTAGAAACCAACACTGTGACTTGTAAAGCATATCAATTGGCACAAAGCATACTGCACGTAAGAATAAACGCAAATAAATCAGTATCTAAGGTTGGCATGTAAAGCTCAGTCTCCCTGCCTTGACTCACGTCCCTGTTCATCTTGTTCCCGAAAACACCCGTCGCCTCATAGTGAGGTTTGGTCGTCCCTCCATGGATGTTGCAGATGTTCCTGTCTGTGGCCCATAATGGGCAAGTCTGTGTCTGTATGGGTTGTGATCTCGATCTCGGTAGTCTTCAGTATCCCTAAATATCTGTGCAGGGGATGTTCAAGTCGTTCGTCTTGATCGTGTATACTGCCCATTTCCGGATTGCTCTGCCCAATTGCATCAAGCTGTGTTGCACTTTCCTCGTTCATGCGATGATAGTCGTCCCCATCCGAACTGTCGGACGCAGTTCGGGGCCAAGGGCGTTGACGGTGCTCAGAAGGGCGTCTCCGCTGACCAGTAGGCCAGGACGTGGATATCTTGACTTTGGAAGCTCGGCCGCCACCATTCAACATGATCGGGATTGATGGAGCGCAGAAGACTAAGATTGTGCTCGTGGCCTCTCCGAGTCCCCACAAGAGGAATTGTGAGTACGCGAAAGACTTGTCGTCGCTGAAGCTCATGTCGACAGCAGAAGAGACTCGCCCAGCTGCACAGGCACAAAGACTATAGTGAAACACCCTTGTTAGGTTTTTGTTTACGGACGAAAAGATTTGGGGGCGGGGGACACGAGGTGGGGATGACTTACAACACGCCGACCGAAAATACAACAGAAACACCTGTTTTCTGGCGGGTGGACATTGATAGCTTCCAGATGATTTTGTGAGGGAGTAGTAAAAGAAGAATATCGAAGAAAAGGTGGAAAGAAGTGATGGAAAGATTGAAAGCGTCAATATTGAAACATGTTCCTGGGATCCAACGCCGCCATATTCGCTCCCTGGGTGTGCAGCAGAGGTTAATTGCGATGACGGTTGCCATGTATAAACACGCATTCGCCGAAAGTAAGACATAGCAGATCCAGAAGAACACGTTTCGGGTAGAGCGAGGGATGAAAATATGTGTCCACTCCAGTATGATTGCCGCCTTGACAAACCCAACTGCGAGACACCATAAAATGGTGGTGGTGACATACTCCTGGTCGACTGTTAGCAGCTTGTTAGACCCATATATCAACAGGGGACCAACAAAAATGAAGCTTTCAAACTTCCGAACACGCAAGTTCCATAAGTGAACCAGAAATCCAGCACTTGAGGTTATTCTGGCCAATACACATGTCCCAGCGATGTAAAACGCCTATTGCACATGATCAGTTTACTATGAGCAATTGAAAGAATTGACAAGGGGTCAAATTACAAATCCTAAAAGGCCCATGTCTATTCGCCATTAGCGATCTACCTTGATTGAGGGTCAAGAGAGTTGATGATACTTACAATCCTCAAGCCTCACTTTCCCTACACAGAGCACTCGACTGAGAATACGTAGCACAGAGAACACGGTCGACAGAACTATGCATGTGGCTATCACTGCGACAGCTAGTTTGTTTTCGTTAGGAGGATCCTCCAAATTCTGGGCGCTGTCAGCTGGTGCCGTCGATGCAGGCCCATTCAAGAGATCTTCCACCTGTTTCGGCGACAAGGGAAACGTAGATCCCATTGCGTAGAGTATCGTGAGCGTTGAAAAATTGGCAGTGTGATGAGGGAAATCATCCAGATACAACTTCGAATTCTGAGTGAGCAAGACACGGCCGTTTTGTGAACACTAAACAGTAGTGGGCACACTATATGACTCTTCAAACGTTTCCTCAGTCTCGAAGACACCAGCAGCCATCAGTAAGCAATCCTCCAAAGATGCTGCGCCATGGGGTCTACGAAAATCTTGCCCAGCCGGCACTTCCGCCGACGGCGTGACCTTTACTTGCATCCATGGATCCCGTCACAATGATGAACCGTACATTTGGGGGCACAATATGCAATCCATATGGAACAGCACGTGCATTTGTGGATGGATCCGTGTCACCCACCTCTTTGTTTGTTTGCCACGCTGCGGCGCGGCTGGATACTCGTGACGATGAGGGACAGTGTCTGCTGATTTTCCCGGTATTTGGTTGGGATCTTTTTCATCTGTTGGTTTTCATCCAAATCGTCAATTTCAATGCGACGACATATCAGGCTGTGCCATCTGCCAGTACTTCGGATCGCATCCACTACCCTGTCAAATTCTCTCCGCTCGTAGAAGTCTCCTTCGAACAGCTCTTTTGGACAGCTCCTTCGCTCCAGATCGGTCCAGCATGGCTTGCATTACCTCATGGAATGCATTACCTCGAACAGCCTCTGACTTCCACTTCTCTTCAACCTCGTGCATCAAGTTTTGGCAGTATGATTGCTGAAGTCAGGCGCCATTGGTTATTCTTCTTGACAAAGCAGGCTTCTAAAGCTCGCAGGTAGCCAAGTGTAATGAGGTTGCACCTGCACAGGCAGCAACGGAGTATGTACCACGATTTGCCAAACAATCGCGAGCCTTGTTGAAACTCTCGGTGAGATCCATGACAATGTCACACAACTTGAGGGGTGGAGTCTGTAAATGGAAGGTAGGACAGCATGTCAAAGCCGTAGTTGGGCAAAGCGTCGAGGATCCAAATGTGCATATGCCAGTGCTTTGTTTACTCTTGCAGCTTGTTAATATGATCATGCAATGATCCAAGGCCCCAGAACTCATAGCCTGCTTGTACCGGCTCCTTGGCGGATGAAGACCAGAGGCAGTGCACTCAGCCCGCATCCGACACAGTCCATCGGATGCTGGCAGATTAGAGGAACAGGGGGCCATGCACCTAGATAATTATATATGTACCGCATACAGCGCAGCCTTGTCCATCTTCTCACGTCGTACATGATAGGGTTGTGTGGTAATGTAAGATCGGGTGCCAGGGTGAATCGCACACATCAAAATATGCAACCTGCCGCACAGTGGGGGCCGTCCTGTGTCATCGCCTTTGATGCCGGTCATGCGTGCAGCTGGTTGGTTGGCCTTTCAGCCTCGACCAACTGGTTTTTATTCTTGGCCTGCTTAAACAGCTCACAGCTTTCACAGTGACAGACCAAAAGTTCCCTTCTTCTCTCGATCTAATGCATCTGGGTCTCCCTTGCCTGCAAGAAGAACACAACTCGGATCTCTGGCAACCATGGCAGCAGAAACAGATGCTGGCCTGAACGGCCATGCTACTGACTCTTCCACAATTCCCAAAGCAACCACAAACCCTGAGGACATCGAACTCTCAACTCAAACAGACAAGATGCACGAGGAACAAGTCCACATTGAATACATCCACGGCCCTCGGTTTAGGTTCATTTGCGCTGCGTGAGTGATGTTGGCTCGGTAGACACTCCACAACGTGACTGACGTTGCTTGAATAGTGTCGCAATCCTGATGTTCATCACGAACATGGAAATACCAGTCCTGATCACGGCTTTGGTCGCTATCACTGAGGACCTTGGTGGCTTTGGCGACGTGAGTTGGGTAGTCTCCAGCTACCTGCTGGGTTACGTCGGTATGTTTTTCGAGCGCAATTCCGGATTTCAGCAATTGCTTACATGCCACCATAGCCGTTCTCATTATCTTCGCCAAGTTCAGTGACATTTTCGGCCGAAAACCTATCCTCTTGCTGTCCACATCCATCTTCATCATATTTTCCGCCGGCTGCGCTGCTGCCCAGACATTGACACAACTGTAAGGGCAAGCCCTGACCTGATATACCAACCAAGCTTATTGGGCTGACATTCGACAGCATTATCCTTCGAGCTTTTCAGGGGATCGGTGGTGGTGGTTGCTTCTCTCTCTGCACGATCATGGTATTGGACTTAGTGCCTCCAGAGAAGTATGCAGAGTTCGTTGCGAGCATTTCTGTAACCAATGCTTTGGCTCTCCTGGTGGGACCTATTGTTGGCGGAGCGATAGACGCTAATACAACTTGGAGATGGATTTTCATTATCAAGTACGTCAAAATTCGATGCCAACCTCCCCCCCCCCTGGTGCGGGAAGTCCAACTGATACATTCCGTGACAGTGTTCCGATAGCTGCCCCAGCCTTTGTTATTTCCCTCCTCGCTATACCGAACCGTTTTCCATACCATGGGCAGGTCAGCCGTTCAGCGATAATGACTGCCCAGGGTCACACTGCGAAAAAAACAATGCAACGCATAGATATCCCGGGAACAATTTTGGTGCTCTTGGCTGTACTAGCGTTGACGTCTGCCTTTGAGGAGGCTGATAAGCTGTTCCCCTGGAGATCGGCATACGTGATCACCTTATTAGTCGCATCCGGAATCTTGTGGATGTTACTCATTTTATGGGAGAGGCATGTCACACTTTCCGACGGTATTCGGGAGCCGGTGCTGTCGTGGAGATTTCTCATCAACCGCCAGATGCTGGGCATATTGCTGTAAGATTCCCCACTCTACGTCCACTTCCGAGAGTGCCGTCTAACAGACCCATTCAAGCAACTTTGTTCTTTTGGGAGGGCCCACAGTTATTGGGATGTTCATCATCCCGCAGAGATTTCAACTGGTCTATGGTACTTCCGGGCTCGATGCGGGTGTCAGATTGATCCCATTCACGGCGGCCATTCCGCTTAGCTCGATATTTGCATCCGGCCTGGCCGGAAGGCGCAAGGTCCCACCGTTATATCTGATCATAGTAGGCTCCTGTCTGCAAGTGCTTGGCTTTGCTTTGATGGCTACGCTGCCTTCGACACTTGACATACCAGCTCGGATCTATGGGTTTGAGGTCATCGCTGGATGGGGATGCGGGATCAACTTCTCTCTACTGTTCTTGATGATACCATTCGTCATTGAAAAACGCGACCACGGTATGTGATCGATGACTCGTTTCAGATGAATACAAGACTAACTCTTCATTAGCCATTGGTCTTGCGGCTGGATCACAGTTCAGATTCATTGGTAGTTCTATGATTCTGGCGATCTCATCCTCTGTCTTCAACAGCTTTGCAAGATCACGACTCCGAGATCTAGGTGTCGGCGATCCCGATACTTTAGCCTTCATCCTTCCCACTCTTCCCAACGCGATACAAGAGCAGGTTCGGTACACTCTAGCCGAGGGATACAGTCGCCAGACCCTTACTCTTTGCATATCCGCGGCTCTGCAGGTACCCGCCTCTCTACTGATGTGGAAGAAGAAACCTGTGGTGGTTTGAGGGCTTGTTTTCTTTCTCCAATTGGACACAAGGTACACTTTGGTGCTGAAGGGTGGGCGGCAACAAGATTGCTATCCACTGTCAGGTCGGAGGAGAATACTTTGGACATGGACCAGTTGGGCTTGGGTGTCTGTGGGGTGTTACCTTTGGGTAACGGAGGGATGAGAGAACCAACTGACAGAGCTATTTCTGGTGGACATGAGGAGGGTAAGCACTCAGCCTTTAGAGACGCTGCCCGCCTGGTCAGATCATAAAAGGTCCTCTACGCTACTTTTTCTTTTCTACACTGTACCCTCTAATATCATAAATGCCTCTTACTTCATAATGACTTAATTGCACTGCCGGAAAACGTTCTTACTGGGGAGGTCTCATTGTACCTCAGCATTCGTTATAGTGCTGCTTGCGGGGGCATTGACTACCATGAGGGTGGCAGAAGCGCAAATGGACTGACGAGACGGACGGGGTTGATGGGCAGAAAGTAAGTCTGGCTCGGAGAAGGCGAAGGATATTATAGCATACACTACATGCAAAACTTGATGGAGCGGAAGGCAGGTCCCAGGCATGATACCGTATACCATGATTTCAACAGTTGCTTATTCTAGTTCTCTTGTAATGTTTCGTTCTCGGAAAACGCTAATTAATAATCCAGACCTCATATATAGCCACCAATTTGGTCAAACCGCTGATGGTCATCGTCTACGCTGGATGCAGTAATCAGCCCCAGATAATTTACCGGCGATGTTTGTAGCGTCCCGAGGATGACGGGAGGCTGGGGCAGCATAGTGTCCTATGTATCATAGTGTCCTATGTATGGACCCCATTGGCCTGGGTTCGGGTCGAGCAGCATCCCCCCAGGCGTTGCTTGAGACCTTTGTGCGGCGATGGACTTTGCGGTAGCAGGGTTTGCTGCGGCGGTACCAGCTGAGCAAAACTTGCCGTTCCATAGCCTTGACCGAGCGGCTCGGCAGTAGTTTGGCTCGCCAGCGGATTCTGGCGTATGATGAAATTCTGGCTGAACGTATGAGGCGCTGTCTCAGACGCGAATCCAGAGGGAATGATATGAAGGAGGAGGCCCTGCGTTGAAAAGTCTGCTGATGCGAGTGCATCCACGGTCGGCTGAGATCGAGCCGCAGGATCCCAGAGTCCGAACTGGTCAAAGATCTGGCCACCGGAAGACGACGGTTCCATTGATGGATCGGAGGTTTCAACAAGCCCATAAGCTGGCATGATTGGTGGTATCCCCTGGCCACTATGACTGACCGGCGGCAATCCAGTGGCCGATCCGGAGAAGACTTGCCGCCGTCGCGACCGGCCCAGCCGCCAACAGTGCCCTAGGGAGCGTTCCCAGGCTATCTTGAAAAACGATGCAGATGTATAGATCACCCAGGTGGGATGGACTGGTGCCACTGGTTCTGAATTGCTTGACTCGTACCAGAAAACGCCGGATATTACAGATATTGTAGGAAAGGCCCGCAGAGTTATGCGGGAGGGAGCCTGTTCAAGTCTGACCGTGACATCAAGCTGGAAGATCATCTTTGACTATGGGAAAAGCGCATCCCAGGGCAGATCAGACATGAGAGTGACTATAGAAGACAAAGGCGTCAGCTCTTCCAGTAGACCAGCGAGGGGAGCCATAGGTCAGGGAAACTATCCAGATGCATGTGCTTAACACGGGCGCTTTGCCTCTGTTGACAAAAACCTGCCATGCCACGATGCGAAATACATTCAGAGCTCTCTTCGATTCAAGCCTCCCAATCGTACGTCACGCATATCTGGACATGACGGCAGCATTAGGCTGAACAAGGTTCATTTGGTGAAACAAGAAGTGCTAGTGTCATCACAGTGGAATGTCCAGTGCCAAACTTTCACATGTTCCGCCCAGATCATTGGCTGAGTATTGGCTGGGTCCATGGACTTATAACTTAAACTCTCACGCGAAGAAGCCTACTAACCAGGTCTCCTTCATTCAAAGGGACGTGGGAAAATGCCAAGTCAACAGCTTACAAATCGCTTGAGTGTTCCACAGTGGACAACTAGACTCAATTGTGAACGTAGTAATTTTCCAGTCACTAGAAGGCGTGCGTTACAAGTCTCTTTGACGTTTCTGACTTTGTATCGGATTAGAATTATTGTATTCTCCCAGTCACTTCAACGCGTAAAGCCAGCAACAACATTCCATTTGCCTGCTCATGTTGCTCTGTTGGAAAGTTGGTACTCATCACTAGAGCTCCAACCAACAGTCTGGTCTTAGTCCCTAATCAGACTTAATCATATAGATGAAGATGTTGTTGTGATTCATACCATTGACCTTGTATAAATTTCGCACTTGGTTCTGTCATGGCGCCTCTCTTCCTTCCCTTCCCCATCAGCAAGAGAAACCAGATCAACACAACACAACATATTTGACAAAGAAGAGAAGCACCTGTGATAGGAGCCAGAGAATCCTACTCACAACGAACAAATCCTTAAGACCTCAATCTACCAGACAAATCAGAACAAGCAGACAACATCAATCCAGTGAGGATCGCCCAATGCCAGCACAATCCGACATTGTCTTTGTTTTAAAAGCATCCCGGCCTAACTTGGTGAAAGCGCTGACTCTTTCCTGTGCAGAAAGGATGTGCACGTGGCATTGGTTCCGTTACGTTGCTACACAATGCGGCCATACCCTTGGTGACACTTCTTTGCTTCAGCAGTCATGTCTGAGGGCCAGGAACCTGGGCGGCTACGGATTTTGTGGACACGTCCGTAAGCTCGACGACGTAGAGCAGCCGATAGATATGCTATGCGGCGATTGTCAACCTCCGAATTGACAGCCCGGAGATGACAACTTCTCCTAGAAGCACTACGACTCCTGCCCTTAAGTTCTCCCTGGATTACCTGCGAGGACTGATGGAACTGGATATTTTTGGAACATGATAAATAGCCAAATGACAATTAGCATGTGCTATTAGCACCCAAAAAGGAATCACTTATCTCATGTGAAAGATGAAATACCATTGCATTACATCACAGTTTTATACGTAGCGTGGACTGGGTAAAGTCTAGTATATGCCCGGTTTGGTTTTCCAGGTTACTATAATATATGACTGGTAATATTAGACCTCATACCTCTAGAGCCGTCCATTTGGCCAAATGGCTGCTGGCCATCACGCTGGACGCAGATCTATCACCTGAGTGAGGCAGCCCCGGGGCGAGACGACCTCGTGAAGTGTAAACCCACCCTTTTCGGCAATAGCCCGGTATTCCTCCAGCGTCCGTTCCCGGTTCTTCACCCGGGAGAGCATCCTGATATCTGCATACCTCGCAAAGCTGCCCAGCTTCCCGTCCAGGATGATGTGCTCCCCAACCACAACTCGACTGACCCCGGGCTTGAGAACAATCGATTCCCTGATCCGCCTGAGCAGCTTGATGCAGCTCTCATCGTCCCAGTTGTGGAAGACAAACTTGAGGAAATACGCGGCCGACCGCGGCAGCTCGTCCTTGAAGAAGTCGCCGCTGCGGACCTCCACAAGCCTCCCCCTCGTAGCATCGTCCGCGTCCTCGAACCGCTTCCGGATCAGCTCAGCCGTCTGGGGCAGCTCGAACGCGGCCGCCTTGGCGGCCGGGAATGCCTGGAGGTAATGCCACACAAAGTCCCCGGCACCGGCCCCAATATCCGTCACGACCTCGCCCGCGACCTCGCCCCAGGGGTAATCAGCCAGCAAACCCGGCGCCTCGGCGATGCTGAAAGCGCCGATGGCCCTATGGAACGCAGCCGTGGTGCCCATGCGCTCCATGACCTCGTAGATGGGCTCGTCGGTGCCGTAGTAGATCTGCGCGGCGGAGCGCCCTTCGCCCGCCGCGATGGCCGCGGGCAGCCGCGGGAGGATGTCGTAGTGCTCGCACGCGTAGAGGCCGACCCAGTTGTGCCACGTCGTCCAGTGGTCGGTGCGCAGGAGCTGCGAGGTGCGGTTATTGTCGACGAGCCCCGTGGCCGCGTCGCGGGTGAAGAAGCCCATCTCGACGAGGTACCGCACGACCTGGCCGCACGCGGCCGGTTGGATGCCTGCCTCGGACGCGAGAGCTTCTGTGCTCAGGGGCCCTTTGGTGTGCAGGATGTCGGCGAGGCGGTACTTTGCCGCGCATACCAGCACTTGTGTGTTTGTCGCGGAGAAGATGGCGTCCATAAACTGTACCTGTGGCGGGGTGAGGATCTGCTGGATCTTGCCGAGGGTCTGGATCGTGTCGAGGATCTTGGCCCGCAGGGCGCCGGACTGGGACTGTGAGTCTGGGTTCTGGGAGAGTCTCAGGGCGTCGTCCACGAAGGGCGCCACAGGACCATCTAGGGCCCTCGCCGCTTGCTTCGCAGAAGCAAGCAGTTGGTCTAGCTCGGCCTCCATGATTGTGGTTTTTGAAACCTTGTACAAATGACAATAAGCGATAGCGATAGAGCTGTACAAATTCTATACCGATAGTTAGGAATATATGGATTCTGAGGCTGTGCATATCTATCGTAACATCATCAATTTTCTAGGACTATGTTTGTCTAAGCACATATAAAGGTACCTCAATATTAGTGGCTGTATCACTCGATGGCTCGTCTCCGACTAATGACAGCTTGGGGTATTGTTGATATTCACCGAGCCTCATAATGCTATGCTAACTGTGGATTGGAGCCCTAACGACGAGCTGAATCCGTATGCATCTCCCGAGCTTTCGGTCCCGGCCGTCTCTCGGTGAATATTCTCGGCGTGGTTGCCCCAGTCAAGCAGCCGGGACTATCCACCCAACAACCCATCCGAGTCAGCCAGTCACTCGCTGGCTCACCCAGCGTCTCAAAACCTCCAAGTGGTGATTCCGTACGAAGGGCAATACGAAGACGGCAGCAAATTATGCACTGAAGATGCGAATCCTAAATGGCTGCTATGCTAGATACTACCTAGGCGCGGTTCCTAGGCCAGTCTCTGTGGACGACACCTGCAACTGCTAGCACATATTTGTATCACCACAATATCTGCCCGTGCATGACTTCAACAAGATGGATAAAGAACATATTATGCAGAACTCTGAAATTCTTGAATGTATCTAAGTATTAAACAATTTCAGAGGTACCATGCGTCTACCATGTCGTGATGTCCGGCGTCCCAAACATTGCCCTCAGATCCACTTCTACGCCCTTCTTTTCGCACAGCTTCTGCAGGGCCAGTGCGTCCATACTACTCGCACCCAGCTCCCAGAATGTCTCAGGGCCATTGGAACTCTTCAGGGAACAACCAAGGCACTCTGCCACAGCTTCCTTGATAGCCAACGCCCTGCCGTCATCGTTTCTGCTACCTGCGCTCCCCCTCGTCTCCTGCTTATAGTTGAGTGACTCCCTCTCCGACTGCGGCGTAGGCAGCCTGTCATCCTGCCTGACCGCGGTATCTGTAATAGTCCGCATGATCCCATCGATGCTCGCACCTCCCCCGATCAGCTCCAGGACCAGCGCCAGGGCACTCTCCAGCCTGACCACCCTCTCCTCGACCAGCAGCCCATCAGCGCACTCCAACTCGACCTGTAATCCCCGGTCGCCCTTATCCGTGAATTCAACCATGACAGGGAACTTGGCGCACTGGGGTCGGGCATCCTCGTGCTCCACGGTCTCGACACCTTCCAGCCTCAGCCGGCCCCCCGCCGTCTCCACCGCCGTGTGGAACGACACCATGACCTGGAACAGCGGCCACGCCAGGCTCGGCTCGGCCCTGTTGGCCGCAAGGTCCTGTGATGATGACTCCCGCAGGATATTCCGGAGCACCCGGTGGGGGACAAAGTGCGCCAGGGCGGCCCTGCTGCGGTCCCCGACCATTTCGAGGAAGTCACCCAGCGAGCCTGAGTCTCTAGGCGTTCTATCGCCGGCGCCGGAAGATTGTCCAAAGTCCCAGGTCAGCGGCACGACGAGCCGGTCCAGGAACATCCCCAGCATGTCCTCGGTGCCGACCTCGGTGCGCATCGTCATCGGGGCCCCGAGAGCAACGGTCACTGGGCCCCGGGCGGGGTGGGGCTGGATGCTCTGCAGCGCGAGGAACGTCGTGCCGAGCGCTAGCTGGTGCATGGTGATGCCGTGGGCGAGGCTCAGCGCGGCTAGGCGTCTGTGGTGCTGTGGTCGGACGGTCCAGGTGCGTGTGCGGCCGCGGTAGCTGTGAGGTTGGGGAGGCTGGCCGAGCGGACGGCATACTTCTGGGGTGGAGAGGTGCGTTTTCCAGAAGCACGCTGTGTCATCATTGGGGGACCTGAGTAGGGCGTCACTTGCCCATGAAGACCAGTCGAGGTAGTTCAGAGAAGATGCTGGCGGGGAGGCAGACGCTGGGATTTTATCCAAGCCATCTGTGATCGCAAGCCGTCCGTACTCAGCTGAGATGTCCCTCAGGGCGTAGTGTAAGGTTGGGCCGTCGCCAATGATGTGAGAAATAACGACGATGATGGTTGTCTTCCACGGGGTTATGCTGGCGGTGTGTATCTGGAATAGCGGTTCTTTGAAAGGGTCCAATGGGCGCTGAACCGTTTTGGAAACGAACTCGTCAACCTCGTGTTGCGTGCATGTGTGATTTTCCAGCTTCCATTCTCCAGCAGGCCGGATCGAGCGGGTCACTGTGCCGTCAGTCTCAACATGGAACCGGGAGCGTAGCACTTCGTGCTTTGTCACCATGCGCCGGTATGCCGTGACCAGGCGTTGCACATCCAGAGGGCCATACGCGTTACATGAGTACACAATGTTCCACATCGGCGACCCCTCGCACAAGAGTTGGTTGAGTACCATTTCCTGCTCCAAATATGAAGCTGGTAGCTTTTCCGGCCTCACGGACTTCTTGGTGTCAACAAAGCGCTTTGGGCAGTCGTCATCTTCCACTGCAGGCAGCTTCTTTCCCGATGGCATGCTGTGCTCCCGCCCTAGATGCTCGTCCAGGGCCTGACATAGGCCACGCAGAATCTGATGGCGAATGACAATCCTCAGTGGCACTTTAGTCCCCCACAGCTTCGAAAGCCTTTGTGCCAGACGTATCTGGAGGAGAGAGTGACCTCCAATCTCGAAGAACCCATCCGATGCGCCGATAGGGCTTTCTTCCAAGTCCCTTCCAAGCAGCTCGGCCCAGACGCCGGCAACATCTCGTTCCGTCTGGGAGTCCAGTGGCTGCAGGCCGGCATCACGCTCCAACCGCATTTCCGCCAGTTGGGCCCTGTCGACCTTGCCGTTGCGCGAAACCGGCAGCTCCTTCAGCGCAGTGATGATATTCGGGGTGCTGTACTCTGGCAAGTGCCGCCGGAGCAGCTGCAGGAGCTGGTCGGTGTCCACGCTCTCCGGCGTCACAAACGCTCGGAGGGTGCCTCCGGCCACCACCACGGCGACGTTGTCGATGTCCGGGGCGACGCGCAGGATGGAAGCCTCCACGTCGCCGAGGTCGAGCCTGAAGCCCCGCACCTTGACCTGGTTGTCGTTGCGGCCGATGTACTCGATGTCTCCGGACTCGAGCCAGCGGCCCATGTCACCCGTCCGGAACATCGTCCAGCCCTCGCGGAAGGGGTCTCGCAGGAAGCGCGTTTTGGTTTCTTGTTCGTTGTTGAGGTAACCTGGTGTCACTTGGACGCCCGAGATGTAAATCTCCCCGGTCACGCCGATAGGAACCCGGGCGGCCGGTGGAGTCGAGGAGGTAGAAGTTCACCCGTGGGACCGGCTTGCCAATTGAGATCGGTGTGTCGGGTTGGAGGCGGTGGGCAGTCGCGATAAGCGTGCACTCAGCTGGGGCGTACCCATTTTGAAGTGTCCTTCCGGGAAGCCACTTCTGGACCAAGACAGACGGGAGTGCCTCACCAACAAGTGTGATAATCTTCATGTTGGGGTATTGAGCGGGATCAAGGCTGGAAATCAAGGACGGGGTGCCCACGGTGGCGTCAACCTTGGACAAGTGTGCCAGGGGGTCTGAAGCATCTTTCAGCACGAGTGTCGCTCCGTAAAGCAAGCTGGAGAAAACTTCCTTGACGCAGCAGTCGAAACCGAGGGATAGCAGCTGGGCATTGCGCTGGCCGGGCTTGGAGTAGAGTCTTGCTGGGGCATGGCTCAAGAGGGAGAGGATCCCTTTGTGTTGGAGTTGGACAGCCTTCGGGAATCCTGTGCTCCCACTTGTGAAGATTACCACCGCAATATCATCTCCTTTTGGAGACACCGTGTGTGGACTTTTACCATACCCGCCAGTGTGATCCACTGGAAGTTCATTCGTATCATCAACCGAGAGTATCGTCTGCACGTCGGACAGAATTGGCACGCCAAACCGGGCCGAGCTTTCCCTGGATGATGTGTTCGGGAAGAGCACCACTGGCGGCGAGCAAACAGATATCATGTATTGCTGCCGCTCCCACGGAAGCTTGTGGTCGATCGGACAATACGCAGCACCAGTTCTGACGACGGCCATGATTGCCAAGAGCCACTCAACAGACCCGTCCGCAACGACACAGACAATCTTCCCAGGCTTGGCTCCGTGTTCTCTCAGCACTCTAGAGATGTGGGCCGTCTTTGTATCCAGCTCGCGATACGTCAGGCTCTTGATTAGGCCTTCAACGGCAACAAGATCTCCGTGCGCCTTCAATGAGTCCTCAAACGCCTCGGATAGAGTCTCTGGGCCTTGGTAGGGCTCCTCAAGCTCTTTGCCAGTGCAGTTCAGGCGCTCTTGTAGTTCTTCACGCCCCAGCATGAGGCTAGAGATGTCGCCAACAGTTTGTCCAGACTGCCGTGGGTCCTCAAAGCAGGCGTCGAGGAAAGCAACCAAGATGTTTTCGAAGTGGCGTGTCATACGCTCGACCGTCTCCTCGCCAAAGTGAGATGCCTGGTACATAAACCTCGCGTCCAGATGCCCGTGAACCACATCCAGCATGACTGTCAGAGGCATCTCCGTAGTCTCGACATATGACACATCGTAGGGCGGCGAGCACAGTTGCGGCTTGTTGTCAGGCCATTCAGTTTCTGGGAAGTCATACTGGATTGCCAAGAGCGTGTCGTAATATTCTGTGCCCCTGAAGCCGGTGGCCTCCTGGATAAGCGAGTTGGGCGTCCACTGGAAGTCGAGAACGCGGCAGAGTGTCTGGAAGGTCTGCTGCAGGAACTCTGTCATGGCCATGCCGGTATCGACTGCGGCTGGCATGGGCAACGTGTTGACCAAAGGCCCGACGATCTCCTCGACACCGTCTAACGCGAGGCTTCGCCCGGAAAGAACTGCGCCGAGGACGACGGCTTGGGAGTCACAATATCTGGAGAGCAGAATCGCCCATGCACTATACACGATTGCGGCTGTGGTCACTCCACGCTCTTTCGCGGCGTCGATCAGTTGACTCATCGGCACAGACATTCTGCGATGAAGTTCCGCCTGCGGGCGCGGCTTGGGTGCCTCTGCCGAGGGCGGAGCAAGGCGAAGACGAGGGATATTCTGGCTCTGGACATGGAGCAAGTCCTTCCAGAATGCTTTCGCTGACCCTGAGTCCCTCCTCGTCAGATTGCGCAAACACCAGGCCGCGTCGTAGAACTGTGGGCATGGGGCCTGAGCCTCCTGGATTCCGTGTAGCAGTTCCCATAGGTCATGGAGCACGAAGCTCGCGGACCAGCCATCTATCAGCGCATGGTGAACTGTCCAAACCACTCGTGACTTTTCCCCGGGGATGCTGATGACCTGGAATCTGGACAGCGCGTGGACGTCTCGTTCATCAAATGAGGTGAGCTCCTCGGGCTGGAAACGGGCTGTATTGTCTTTTGTCGTCTCCCATTCAATCTCTGAGTCGACCGTCGCTTCCTCCCACTGAATCCTATGAGCCGCATTCAGGACCTGAACTGGCTCAGATAGGCTGTCAAGGCGAAATGACGTACGCAAAATTGAGTGTTTCTTGACCAAAGCACTCCATGCTTGGTGGAGAGCGTGGAGGAATACTGCGTGGTCCGCTTTCGGATGATCAAACGTCATGCTCATCTTGAGGAAGTTCATAGATGGGCTTGCGACTGTTCCCCTGATCATGCGAGTCTGCATGTCGGTGGCGGGGAAGACTTGCACATCTTCCAGCTCGCCGTTGGGAATTGACAGGGCCTCCCGGAAGCTCGCTCGATCGGTTTCGGTAGCCTCCAAAGAAAATCTCTCCCCTGAGTCGATCTCCGTCCTCTCCAACGCTGATGCTATAGCAGCCACCGTATCTTTGCCGTAAATTGTCGCGACATCCGTGAGGAAGCCGAGCTTTCTGAGTGTAGACACCAGCATCACCGCAGCAAGCGAGTGTCCACCCAAAGCGCGGAACGAGGCATCATCTCCCATACGTGCCTGTACGACTCTCAGCACCGTACAGATAGCATGCCTCACAGCCTCCAGGGGAGTAATCGATTTCCCTTGGTCCCGCACGTGCTGCAGGAAAATGTCCGCGTTTAGGAACTGCGGCAGCTGAGTCTTCTCGTGCAGAACGAGCAGTGCCTTCCGGTCGATCTTGCCGTTTGGAGTCAGTGCGAAGGACTCGATCCCGTGAATGATATCAGGGACTAGGAAGGCCGAGTAGTGCTCGAGCATCCGCTCCCGGAGGCTCTCCGCCGTGCCTGCTGGGGACACAAAGCCGACCAGCGAGCCCTCGGGTGATTTGATTGCGGCGCATTGTTGGACCCTGAGCGATGGCTCGTCCCCGCTCGAGCTCATCATGGCTGGCTCGACCTCGCTCTCTAGGTTTACCAGGAAGCCGCGGTTTTTGACAACCCCGTCCTTCCTCCCACAGAAGACATAGCCATCTTTGGTCCGCTTGGCGTAATCCTTCGTCCGGTAGAAGGTCTCCCCGTTGCGCCGGATAAACATCTTGCGGGTCAGCTCCTCGTCCCCTAGGTAGCCGACTGCGATCCCTGGGCCGCCTAAGATCATCTCGCCCTCGTCGGCTTCGTTGTCGTCTGCATCCACGAGGAGCACCTTGCAGTAGGGAATTGGCCAGCCCATCGTGATGGGCTCGTCAGGACGCATCTCGGCCATGGAGACCACGCAGGTGGCCTCGGTAGGGCCGTAGGCGTTGATGAGCCTTCGGTTTGGGACGCTCCAGTTCTTGATCAGCGACGGTGTCGGCGATTCACCACCCATGATGATCCATTTGACGTTCTTGTAACCTCTCGTTGGGTCCATGGCTGAGAGGATGCTGGGTGTGGTGATCCATATTGTGCAAGTATTTGCAACGTCCGCTAACGTTACAGGGCTCGAAAGGACGAGTGTGGCACCGTTGCAGAGCGTAGACAAGATAACGTATGCACAGGCTTTTACCACAGGATGCGTTAGTCGGCTTTTCATTGGACAACAGCATCAGAGAATGGACTGACCGTCAAATGCAAAAGAAAATATCAGAAGCACCCTGTCCTCCGGTCCGGCACTCAAGTTGAATGGCAGGTGAGGGTTGCGTTCCGTCACAAGCGTCGATATCGACTTCTGTTTTACGATGACCCCTTTTGGCTTCCCTGTGCTTCCGCTCGTGAAGATGAGGTAAGCCCAGTCCTCCTCGACAGAGCCGCTCTGACTCTGCAGATCCGCATTCTGTGGTGTGATGGCGGACGAAGCAGCTTGGCTTGCCAAAAATTTGAAACTGCCTCCATCTGGCCGAATATGCAGTATATGATACTGCTCTGAGGTGGCCGACAGCACATCCGGCTTGGTCGTTATGATTAAGCCGGGGTTTACCCGGTCAAGGGTGCTCTCGATTCTATCTACACCCCAGGTGTCAACATCCATGGGCACATAACAAGCCCGCAGCTTCAAGACGGCGAGGATGGCTATGATCGACCCAGTACACCGGCCTGAAAGTATGGGGACGACCTGCCCGGAGGTGACTCCATGACTTGCTAACTCGATGCTCAGGCTGTCGGATGCCGCATCGAGTTCTCGGTAAGTCAACTGTTGGGAGAGGCCAGGTTCGGTACTGTCTTCCAAGGCAATGGCATCAGGGTTTGCCGAGACATGATCCTGGAACAATTCGACTAGACAATTCATTATGGCAGATACGGATAGGTCGGCCAAGTGCTATTGGAAACAAAAGGCTGTGATGTATCCGAAATGCCAAATTAACAGAGAAACGGGAGTGTGTAAATGAAAGTCGAAGTGCATTCGAAGATTTACAACCGACTATCGAGTGCAAGCTCGCCTATACTTCATATGAAATATCTGACGTATATCATTATTTGAGTCTGTTCTTGATCTACCCGACGAGTGTAGTCAGTCTCACCTGCAATGGCTCTTCCATCACGGCGACTTGGCAACTCAGCCGATGTCCCCGAGCTGAGAGCGCAGGGCCAGATTGCGAACACCCCGAGTAGCCCGCAGCTCTTGGCGTGCGAACTCTATGTATGAATAGAAACCCGCATGTTAATGTCTCAATTCCCGTGAAAGACCCACAAGATGCCTTCACGGTGAATATCGACGGCGGATATCCGCTCGGATCCCTGCACGCCACGCCGCCCACGCGATATTCAGCCGGTGGAGCGAGGTCTTGGATTCCCCATGGGAAAGTTAGTATCATACGATGATCACTGCAGGATGTCGGGTGATAATGCTAGTATTGAGCTCATCGTTTGTGTATATTGTGTTTGTTGAATCGACGAGGCCCAAGGCCTAGCATTCCATTTCTCCCCTCTGAGCAAGCATCAGTTGTCCGGGTCAGCTATGGTACCATCTTTCAGAATCATGTTCAATACCGGAGCGCCGGATGTCAGTATGCAGCTCATAGCAATTGCACTGGCTGTAACGGGTGCTGTGGCGGTCCTGGCATTCAGGACCCATGCCGCTCGCAGGATTCTGGATGTGACCTGCAACGTGAGACAGCATTTTGGTGGCTTATTGGTACGAGATAATTCATTAACAACGGATTAGGTTCTTCTATCTCGCATATATCGCATCCCCAGTCTTGACGATGGGACCAATATCAAAGGCCCTCCTTTCACATTCTGGGACGGGCAAATGACAGAAAAATTTCTGTGCGCAAGGGAGAGATCTTATGAATGGCAGGCGAAATATGGTTCTATTTACAGAATATGGGTTGGCCCCAATCCGGAAGTGTGAGTTCCAATGTGCAACCAGTCACCTGAGTCCGTTGATGTTAACGTCGCTGTGCCGTTGAGAGTTATCACGGAGCCGAAAGACGTCCAGGCCCTATACACCAATGCGTATGACCACGCCAAAGCCTCCGCCGCAAATACCGGATGGCTACTCAGTCAGATCATGGGCCAGGGCGCAGGCCTGATTAACGGGCAGCGCTGGATCAACCTCCGCAAGGAACTGGACCGGCACTTCTCTCACAAGGCTTCTCTTACCATGGTCGGAACTTTGAACGAAAACGCCAAGACTTATGTCCAGAACATGGTACAATACGGCCGTTCTAACGGATCAGAGAAGAGCGGAAGCGAGAAATTCGTGGTCAACGCTGCTCATGCATTGACAAGATACCCTTACTACGAAATCGCGAGCACGTTCTATTCAAACCTGAACCAGCAAGAGATAGATAGACTGTGGGATCTGGGCCAGCTTTTCACCAAGGCCTTCGCCAGGGTTATTGACGGAGGGCTCAACAGGTCGAGACTGACCAAGTGGTTGAACACGGACGATTGGAAGCTTACTAAAACCTACATTGACCAATGGGAGGAGTTCAACGCCTCTGCGTATAAGCGCCGTGTCGATGCTGGTATCAACGACCAGGTTGTGGACCTGTTTCAAGCCGCAGAGGCCGGCAGGGTGGACCGCGAGGAAGTGCTCCAAACTCTTGCCGAGTCTCTGTTCGCAAACCTTGATGTCACGACCCATGTCATGACGTCTTGTGTTATTCTTCTCGCCGATAACACAATGGTCACCGAGGATCTGAGAAGGGAATTCTCCGAGCATGCTGACGATATCGATACATATCTCGGGAAGAAGGACACACTGCTTCACTACTGCCTGCTCGAGTCCCTGCGGCTCCAACCAGTACTGTCTTACTCGTTCCCAGAAAAGCCGCCACGGGAAAAGATACTGGGCGGCTATCGCATCCCGAAAGATGTGAGCAGCATTGATCTCATACATATTCACGTGCTTTGACTGCCATGCTAATTGGTTTCCGATGCAGATGACGTGCGTTGTTGACGCTCACGCAATCAACATTCGCAACCCTTTCTGGGGTTCAGACACCAGGGAGTACCGTCCTAGTCGATTCTTCACTATCCCTCAAACCAAGGTAGGTCGGCCAAGGCAAGGGCAGTTGCTCATGTTGCCACCTGCTAGAATTTGCCCAAGCTAACGCAGATGTCCTTTCCCTCTCAGCTTCGATACAACCTCCAAGCCTTCGGGTACGGCCCCAGGAAATGTTTGGGGAACAACATCAGCGATAAGATGGTCCACGCGCTTGTCTATCAACTGTTCAGTCAGTATGATTTGGTTGTAAGACCGAATATGAAGAAAGAGAATGATTACTATTTCAAGACGGATAAGACAAATTGGCTGGGTCTTTTCGACGTGGAATTGGAAATGAAGAAGAGGGTACTGTAACTATCGATTGTAGCCTAGGCATTTGTGATAAGACTTCAATTCTGCCGAGTGGCCGATAAGAAGAACTGCTGTCGTCCGAAAAGAATGTAAGTATTTCAGACGTTCATGACTGAAAGCAATACAATTTGTGCAAAACGGAGCCTATGGAATCGCCACCGCTACAATTAGCTCAGTCTCGATTGGTGACTTTTCTGAATACCAAGTCATTTGATATCATGTTAATCCGCCTCTCAAAACTCAGCGGTCTTTTATGTATTAATAGTCCTATGTTAGGATACGACGAGAATAAAAATCTGCACTCTACCATGGTAGCAGCTATCACAAGACTTAGTGCTGTATGTAAACAAATACATTATCGATTTACTAGATTAAACAATTTGTTTTTGCAAGACGGTCAGAGCACTCTACAGAACTGTTTACACTTTCGTAGTAGGTTTCCATCCACCTTTCAAGACGCGGGCAGCTCCGTGGAACATGCCGCCTAGAACCATCGAGACCCCTGCAAAGATCATCAGGCCAACAAAGCTATCGCTTTGACTATCCTTGATAGCTCCTTCAATCGGCAGTCCTGTCAAGGCGCCTAAGGCGATGGCCAAGCAGAAGCCCCCGATTTTCAACCCAATCTCATCCATCTTACCCTCGGCCAGGCTGACAACACACGGCGCGCCGAGGCTCACGAAACCGCCGCTGCAGAAGCCATATAACAACGCAAACACAATGATGCCAGGAAAAGATGGCGAGAATTCCAGGGGAAGCCAAAAGGCAAGACAAAGGACGCCACTGAGGAAGGAGACGGTCGTCATGACGTTGAACTGGCCTAGGTGGTCCGAGGCCCAACCAGGAACAATGCGCCCGAATACCGAGCCAGCGTTGGCGATAGCGAGAGTGTACTGAGCCATTTGTGTGCTCATGACATCTTTCTGCGAGGCCATTTCTGGAAGGTAGTTGAGCGGCGCAAAGAGTCCCTGAAGTGCGAGTGTGAGCAATCAACCATCACAGAGAGGTCCAGCAGAAAATGGGCACCGGATGTTACTGGCAGCGAGAAAGAGAGAAGTTGTTACTCACCCACATGGTGAAGAAGCATCCCAAAACGAAGAACAGCCATGGCAAGGACTTAAACGCCCTCAAGCCAGCCGAAGGCACCTGGTTCTGGCCGCTGCCGCGCCTCTTGGGCGGAAAAGGCGATGAGCACAAGACATTGGCGATGACGAGCAGAAGGCCCTGCAAGAGGGCCACCCAGCGCACAGCCGATGCAAAGCCTACCCTATCCACGAGAGTTGGGATGATCAGAGGAAACACCACACCGCCAAGACTCGAGCCGCAAGAGACTATTCCGACCGCCAGCCCACGCTTCGTTGAGAACCACTGCGTCGCGAGAGTCATGGCCGGCAGTGATAGGCCGGATGTCGCAAGACCGAAAGCCACGCCCTGGGCAAGTATGATTTGCCAGTACGTCTTACACAGGCTCAGCATGCAGACTGAGAAGACTGCCATGGCCGAGAAAGGGGCCAGGATCACGCGTGAGCCGTGAGTGTCGATGAGCTTGCCGATGAAAGGCCCGAGAATGAAGAGGAGGAAGATCTGCAGGGTGGTGATCCAGGCCAGACTTGAAGATGACTGGCCTGGGAGTAGGATATCCTTGTAGTATAGTTGGAAGATTCCACACCTGTACTTTGAATCAGCTTGATGACCAAGATCAATTCTCTGTTGTACTCACGCGTTCACATAACCAAAAGAGCAGAATTGAAGGAGGAATGATCCAGTAACACATGCCCAGGCTCTAAGACCGCCATTTGGGGGCTCCAAAGGCGACGGCGAGGCGACCTCTGATCCGCGAGAGCCATCCGAGTCCTTGTCGTTTATTTCGGACTGCCCTGCGAAATAGCCCTCTGGACTCGGCGCACCGCTTCGAACTGAATGAGTCTGGATGGCCATGGTCTGTTGGCTGGACAACAAAATCTTCAATAATTCAATAGCAGAGGAGTGGTAACACCCCTGCGAGCAAGTTATGTAGACGTTGCTGTCTATGTTTCTCCCAATTCCGGCACGCTCGGAGAACAGCTCGGTTTCCGGGGATGGATACCCTTTCTGGGGTCATCCAGCAATACGTATGCACACACACATACACACAAACACCGAAAGGCGCCATCCGGCCAGATTTGCTCTGAAGCTCACGATGTGTCATCGGAGAATATACTCGGCGGGTTTGTAGGCCACAGATCCACACACAGAACCATTCATACAAGTATGCGTCGTGACCCAGGTGGATCGCCCACTTTCCGTTGACCGAAAACGAGGGAAAAATGTGAGTACATGACTACGTTCACTCGTGCTAATTCACGCAATCGCCCTCTGGTCACATGCGGCCATAAATTGTACTCTTGGCTCCTGGCAACGTGGCCGACATGGGTTCCGGTCGCAAATGTTTGAAATTCTCTGTCGCCCAGTCTTTGAGCTACAGTCACTCTACACAACATTGGTTGTAGCGCCATACCTACGTGGATGATAGAGTTCGAAGGGGTCCAGTTGTCCCCACCGGGGCATTCACTGAAGTGACGCGGTTTCTCCACCACGTCTCCCCCACGTGTGCAAGACCGCTTGTTTTCCCAACGTATTATTTGGATGTACCTTTTCTCTGTTCATCTTTATAAAACAATGTGAGTGTTTTTACTCTTAGTGTGAGATGCGAATGCGAAACCCTTTTCAATGTTGAGACTAATGCATTATTCAGAACATGCTTGCTAAAAGTAATTAACTTTTTCGCTTGTGCGCCTAACCTGTTTATTTACCAATTGATACTCCTACAGTGCAGCCCCAAATATCTCATGGTTGATTTCTCTTGGCAATCTAACTCAGGGAACGCAATCAAGCGTAAATTAAATAAAAATAAACTATGTATTGAAATTCCCTATGAGCTCGACAAGTAAAGAACATGCGGTTGATGAATCTGACGATGCCTCCCCACACTCGCAAACCGATGTGGACCGAAGTCGGGGTGGAGCAACCAGAATATACGGGACCAGTCTTGGCCAAATCCTCGGCAGACAGCCTTTGCAGCGGGCAAGCAGATGTTCAGAGAATGTTGGATCGTATTTAGTATACGATAGATGAAAGATAACCATACCGGTATCTGATCTGTTGAAGTTGAGGTGGGTCAATGGCTTCGCTTCCACATCGTGCAGGCCCGTCCTAGGTCCTGGTGCATGTAATTACTGAACCATGAGAACTTTGGTTCTGGCTTCCAAGGAATTTCATCCGAAAAATCAACACAGCATCCTTGCTGTCACTACTCAAACATCACCATCGCCTGTCCACAGGTGTCCACCAAGGCTCCAGTCGACGGGTTTCCCAAATCCCCGGCAGTGAGACACATTAGAATACAGCCGTTCAGGGCTTCTGAACTAGTGAGACCCCAAGATCCATGCCGTAGTGGATTTACCTGCGGATCTGTGATCTGATCCATCACGAATCCACAGTGTATTTATCTGATCGTCGTGCTTCAGCGGCCAGCATTCAGCCCTGGCGCGCAACCACTTGACATGAGTCGAGGCCCTGGAGTATCGATCGGTGAGCATGTGGCACAGGTGATGTTGAGACAATGTGCGACGTCTTCCTGTAAACTATTATATTGCCATGTCGCATGGAGGCGCAGCTAAAAGCCCCGGTTTGCCATCAGCAGAACAACTACACTGAAGATCAACACCATGCCGGAGACATTCTTTGTGGAAACAACACCCCCGTCCTCGACTAGCGAGCGTTGGACCTCCGACGACGGTCCACCAGTTCCAGCTCGACAAGGCAAGGATCGCCCCGGCGTCAAGCTGCGCAGCGCCTGCGACTTCTGTCATGCTGCCAAAGTGAAGTGCTCCGGGGGCTCTGCCTGTGACCGTTGTCGCGCCCAAGATCTGCCCTGTACCTACAGCCTCGCAATGAGGGCGGGCAAGCCAAAGGGCAGTTGTAACCGGAAGACGCTTGACAAACACGCCCGCATCCGCCAGCAGCATGCCGCCAGGCACGCCAGTCTCGACTGGGGCTGGAGTCCTCCAACCACGATGGGTACGGGTGTCAACGAAGCCACGTGGTTTAACGGCGGTTTGCTCGGGATGGGTCTGCAGACGGAGGAGCAGAATACCCCAGGTTTTGACCACTTAAACTATGCGAGTGACGTAAGTAGCTGGCATTGAACCTCGGCAACTTTCACGATCGATGGGTCTCTTGCTAACATGGTGTCGAGCAGCCCCAGCCACAGTGCCTGCTTTCACCAGAAAGTGTGCCAGAGCAGGGCTGCTGCTCAATCCCTGCCCTGACTGAAGAGCCCTTCTTCGAGGCTCATCTCTCCAGTTTGAACGAAGTCAACTTCGAGATGCCCAACGCGGAAGCTGCCAACATCTGCCATAATACTGCCTCGCTGCCTTTCTCTCCGTCAACAACGCCCGAGGCGTCTGTGCCGGTACCGAGTGAGCCAGAGGACCGACAAGCGTGCACTTGTTTCACGGACCAAACAGAGTCACTCAACAGACTCTACTCCTTTCACCGTTCAGTTCAATCACAGGCCAGAGGCAATAGTCTGTCACCACCCGGGAAGCAATGCCGCCTCGACACATGTATACAGCGGATCAACACGGCTCTCACCTCGTCCAAGTCTTTCTTGTCTTGCACACGCTGCTCAAAGGAGTCATGCTCAGTACTCCTCACCGTATCCTCTCTTCAGCTGGTGATGCGGCTGTATGAGTACGTCGTTGCAGAGATACAGTGCACCGGAAGCGCTGTCACTTCAAGAGAAAGTCCGCCTTCGACAGTGGACGGTCTCAGTGGCGACCATTCTCACATGTCATGTCGGTTGGGTGACTACGAAGTCAGTCCGGAGGAATCGGTCGCGATCCGGCGACTAGTCGTGCGGAGAGCTCTCCAGAAAGGCAGGGAGACACTCGCCGCGCTGAAGATGCTGTCGATGGGCGAGGACTGTCGGGGCGACGGCAGCAGTGCCTCGGTATCACCATCGCCAGGGAAGTCATCCGACACGCGGGCAGCGGCGAAGGCCACCGGAACAAAATCACAGAGCCGAGGCTTACTGGAAACAGATCTGACGGCAGCTGACGCCACTTACCTTCAGCAGGTGGTGTGTCGTTGTGATGCAGTGCTGGATGTATTTCTGCGCGCAGTCTCCGTAACATAAATCCTCCATTGGAAGAAATAGAGACTATTGTGTATTATTGGACAACAAATGTCATGTATTATGTTATGTTAAGTAGATAGAGGGAAGAAGACAGTAATGGTTTCCGCACAAGTGCCTGGTCAGGCTGTCAACACAAGGTTCAAGCGAGAGTGGGAGTTCTCGATGTTGTAATGTAATCTGAGTCGCTGCCACCAGGCTGATCATCCTTCTGTTTCTGCGTCTGTTTCAGACTCGGAAGACTCTTCCTCATATTCGACGGCCCCTGGGAGTTTCAATTTGACTGTTGGGCTCTTGAACTCCGAGACCCGAACCTTGTCGGTCTGCGCTAAATCCGCCTCCTTACCCTTGAGCGTCTCGAATAGGTACTTGTCAAATTGGAGGGAAGCTTGCGCGACAATGTCAAAATGCTTGCTTGACATGATGGGGGACTTCCTTCCCTTGGCGTCCTTCTTAGTACTCTTTTCGACGTCAAACTCGGCCAGGGCAAGCGATGTCTGAAATGCGTTCCTGATCTGCCTCCCGTTCCAAGATAGGGTCTCCCAGTTTTCACTTGCAAATTCCAGGATCTCGTCTTCGTCGAACTTTATCTTCTTAAGGCCATGCTTCTGGCGCTTCTCATTGTTCTCTGCGGTGCGTTTCAGATTGGTCCTCCAAATCTTCATTGTCTTGTTCTTGTCCAACTTTGGATAGAACAAGCTTAGATGGATACGGGAGCGGAAGCCAGGATCGAATGCTCCGACGCGGTTGGTTGTCAAGAATAAGATCCCGGGATAGTACTCCAGGATTCGAAGGAACACTGTGCAGAAGATGATGGTCAGACATGAACATAAGCCAGTCCTGAAAAGCTTAAAAACCCACCTGAAACCACACCATTACGTTCAAGGTCAGATTTCTATTAACCAAGTCTCACATCAGTAGATGCACCAATCAAAATTCACACGCAGAACCATTACTTACGCTCCTCTTTTCCAAGAACACATCTGCCTCGTCGAGGAGGAGCACGCAACCCCATTTATGGGCCAAGTTGAAATGTGAGTCCAGGTTCTTCTCAACGTCGGTGGCATTATGCCCAATATCGCCTTGTCAGGTCAACACATTGTCACCGGATAGTATCAGTGGTATTACTCACCACAAGTGATTGGAAAGAGAGGGCGTTGCGTATGTGCAGCAACACATTCTTTTCATAATTATTATCAGCCAACTCGGAATTGCACAATAGCGAGGCCAATTTTCAAATATCACTTACCCGCCGTTGACGTTTTCCCAACTCCGGGCTCCCCATGGAGCAAGATGATCATGCCTTTGCCTACATGAGGTCAGGTATTAGCATAAAAGTAAACTGAGGGTCGCCATGTTTAGAATAGGGTGAGTATGGTACAAATACCTTTCCCTTTGACCAGATCTTGTTCATGGTGCCGTTTGGCCTCCTGAATCGCCGTCCGACTCCCAGATGCGTGCATATGTACCATAGCAAGGACCATCTTCTGGTGGCCCTTGGGTAACACTAGATCATCGAATCCCGAGTTTGCCTGAAAATCCTCGACTTTCGTCAAATCAAGGTCAACTATGGGAATTCATGTCAGCGGGGCGTTGTGAAGCTTTGTGCGTCCTGTCAACTACTTACCCCATCGGCGATTTCGAAGAGCAAAGCCATAGACGACACCAGGAAGGAGTACCAAATGATCATTCTGGCTCATGAGATCCTGAACTGTCTTTTTCGTGTTGGCTGGCAATTCATTCTGCTGATAGAGCTCAATTGTGTCCTTCAGTCGCGACACAACTTGACGAAGTTGGTCCCGCTGGTAACTCAAGTAGAAGTCATTGTGTTTAGCACATATTTCACATCCAGGTCTGCTGCAAATAGCGGGGTCGATAATACTTTCGGGTCGTCGGATCTCTTCTTGATGTTCTTTGTGCCGCTTGATATTAGAGGGGCTACCGAATGTTGGGCGAGGCCTCCTTCCATCTTGAAACGCAAGCACGAAGTCAATGATTACTGGGCTGTTTATCTGTGCCATGGTTAGTAGTGTTGCCAACTAATCTGTGATACACGGTGATGGTATTTACCTCCTCTGGATTTTCTCCAACTGTGAGTGACTCGTACTGCTTGTGATGAAAGAGGGACGAGTGTTCGAGGAACTTGATGCCTCGACTGGTGAAGAAGTCGGCCGTGAGATGTTTATCGAAGCCAATAGGAAAGGCTTCCAGGGATGTCACGTCGACTTCATCCTCGTACGGTTTGATGCAGAACTTCTCTGCGACACAGTCGAACCGAACTCCATCCCAGTCCAGGTAGTAGCACTCAATGAGCAGCGGATTATACAAGTCTTTGGCTCGGGTTGATAGGATCGGAGGAGCACCTTCCGCCTGTTCCTGGGTCACCAGTTTCGGGCGGACATCCAGAGAAGCCCCACCAAGCGTTGCAACAACTCGGTAAGCTTGCGGTGTGTCCCGAGCGTTGATGATATGGGCCTCCTCTTCTTCGTCGACCTCGTTAGCCTTGATCATGCCACTCTTGCGAGATTGGCAACAGATTGTGTCCCCGAAGTCAAAGAGCATCCACAGGTCTTCAAAAGACACTTGTGACCGCTCTCCTTTGCGAAACGCTGCAAATTTATCAAGTTGACTTGCAAGGTACGAATCGATGAAATCCACCAGGATCTTGAAGTGTGCATAGGCCTCTGGCTTGTGGAAGATCTCCTCGGCGCCTTTGTTCGAAGCTGATCCGTTCTCGACGGATTCAACTTCAGGAGCTGCTGGAGTATCGGTACCAGATGTGTCTTCGGATTCTTCAGGCTTGGGTTCAGTGAAATCACCCGCGCTTGTCACACTCGAACTTCTTTCGGCTCCAGTCTGTGCAATCACTCTGGTCAAGCGTCAGTGCCTGGGGTAGCCGAAGTGGGACCTGTTCAACTCACGTCTGTTTCGCCTCTAGTGCTTGGAGCTGCTCCTTGAAGCTGTCGGCATGGCGGATCAACAGCTTGAAGGGACGTGACATCTCCATCGCCTCGGAATCAGGAAAGGCAAGGTTGGTCTTCGCCTGTATGAATCGGGCAATGTATTCCGATCGCAGCGTGACCAAATTGATTCGGACCGCGTCTGGGCTTAGCTCAAGCTCGCCTTTTGGACCGCAACCCACATTCTCCTTCCCTGGCAGCGGTACGTACGCGATCTTGAGGAGTGACTGAGGTCCCGAATTGGATTCGTAAAGAGCTCGTGACATTTCAAGGTCATGTCGGTAGAATCGAGGTTCAACACTTGGTTGGTTCGATTTCGGCTCGATGCTCGATTTCGGCTCGATGCTCGATTTTGGCTGGATGGTCGTCTCGGCATCCTCATAATAGTCGGGGGCAGTCTCCTCAGTTGGTGAGCTTGGGTTTGGGCTTGTGGATTCCGGCGGCTCATTCGCCTCCAACTTTTCAACCCGAGATTCTAAAGCCTGGAGATAGTCGATAAGGCTTTTCACAAGCTTTGGTGCTTTCTTCTTGCGATGCTCTGGACCAGGCTTGTCCTCCTGGAGCTTTTTGGAGTAAACTTCATACAAGCTCGTAGTATTTAGGTAACTCGCCTTTGTCATATTCCTGTCGCGATAGTAGTCGTCCTCCGACTCAGAGCTCGACCCGTCTTCACTTTCATCACTTTCATCTTCCCTTGTCATAGTAGAGCATCCGATGGATTTGAGACGCAAGTCTTGTTTCGTGACTTCCGTTTCAACAGCCTCCTTCTCTTCAGTGTTGTCTTTATTACTGTCCTGTGTGCCCGAGTCATTTCCAACCGCTGTTGTTTGAGCAGTAAGTAATAATGGGCCGAGAGATACTGATGAGTCCCTCGAGGCATGGACATCTGTTGGTTCACCATTCTTGGAGTGCGTTTCGCTGGATGCATCAATGTCGACCTCGTCAACAGCTGGGTCAGAGGACACGGTTGTTAATCATTTATCCCGAGGTCATCCATTGGGGGGGGGGAGTGAATCTGGGTTTGCGGAGTATAGGCTTACCTGGCGCAGAGTCTTGGTCGGCCATGACTGTGCTGTAGGCTACTCCAATAGATTTGTCTTGTTGGTATGTCTGAGCTCAAATTACCAGCTTGGTCACTTGTTGCGATCGATACGGCAAGATGCTTTGAGAGACTTGGACTTGTTGATTGAACACAGTTCGATGTGGGACAAGTGTAGTTTAACGCTCAGCTAAGATCAAGTCGTTGAAAGCTTTCTGAGTTCGGCAGGGGACAGACTTAGCTTCGAAAAACCTATCAGTACAACTTTCAAACCCCAAAGCGTGGCTGTAAAGATATATTACTTTCTCGGAAAGCGATGGATTGCAAACACACCGCATGCGTGTTTCACACACTAGGGTTTTCAGCTTGTGATCTTACTGATAGCCTGCATCTTTTCATTGGCATTTTCATGCTGGGGTGGTGTTGCAGCGGAGAGTCGGAAGGCAGCTCACCACGTTGTGTGACCCCCTGAACTTATCGGTGAACAACCACAGCCACTATGCACACTATGCACGGTCCTTTTTCACACCACAGATTTCGGCCCATCATTAATCAGACCATCTGAATCCTTGGCAGGTGCCTAAATGACAGGTGCCTACATGCGTGATGGTGTAAAGATGGTGACTCGAACAGCAGGCTATCATGTTGTGTAACCCCATCAGTAAGCGGCTACAGCACTAGAGACAGTCCTGCTGGACGCCATGCATTTCAGCCCAATCTACGCGCCCAAATTCCTTATCGCATGAGTGCCTCGACTTCCGGAGGTGCAAAAGCGACCACTTGAATGTCTGTGTTGTAGACTTCCATCACACCCTCTTCCAAAGTCAGTGTGCCTTTCGAAGCCCAAGACCATACTGGCCATTTTTGGACTCCATTCACTGGAGCTTTGCTCTTTCTGGACAACGTTGGATGGATACTTCTGGTTTCCCATTTTCATTACAATCGCAGGTCTTACTCTTCTTCACAGGACCCAATAAAGTATCCAGCTATGATGACCGGCAATCCAGCAGAACAAATGCCTTTGACGGCAAGATGGGTGAATGAAAGAGGGCTAGAGCTCCTTGGTACTTCAAAGGACTCGATTGAAGGTCCGGAGTACGATGAGGCTGCGTGTTCCTTCAAGCGCCGTGGCACAATCACGAAGCAAGTCCTGCGTTTCCAGTGCCCAACACAAATTTGCAGCGTACTGATGGCATTCGTTCATAGAACTCCTAACTTCCAGATCTCGATACAGAGATTACCCAAAGTCAAAGAAACATTAGGCCGATTGCATGAATTGCTAAGGAGGGAGAAATTAGACAGCAAGTTCAACATCACTCTGAAAGATCCATCGGCAGAATACACGCCGAATGATATTGAAACAGTCCTCAACCTTGCCGAAAAGATCCAAAGGAGGGATGCAAGCATAGGCCAAGAAAATGGTTGGCTCCCCCGGCTTCGAAGATTTGCCCGACGTTTCGGCCAACACGCAGGGACTATGAAGTCTCTGGTGGATTATATTCCAGACAGCGAGTACACATTCGTGGTGCGTGGATGTTTGAGTGCAATCTTGACGGTATGTTATAATATACTACCCCAGATTCACAGTTCATGCATTCTAAATCCGGCATAAGACCGCTATAAGTCTGGACACTGTCCGCAATGATCTTTACGAGGCACTGGCAGAGATACCAGACAAGATGGACCGTCTGTGCTGCTATACAGGCAGAGTCCACCCTGAGCACAATTCACTCTGGGAGTACGCGGATTTGGTGTATTCTGGGATACTTGACGTCCTGGAATGTGTCATCAAAGATCTTCTGGAAAAGTCCTTAAGTGAGCTTCCCCATACCGCAAAGTGCTGGGTCACACATTCTAATTCTCCTGAAGAGAAATTTATGAAGGCAGTTGTGAGGGGATCAGCCTATCCAAAGAAGATTCAAGAAGTGATCAACAGCATGGAGAAACAGATGATCAGATTCAAGGACAAGGTCTACGATCTCAATTCATTGAGACAGACAGATACTTACCAACTCTCGGTCTCTTCCAATGCAGGAATCAACGAATTAACTTCGTTGACCCGCAGACTAATAGGAGGATTGGTCGAGGCGCAAAGAGATTCGAAAAGGACCAACCAAGAGATACTATCAGGTACGGAACGTCCAGCTGCTCCTCTTCTGATGCTGAAGTACTTTACCATTTAGACCGACTAACAGAACAAAGAGCTTTCCAAATTACAAAGCACTGCTGGTCTGAAACCAGATACAGTCCTTCGTGGCCCAATCGACATCTCAAAACCGGAACCGATGTTATTGCTCGACAGACAATTCATGGATTTGCGAGCTGGTTAGTATTTTTTACTTTCTTACGATTTATTGCCATACAATTTGGCAGCATTCGCTTTAGCGATACTTCCAGTCGATACCATACTCGTAGAGCAAAGCAATAACTAGCCATGATTTCACGTCTAACTAGCTGACTGGGAATCTGTATAGCGATTGAGGCGATGGGCGCCAGAAACGATGACTCCAAAGGGTCACGCAAAGACTCAGACCGTTCAAGGTGCTTGAACATGGTGAATGATCTCCAGAATTCATACCGCGAAGCTGTGACACAAGAACGTGGTGTTGATGCCTACAACAAATTTGTGGAGCATTTCTCTTCCAGCCCCTGCTTTGACTCCCGTCGGGGAACGGGTAAGTCATACTTAGACTGGGATTCTCTTTCATGTTATTGGCTTCATCCTGCTAATTGCTCTCGAATAGTGAACGAAGGAGAGATCGTGAGGCTAATGCAACTACGTCTCAATGCCCAAGAGCGTGCGGCATTTCCTAACTCGCCAGAGAGTCAGACCGACTTGGGGCACGAATCCCTTTCCCTAGCTGAACTGGTCAAAGTTTGGGTCGATGAGTTACATCGTCCTCGAGAAACTACTTTAGGAGATATTAGCGAGTGCCTGCATAGGATCGCTGATGCGACCCCGGAGGAGGAGGACCAGGCTAGGTGGGCCCTCTCTTCTACCGAAATTCGGCTCTGGTTGACTGCCAGCAAGTTCCATGTGCTGTGCATCAGTCCTGAGACAAGCACGGATAGCGTGTTTTCGCCGATCTCCTATACAGTCGCTATGCTCGCCGAGAGCCTGTTCCGATCGAAAACAGCCCCGGTGGCTGCGTACTTTTGTGGTTTGCGACGCTGGGAAGATGGAGCCACTTCTGGCAACGGTGCCTTGAACATGTTGTCCAGCCTTGCGGGTCAGCTAATACAGGAGATTGGGGACAAGGTCCCTGATTTCAACACTGCTTGTCTCCAGGGGAGAGATCGCGATGTTTCGCTTGGAAAGATCGACGAGCTACTTTCATTGCTCCGAGACATCTTCAATTCGATGCCCCCTGGCAGTGATGTATTTGTGCTCATCGACTCCTTTTGTCGCCTAGAGATGATCGACAAGCCGGGCTCATCTGCAGCTATTGGTGGTCTTCTGGATATATGGAGGTCTTGCAAAGCCACCGTCAAGTTGGTCCTAACGGACGTCGTATTTTACAACATCCCCGACTCCGTCCAACGCGACAGTGAAATGCTTTACGTTCCCGATGATGTCGATGGCGGGAGGTATGGTTTTAATACTGAGCAAGCGGGAGAAGTGGCTGACCGTCTGGTTATCGAGACTCAAGGTACTATTGACTAAGAAGATGCGGTACTTGGTTCACTGTTGCATGATCTCAGTTTGGGGGTAGGACAAGGACAAGTTCGTTGAAGATGATGATTTCTGTTTGCCTAATGGGTTCAAAAGGCCGGAGGCAATTTTTTCCACTGTTTCAAACAAGTCTTTCGAGCTTCGATGAATGCAGAGTAAGCAAGAAGTGATACTGGTCACAAGATTTGTTCTATTGCTGTCTTGTCCTCATGAAAATTCATTCCCATTGCAAGTGCCACAATCATCAAACAAAGTAGCATCGGCTGTAAGGAAGCTCCCATCCCTGCCAAATCAATATCTTTCTTCCATCACACGTCCCTTTTCAATCGCCTCTTGTGCTTCTTCGAGAATTTATCGGCATCTCGGAAGCACCAATGGGGTACTATCCTGTTGTGTTGATTCTCATGACAGGAGAGGCTGTCTCTCAGTATCATCACTGTTCTCAGCAGCCTCAGCCTGCAAGAACTTGATGAACTTGTAGAAGATAGCGGCAAGTGTAGCACCCAAAAAGGGGCCAACCCAGTAAATCCAGTGCGCCGCGCCAAAGTCGAGCGTGATCAGGTCAGGGCCGAAGGTCCTCGCCGGGTTGAGAGAACCACCAGTGTAGTAGATACCAGGCAGCCTGCCATTACATAGTCAGCATGCATGTTCAAAACAGTGTATAATTTTAAAACTGGGGGAACTGGTACTCACTCAGCCACAAAGAGAGCAAACCCAATGACGAGGGCAGCCAGAGCGTTGCCCTCATGCTTCTCAACAGCCATGAAGTAGATTGCGAGCATCAACTCAAGGGTGAGGAAAGTCTCGATCAGCAGACCCTGGGCGACAGACGCGCCATGGCCGAGCTTTGTCTGGACGACGTAGGTGCCGGGGAAGATGCCCTTGACGACGGCCGAGGCCAAAACACCTCCGAGGATCTGGCCACCGGTCAAGAAAATGCCCTTGATCCAAGTCACCTTTCCAACGAGGATCATTCCAAGAGTGACCTAGTTTTTATTATGTTAGCTACTGATCCGGTGCATCGCAGAGATGTGACAGGCGCCAGTCGAAGACTTACAGCCGGGTTGAACAGTCCTCCGCTGACCCTAGCGAATATGGAGACATTGACGGCCAGGGAGAAACCAAACGCCAAACTGATGTACAGAAGCTGCGTGAGGTTGATATCGCCAGGGTGGATGTCATCTCCGGCGTGGGAGGTATCGGAGTTGGCGACCTGGGCTGCGGACAGGGCCATCAGCAGGAACAAGAATGTTCCCACAGCCTCTCCAGAGATCTCAACGGCATGGAGCCGAAGGTGTTTAACGAAGTTGTTAGGTGCCATGATGAGGGATAGGTCTGAGAATTGTTGTTGCTTAGGTTGGGGATAGTAGATGTGATGGTTGAGAATTGTCGCGGTGCATCCGCAGGAGGGATGAGCTTATATACACACAACTCTCGCAACTTTTCCGAGGTTGTCGATCTGACAGAGAGTCGTGACTTCTGAGTTGTAGGGTTGTTGTAAGTTCTACAAGTTTTTGGATCATGCCTTGTACTGACTGGCCCACTTGAGCAATCAGGAGCAAAGAGCGGCATGAATTCATCTCGACAAAGGTACAACATCGTCAACATTCAGCGGTCAACGGTCAAGCGATGCCAGGGCCAACCATTGCATTGCTCGCCGACAAGCAGTGGCATGTGAGTGAGCAATGCACATCTTACCCAGATACAACAAAAGCCACACGGCCTTGCAAACCCCATCGATGCCCGACGTCTTTTGATGAGGCGGTCTTGTGGGTCGATATCTGTACAGCTCATTCGGTCTTGGCATCAGATACCACGGTAACCCTTGTAAGGGCCCGGCATTTCAGGGCGAGATCGCCATCTCAACCACTCAGAGTGTAGAGCTTCACCCATTCGACTTTTTTCTGTATGGTTCAGCTTTTGATGCGAACTGTCCGGGTAGTTGGTTCTACAAGGGCCAGGCCATTTCGACAGCCTCGACACATGTTGCATTGAGAATTTCGAGTTTGAACTTTGCTCGCTGTTTACCCAAGCACACACAGCCACAGTGACGCGTGACGCGGCCCAGTGAGTCAGTTGGCCCGTACCAGCAGACGACGCGACCGGACTAGAAGTCTGCCAAATGAATTGATTGGTTACCAAACTATAAAGTACTGGTAGATCGGCAAGCTACCACCTGAAAAGAAGAGCCCGATGTGACAAGTCTCCGGCTAGAGCGGCCTGCCAATTGCCAGTCCCATACGGCATTCGATCTCAATGCTGGGCTCTTGGAACAGAATGCCTGCCTACGTTGAAAGAATGAGAGTCACGGTATGTTGGCGGGTAATTCCAAACAAGCCCCATCAGCACTTGAGTAGTAGGGGTCGCCTTTTTAAGACAACAGGGACCACGTCTTCGAAGATGATCACTCCTATATAACGACGACTCCACGACAGTTTTCAAGAACAGGGCACCGGTAGTATAAATCTAGCTCGACAGCCCTCGCGCGGTATCCTTCCGTCCGAAATTTGGGCAGTTCTATCTCATTCACCAACAAGACCATGTCCATCCCCAGCATGTAACCAGAATTCTGTAGCTCGGCACTCCAAGTTTCCCAAGAGGTGACGGTGAGGCCTGAACGAGGACGCGGGGGCACGGACGGTGCAGCGCAAGTTGCAGCTGCCCGGCGCTCGGGCAGGGGAACACAGAACGGCGACTGTCTTGGATTAGAGATTGAGGTTGTACACCGAAGTGTCCACCTTGTGCTGCCGTGTCACTCGAGCGATTGCGGGGAAACTCCTTACACTCTCTTCGCGAATGCCATGGCTCTTGTGTCATATTCATACAAATGTACCAGCTGGCAGCCTCCAGGACCACTACCACCATCCATTCCATCGCAGATGATACAATCCACAAGAGTTCTTGTCACTCATGCTTACAAAGTGAGTATGGTCCATCTAAATCTGACTTACCCCTTGGCGAACCCACCTCGCCAGGACAGGAACGCCTTGGCTATGGCTTGGCTGCGGAGAGGAAGCTGCCAGACTATCTTGTGAAGATTTGGTCATGAAGGAATAATGTCTTGATCCCATGGTGAATCTATGTACCCTAAATACCAACGCGTGTGTGCCTACGTTGGTAGAAAATAGCAGGCCAGTGTGTAGGTGAACTTCGTGAGGTCTCAAGAAAATTCAAGCGAAACGCGTCAAGACTTGCAATGCAATTTGATTCTGAAATGGTAATTGTGGGCGCACCAGGATGTAGCTACTGGAGTATTTGATAATACTTCCGTTACCACTTGTTGCCTTACTAGTCTCTTTCTTCCCACCGTTTGCGCTAAGCCAGATCTGTATCGCCGAGTACTCCTTACTGGGCGAGCGGTAGTTTCTTCCTGAACATCACTGAATGTATCATTGCAGCAGATCCCCAATATGAAGTCGGGGATGCGCACGTAGGCACCGATGCTGGTGGGATGCTCCCAGGGGAGATCCTGTTCATAGTATAAATTTCTTTGGGACTGAAAAAAGCACAATGAGGTGCATTTGTCTTTGGTCAAAGGTACTCTGCTTGTATTCGTAAGCGATGGGCGCAATGCAGATCTTGCCCGCATTAGTTCACTTGGAAATTCACTAGGCCAGTACACCCATCCACTCATATACTTTGTCATCGACTTTTCATGACAGCGACTGTCAACCACACCAGGGGCGTATTCCCCAAGAACAGTGACTGCCGGCGGAGATATGCGGGTGACGTCTGGGTGAGGTTTCCGCAGGACCGCCACCATTGGCCGTCATTCGAACGTCATGGAGTCTTCAAGATGAGAAGAATATTGGATAAAACCACCTTTATAATGCCAGTCCTCGGCGATGTTCTGGTTTGATGATTGTAGTCGGAGGGTTTGTATCATTCTAAACATGTCAGACGCTCAAAATACCAGCGAGAAACTACGACAACATCAGGTGGTTCCTGATGTACTGCCGATAGGCCTGGACATTTCATCCAGTCTGACAATCAAATGGCCCAACACTGTCCTGGACGCTCCTGGGAAGGAGTTAGATCGCGAAGAGACTCAACCCCAGCCGAAGCTTTACTTGGACCCCTCAGTAAGTGATCCACGCCTAGATGGGATAGTGCAGTGAGTATGATAGCAGTGGATTGATCGCGATATTACAGCCTTCCGACAACCATAATGACTATGTGCTCATCATGACTGATCCGGTAAATACAAACCGCTCAGGACCAAGTGGTCTTACATCTGACATAAGGAATAGGACCTCATGGCCGAAAATGATGCCAACTTCGGTCAAGTCCGGCATTGGCTGGCCACAGGCATTTCCATAAGAGACGGCGGCGAGCTGGTAATCCCCAGCGAGGGCATCATATCGCCTTATGTAGGACCAGCCCCGCTGCCGAATTACATCACCCCTCGACCACATCGGTACACCTTCATCCTTGCCCGCGGGTCAGGGAAGGTGGAAATCACCCCGGCCGACCTTCGGGAGCTACAGAAGCCTTACCCTATGGCTATGTCGGGCAAACAGCACCCAGATGTCCAAGATCTGAAGGACCGCTGGGGCTTCAACGCGCACCAGCTTATCAAGGACAAAGGCCTCCAAGTTGAGGCTGCTACCTATATGAGGGTGGGAGGAACCTTGAAGAGCGCCGCGGCCAACATTGCGTTGACGGGTCAAGCGGTGGTAAATAAAGTAAGTGCTGCTGCGAAATAACCCCCAGGTCAGGATATCAGTCGCTGAAGACGTTTCGGCTAGGTCACGGAGAGATTGTAGCAATACTGCAAAGTCATTATTAAGAAAGGAAGGATGCGGTCACAAGCAGGAGGTTGCTCTAGTCTTACAGTCATCGAATATTCTCTCTCGGTGGTCTCCTCGAACAAGTTCTAATTTCATAATTGTTTTTCCAAGGTTTGTGGTCTTCTTCTGAAGGGGACCAGGTCCCACGTAGGTCACCGAATCTAAATGCGCTCTCCCTTCTCATTGAACCTCTGCACCTCTCCGGTCAGCAGCGCGTCCTGCAAAGCCCGCCCAATCTCCATGACCTTGACCCCCTTCTCAATGGGTAGCGGCACGGGCTTGTCCTTCAACACGGCCTCGGTAAACTCGTTAGCCTCCAGCGCAAAAGCATCCTCGAACCGCTGCCAGTACTCAGGCTGCACCTCGTTGCGGATGCCCAGCTTGTCCGCCAGCAACACGTTGTTCGCCCGCGGGACCACGTTCACCGACACCTTGCCCTCGGTGCCCGTGATCTCGGTGCACACGTCATGGCCGTGCGCCTGCGTGCGCGAGCAGTAGAAGTAGGCGATCTTGCCGCCCCAGAACTCGACCACGCCGACGCCGTTGTCCACGTCGTTCATCTCCCTCAGCTCCGGGTGGTGCTGCAGCGTCCCCGTCGCCCAGCAGGCCTTGGGGACCGGGTCCGAGAGGTACCACAGCGAGAGGTCGATGTCGTGGATGGCGCAGTCGACGAAGATGGCGCCGTTGCGCGGGGCGTAGCGCACGAAGAAGCCCGTGTGGTCGAGCAGGTCGCACGTGTTGGACCGCACGATGAAGGGGCTGCCGATTGCTTTGTTCTCGAAGATCTTGGCTGCGGCGTCGCGGTACGAGGCGTCGAAGCGCCGCGAGAAGCCGGCCATCACCTTGAGATGGGGGTTGGCTTTGGCCGCGTTGACGACTTCGGCGATCTGTGGCGGCATCTCTGTTAGATCTGGTCTTTCAATTTTGACTTTATGCCTCTCTTCAACAAGCCAGCTTGCGTGTTCAAAAGGTCGGGCGTGTTTGACATACCTCGTCCATCTTCGTACTCAGAGGCTTCTCGCATAAGACGTGCAAACCCTTCTTGATGGCGCCCATCGTCTGGCTCGCGTGGACGTCGGTGCTGGTAGAGATCCAAACAGCTTGTAGACCTGGGTGTGAGAGCATCTTCTCATAAGAATCGTAGATGGTGACGTTGAACTCCTTGTACTCCTCGAAGGCACGGGCCCATTCTAGCTCATGAGCTTCCGTGCTGCAGACCGCGACGACTGAGGCGCGCGGCACACGGTAGATGAGGTTTTGAACATGACGGCGGCCCTGTCCGGTGTCAACCAATTGCACTTCTTCAAATGCGTGTGCAATTAAATATGATCGTGGGCAACACTGACCATGCGACCGAGACCAGCGACGGCGATTCGGAGAGGTTCCATTGTTGCTGCTGCTGCTTTTGCCCCTTTCTTGCTTCTTGCTTGATGCGATATGTACCTCGGTAGGGTCTGAGGTGGCTTCTGAATCTGAAGGGCTCTTGAGTACTATAGTGTTCTTGGTCGAGACCACGGCCTCTTGATATAACAACCTCGCCGCCACTCACGGACGACACTCAACCTGAGTGCTCTCCATTCCTGATCAGCTGCCTCGGAGATATCTTGGGGTTTTCCTGTCCTCGTGAAGCAGTCATGACACAGCTAGCAGTGGTTTCTTTCATGTTCCCTTTTCGTCCCAGGCGTGTTGTCCGAGCAAGAAGGAAAAAGATTCCGCAGCCAAGGAAAGAGAATCCGAGTGATAGGGAAGTATCTCCGTAAAAAAGGACCAAAATCCCGAACGATCGGCAAGATACTCCGCCAAGTCCAACCCCAATACCAGCTGGCTGGTTTTGCGGGGTAGCTCGGTGGAGTTCTCCCCGGCCATCGCTCGGTGACCTGGAGTGCGCTATGCCGGACAAGCAAAGTAGCCCGTGAAACGTCTCACCAATACTACAGCAAGATGCGATCTTTAGGAATTCCTTACCCATTTTTCCAATCGAAATAATGCGATTGACTGAAGCCAGACAAAATGGAAATACAAACAAAGGGTGTTTAGAGTGTGGCCTCATAAGGTTAGAATGAGAGACTCTACACTGGGCTATACACTTTGGATCCTGCCTTGCTGCCTTTCAGTTGCATTGTTTTCTTGAACATGGAGATTCGCACCTACAAAAACGGAGGGTACACTGGTACATCATCAACTCACACCATAGCCACAGCTAATCAGAGCACATCACCCAGGCCTAATTCACACACCCACATCCAACACCAATACACCCAGCACCCAATACCTACACGCCTAATTCACATACCTAACCTGTGTGAATTGAGTGCGTAAATTGCGTATGGATGTTGGATGTGGGTGCTAGGTGTGCGATTTCTTACATAGTTTAGTGCTGGTGATGCACCGGTGTACCCTCCGGTGTTGCAGGTGCGAATTTCCGTATAGGTTTTATTTTGGATCTCCGTCACAGCAACAATCGTGTACATAGCGAGAGCCTCAGGGTCAGGGGGAGGGGGGGAAGGGAGCTGGTTTTCTCACCAACGTGCTCAAGCACTCCATTATTGGCAATACTTGCTGCCTTACGGCGCAATGCTCCTCAGCTGACCTGAAGGTGGCAGCCTGATTATGGATTATGGCCACCGACAGCATCTTCCCCGCCTTTGGGGAGCCCGCAGCGCTGCACAACAACATTGAGCCTCAGGACCGACTGAGTTCAGAATTGAGCGAACCATGGCGGCATCCGCATCCTCACCTAATCAAAATCTGACTGGCAGCCTCTGGGACAAGGCCTACAACAGGCTAGATAAGACCCTCAGGTCAAGCCTGGGCCAGGCAACGACACACAAGCGCGACGTCTTGGCAGCCGTTCTGAGGGCTGCTGAAGATAAGAGGGACAAGAGTCTCCAGGGGCGCTGGAAAGTCAAGTTGCCGAATCGTGAGATAGTCATCGTGCGCGATGTCCTCGAGAAGATCACCAGATGGGTTGTCCGTTTCAAGGAGGTTGGCGATATTGCCGTTCAGTACGACCCAACCCACGCTTCACTGCCGTGGGCGGCTGTGCGTTTCTTGCTGCAGGTCACAGTCAATGATATCCAGCAATACGGGGCCATGCTAGTGGACATCGAGGTCATTTCGAGGCTGATCACTCGCTACAAGGAGTTTGAACTTCTGCACCTGCCAAGAAATGCTCCGGTGCCGCCACCTCTGGACGATGCCCTTACGAGTCTTTATACGGAAGTTCTGATATACTTGGCCCGGGCCATAGACGTCTTGTCGGAGAGAACCTTGCGTACGTGTGAAATCATATTGATGGATTAATGCCAGACTAACGATCAAAGTGCGGCTGGCGAAAGCTCCTTTCAGGCTAGGCGACGAGGAGCGGATGCAGCGCATCTTGAAGCGGGAGGATGAGGTTTGGAAGCTTGCCAAACTCAACGACACTGAGAAGTTGCGTTCCGTGGAAGTATCGCTCGTGCGACTGATAGATCAGGCGAGCATCAGCAGCCAGATGCTGGATGATGAACGCCATGGACAGATGGTCAGGTGGTTGTCCACATCACCGAACTCTGTTCACCATGAAGCAATCATCGACACTCGCGCACCAACTTTTGGCCGGTGGCTTCTGCAACATGAAGCTTACAAGGAATGGTGGCAATCCAGCTCGCCATCAGTATTTCTTCTTACTGGGATTCCTGGCTCGGGCAAGACACATTTGTGTTCGGCGGTGGTCGATGAGCTTCTGAAGGCGGCCGCCTCGCAAGCCTTATCTGCTCCATGGGCCTATTTCTACTGCTTGAAGACGGACTCGGAGCCAGGACGGTCGTCCGTAGATGAAATACTGCGAAACGTACTCCGACAACTCGCAATCACCGATGCAAGTACCCAGCCGAGAGTTCGATGCTTGCTTGACGTCGAATTTGAACAGCGATCGAAGTCAGCTCGCCTCAGCGGCTTGGATCTCGCGAGGCTCAAGACAAAAGAATGTGTGGATCTCATCATTGAGATTGTTAACGATGACCCCATCACCATCGTTCTGGATGCCATCGATCAAATTCGGGATGCTCAGCGATTTGTTCTGTTCGATGCGATGAATCGAATCCTGGGCGAAGCGGCTAATGTTGTCAAGATCTTCTTGACGAGCAGGAATGATACCGAGGTCGTATCGTCTTTTCCTACCGCCAAGACGGTGAGCACAAACAGTGCCAACGTGCGTGGGGATATGCAACAATTCATCCATCTAGAGCTTGACAACGCGAAGCTACTGAATGGATGCGCATCGTCTGAGGTTCGGACGGCCTTGGCCGACGAAATATTGGCTGGTGCTGGCGAGATGTAAGAACTGCCTGAAACGTTGCTCTGAAATGCGTGGGGGTTATGAAGATCTGACTTGAATCAAGGTTCCTTTGGGCTCACCGCCAAATTCAGCAGCTGAGGATGCGCAAGATCAAGCAGGAAGAGGACCTACTACCAGCCTTGAAAACCAACATTCTGGCCGATTTGGACCAGCTCTATGAGGAGACCTTGCAACAAGTCTTAAGCGGAGGAGATACGGCTCGCTCCTTTGTCATCCATATTTTCTCATGGCTTTTATACATGAAGTCGCCCCTGACACTGTCGACACTGATTGATGCCATGTCTGTTTCGAAAGTCAGTTCTGCTATTATTAACACGATACAAGTGTCGGACATGTGCGCCCACTTGGTGGTGGCGGATACAAGACAAGATGCTGTACGCTTTGCGCACCAGTCGATAAAGGAATACCTTCTCCGCGCCAAGCAGGATCTTTTCTCCCCCTGCATATCACACGCTCTTCTAGCCTCAACCTGTATCGAGGTTTGCTCGCGCGGTCCCCCTCATGGTCAACCACTGGAAGTACAAATCCTCAGCATCTACGTCTACGCCGCGATGTATTGGGCTCCGCACTTCAAAGGTGCGGAAGTGCTCGAGGGGAACAGTGACCTCTTCATGCGCATGCTATCATTTGTTGTCGACGAGGATGACATGATGCCCAGCCTCTCCTTTGAAACCTGGATGGATACAGCTGCAGAGTTGGCATCGCTGCTACCAAATCATCACCCCATGAAGCCAGCACTCGACGCCATACCCAACGAACAGTCGTCTCCAGTCTTTTTGGCTGCCGTTTTTGGAGTTGACGGGCTGCTGAAACTCCTTGTCGAGTCAGGTATCGAGATGGATTGGAACCAGCGCAACAAAAGAGGCACTACGGCTGTCTATCTTGCAGCAGCTTTCGGGAACGCTTCTACGGTATCCTTTCTCATCAACCAGGGTGCGGAGGTTAATGTGGAGTGCGGGAGACACGGCAGCCCTCTGCATGCTGCCTGCTACGGAGGCCACGAAGAAGCGGTGAAACGGCTTCTTAGCCACAATGCCTCTGTCACATGCGGGAAAAGATTTGAAAATGCCTTTGACGCCTGTACTCATGGGGACCATGAGGAGATCGCCATTGTTCTCGTTCAAAGCGGTACAATCAAGACTCAGGAAGATTACGAGCACGCGCTTCAGGCAGCTACTGAGTTTGGCTTCATCAGCCTCCTAGCTGAGCTTCAAAAGCCGAGCTTTAAATCGTTCCGGCAGAATGATATGATCGATAGGCAGAAGGCGAGGATGACAAGGGCAATCAAGGGCGGACAGCTAGGTGTCCTTCGCAAGGTTCTCAGCCGCGCATCGGACCCTTCGACACTGGTTGAAGCCGACGCTGTCGCGACCGCGGCATCATGTGGCCACAATGATATCATCCGCTTCCTACTTGGTATAGGCATGGATATCGAGGCGAAAGGGGAGTTTGGCACGCCCTTGCGCTCGGCATGCTTAATGGGTCGGAAGTCTACCGTTCAGCTCCTCATGGAGCAAGGAGCCGGAGTCAACTCAAGCTCATCAGAAAATGACACTCTTCATGCTGCGGCTGGCAAGGGACATGCGGCGATTGTGAAAATGCTAGTTCAGGGAGGAGCATATGTCAACCGGTATGGAGGCACGTTTGGCACTGCGATTCAAGCCGCAGCGTACAATGGACAAAGAGGTTGTTAAGATCTTGTTGGATGCTGGTGCTGATGTTCATTCTGGATACTATTGCGATGTCTTTCACGCTGCAGTCGAAGGAGGACACCAGGATGTTGTGTCGTTCCTGCTGAAGAAAGGGTATGACTTCACTGATCCAATATCAAGTGGAGTGTACGCTGGAGCATCGAGGGCGGGACCACGGTTGCCGACCGAGAAATTATTCAACAAGGCTCCGAAGCAGACTCTCCCTTTGCAAACCACAACGTTCTGGTCCTTACACGGAACCAAGGTCTCCGGAGAGCGACAATCCTCCCCTTGAGCCCAGTGAGGCAGCGGGTCGGACATCCGCGGTCCAGCTGCTTCTAGATCACAGAATGCATCTGAAGATAGGAGAGAATGATTTTATGCGTATGTTGAGAGCAGCTGCAGCTCACGGCCACGTGGAAGTACTGAAAACATTGGTGGAATGGCTCATACGGCGAGGCCCAATCGAGAGATATCTTCCGCTGATATTCGAAAGCGCTGGAGATGGCAAAAGCCACGATTCGATGGAGTTTGCTTTGAGTACGGCATCTGAGAATGGAATCACGACCGAGGATATCAACAAGATGGTGTTCAGTTGGCCTCCCACCCCGGAGAAATACAACATCTGCGTCGTTGACAAGGAACAACTCAAACGTGACCTCATGGGGGCCTGCGCGTCCGGAGACAAAGATGGCGTGTCTTCTGTCCTCGCGTGTAGGTACCGAGCACTGTTGGACCATTCAGACTTTGCAAAGGCGATCGAGATTGCTTCAGAAGCCGGCCACGAATCCCTATTGTCAGCAATATTTCAGCACATGCAATTGCATGGTTTGCAGGAGCCACTTGCGTCAAATGCATCATTTGTTGCCACCGCAAATAAGGGCCACCTCAAGGTTCTGAAATTACTTCTATCACAAAGCGAGGACTCCAGGCATGATTCGCAATTGTTGGGACAACTCGCCTACATAGCATGCACAGCAGGTCACCCTGATATCGTCAAATACCTCGTGGGAGAGCTGAGTGTGGATGTGAACATGGTTGTTGCTGACGATACCCTTGGTTCTCTTGCTTTGAACGACGAAGACAGAAACTCCATCGGAAACCTTGATGGACACTCGACTTCTCGATCGAGTGGTATGTTTTGGACCACCCTCGAAGATGTGGTTCAGTCTAAGCCATCAGCTGGCGAGGAAAAACCAAAGACAGGGCGTTCTACAAGACTTCTGCAATGTAGCTTGCGGGCTTTCGAGAGGTTTGACCGCTACGGAAGACTATGCATCATGACTGAGGAAGAATCTTCAAGGAGAGCAGAAGTTGTGGAATGCCTCCTGGTCAATGGGGCTGATCCATCATCCCTCGACGGTCAGGATGCTTTTCCCATCCAGGTCGCTGCAAATCTCTGCCCCGCGGCTGTTATCGGAAAACTCATGGATGCTGGTGCGGATGTCATGTATGTGCACGACGGTGAATCAGCTTTGGATGCAGCAACCGAGAGGAATTCAGGCTCAGCCAACATCGTACGGATGATACTAGAGGCCGGAGGAGCCTTCCCAATGGATCTGGAGAGAGGAAAAATTCTCATCGAGAAGGCCCTCAAGTGCTTTCATGTTGACCCGTACAGAGATTACTTCTTGGATTTTCCTTACCCTGACGGCCGCCTAACTCTGAGGCCCTCGCTGGTTGACGTCTTTGAGAATGGACCTGGCGCCGTGCTTGAACTACTCCTTCGACAATATCCAGACCACAAGACTGACGAGGAGATTTACATATGCGTCCTGCAAATGGTCTGCCTACTCGGAAAGCAAGACTTGGTTGAGCTCCTCCTGACGCGCGGGGCAGATCCCAACAGGTCCGGATACTGCTACGGAACCCCTCTTCAGGCCGCGGCGCGCAGCGGGCAGCTCGGAATTGTGGGATTGCTTCTTCGGCACGGCGCCAGCGTAAATACCGTCCAGGGCCGATGGGACACCGCCCTGCGAGCGGCAACAATTGGTGGTCACAGCGACATTGTTCGTCTCTTGATGTCCCATGGCGCCGATATCAACCTCAAAGCTGGTACACAACAGTCCTCGCTTCCGGATGATGAGAGCAGGTCTCCAAGTGCTTTGCAGCTCGCGGTTGCAAGTGGTGACATGGACACCGTCAACGCACTCCTCGAAGCAGGCGCAGTTGTCGATGAAGATGTAAGCTATTCGTCACGCCCGTGGATCTCCGCCCGTTTCCGAGCCCTGAGAGACCTCACCAATGATCATCATACCTCACTTAAAGCTAGTGCTCTCCTAGACGGATCTGCCAAACCAAGCTTCTCCTCACGCATGGGTGATCCGAGAGGTGACCCTTTTCGCAAAATTCCTGTGGCTGGAACTGCGCTGCTTGCGGCTGTGCGGGAGAGCGATTTGCATATGACCCGACGACTGCTAGCTGCAGGAGCCAAGATCAACAGTGTCAGCAGCGGAAGGACTGCATTGCTGGAAGCCATTGAGCAGGGAGGAGAGCCCTCAATCGTCAGAGAGTTTCTGGCCAAAGGAGCGGTGGTGGTAGGGTCGACCTATCCAAACTGCCTCGTTAAGGCTTGTGAGGGAGGAAGGGCTGACGTGGTTGAACTACTTCTCGAGAGCATCTACGACAATCACGACCAGCCAGAGGTAATTGTCGACGAGGCTTTGACCGCAGTGGTACTGCAAGACCGACCAAATGATGCAACCTTGCGCCTTTTGTTTGAATATCTCCCCCCAACACAGGAGCGATTTGCCAAAGTCTGCTTTTCGGGCTCGGTCTCGAACGTCCTGTTCATGCTGGATACAGGTATGAGTGTCGATGGAGAAGAGAGCGAGCATCAGCCCATCCACTTGGCATCTCGCTGGCTTTTGGATGAAGTGGTTCAGATTCTTATTCAGAGAGGTGCAAATATCCATTCCAAGAGCTCGAAATGGGGTACGCCGTTGTTGTGCGCTCTTTCGTCTTGCGCTGGACCCTACTTCGAAGCGTTTCAGTCCGAGAGTGCGCTCAGCAAATCCCTACTATCCTACGATCGCGGTAATCCCATGTCGCGCATTTGGCGGTCCTATTCCACACCTGTCGCTAAAATACGAGCTGTCATTGAGTGCAGGGCCATTGTGCAAATGTTGGTCGACAACGGCGCTGATCCAAACATAGATGAGTGCGCCTTCGGCAAGCCCCTGCATATTGCGTGTCTGATAGGAAGCACGGCGATCGTCACGATGTTGTTGGATGTGGGAGCCGATGTCAACGCGGCAAATGGCTACTTCGGCACCCCTCTGTTTGCGGCAATGCACGGGGAGCATTCTGACGTTGTCTCCCTGCTTCTCGAGCATGGAGCAGACGTGAACTACGTGCATCAAGCGCATGGGACACCGCTGCACTTCGCGTGCGCCATCGACAACGGAGCAATGACTCGCAGGCTACTGCAGCATGGGGCCTCCGTCGCGATGCCAAATCAAGCTGGCCAGACCCCCCTCACACTTGCTCTGAAGGACCCTCGACAAAACCGATACCATAGTAATTCCCCTGATATGGATGGCTCCAGCTTGCTCAGTATCGTCCAAGAAGCTTCGCAAAATGTCCAGCTCCGCGTGGACGTTATCTTGGAGGCAGCTCGGATCAACGTCGATTTAGGCCCGCTACTTCGACCTCGTCGATCGCCTAATCCGCATGGAACAGAGGCTGCAGGATGACAGTTTAAGACTGCTGTTGGAACGGAGCGGCGGCTTGGGTATAACGGAGCGAATGCCGATGGCTGGACACGTGCTCGGATTCAACCGTCATCAGGGAACTCAAGGACCTCACTTGGATAGATGATATTGTGCGTTAAATGCGGTATTGCGCTTGGGACTGATTCTTGATCAATTCCTCCCAATAATTCACTGACCATCCAGGGCAACTTTTATGCTGGCCATCTCCATTTTATCTAAGACTCGAATTACATCCTACTCAGGATTCTGTGGTTGGAGCAGTGAATCGACAGAGAGCATTGGTATTTCCGAGCCAATCCGAGGAAAGTAAGCGACAGGATCACCAGACTCCGTGAAAAGAACGACTGGTCGCACTCCGTTTCGATAGTTCCGGTAACGGTTCTTCCTTTCTTCAAGCTTCATGTATACGTGATATATAATGAGTCCGCTGAGAATGCTAGAGGCTTGATATTAGCATCAAGTGAGCATTGCGACAGCACGCCAGGCTAGGTTTCTCGCAGACTCACATGAGGAATGGCAAGACGGCCCCATTGATCTGTTGCTCTGTGCGGTATTCATCGGGCCAGTATACATAGATATCAGATGAGTCACGCTCGCGAGAGTTAAGTTCTGATACCCAAAGGATGATGGCGCTGTGAACCACTATGTTCAACCCAGAAATGACTTCGAAAATCACAGAGGAATGTGGTAGCATCCAATGGGTGTCATTTCCCAATATTTGGTACGTGTCCCAAAAGACGCAGACGGTTGTCTGTTGAGTATTATGAGCATACAACCTCATCTCGCCAGTATTCAGGCAACCTTACCGAGACTAGGAAATATATGAAGAATTGTTTCCCCACAAACCATAGTCCTTGAACACCGTAGAAGACTCCAAGGAGGTATCTCAACACACAAAGTATTAAACGTGAACTTCGGAAAATCCACAGTTTTGAGGGAGATAGGAAAAGCTTTGACAAGCTTCTTAGTCTGACAACACCAAGACCAGCAGATTGTGTAGAGTGTATCGGGTGGTCAGATCTTGTTGGGAAGGGTTCCTCGTATTGGGTAGTCATCGAGTCGCGCCCAAACACTGAGGCTCTCGATGGTAGATTCTTTGAGCTTGCTTGAAGTCGGAACGGTATTGTTGACAGCCCCAGCCGAGCTCCGCGTCACGATGACCAAACGAGGAGATTTGCTCGTTGTCCTCTCCGCATTCCCCGGTGGTGCTCCCGATGGAAACACCTGGCGGAATTGAGCAGAGCTTGCTGCAATTGCGAGTGTGTAAATGGGTTGAATAGGATGCTTTGAGGGCGGAAATGTGCACAAATGTTGGAATGCAAAACAAGCTGAGTGAGATGAGGGTGGGGGCTTATTTCTTAATTGACGCGCAGGCTTGGCTGGTGTATGGTCAGCAGAGGAGACGGTGGCTCGGATCAAAGCTCAGAAAACGAAAAGGAATTACCGACCATGCAGGGGAAGGAGCGGCAAAAAGAAACGAGGCAAACTTGGCACACGTGCTCTGCTGCCACATGCGACATGTCCCTTGGATGACAGAGGATTTAAACCATGCATGGCTCTCTCGCACAACAGCCACTAAAGCAAGTTGGCGCTGATCCCATCAGGCAGATGCAACGCTGAAAAAGATGCCTGCCCACATGAATGAGCAACGCTTCCTGAAGTCGATAATTATACTGGAAGCCGGGAGAGTAGAGAGTAGATAGCCTACATCGTTAATAGACTCACCGTAGCTGCAAAAGAGCCAGGCCCGGAAAGAGGGACGGTGTTTGTTCACGACATTTTCTGGTCACGCGGAGCAGATGGTTTAAAAGTTCAACACATCTTCTTCTGCTTGGTCACAGATCCAAATCTCGCAATACCCACCGGAGCCTTGCGGATGGTTTACCTGTCGCATGCTTACTGGAACTTGTCACTGGAGATGCCTGGAACCTGTTGACCTGTCTGCCTGCCGCGCCGTCGCTGTCAAAGAGAAGACGCACGCGCGCGCCATGCCGTCCAATGATCACTCCACGCAATACTGCCAATCATCCGCGGGGCCTAAGCCGGATAAACCAGGTGGAAAGCCCCTATCGGGGCCCTGGGAGCTATTCATCTGGGCAGGCTGCGGAGGGGAGGTTACGTAACGTTGCTTAATAATGGCGCCTTTCCGTATTTAGAAAGAAATGCAAGTGCATTACGTAGTCCAGCCGGTAGTTTTAATGATTAAAATATACTATATAGGCGCAAGGAGCCCCTTCACTAAAGTGCTAATTCCTTCCATGCTTAAAACAATATACCCTAAGATATCCTAAGATTTTCTAAAGATAAACTTACTTTTTTTAAGTGCTAATATTTTTAAAGGAAGTTTAGGATTATTTTTCTTAGCATAAAGCACTTCTTTTTATAATAAAAAGCCTTAGTTTTTAAACTTTATATTATAAAGGCTATAGGTATATTTCTTACTTAAGTTAAATTTTTAAGCTTTTTTTTAAGTTTTTTTTTAGCTTAAAATGCCTTTAAGAAATAATAAAATAAGCCTAGCAATCCTTATAAAAAGGGCTTTATTATAATAAAGCCTAAATTAAGTATAAAAAGGGGCTTAATAATTTTTAAAAAAAGGGCTTTTTAATAATAAAACTAAAATTAAGCATAAGGATAAGCATAGCAATCCTTTTAAATAAGGCTTTTTTATAATAAAGTTTAATTTAAATGTAAAAATAAGCATAATAATCCTTATAAAAAGGGCTTTTTTATAATAAACCTTAAATTAAATATAAGGATAAGCTTAGCAATCTTTATAAAAAAAGCTTTTTTATAATAAATTTTATAATAAACCTTAAATTAAGTATAAAAATAAGCTTAGCGATCTTTATAAATAGTACTTTTTATTAATATAGTTAAAAATAAGCATAAAAATATTTATAATAATATTATTAAGCAAAACTTTTTTATAAAAAAGCTAAATATAAAGCTTTTAAGCATAATAAGTTAAGTATTTATTTAATAAATAAATATTAAAATATATAATATATATTAATTAATACTTATAATTAAGGGCTTAAAAGCTTTATTTAATATATATATTAATACTTATTAAGCTAATTAAATTTTATATAAATAAGAATATTAAAGATATAAATATAGCTTTAAGGTATATAATAAGCTTTATTATTTTTTTTTCTTAAAAGCTTAATATCTTTATAACTTATTAAAATTATCCTTAAAGTAAGTTAATATTATAATTATTTTAATTATAATTAAAGTTAATAAATAAATTTTATAATTATTATAATAATAATAAATATAATTAATAAATTTAATAAAAAGGTAATTAAGTTTTAAAAGCCCTTATGCCTTATAAAATGCATATTTAAATATATAATGCGCCTTATAAGGCATAAAAACTCTTAAAAACTAGCTATTCTTAATAATTATATTAATTTTAAAAATAGTAATATAGCTTTAATTAAAATTATCTTAAACTTTTTATTATTTTAATTTAAATTAAATTAATTAATTATATATTATACTTTAAGTTATATAATATATATAATATATATTATAGCTAAACTTACCTTAAAAATTTCATTATTTTAGCTAAAATTAAATTAATTAACTATACTTTAAGCTATGCTAATTAGCTATTATATTAAATTAACTTTTCTTTATATAGTTATTTTTAATATTACTATTAATTAATACCTTAAATATACTTTTTATATAACTTATGCTAATTTTAAATAATGCTTTGCAATATACATTTTGCTTTATATTTATTAAGCATTAAGTTAATTATAAATAAGGTTTATAAAACTATAATGCTTATAAATATATATATAGCTTTTATTTCTATTAATATTAAATATAAATAATAAGTAATTATAACTTTTAAACTTTATAATTATTTAATTATTATAGCTTTTATAATTTTTAAGCTATAAATATATTTTTAAGTTTTATATTAAGTTATATATATATTCCTTAATAATACCTTAAAATATATAATAAAATATATTAATATTAATAATTTATATAAACCTTATTATATTATATTATTTTAGCATTTCTTATTATTATGTAATTATATTTCTTTATAATACTTTACGCTACTTAAAAATAAAAGGTAATATTTATAATAAAAAAGAAAAATATATTAATTATATTAAAAGTTAAATCCTTAATATTACGCTATTTAATAATTAATTACTTAAATCTTAGCTATAAGGTATTTAATAATATTATATTAATAATTAATATATTAAACTATGCTTATTTAAATTAAAAATATTTATTTTAATTAAAAGTTTAAAGTAACTTAAAACTTATTATAAATTTTAATAATTATAATTATAATAATAAACTTTTTATTAAAATTAAATAAAAAGTTTATAATATTAATTATACTTCTTTTTAATAAAATAATTACTACTTATAAATAATTAAATATAATAACTTTTTATATTTTTAAATATAAAGTTAATTATAATATTTTATAAAAAATAAATTAAAATAATAAAGCCTTTTAAAGAATTAAGATAATGGTAATAATAATAAAAAGTAATAAGTTTATTAAAATAATTTATAAATAAAGTTATTTATGCTTTATAATCCTTATTATTATTTATATTATTATCTTTATTATTATCTTTATTTTTATTATTATTTTTATTTTCTTTCTTTTCTTTCTTTTCTTTAAGTTTTTAAATATTTTATTATTAGCCTTTATATTATTAAAGCGGCAAGCCTTAAAAGCTAATACCGCTATTACTTAAATAATAATTATTTGCTATAATTTAATAATTATTATAATTTAGCTTTTATCTTTATTTTAAATCTTATTTTTATTATTATTTTTATTTTTACTTTAATTCTTTTATTTATATCTTTTTTTATTTTTATAGCTATTTTTATTTATATATAATTTATAAAAGGGGTAGCTATAATTATATTTATTATAATAATTTTATTTTAGCATTAGAAATGCTTTAAGTAAAAATATTATA